AAAGATTCTAGATCTTTTAGTATTAAAATAGATACTAAAAGAGAAAAAGAAGATAAAAAAAAAAGCTATTAATAAGAAGACTAAGAAAAAAAAGGGTTTACTAAGAATAAAAGATTTTAAAACTAAAAAAAAAAAGACCTAGGCTATATTATTTTATACTAAATAATCTTAGATAAATAATAATAAAAAGATTAAGATACTAAAAAAGTAAAAATAAGCTATTAATAATTTAGTTAAGTTAGATAATAATATCTTAATCCTAAAGGCTAAAAAAATAGTTTATTATTTTATTATTTAGATTAATTTAGCTAATATTCTTTTTTATAATATATATTATTATATTTTTATTTTTAATAATCTAAATATAATTACTAAGAAGAAGTTTAATATTCTTTAGGAGACTTAGTAAATAATCTAATAATTATTTATATAATTAAAGTTTAAAAAAGAGGCTTTTTTTTTATTCTATAAAAGAATAAGAAAGAGTTTTTAGAAAATAAAAAATTAGAGACTAATCGCTTGAACGGAGCGAAGCGGAGTGAGAGCCTATTTTTCTTACAGTACCAAAACTTTTGGTGGGGGGGTAGGCGTTTTCAGTTTTGCTTATCAATCAGTTTGTGATGTCAGGTGACTTGAATGTGATGTCAGGTGACCTACTGATCACGTGACACTTTTTTCAAAGTGAATTGAGGCAACTGGTCAGTCTTGCACCTACAAGGGGGGGGTCTGGGGGGTCCCCCCCCTGTATGGAAGATTACAATTCCTTCTATTTGAAGCCCCTGAACTGCATCATACGCTTGATTTATGCAATTCCTTCTATATTGAAGCCCCCGAACTGTATCATATGCTTGATTTATGCAATTCCTTCCATATTGAAGCCCCCGAACTGCATCATATGCTTGATTTATGCAATTCCTTCCATATTGAAGCCCCCGAACTGCATCATATGCTTGATTTATGCAATTCCTTCCATATTGAAGCCCCCGAACTGCATCATATGCTTAAATCCCGTATCTGCACTCACAAGGGGGGGTCTGGGGGGGACCCCCCCAGTATGTCTGGAATACTGCAATTCCTTCTATATTGAAGCCCTCTAACTGCATCATACGCTTAAATCATGCAATTCCTTCCATATTGAAGCCCCCGAACTGCATCATATGCTTAAATCATGCAATTCCTTCTATATTGAAGCCCTCGAACTACATTATACACTTAAATTATGCAATTCCTTCTATATTAAATCCTTAAACTCTAGGATAATACCCCTGCCGTAGGCAGGGACTTGGGGGTCTGGGGGGAACCCCCAGGAAAAGAAGTTTATATATATATATATAGGATTTAATCGCTCCGTTCAAGCGGTTATCGGCAGGTTTATTCTAAAAAATAAACTAAGCCAACACCTGGTAAGAGATAATAATAAAAAATATTATTAATAATAATAACTAAGATAAATATTCCTAATACCCTAAAACTAATAAAAATCTCTTAATATATAATAAAGAGTATTCCTACTAAGAGATTTAAAGATATTAAATAGAAGAATAGAAAAAGAACTAACTAATATAATAAGTCTTATAATATATAATAATATTAATACTAATAAACTTAATACTTATCATATTAATATAAATCTTATAATAATAATATTTAAAGATAATAATTAGTAAGATTTACCCCTTTTTAGTAAGATTAATACTAATAATACTAAAATATAAGGCTAGATTATTAAGATTTTACTTATATATAAAGAAGTAATAAACTCTAAAAAAGTAGCCTTCTAGAATACTATAATAGAGGAATAACTTAATAAGTTATATAATACTAATACTTAGGATATTATTAAATACCCTTCTAAGTAAACTATTAAGATTATTCTTAGTAAGTAGGTCTTTAATATTAAGACTAATAAATTAGGGCTTATAACTTAATATTATATAAGATAGACTATTTATAGTAATAACTAATAAAAGAGAGAAGATTATAATAAGAGTTATACCCTTATTATAATTAATTAATCTATTAAGCTTCTTCTTACTACTATTATTACTAATAAATAGATTCTATAATAATTTAATATTATTATAGTATACTTAAATACTTAGATTAATAATTAATAAGTCTTTATAAAGATACTAATAGGATTTAGTAAACTAGGGTATATTTATATATTTAAGAAGGCCTTATATAGCCTTTACTAAGTAATATTCTTATAGTAGGAGAAACTTAAGGAGATTCTCTATAAAATATACTTTAAATACTTAATTAAAGATCCTTATATCTTTAAAAGAAGTATAATTAATAATAATAATAATAATAATAATTTATACTTTATTATTATATATATTGATAATATACTTAGTCTAAATAAAGATTAGGAATAATCTAATACTCTAATTTAAGAGATATTATTATACTTAAAGATTAAGGATATAGGGATTCTATTAAAGTTCCTTAGTTATTATATTACTATCTTAGATACTAAGATTATATTTAATTAATCTTAGTATATAAGAGATTTAATCTTACTTAATAACCTCTTAAATATATCTATAAATTATATTCTAATAATATTAGGAATAGAGATTCTAATAAAAGTATAATATAAGTATATAATTAAATATAATAATAACTAAATCTTAAATAAAACTAATATAAATAAACTAATAAAGATTATTAGTAAACTTAGTTAGTTAATATCTTATATAAGGCTAGATCTTAGCTTTATAATTAAAGTCCTAAGATAGTTATTATTATATATAATAACTATATTATAGAAGCTTATAAAATATATATTATATTATTTAAAAGAGAATATAAGTAGACATATGCATTCCCTATGGGTTTGGACCATAGGTTTGCCTATATAGTCCCATGGGCCATATGTACCATAGGCCATTTATTCCATGGGTTTTGGGCCTATAGGACGTGGGTAGGACTACTGCCCATGCCCATCCCATGGGTTTACATAAAGAAGGATCTGCAATTATCTTACTATATTAGGAAGATTTATAAAAAAATGGGTCAATTTTTCCGGATTTGGGGGTTCAACTTTCCGGATTTAGGGGTTTAACCCTGCCGATCCCTTCTAGAATATTACCTAATTAGGTTATATTTCTTATATAATCTTTCCTAATTAGGAAATATTCTCTATAGATCTATAAAGTTGGTATATATTAAAGATATATATAATCCCCATAACATACTACCACCATCCTCCAGATCCTACCACCACCCCTACCACCACTACTATATATATATATCTCTATAATCCTACTGATTTGACTAAGTTAAATATGCTGATTCTTTTGGCGCTTAAATCATTAATAAATATTGATATTTAGGTATTTTGCATAAAAAAAAAAAAGCTTATTTCAAGTTATGCATCTTGGGACCCACCTATGGGCACCCATGGGAAACCTATAGTTTGCTGACTAAGACCTATGGGTTTAGCCCCCATAGGCCTTAGAACCTATGGGCTTTGGCCTGTGGGTTATGGGCCAGGACCCCTACCCATAGGAGGGGGTTTGCACATATCTAAATATAAGCCTTAGTCTTATATTTAATATAAATAATAAATTAGGATTAATTACTTATATTAATATTTTATATACTAATAATAAGTAGATATATAAGTTAATTAAAGGATTTATCTTCTTCTATAATAAAATACCTATTATATAGAAGTTAAAGCTATAAGATATTATCTTACCCTTATTAATATATATAGAATATATTATATTAAGTATAGTTATAAGAGAAGTATTATATCTAGACCTTCTACTAAAGTAAATAGAACTATAAGATAATAATTTAAATCCTATTATTATTCATACTAATAGTAATAATATAATAGTATTAGTGGAGGGTAATACCTATAAGAATAGTAATAAATAGCTAGAAATCAGACATTATTTTATTCAAGACATCTACTAGAAGAAGCTCATTAAACTAGAGGTCATAGCATCGGAAGATAATCCTATAGATATGTTTACAAAGGCGCTTCTAGTTAACAAGTTTATACAATACAGGAACTTGATGGTGCTTATTAATTGTTAAAGAAGGAATCAGAATGCTAAGCGAGATTACGCGAGAATACACGAGATTAAGCGAAGCGAGGCCAGCAGTTTACATATATTTTAATGACCAAATTGGCACTTTTTGTTTGCAGATTGCAGTAGTTTGAGGAGTTGAAGTGCGCTCGACAGCCTGCGGGGGCGTGTCGGAAGTCACATGATCATGTTTGTCAGTGCTTCCTTAGTTCCAGTTAGCAGCCTTGTCTCGCCTTCTTCCTTCTCTCTTCCTCGAACAAATCAATCATACTCATTCTTTCTTGTTCTTCCTCGTAGAGTTCTATGACCTATCGAGCTCAAGATTCTGAAAAAAGACACTGTGCCGCTTATCTTCGCCCTCTTCAGTGGTATTAGCTATGTCCGTGTAATGCGGCTCGCTAAATGATGGTAGGAGACATTTCATACTGCGCAATGTAAAATATCCCCACAACTAGCGATCTGAAAGCTTCACGCCACAAGAATATGATCAATTCGATAAAAGATAATCCTGAAGTGGGGGCGAATTGTACTAATGGGCGAGCTACTACACGATAGACCTAGCTCCGGAATGAATAGGTGCCTTATCGCAAAGAAATGACAAGTATAATGGCAAGATCGTTTGGCCGCTAGTAATAATACTCGGAACAACGTACCAAGATAGCTAGCGCGTACTTCGCTAAGTTGTATCGTATGCAATTTGACGCTTGCTACCGGACTCTTTTAATAATAGGGTCTGCTATCTTTAGCCAACATTGAATAAATTCCCCGCACCGTGCCAATTTGAATATATTTAGTGGGCGCTCCACCACATGCGACAGCGCGAAGTTGTGGTCAATCCTGTGGTTTTTTCAGTACCTCTAGAACCTCTCGCGTCAATTTTGTTCTCTTCACCTTCTGTTCAGAGTAACACATTTAATTGATTATGAAGCCTTAAGAAGGCCTCATTCGACCATGAAGACCACAACCGACCTTTTTGCGACACAGAAACCGCCTATCTTTGACTCAACTCCACAGGCATTGGAAGAAAATGCACTTGAAATTATCAGTACCACCACCTCAACCTGGAATTCGGTGGTAGCTAGCGTCCAGATTGCCCATGCCTCCTTTGAAAACACGATCTGGCCACTTATTCAGGACGAAAACGCCAAGTTTGAAAGACAACGCCTCTTGCGCTTCTGCGCATCAACCCATCCAGTCAAAGAAGTGCGAAATGCATCAAACGAAGTTTCCAAAATGCTTAATGATGCCGAGGTGGAACTATTTTCCCGACGCGACATGTTCCTCTTGGTTGATAGCGTAGTGACCAAAGCGACAAACCGAGAATTTGCCCAGGATGACGAGTCGCGTTATTACCTGCAGAAGCTCCACAGACGCTTCCTTCAAAACGGATGTGGGATTACTGATGATGCCCTCAGGAATGAGTTCACAGTCAAGACCAAACGCTTGAACCATCTTGAGAGGGAGTGCAACAAGAATCTTATAGAGGAGACTGCGGGCCTCTGGCTGACGCCGGAAGAGCTAAAGGGCTTGCCCAATGCTATCTTTAGTCGACTCAAAAAAGGCGAGGGCAGCCAAGCTGGCCGGCTGTGGCTCCCCACCAAGACTCCCTTTAGCGCCCCGGCCATGAAGCACGTGAAGAGGGAGTCAACGAGGAAGAAGATCTATTATGCCGTCGAAAATAGGATGGCAGGGAACCTCCCTCTCTTCCGTGAAATTGTTCTTCTCCGCGACGAGACAGCCAGGATGCTTGGGTATCCAACCCATTTCGCGCGGAAAACGAGCGACAAGATAGTTCAAACCCCAGATGTGGTGGCTAAGCTGCTATCGGAGATTCGTGAAGCTGTAGCTCCTCTAGCTATGAGCGATACAGAAGAGCTTCTCGAGCTCAAGCAGCAGGAGGTAGGGGTCTTCGTGGAAAACGCAGACAAGCTATTCCATTGGGATGTACCGTTCTTTACAGAACGGCGCATGGAACGGGCGCAGACGAGAGAGTCAGCTGTGTCTGAATACTTCGAACTACAAAAAACGCTTGAAAAATTGTTCCAAATGTTCCAACATCTCTTTGGAGCAGAAGTACGAAGAGTTGATACTGAAAACACTGAGGGTCTCCTTTGGCACGAAGATGTCCAGATGTATACGGTCTGGAACGTTGAGAATGAGGCAGAAGAATTCCTCGGTTACGCCTATTTGGATCTTTTTCCTCGAGATGGGAAGCACAGCCATGCAGGACACTATCCGTTGCAATTTGTACGTACTTCGTGCAACATTCAAAGCTCTGCTCAACCACCATTTTACTTGTTGTCTGAAATACTAAACAAGAACTAATTGCTACAATAGGGCTATCAGCGGTCTGATGGAAGTCGTTTCTATCCATCCTCGGTCTTGGTCATGAACTACGTCAGACCATTGCCCAATCAACCCACTCTTCTCAGTCTGGACGACGTCCGAAAGCTTTTCCACGAACTTGGACACTTATTCCATGCTTTGCTCACGAGAACGAAATTTGCAGGGCTCTGCCCAGTCGACCGTGACTTTGTTGAAGCACCAAGCAAAATGTTGGAGCAGTTTTTCTGGCTCGAGCGTCATATCAAAGACCTCTCTTACCACTACTCATATATCAGTCCATCAATGATGTCTGCTTGGAAGGCTACTCTTGGGAAGAGCGCCGAAGAAAGCAGCCTGAAGACACCACCCGTTCAACTCGATGACAATCAAGCGGCAGCTCTAGCTCAGAGAAACAAGACTGGAAATGTCCGATCCCAGCTGAATAACTTATTCTTCGCCACATATGACATGCTTATTCATAGCCCGGCTTCAAGGGAGGAGTTGCAGACGATGAATCTCACGGAGCTATTCAACAAAACGCGCTCAAATATCTCCGGGGCTCATGGAGGGGAGGCACTAGGGGAGGGATGGGAATGGGGCCATGGTCAGACAGTTTTCCGAAACGTGATTAACGGATATGATGCTGGCTACTACAGCTACCTATTGTAAGTCTCTATTGCGCGCTTTTCCCGGCATTCTTTGAACTACAGGAACTGACAGTATACTCAGGGGCACGGTACTAGCTTTTGACATTTTTGAGACTGGATTTCAACAGGATACAATGAGCCAGGAGGCCGGGCGGCGATATCGCGACATGGTTCTCCGTGTAGGCGGGAGTCAGTTTGAAATGAAGACTTTGAGAGATTATCTGGGCCATGAGCCTATTACCAGACCCTATCTTGAGTGGCTAGGGGCTATATCCCGGCTCACATGATCACTGACCTAGTTGTATTCTTATCTAGCAGCTGGAAAGTCGGGGCCATAGACAGAGCTGGTCATATGGTAAAATATGGCAATATTCAGTAGAACAATGACATGAGATGGACCAATGGTACATACTTCACGTAATAATCCTGTGTAATTTTGGTATAAAATACATTAGTAAGGTACGGCGCTGCCCCGCCCTTCATGCCCTTTCAGCTACATAAACGATAATCATCCTTCAGCCCTACATGGCAACTGCCGGCTGACGTCTTCCAAATTATCCGCGCTTACTACTTTCCCTAACCTTGGCATTTGTGGCGTTTTTTTCCCGCAACACAACCGTTTGACCAGCTGAAAGAAAGGAATTTTTTCTACACATTCGGGCATATTGAAGGTGTACGGTGTACTTCATTGTATGGTAAAATCTCCACTGCTTACATTGATAGCAGGTATATTCAAAAAGGCCATAGTCATACATCAATGGATATCTAAATTTTGGCAGACCAGCTGCCCAGATGATCTACAAGGACCTCACATGTGTCGCTTTTTGTATATCATTATCTTTTTTATTGTCTTGATTCAATTCGTCTTCTCTCGTCATTCCTCTCATATTTCTTCGAAATGAGCACATCATGCATTTTCACATGTTTAATATCGTGTTCGTCTTACCAAGTATAAGCTACATCAATACCCCGAACTTTAATTTTTAACTTTTTGTATCTCAAGCGGATTCTAGATTCTTTTAGCGTGCTGCAAACAATATCGGTTTTAGCATTTTATTATAATGTCAGAGATTCATAATCATTCCAACGGTCCCTTGAATGTGAATGAGCAATCAATCGGTACTATCACGACAATCCAAGCCGGTGATGAATAAGCCGATACATTTATGTACAAGGGTCCGGCATCACCGTAGATGTACGCCACCTTCTCGTGTTCGTGTGATATAACCCGGCTCATGATTTCGCCAATGAATTCAATATGCACTCATACTAGCTTAGCCACAAGCCACATAAGCCCTATACACACTCTATCTGCTGTGGCAAAAAAAAAAGGCCCCCCTTAGAGCTTATGGGCGTTCAATGGAAGTTCTCCGCTTGTGGGATGATTGGAACCGGAATGGATATGTCACACCGATAGTTAGGCAACTTGAAGAGGGAAAAATCATCAATTGACAATGCGCAGATTTTTCAACGCAATTGATCGAGAGCTTGCTGCGTCTGGTCCTGTAAAGTCCCTTTGACTTTTCACTTCGTGATTCGTAAAGTCTTTCACCGCAATGACGCCTACCATATATGATACAGAAATTTGTTACAAAGTGCTTTCAATGTAAGAGCAAACTTTAAAGCACAAGTAATCTTAGACCTAGAGAATGTTCCGAAAGAAATTACCCACATGTGCAATACAAACATCTGGACGAGGCCTCCAAGATCCGTGAGATCATCTGCCGGTGGTCGCCTTGTAGGGCTTGACGATATCTGTAATGCCGAGAAAATCTTAGATAACATGTAACAATCGGAATGCACCGCCCTTCTCGTGAATTATATAACTCATTCAAAGAAACCCATAAAACTGTCCACTATTATCTCCATTTAATCTTGTATCATATTAGAGGAACCAGGTGGAATTTCCTTAAACAGCTTTCTTGTCAAAAATCTAGGCTAAAGCCTACCAGTCGGGAACATGGAGGTCCTTGGCTTGCTACTGCTCCTTCTGACTCAATCAACATCCGCCCTTCGCTACGACCAACAATTTTCTCAGTGGAATCTCAACGAGAACAAAACTGCAAACGATGTTCTTGACTATTGTGGCAAATGGCCAGAACATACCTATCAACCTTCTCCTTCCAATTGGCGATTTCCCTTCTATACGCTTTTTCTTGATCGATTCGTCGATGGAGACCCCGAAAACAACGATATCAATGGCACCATGTTCGAAACTGACACATTTTCGAATCAGTATCGCTTTGGAGGTGACTTGGACGGGTTGACAGAGACACTTGACTACATACAAGGCACTGGTATCAAAGTGAGTTGGAGTTTTCAATCAAAATGGAAACATAAGGCTGACAGTCCGTGCTTTTTTTAGGGAATTTACATCGCCGGTACTCCCTTTGCCAACTTTCCTTGGAAGTCAGATAGCTATTCGGTATGATAAACTATCCCCGATAGTTTGATTGCATTCTAACCTGAGATAGCCACTGGATTATAGCTTATTGGACAGACACTACGGCACCATTCAGCAATGGAGATCTACCATCGACGAGATCCATAGGCGAGGAATGTATGTGATGGCTGATAGTACATACGGCACGTAAGTCATCACCTGGGCATGATATCACCACCGAAGACCAAGACTGATGATGGATGTCGTGATCAGTATGGCAGACTTGCTCGGATTTCAGGGATACCTGAACAGTACCGCGCCTTTGAACCCACTCGAATACAAACAAGTTTGGAAGGGGAATGAGAGGTACTTCGACTTCACGCCGAGTGATCAGTATAGCAAGGAATGCAACTATCCCACTTTCTACACAGAAGAGGGATGGCCCGTTCTGAACGGCTCCGATGCATTCTTCGATGACCTCAAAGGTTGCTACAACAGCGAATTTGATCAGGTTGGTTTTGTTCAATTTCAAATCTTTCAATGTTTCCCCCATCGACAAGGACACTGGCTGACTCAAAAACAGTATGGCGCCATAGATTCGATCGATCTCGCACCCGATTGGAAAAAATCCCTCGCCAAAGCCGGTTTGGTTCAGGATCGACTTCGTGAATGGGTCCCATCCGTACGGGAAAAAATCGAGCACTTCACCTGCATGTTGATAACATCACTGGACATCGATGCGCTTCGGATTGACAAAGCGGGGCAGATAAGTGTTGACGCTCTTGCGAGTTCCTCTCGAGCGATTCGTGAATGTGCCTCTCGCCTGGGCAAGGACAATTTTCTATTGAGTGGCGAGTTTACAGCCAGCAATTCATATGCGTCGATTTATCTCGGTCGCGGGCGTGAGCCAGATATGAGACCACAGAATCAGACCCAAGCTATTTCTCTCACCAACGCCTCGAGCGATCAATACTTTATTCGAGAGCCTGATGGGCATGCAATGGATGGTGCTGTATTTCACTACAGCATCTACCGAGCTCTTAGCAGATTTTTGGGCTTGGATGGTAATTATACGGCACCGGGAGACATAAGCGTTAATTTTGTGGACGCCTGGAACGACATCCTCCTATCCAATGACCTTATCAACAAGAATACTGGCAAGTTTGACCCGCGACACATGATGGGCACGACCAATCAGGATACATTCCGTTGGCCATCTATCAGGCAAGGAACATCCAAGTTGTTGTTGGGGCAATTTATAACATCCCTTCATCTACCTGGAATTCCCGTACTGCTATGGGGTGAGGAGCAAAACCTCTATCTCATCGACAGTACCAGCCCTCTTGGCCTGTTTGGCCGACAACCGATGACTTCTTCACCCTCTTGGCAGGCTCAAGGATGTTATGGACTGGGTTCAAGTGACTATAATGAGCTTCCAATTGAATCTGCATTGGCCGGATGTTACGACAATGAAGTTGGTCTCGATCACCGGGATCCCACCCATCCTGTGCGCAATATCATCAAATCGTTCTACTATCTTCGTGAGAACTTTCCTTCATTGAAGGATGGCTTTTATTTAGAGAGCTTGTCCAAAATTACCAACAATGTGACCTTACCAGGGTCCAACGGGACAGTCACAGAGCTTGGACTCTGGGGCGCTGTTCGCGATCTATATCCGGGCGTGAATGATCTCAATCCTACAAATCAGACCGCAATTTGGCTGGTTTATCACAACGAAAACAGCTCCGTGAAATACGATTTTGACTGCAGCTCCGCCTTTGACGGTTTTCTGGCACCATTCAGTGCCGGAGTTACAGTCAGGAATTTGCTGGCGCCTTACGACGAGATTGTATTACAATCTAGTCAGGTCAAATTGGGGATTCACGGATCAACAGATTACAATGGGTGTTTAGGTCCAAGTACCTTCCAGGCCTTCGACTTCCGCGCCTATGTCCCATCATCAGAATGGATTGCCCCTCCCGTGGTTATGACAAAGTTTCTTCCCGGATATGACGCTCGAATTGAATCGAACGGTACTATCGACGAAGGAGAGAGCGTTGATATAGAGCTCCGATTCTCCGAAAAACTGGATTGCAACACCATCATCAACAGTATAACCATAGCATCCACATCTCAGAGTGAAATCATCCCCAAAATCGATCCTGGGAGTGTGTCTTGCGCGATGATTCAAGCTGAGCAGATCGAGTACCCAGGTCAGATTTCCTCCACATGGTCTTGGAAGGCTACATTGGATAATGTGACTCATGGGATTCATACTTTGGCTGTCAAGAATGCATCTACTGCAACAAAGTCCAGATACACAAACTCCGTTGATCATTTGATGTTTCGCATTGGATCTACAGACAACCCAGTGGTATTTCCAATGCTCGCGACCTATACAGAGACTGGTCTTGCCGAGCTGACAGATGCGGATGGCTTTCTCGTCGAGCATACAGCCGCCGGTGCAGATAAATGGCGATACTCTACCAATTGGGCTAGCTCTTGGAGCCCCTGGGAAGTCTATGATGGAACTCCAAGCCAGATCAAAAATCTGCCATGGTCGGGTACTAAGCAACAGGAATGGGAAGGAGGCCATGTCATTTTGCAGTACTGGAGCAAGATGGCCGGAAGCAGCCAACATGTTCAGCACATGGATTTGGGAGGCGAAAGCAAGTCTCCAAGGCGATTCCCCCACCTCTTTGCCTTTGGAGATTTCAATAAATTTGGCCAAGATATTGGACTGAGGAGCTCCTTCTCTCTCGATGATGTAACAAAAACTTGGAAATTCCACCTTTCTGCAGAATGGCCATCCAAATTCCAGGTGAACGTTTGGGGAATCAATCCAGACAAGAAGCTCGATGGAACTTTCCTGCTCGGGGATACTTTGAACAGCAGTCACTTAAATCGCCTCCAGCCGGACTCGCTTTCTGTCAGTGACAACGTCGTTGACTTCCTCGAATTTCCACCTGCACCATACATGGCCTATCAAATGGAGCTGAGCGACGGAAACATGGGATTTGAGCTTGTTCCAGTTGGACAAAGGTTGCACCAGCAAATACTGTATCTCGTGCTGTGGGTTGTACCAGTTTTGACTGGTGTGTTCAGCATCTGGATATACATGGGCGCCTTCTACCACATCACTTTCAACCGCACGGGCGTCAGTAAGAGTCTTCAATTTAGCTTTTTGCCAGCTTTTCTCCGCCCAGCTCAAGCTTTCAACAAAATCGACGAAAGTGACAACGAAGAGAATCAAGAGATCACAATGATGGAAGTGGGAAGAGTCAATGCTCTCGGGGTTCTCCCTTTAGCCGCAACATCAATTCCGAAACCTAAGCGAACGGTCTTGTTGGCCACTTTGGAGTATGATATTGAAGATTGGAGCATCAAAATCAAGATTGGTGGACTCGGAGTTATGGCGCAATTGATGGGGAAGAACCTTCCGCACCATGACATCGTATGGGTGGTACTGTGTGTTGGTGGAGTTGACTATCCAACGGATACACCGGCCGAACCTATGTCCATTGCCATCGCTGGCACTGTTTACGAAGTTCAAGTCCAATACCACAAGCTACGCAACATCACTTATGTGCTTCTTGATGCTCCTATCTTCCGCCAACAGACCAAATCAGAGCCATATCCACCACGAATGGATGATCTCCGAAGTGCAATTTACTACAGTGCGTGGAATAACTGCATTGCCGAAACGTCCAAGCGCTTTCCGATCGACATCTACCATATCAACGACTATCACGGCGCTATAGCACCACTGTATCTTCTTCCACGTACTATTCCTTGTTGTTTGTCCCTCCACAATGCCGAATTCCAGGGACTCTGGCCTTTGCGTGATCAAAAAGAGCTGGATGAAATTAGTGAGGTGTTCAACCTCAAAGTCCAGGTCATCCGGAAGTATGTGCAATTTGGCGAAGTCTTCAACCTCCTTCATGCGGGTGCGAGCTATCTCCGAGTTCATCAGCGCGGCTTTGGTGCAGTTGGTGTGTCTAACAAATATGGTGATCGCTCTTACGCACGATATCCGATCTTCTGGGGCCTCAAGGAGATCGGCAAACTCCCAAACCCTGATCCCTCTGATACCGAGCCCTGGGATCCTGAAGCGGAATCTCGTCAGGTTATCCAGGTTGATCCGGCTTATGAAAAGGGTCGAGGAAATGACCGTTGCCAAGCACAAAAATGGGCAGGGTTGAAAGTAGACCCAAATGCCGAACTGTTCGTCTTTGTTGGTCGGTGGTCAGTTCAAAAGGGTGTCGACCTTATTGCGGATGTCTTCCCGGCAATCTTGGAAAAACATTCCAATGTGCAGCTGATCTGTGTTGGGCCAGTTATTGATATGTATGGTAAATTTGCTGCTCTGAAACTGCAGGAAATGATGACCATCTACCCCGGTCGGGTCTTCTCCAAGCCCGAGTTCACCGCTTTGCCGCCTTTTATCTTCACAGGCGCTGAATTTGCTCTCATACCGTCGCGCGATGAGCCCTTTGGCCTCGTGGCAGTTGAGTTCGGGAGAAAGGGCGCTCTTGGAGTCGGGGCTTTGGTTGGTGGACTTGGCCAGATGCCGGGCTGGTGGTTCCCTGTCGAGTCCATGACAGTGAAGCATCTCCAAAAGCAGTTCAAAGCTTCAATCGAGAGCGCGATCAGTTCTAAGCAGGCCGACCGCGCAATGATGAGGGCAAACTCTGCCAAACAACGCTTCCCAGTGGCTCGATGGGTAGAGGACCTCGACTACCTGCAAATGCGATCAATCCGTATGCATGAAGATCAGAATGACCCCTCCCGGAAGCCTCGTGGCCCCTCGCACTCGCGCGATTTCAGTCAGACATCACTAGTCATGATGCAAACTCCAAATCTGAATATCGATGAAATGAATCCCATCCCTAGGTCTTCTGGCTCAGAGTTCCCTGCTGTTGTCCCAACCCGGACTCTTTCTTTGGGTGTCCGGTCTGGTCCTGGTCACCAGCCAAGAACAACTGTTTTGCATGAAGGTACCGCGCTCACACCTAGGTTAGAGGAGATTGCAGACCCAGATGAGCAAGCCCTGTCGACGGAAGAGGCAGAAGCCATTCTCAATCTCAACCGTGACTCTTCTGAGGATTTGGGGCAGGATCGACGAGGTCGCTCTATTTCTGGCATTTCATCAAGCTCTACAGGTCTGTCCGGTCTAGGAATAAGCCGGGCCTACTCTCCAGCGCAAAGGGGCCGACTCAGGTCAACTTCGGTCTTAAGCCTGGACCAGATCAGAAGCACGCGCCAGAACTTCTCGTTGGAGAACGCAGATCCTACGTTCAAAGACGAAACTGGAAAGTACTCACGCTATTACCAGGGTCTGTTGCAGCGGTTGACTGGCAAAAACTCCGAAAGTGACTTGTGCATTGAAGATTTCATCGTGCAAAGTGAAAAAGAATGGTCGGATAATATGCGCGAAGTCAGACTGGGTCGCGGATCACGCAGCCCGTCGCCTATGCCCTCGCCCATGCCCTCACCATCGCTTGGAGCTGAAAGATTACACTCTTCCAGTAGCAACGCGGATGATGACCTCGAAGGCAATGAATCCGGCTGGGAAGACGCTTCAGCAGCACAAGAGATGCTGCTACCTGCAAGTTTCCAACGGCCGCCTGCAATTCAACGTTGGCTATCAACCCGCATCATGGATTGGCCAATCTATTCAATTCTCTTGGCCCTGGGTCAGGTAATGGCTGCCAATTCGTCTCAGATAACACTACTCACCTCAGGATCGGGCAGCGGTCCCACCGCTCTCTACGTTCTAGGAAGTATTTACGTCGTCACAAGCTGCGGTTGGTGGTTTGCATTCAGGCGCATCCCATCTGTCTACATTCTCTCTCTTCCCTTTATCCTCTATGGCCTGGCATTTTTAATCATTGGTGTTGGCAGTTTCAGCCCCAATGTTTCCGGTCAAACTTGGGCATACAATATTGCCGCCGCATGTTATATCATTAGCTCTTCCAGTGGATATCTATTCTTTTCGCTGAACTTTGGGGATGACGGCAAGTACCTACCTGACTACCTTCAACATGGCTGAATCCCGTACTAACTTCTCGGCAGGGGGTTCAAAAATTGAATCCTGGGTTTATCGCGCATGTCTTATCCAGGGTACACAAAATGTATATGTCGCCGCACTCTTCTTCTGGGGCTCTGAACTCTCATCGCAAGGCCGCCGCGGAGCTTTCGCATCGCCGAGTGTTGCGGCGGGTGTAACGATTCCTATAGCCGTTCTGCTGTTCACCATAGCAGCAGCGCTGTATACCGGTCTGCCAAAATACTACCGCCAAACCCCGGGCAAGATCCCGGCCTTCTACAAGAGTATTTTCCGACGAAAGATTATCATCTGGTTCTCAATATCAGTTGTGCTTCAAAACTACTTCCTCAGCATGCCCTACCAACGCAACTGGGCGTACCTCTGGGGCTCCAAATACGCGCCTGGCTGGATGGTGTTGTTACTTGCGTTGGCATTTTTCATCGGCATCTGGTATGCGCTTCTAGCACTGCTGGCTTGGAGGTCCAAGACCCACTCGTGGATACTGCCAATTTTCGCGATCGGACTTGGGGCGCCCAGATGGGCACAGATGCTCTGGGGTACGTCTGGTATTGGGTTATGGGTGCCATGGATTGCGGGTGGTCCACAGGGCAGTGCCCTAGGCGGCCGGATACTCTGGCTATGGCTGGGTGTTTTGGATTCCGTTCAAGGGGTTGGATTCGGCATGATGCTGTTGCAGACACTTACACGGATTCATATTGCTGCGGCACTGTGTGGCGCTCAGTTGATTGGCACGCTGACGACTTTGGTTGCTAGTGCCAGTGCACCAGATCGGAATGGTCCAGGTGATGTTTTCCCTGACTTTTCGGCGGGTATAATGGCGGGGATTTCGAAGCCTTGGTTTTGGATTGCGTTGGGCTCCCAGTTGGCAATTCCTATTGGATTTTTCATGTTCTTCCGCAAGGAGCAATTGACGAAGCCTTGACCATGTGCAGGTGGGGAGTGATATTTCCTTGATTTGAGAAGTCGTTCGGTTCGTTTTGTTTTTTTTTTTAAGAATTTTATTATGCGGCGGCCGATAGAGGCCACATAACAAACATTTCAAGGATCACATGACTCACATCCCAATTGATTTCCATTTCTACATAACTTCACCGCCCCGTTTCCCGCCCGTATTGAATTCGATGTTTATCAAACACATACAGGAATATCTTAAGGGATTTAATTTAAATACAGGTAATTTTTAGAATGGATATGAGAATCGATTATATGGATCGGATCTCTGCCTCTCTTTCTTGCCAGTTGTTGTGATAATTTACTTTCTGCCAGTCGGAAAGTTGAAGTTGGGATGTGCATCATGTGACCTTTGGGTGGCCTCTATCGGCCGCCATAATGTAGAGCGGTTGATCAATCAGTTTTTTATGTCAGCATAAATTGTGATATCTATTTTGACAATTTTGTTCACTTCAATGTTGACCACACGTGTAGACAGAGTTATCGTCAGCGAGGTCTATAAATAGTCGGGTTTAGAGATCACGTAGCGATAGTGAAATTGGTACGATCTCGTGGTCAATAATCTAACATTTGAAAATTGGATATTGCATACTACATAACCGCCAAAACTGATTCAAATGAAAATAAGTATTCTTTGCAGGTGTGCCTGCGATTGGTTGGATGATGAAAAGGCTGACTAATTTTTTCCCTATCAACTTCAGCAACCCCTGCTATTACTCCGCCAATAAGTACTCTTTACACCGCATCTTCCCCTCGTTGCAATCAATCTAAGAATTTTGTTCGCATCGCTCAGGTAAATCTCTTATTTTCCGGCTCACTTCTTCCCAGTATTTCTCTACCCTCCCAACATGGGTTCCGAAACTCCGCAAGAATACTCAAACGACGAGGAGATACTTTCTTTCTTTCGCAAGACCTCTGCGACTCGTTCATCATGTGATGCTCGTGCCCGGGAGCTCGTAGGGGGAACTGTTATCCCTGTTGCAGTTCAGGGATTTTGCAGCTATTCTGTTTACGCAGGCCCCGACCACGAATTCGTGGTTCAGTTTCGATTAAAATCGCTAGACCTGGACACTAGAATGACCACTCTGGCCAGTCAAATACATGGGCCCTTGATTACACCCGCTACTTCCCATGGCCAGATTGGAGAGGACGGAGTTGATGGAAAGGAGCCCTTATGTGTCTATGTGATGAACCGTGTCAAAGGCATCAGTCACCTTGATTTCATCCTGGCTCATAATGTCCCAGAAAACTCAGTTGAGTGGTGTACATGGCGGGAGAATTTGATCTCGGACATTGCGGAGTATGGTGGATATCCCTCTTCATTATATATAAATCAGGCTAACAATCCTAGATTTTTTGGTCAGACATGGAAGCATCCTCAAAAAATAAGCTCCTTAGATAGAGAAGCTATGTTTCAAACCTATGAGAAGGACCTATGCCAACTTCACGCCGCTCTGCCTAGTCGCTTTCATCCTATCATCCAACAATCAATCGATGCTCTACCGGCTATCTTTTCCCTTCCTATGGTTCTTCTTCACAAGGATTTCGGCAGTAGTAATGTTATGGTCGATGCCGACGATAATCATCTAGTCGGAGTCATCGACTGGGCTGAAGCTCAAATTGGACCTTACGGAACGAATTTGCACTCTCTCCAGCAATTCATGAGCAAATATCGCCTCCGGGTAGGCTGGATTCGGCACGCAAACTACGAGACGATGGACCGAATCTTTTGGGAAGTACTATCCACAAGTGCCGGGGGTCTCAATCATGAGACCATTCAAAATATCAAGGCATCCAGAGTTGTGGTCTTCTACGATCCCACGGATTCACGAGTCGTCTTAAGAATGCACCAGATCCGAAGCCCATCCGGGATGACGAAAGTGGAGCTTACAGAATGATCGGGCTAGATGGCTTGCTTATTGCGCCAGCTACGAAGTTTGTGGACTGAATTTGCCTTTAATATGATCGCGGAAGTGCAACGTAGCAAAGACCTTGGCGGCAAGGGGGCATTGCGAAACTTTCAAGCCCCTCAATAACTGGCATCTTTGATTCCTTAGTTATTGAGGCTGAATCACACGTGTGTAGGAGCTGGATTTCCCATAGGCTTTTCCGTAGGCCTTAACTTTTTTCTGATTCACGCAATTACTATATGGTCTTCATTTGTGAGTATGTAAGTACATACGACCATAGCGTGTGGAGAACAGGGCTTCCCGTCCGCTCAGCCGTACTTAAGCCACACGTACACATAGTCAACCTTTAATGAAGCCCTTTTCGCTTAGAGCGGCGACTATCCCTAAGTTAGGTGAGTGTGAAACCTGGCTACCCTTGATTACTGAAATATCGCGGTAATCTTTTAATGAAGGATTTATTGATCGAACAAGTATTTTATTATCGGAAGTTTTGATTTTTGTCATCAAAGATATTTTGGCCTTAAGGCTTGGTAGATCGGCGTAGGCTACGATCTCGACTCGGCGAATATTTGGGAAGGTGAGGGGGCTATTATCGGCCGGGACTTGGGAGGATGGTATTCTGGGGGAAAAGTCTGGGGCCGATTAATGGCCGGATCTAGAAACAGTGAGTCTGTCAGGATGAATCAAAAATTGGGGTGATAGTTGGTATAGTAGTACTGTGATTAGATATGATTTGTCTGTGAAAGCTTGGTAGTGGGGAAGTAAGGACCAGGAGTTTTGTGGCCTGACAGGCTAATAACTAAGCTAGGTTACCTAGTTAACTACTAGTTATTACTAAAGTAATATAGACACTGTTAACTAATAAGCTTGTTTATTTATTTGTTGCTTTGTTTGTGTTTATCTATATCACCTGGTAGGCTCTTAGTGTGAGGCTAGAGAACGCTGGGGTTTTATTAATCTGTAGAAAATACCAGACTATTACTATATCTAGACTCTGGAACCTCTAGGCTCTAGGGTCTAGAGGCTCTCTGCCAGGCACTAATGGTGAACCAATAGGCCTACTCTAATTAGTCTTTGGTGTATTTAAAAGGGCCCCCTAATTCCCCACTCTTAATTTTGGCTGTATCTTATTTCCAAAAAAAAAAAAAAAAAAGAACAAAATAATAGCAAGAGAGGATAACTAATAATGACTGAAGAAAATTACATAATGCTGTTATCGACTATAGTAATAGCAGGATCAGCCTTAGCTCTAGCCTTAGGTATAGATATAAATGCAGAGGAAATCATGTGCCTTGCTATTACCTGCTTCTGTAGTAAAATGGCTGCTGTAAACTAAAGCTTTCTCTAAGGCTGTGTTAATGAAATTGAAGTAAGTGGGCTAGTATCTGAAGAGGAGAAGTGCTGCTATCTCTGTGATTATAAATAGATGGATAATCTCCTATGGGACGACGAAGACCCTAAGATGTGTAGGAGGAGCAATCAGATCCGGATTCTAAAGTAGACTTTATTCAAAGACCTTGATATACCTGCTGTTCTTAATGGCCTGCCGTCCCTTGAACTGGTTAATGGCTTTTTCCTACCCCTACTGTATACAGAATAGTGGCGTTAGATGTATCTTGACACAGTTTAGTGTTATTGTTAGGGACAGGTGGACGAAATTGTTGCTGATGATGAGGAGGAGCTTGACGATGTATGCTATCTCTACTACTAAGACTATAGACTGATGATTATCCTGTGGTGTGATGAGTTAGTACTGTTTCTAAAGTATGTGTAGGGGGTGAAAGATATTGACCTCTGGTACTCAGGAATTGCGCTGTTTATACTAGCTTTCTTGATTGGGGTGGAGAATAAGGAACTGGATGGACTTAATGAAGAATAGAGATGCGAAAAGTTGGTAGATCCGGATCTGCTAAAGCGCGAGCAAGAGAGGTTGTGGGAGGAGTTAGAAGAGGAATCGACGAATGGATTCCTGTAGCTGTGTATTGATGATGACCTAGATGTTAGGGCTGGCTTTATTACTGGTGTTGGATATTATACTAAGTATAAATGTGCGTCGTGGTATAGTGTATATGTATACTGCTGGTAGTGGATGAATGATGATGAAGACTATATTAATCATAAGGATGGAGATGTTTAGGATGCTGCTAATATCCGGGACTGGGACTGGTGGGTTGTTGTTTTCTAGGCTGAGACTGATAATCCTAGCGTTCTGTATGGCTGTAAGGTATGCTTTGATTCTATTCTAGAATTTTTGGATTGGTATGCTGGCTGGCTGGACTATCTAGATGTAAGAGGGTTGCTCTCTCTGTGGTGCTATACTGTAGGCTGTGAGATGGACTGTAAGTTGGATTGTGAGGATTATGATTAGTGGCTAAATCTAGATTAGAATCTTATTAAGACTCTTTGCTGGAGAGCTCTTCTTTTTTTGGCTATTATGGCAACCCTATAAATTTTAGTTAAGATAGCCTACTCTTAAGTTATGATAAAAGAGGAGATGATTAATTGTCTTAGATATTAGATAAGGAAGAGATCTTCCTAATCAGAAAGTTAATACTAAGAGTCTGAAGTAGCTTATTATCTTGGAAGAGTGGTATTTTAGGCCTTAGAAATTCATCCTTAAATATCCTCTAGGAAGTAATGAAAGTATACTTCTGCCCTAGGGTTTGAGATAGATTCTATAGGAGTAAAGCGGTGAAACTGATTTTGATCTATCCTGTATACCCTCTGAGTTAACATATCTGTTTACAGATCCCCTATAGATTATAGTGATAATTAGAACTTACCTAAAGAGTACCTAAAAATTAAATAATTTAGGTTATATATATAGAGTAGTAGTTTATAGGAAGTAGGTATATATATTAAATGTAGTAATTAGGCAATAATAATAATAGTGGCGGGGTATATATACTAAGGTTTAATGTTATAATAATCCAGTAAAGTTTAGCTAAGCAGGTAAGCGGGGTCATCACCCGAAGGAGGATAGATAATCACCCGCTCATCCTGCTTCTCACCCTATCTATTACGCAACTCACCCTTCTCACCCCCGGTCTTGCAAGACGCTAAAGCGGCTTTCACCCATTTCTCACCCTGGCGGCACCTACCCGACTACTGGCCGCATTTAAGCCACACGCCGGTCAGTTAGTAGTATGGTGGGTGACCACATGCGAATCCTGACTGTTGTATGTTTTTGCTTTTGTTTGTCAAAATCTTGAGTAAATACAAATCCGATCACTAACTACCAGGTTATGACTGTTGTCAGCGGCACCAGATGTTGCTGCAGAATTGGGGAAATTTTGTTGTATGCAGCTTGGCCTGACATTGACCCAATGAAATGGACCAAGGACTCGAGACACAAGAAAACAAGGCAGAGAAGAAAGAAGAAAAAACAAAAAGAAAGGGGAAGTGAGCAAGCTTAAGTACCCAAAGTTGACCTGAAGATGCCTGAGACCCAAAGGCAAACATGAAAAAACAACAGGAACAAAGAAGCAGAGGGAACAAAGGAACAAACATTGAAGGGACAAACAACAGGTGAGTCGGGCGTACTGACGAATATGGGTGCCTCTGTCACTGATGTGACATTCGCCGTCTTAGATTCGTATTACCATCACTGTTGTATATTTTTGTTTTGATTTCCTCAGACCCAGGACCGATCTATTTCCGTGTTTTATATTAGGGTAAGTGAGGGTGATATGGGTGAGAAGTCTGGAGACTAGGGGTAAGATAGGTGAGATTCAAAACTCTTTTTTATGCAAAATTGGGGATTTCTTGGGGACCCAATAGGGAACCTATTGGGTTGGGGCTTGGGTCCAAAAGTAGGACCCAAATTGGGTCGTGCAGAAGCGTAAAAGAGGGTAGGGTAGTTGAAACTTGAAAGACGCGATTTTTGATGGGGTGTTCCGCTCAGCCGGGTGTTCCGTTCGGGGCGGGAATTACGTTAGAACAGAGCATATCCCATCTGGGTTCATACCTCGAAGACTTGATTCTTTTTGGTCAAAATGGGTAGCGATCGCGATTGTGAGTTCATGAAATATAGACATGTGCATGTAAATTTGAAAAGAAAGAAGGAGAAAAAGAAAAACAGGAGAATGAAAAAAAAAAAAGACCGCCCGCTTTATACTAGTATGTAACAGTATTCAAATTCTACATAGAATTATCTTCCGCCCACAATCATCCCTTCCAATAACCCTGCCAATTAGCTAGAGCCGTGACTACCTTTGTTCTCTGATGATTGGCATTCAGCTTCGACGTTGGAGCGCCATATATGCATCGCAGCAATGGCCTCCTCGATACGTGACAGGGATGATCCACTGAGCGAAACCTCGTGAAGAGTGTCTTCTTTCAACACATCAGATGACTTCTTGTCACCAAGCTCCATGAGTCTCGACAGCCAGAAATCCCATCGCTTAACGCTCTGTGGAGAAAGTTCCTTACATAAACCCCCAGGGGTGATAGATCTCAACTCCTCAGCACTTAGATCCTCATTGGAACTTAAATCCTTGAATAGGACACCACCAGCTTGGATCAGCCACTCTGTTGCGACCCACAGTTTGCACTCAAACACAGTTGAACACTCGAATGGGCTAATTGATTCTTGTTTAACACCCTCCAGGCCAGTGGATACCTCCAAATAAGCAAGGTAAATCCACCACGGACTGCCACGAGCCACGAGACGTGAAATAAAAGCGTTCTGTCGCTTCCAAGTCTCAATGTCTGCAGGCGCGGTGTCGTCGAAATCTGTGGGGTCTTCTTTGATGTGAGAATTATGCGTAGAGGACAAATCTGCGACTTTAAAGTTGCTTACCGGCCCATTTGTCATAGACATACATGCTGAATTGAGGTAAATCCTCCCATAGCATCAAGGTCTGTCAGCATAAAGTGTGTCAGCGTTGTGTCTAGTCGCTATAAAAAGGTGTGGCCAACTTACATCGCCGTCCACGATCACCCCGCCTGTGCGCCGGAGATCATCAACAGCTTCTACTAGAATCTCAACCCACGGATGATCAAGTGGTGTGACTCTTATCACGCCCATCAATGTTGTCCAGAAATCCCAAAGGAATTCCTCGGCATCATCTAGCGACTCAGATTTCGAAACGTGTTCCCGCAGGGATTCGGTCAGATCTGCCGATGCAGTAGCGGGGGAGGCCTGTATCGTCAAGCCCTCGTTCAAAATGCGAAGAACATCCGCTTCGCTCTTAGTCAATTCTGACTGCTTCAAAGCATAAAGATCGATATTTTCCGTCATGGTTTGGGCAGTAACTCGATTTAGAAAAGATATTGACTCTGTCGAGGTGGTGAGATTTCGAGAATTAGGACGAGTGCAGAGAGAAAGGACGGGAGTCGTGAAGTTGTGGGAGAATCGCGATGTTAATTTAGTCGACAGATGACCGGCCAAGTTCACCCGCCCGAGTTGAAACAACGGTCGAATGATTACGCGCCAGGGGATGGCTCCTGGTGTTATGCGCTGAATTTGAAAGATCAAGTTGGAACTCGGAGCAATTGAGGGGTATTCTACTATCAGTAATATTTCGGGAGGGCGCGTCTAGAACGAATGTAATAGTCAGTTCAAATGTTATTTAAATGTAGTCAGTTAACTAGTCAGTTATTTTAATTAACTTACAAATCAGGTTCGGATTGGTGCTAGTGGGATTTGACTGTTTGACTACGTTTGACCACCATCTCGAGAATAAGTACCAATCCTACCCTTATCTCCCACCCTCCCATGAAAGAAAAGGTTTGAATCAGAAAAGAGTACAACACGAAGTCATGCCATCAGAGTGCTCACTCCAGGCTGATAAAATTTTCGGCCCTGTGATAGATAGCGCGTGCCGTGATGGCTTCGATTTTACGTTATTGTTCGAACAAGCTATTCTTGGCCTCGTTCCTGCGGTCGCGTTTCTCATCGTGTGCCCCTTTCGATTGAGAATTCTGGTCAAGAGAGATGTACACACTCAGCCCCACAAAATGAGATTGGCAAAGTCGGTAAGCACTTTCACATCACTGCTCAAAGAGTCAACCACGATTTAATATCGATTTCACCTCAGATAACCGCCTTCGTTTTCGCCGCGATCCAACTCGCCCTGCTGGTCAGCTGGGCAAAGAAAACTCAGCTAACTACGAAGGTCTCTGTCGCATCGACTGCAATGAACCTGGTAGTGGCAATGCTAATTATGGTCTTGTCATGGGTGGAAGATGAACGATCGGTTAAACCGTCATCGCTCCTCGGCATCTACCTTCTTTTCACCTTGTTCTTCGATGTTGTACAGACAAGGACTTTGTGGCTATCCCACAGAGATTTCCTGATTTCTATTCTGTTCACCACAGGTCTCGCTGCGAAAACAGCAATGGTCCTTTTCGAGAGCCTGGGAAAGCAAAAACACCTCATAGGTTCTTATCAAGACCTTCCACCCGAGTCGACTAGTGGAATTGTTAATCGATCCTTCATGTGGTGGCTGAACCGCCTTTTTTTCACGGGCTTTCGATCCTTGCTCACTGCCGAAGATCTTGATCGTCTAGACAAACCCCTGGAGTCTGCGGAAACAGCGCGGAAGGCATTGAAAGCTTGGGCTCTACGCCGACATCCCGAGCGCCGCTTCGAATTCCCACGGCAGATGTGCCGAGCGTTCAAAGGTCCACTTGCTTGGATGGCACTTCCACGCATATTCTTAATTGGATTCACCTTCTCACAACCCTTTTTGATCGCATCTGTTCTCAACTGGCTTGATAACTCACATAGCGCGGGTAATTTCGGTTACGGCCTCATCGGCGCGACACTTTTGATATATCTGGGAATGGCCCTCTCAAACCTCATATATGACCAGATGTTGTATCGGTTGGTGACAATGTTTCGAGGAGCAGCCTCATCAATGATCTATGACCATGCTTTGCGCATCCCGGATGGCACTCTAGGGGATCGCTCTGCCACAGTGACTCTAATGACTACCGACGTTGACCGGATAATTGCCAGTCTAATCACTTTGAATGAATTCTGGGCGCGGACAATTGAAGTGGGCATTGGCATTGCGCTACTCGCCCTCCGGTTAGGCTGGGTTTGCCTGATGCCATTAATAGTCGTTCTCAGTAAGAATCTCAGTCTCGATGACATATGGAAACTATTTGCTGAAATTTGATGATAGTTTCTAGTGGCGGAAGTATCTATATTTCGACGCATATAGGGGGACACCAGAGAGTATGGGTGGATGCTGTCCAGCAACGCATATCAATCACCCGCTCACTGCTGGACGGTATTCAAACTATTAAAGCGACTGGCTTATCCCAAACCTTTGTTCGGCTTGTACAGAGAAAAAGGACAGAAGAAACCCATCAAATGGCCACTTATCGATGGAGTGTGGTCTGGAAGAATATGGTCCAGAATCTGCCTTGGGCTTTAGCTCCGGCTTTGACCTTCGTCGTCTATGCTGCTCAAGGAAATGAGCTGAATGCTACCAAGGCGTTCAGTAGTCTGTCCATTATAACTCTTTTGACCAACCCGGCATCAAAGCTATTAAGTGCGATTCCTTCCATAGCAGCTTCTTCGGGATCCTTTGACAGAATACAAGCATTTCTTTTATTGGATACCAGTCGTCAACACACAACGGAGGGCCTTCGTCACAAGACAGAAAGGGAAGTTGGTGCATCTCCGCACATTGCCGAACTGCAACACATGTCATTCAAGGGCCCACCAGACACAACCGGCCTTCAAGCCCCTGTCATTTCGATGAAAAATCTCACCATTCGTCCATCCTCGTCAGCAAAGACTGTCTTGAGAGAAGTTAACTTAGAAGTTCCTCTCGGAGCACTGGTCATCGTCCAAGGGCCAGTTGGGTCAGGAAAATCGACGCTGCTTCGGACTATACTCGGCCAAACAGCTTGCGAGACAGGTTCAATGACAGTGACCATTCGAAACCCGGCGTTTTGCGCTCAAACACCGTGGCTCCCAAGTGGCACCATCCGTGATATAATCTGTGGATCCTTCTCGGCGGGCCCAACAACGGAGGGCGCAATTGATAAAAAGTGGTACGAGGCTGTTCTTCACGCATGTGACCTCAGTACGGACCTGGCTCTTCTTCGCAACGGAGATGCTACGCGTATTGGACACGGATCTGGCCATATACTGAGCGGTGGTCAAATGCATCGGATCGCTCTTGCTCGAGCGGTATATGCTCGCAATAAGCTTTTGCTGTTAGATGACATATTCAGTGCACTGGACCGGAAAACCAAGGGTAATATCATAGCGCGTCTTTTGGGTGTTGATGGACTGCTCCGAAAAACAAAATCGACCATTGTTTTGGTAACACATGAGAGTAGGACCCCTTCCAAGGTTTTTCCTCCCTATCATGAGCTAACAATCTAGTAGCGAAGCAGTTGCCTTCTGCGGATCGAACTTACTTCCTTTCAGATGGGTGTCTTAGTCAGGAAGAGCCCTGCGTGGAAAATGCCTATCAAGAAATAAACTCTGACGCTGTGGAAGCTGAGGAGTGGAAAGAATGCCCGGAGTTGGCGATAGAAGATAAAGCCGCATTGATCTCCAAGACGAATAAGATCGACGATCTCAGGAGGGCAGCCGGTGACTCTGCTGTTTATGCGTATTACCTGCGCTACGTTGGGTGGATGAACGCTGTGATATTTGTCTTTTTCGTGACAATGAATGCCTTCTCTGACACGTATAGTCGTACGTGAATTTTCAATTTTGCTACTTCCGATATCACTAACATCAGCTTTCTACTAGAAATTTGGCTTCAGCGATGGGCTGACCGTGGTGGAGGTCAAAAGGCACTTTATGTCTCGGTGTATTTCTTCCTTGCCATTTGCAACACTGTCGGTAATGGTGGTTATGTCTGGTAAATATTTGAAGCGCTCTGTCTGATAATACATGAGGGCTCCCTCCTAACAAAAGTATAGGGCCATTCTTGTTTTGATCTCACCCTCAACAGCGCGTCGGCTTCATTATGTCGTGCTGAAGACTGTCATTATGTACATTGAATTTTCTCTCTCGCACATCAGTCAACTGCTGACACCTCAAGGGCAACCCCTCAATTTCTAGTTAATGTTGACATCGGGTCCATACTAAACCGATTCAGCCAGGATATGACCTTGATTGAAAGCGATTTGCCTATTGGCATCTTGATCACCATCTCAAGTAAGACCCCTGCCATTCCACTCAACCTCTGGAAATATATTCTGACCACTATCACTTGCAAATTGTTGATCTTGTGGCTGATTGATATTGATAGATCTCTTTTCGTCAATTGCCAATGCTGCTCTAATTTCAACCGGATCGAAGTACATGGCAATATCCGTGCCATTCTTGATCATCTCCCTCTTTCTCTTACAGAACTTCTATCTCAAAACATCGCGACAACTTCGTTTACTCGACCTGGAAAGCAGGGATCCGCTGTACTCCCATCTTCATGACACTATTGAGGGTCTTTCTACAATCCAGGCATTTGGCTGGGAAGCAGACTTTCGGATTTCTAATTCAAAACTGCTGGATGCGACGCAGCGCACCTATTATATGCTTCATTGTATTCAGCGCTGGCTCACTTTGGTCCTGGACCTGATCGTCGCTGCCGAAGCGGTCATCGTCGTCAGCTTAGCGGTGTCTTTGAGGCATACAACAAGTGCCGGATTGCTCGGAGTATCGCTCAACAGCATTCTTGGTACGTATTCCCAATGGAACTTGGACTTTCTGATTTGAATATTGTGACCGGTATATAATTTCCCAGCTGACCTTTCTTCGCGAAGCTTTCAATGGTAGTCTTTCGTCTCTCATATCGGGTTGGACACAGTTGGAGATATCCCTTGGCTCCATCTTGCGCGTCAAAGATTTTGAACTTCAAGTGCCACGTGAAGTTTCAACTGGGGTTGAAGTTCCCATCGACTGGCCAAGTCAGGGAGCTATTGAGCTCTCGGACATGACTGCACAATACAAGTACGTACCTCCCAGCATGTAAAAATCATCACCACATTGGTTCGCATTATTAATAAACCACGAAAAGTTCTGGAATACCGGTACTAAGCAACGTGTCTCTAAAAATTTTGCCTGGACAGAAAATCGGTATCTACGGGCGTACTGGGAGGTAAGTCACATCGCCTTCGAAGCCATATCCAGCTTTCAAATCACAGTCCCTGCTAACCTTCCACCGCGCAAAAAATCAGTGGAAAGAGCTCTTTACTATCATCATTGTTGGGCATGCTCACGCTGATCCGCGGGTCAATTTTTATCGACGACATTGACCTTACTACTATCTCCCCTGATATAGTCCGCGAAAGAGTTGTCACTATCTTCCAAAAGCCATTCATCATGGTTGGCTGTACCGTCAGATTCAATCTGGATCCCACCGGAATGCTCTCAGATAGAGAAATCATCGCGGCTCTTGACCGAGTCGGGATCTGGGACGGCGTACTACTTGAAAGAGGTGGGCTAGATGCCGAGATAAACGACAGTTCATCGCTATCCCGAGGCGAGCAACAACTGCTACAATTTGCTCGTGCAATTTTGAAAATCCAAGCAAGCAACGCTAGGATTTTGTTGATTGATGAAGGCACCAGCAGCGTCGACACAGAAACTGACGCCCGGGTGCAGGGCCTTTTGCAACAAGATCCCTTTCGTGCATGTACAGTGCTTACGGTTGCACATCGCGTCCACACTCTTCTGAGTTACGATTTGATTATCGGCCTAGATCGGGGAAAGGTAGCAGAGATGGACAAGCCTGCAGTTCTGAGTAATCGGAAAGATAGCATCTTTAGCAACCTTCTTAATAGCGGCAGATGACAATTCGCGGAATGAAGATTTTGAAAGCGAAACCAAGATATCTTAATGGCGATCCGGATAGTGTTACTGAGAAAGATGTATATGGCCTGTTGAGCTGTTGCTGATTCTTTTGGGTCGTGAAGGGTGAATAATTCGAACCGTCTTCAAGGAATGTGGCGTAGATCACGTGACTAGTGTCTGTTTACATTTCCTATTGTTATCTTATCTTATCGCCCACTCCGCATGAACCTTCCTTTTTCGGCGACTAATGTTATTATGTTACAGTGATTGGAGTATATATGGTCAGACTCTCTGCCGCCCCTGATTCTTATCAGCAGCTGTTAGGCAAGTTCCTTTCTGTCCTGTAATCCGATTAAGAACCATCCTGCTCTGGTGGAACAATTGTGAACCCCGCTTCGTCATCATGAATGCCCAAGTGCTAGTTGACTGGGAGAACTGTGACAAGACTGACACTCTCTTTGTTGTAATCTGTAGTGTCATTTGTTGGGGAATCATCCCAGCCGTCGGCCTCGGATATTCGGGGTACTCAACGCGCCATAACTCTCTGGCATCTTTCTTCCCCGCGTTGCTGGCGGTTATCTGCGTGTCCCTCCAATGGTATATTCTAGGCTATTCGCTAGCTTATGGAGAAGGCAATGGGTTTATCGGAGACTTGAAATACGCTTTCCATCGAGGGGTTCTTGCGCAGCCAGTTGGCACCATTCCAGCTATACTATTCAGTGAATTTCAACTTATTTTTGCCGCCACTGTTGCCGCGATTGCCATTGGAGGTTCTTGTGAGAGAGGCAGACTGCTCCCCCTGATCCCTTTTCTTTTCGTGAGTGGTAGTCGCTGCAATCTCTATACCCCTGGCTGACGGTATTTGCCGACAGCTTTGGACCACCTTTGTATACTGTCCTCTGGCACACATGGTATGGTCCGAGACTGGATTCTTAAACCAAATGGGCGTTCTCGACTTTGCCGGTGGTACCCCCGTGCACATCTGCAGTGGTGCCACTGCAACCGCGATTTCGGTCTACCTCTCACATCCCATTTTTCGCTCGCGAAAGTCAACTGTCCGGACACCATCGCATTTGAAGCTTCACAAACCACACAATACCATCTCCCAGCTCTTATCTCTGGTCACTATATGGGGATCATGGCTTGCTTTTGATGCTGGCACTACACTGAGTTTTAACTTCAAGTCTGTTCATGCTCTTTGTGTTACGAACCTTTGTGCAGCTGCCGGGGCCTTGACATGGAATATGATCACGTATTATGAGAGCGGCAAGTTCTCCTTGGACTCGACTTTCCTTGGGGCAATCTCAGGGTTGGTTATGATTACTCCCTCGGCTGGCTTCATCAGCATGACATCGTCTCTTTTCTTCGGCATTGTTGGAGCATTGGTTTGTCGCCAGGCTCTGCGGATTAAGTTCACTTCTTTGGCTCGCAGTCTCAAGTGGGTGGATAACGGTGATAGCTTTGCTACCCATTGCGTCGGAGGGTTTGTGGGGACGATTGCGACCGGTCTCTTTGCCAGTCGAGAAGTGGCTGCATTTGATGGAACGACCGAAATTGCCGGTGGGGTGTTTATCGATGGCAACTTCCATCAAGTTTTTATCCAGATCATCGAAGCCACCATTGGCTTTACCTGGGCATTTGGAATCTCTTATTTGATATTTGCTGGCCTAGACTGTATTCCCGGCCTTGAGGTTCTTGCCATAGACGAGTGAGTTTTTCTGTCTTTTACTCTCTTATCGCAGTCAGTAAAGTACTAACCTTGGAATAATTTACACAGTGAAATTATTGCTGGACTGGATACTCTCCAAGTGGAAGAATCACTCCATAGTGCGCAATGGAAAGATGAAGAGGATTATTCCGCACTGGAATCCGCGGGTGGTGTTTGCTTGGCATGATCTATATAAAACATTGAAGGTCTTGGCATAACCTTGGAAAATAAATAACATTCTAACCTTAGGCATTGACACCGCTCACTTCTCATGCGTAAATCCATTTTTATCACCCATTTATACACTCTGGGCCTTCTGTGCAAGGTTGATACAGCCTTTCAGCTTCCCAAGGCATATTTAAATACATCACAACAACTTCCAGGGCTCTCACCGACTTCTCTCCCTCAAGTACTCAAGTGCTGGCGGCACCCACCGATCTACTGGCCGCATTTCATCCACACTCTGGTCAATTAGTAGTATTTTAGGCGACCACATGATAATCCTGACTATTTCGTATTTCTGTATGTTCCTTTTTTTCCAAAAAAAATTCACATCTACAAAGCTTCTTTGAAAGCGTACTCAGCAAGTGTATCAATCGAGCGGCAATCGCGGGACTCGTAACATTTGAAGGGATTTTTTGAAGCGTTGGACCCAATTTTCAATAATAAAAAAACCAGCACTCGACTGATTAATAGGAGAGTTCCGATTATCAATAACTGGCGCGCATATCTATGGGGACCACTCCATAACAGTCCCTTGGGTAAGACCAAAGAGGAGGCAAACACACGCAGTCACAGCAACTCCTCCTCCTCCTAGGAAATCAAAGTGGCAGATTGAAGGCGCTTCTGTGCTCACAATCATTGAAATCAGCTTTAGGATATAGTGTTAGGAGATTGTGAACCATGTGATGTTATCACATGGTCTGCTCCTAGATGCTCCAGCGCGTGGGTTGGTTTTGTGTGCGAGAGGGTTAGGGTTGTAGTTAGTCTAGGGAAGTGAGAGCTTCTCTCTCATTATTTCCTTCCTTCCTCCTTTCCTCTCCATCCCGCTCAGTAGAAGAATACCATTACCATTGATTCTTCTCCTCATCTTTCTCTCCTCATTACCATTCGTTTCCCCCCAGAACCTCATCGAGGTTCTGACATATAGAACACATTCCTCTAATCTGGCAATCATGGATTGTTAGTAAGATCCCGCCCTCTTGTGAGCTTGGAAACTAAGAGGATTAGGGTGCGGATTAGTGGCTTGGTGGATAGTTGGAGAAGAAAACGTGAACAATTTACGCGATTCCGTGTCAGCTAATCCACTTGCTTGTGAACTACTAGTATGGTTTCTAACCGATTTTTCGAAAAAGCTTCATGTATTTTTCTGATGTGAAATTTCAAAGATGTTAGAATTCTAGATGGCGGAGTCATAATATGCCGTGTGGAGTTTCAGCGCCTGCCTGTGAACATCGTTCCGTGTTTTTTACTACCTCTATACCTTCTGATGTTCCACATGATTCCATGCTCCCTTTGTTTCTTCTTCAATGTCATTCACAACTTTGCCCTGGTCCTAGAATTACGGTGTGGAGTTCGGTCTTTATAGTGCGATAGAACTGGACTTCCATCTACGCGACTTCTGGGTCTGGTCGCCTCGAAGTGGGGAAATTTCTGAATCAAATTCAATTATATTTGAGTGGTAAAGTAAGATCTAGATCGCCCGTGTGTCCCACGTGCTGACACCTTCGAAGGTCATTTTTACTCTTTCAATGAGTGATATCCGTTCTCGTCAGTATTCAGGGGATAACTCGATTGAATTTAGTAAAGCGTATCACTTAGACGTGTTTTCACGCACGTTTGAGTCAACGAAACATTTATTCAATGCAGTCTTGTTCCCCAAGTACTCCCTTTCCTTGATAGATTCATGAAAAGGGCGGATAAAAGAAAAGGAGATATTGTACTCGGAGACTTGTGCTCCGAGTTTGCCTAAGAATTTCTATTCTTGTGGCGGTTGAGATCCACATCAACCCACTTATTTTCAAACCCATACATACAGCTGACATGCTTTATTCTTTTCTACCATTCACTTTTCTTTTCTTTTCTTTTCTTTTTAGAAAAGCAAGAGTGTTTGGCTCCTGCGTCAAGATTCAACAGTCAAAGACCTCATCATAAATCTGCGCAACTGTTGAGTCGGTCTGGGTTCCCAATCACAACTATGGCTCCGACCGCGGATTCAGGCAGCACCAGAACTGGTGTCCACACTCGTTATGATGACCGAGAATCAACTGCTGCATCTCAAGATGATTTCGAGTTGCAAGCAATTTCCGCTAGACCGCGCAAAAACCCACACATCGGTGAAACAGTGGAGAATCTGTCGCAAAGCATTTCGCGTGTGCCAGAGCAAGAAGACCAACTCAATTCCGGTGCTCAAGGTGTCCCTCCTGAGCTTGGTAGTCTCACCACTGAGCTTGTCTTCGTGTTCGTCTGCTCTGCTGGTCTGATGTTTTTCGCCTTCCTGGTTGGTGACATCGCCGTCAATCAGATCGAGCTTCGGCGCGCGTTGGATATCACCAATAGCGAGCTTCCATGGCTTCTCGCTGCCTATACCCTTCCACTCAGTCTTTCAGTCATTATCTCTGGCTCGTTAAGTGACCTGATGCCACCGAGACTGATCATGGTGGGCGCCTTTTTCTGGCTGACCATTTGGAATATTGTTGGTATTTGGTCCATTAGCCCAGAGAAGGTCATTCTCTTCTATATCGTCCGCGCAATGCAGGGTCTAGCCATTGGGGTGCTGGTTTCTGGATCGATGAGTATTCTGGGTCGAATCTATAAACCGGGCCTAAGGAAGAATAAGGTCTTCTCTGCAATGTCCGCTACATCACCCTTTGGGTTCTGGCTTGGTGGTATCCAAGGTGGCATTTTCACTTCTCGCCTCTATTGGATCTTTGCTTCTAATGCGGTTATTTCAGGCATATGCTTGGTGGCTGCTTATATGGTGATTCCACCCTTATATCCTATTGCCGATATTGTGGGCACAGAAGCGCCTTCAATCTATCAGTTTGATTTCTTAGGAGCAGGAGTCGCAGTGACTGGGTGCGTTTGTCTCCTCTTTGGTCTTACCCAAGGGGCTGTTATGGAGTGGTCCTCATACACATACATACTAGTAATAATAGGAATTCTCCTATTGATTGGCTTTTTCTTTATTGAAAATTGGGTCCAACGCCCTCTTATTCCTAGCCAGCTTTGGAAGACAAAGGGCTTTACACCGCTCATGATCGCATATTTTCTTGGTTCTGGTGCTTTCTCTGGCTGCTGGCAGTTCTATGCCATCCAGTTCCTGCTTCGAATCCAAGGACATAGCCCGCTTACTTGCGCTCTCTATCTTCTCCCAAACGCAGTTGTTGGCTTGCTTGCAACATGGGTAGTTAGTAAGACCCTTCACATCATCCCTGGCCACTTCATATATCTAGCCGCTATGGTATCATTTATGTTGGGCCCAGTGTTCTTCCTCCCACAGGATACGAACACGGGTTACTGGCCGCTTTCCTTTCTAGGAATCGCTCTTGTTACCTTTGGGCCTGATCTGTCGTTCGCAGCGGCATCTATCTACATTACAAGCAATGTCCGTCGATCTTATCAAGGGAGCGCTGGAAGTTTACTTGTGACAATGCAGAATCTGAGTAACGCTGTTATGGCCGCTGTTGGCGATGCGATTGGAAACAAGGTTGCTAAGGATGCATCTGGCAGTATTGGCTTGGAGGGACTGCGAGCTATTTGGTGGTTTGCTTTGGCGGCGGAAGTTGTTGCAGCACTTATTACGCTCATATGGGTGAGAATTCCAAAAGAGGAAGAAAAGGAGCATGTGACGTAAAGAACCCGAGGTGTCAATTTATAGTTGAGGTGGCCAAATCTTGAGGTGATATAATTACCATCATGAGTAGAGTTATAATGAGTTTCTGCATCATTCAGAATGTTTCTTATTGTTAGAACCGCGTGAGACTCTCTGAGCATGGGTAAACAGCAGATGTCGATCGGTGAATCGCCAAGTCTTCCAATTTTACCGCAAAGTCGTGTTGAACAGGCTTGTACGCAAAAACTCAGTGCTTGTAATTTAGCAGTTCCAAGTCACACAAATTACCTGTGCAGGTGCCAACATCTCCCCTATATGTGAAGTGAACTTGATAAGATAGTACATGGACATGTGGCAACCAGCTTGATTCACTCAGATAGCTTTTTCCCCCTGGTACGCCTTAAAATTTGTGATCACATAAGCACTCCATCGTAGAAGTCATATCATAGGTAGTTCGCCTCAGCATCTAAAAACATCTAGCGCTAAAGGAATAAGGAATAAAGTGGAGACATATACTCAGACTTCATCTATTCAAATACCCTAGCTGTGAAATTCACGGTCCATCAAGTAAGAATTCATACACGACTTGACCATATACTACGTAGTACAGATTTCGGTGATTTAGGATACAGTATGAGAAACACTATATGAGCAACTCTTAGTGGTTTCTGGTACATACGACCATAGGGTGTGGAGAACAGGGCTTCCCGTCCGCTCAGCCGTACTTAAGCCACACGCCGGTCAGTTAGTAGTATGGTGGGTGACCACATGCGAATCCTGACTGTTGTATGTTTTTGTTTTTTTTTTTAATCTTTTTGATTCGTCTAGGAAACTTCTCTTGCCGCCCTAGGCAAGCCTCCAGGCTCCATCCACATATTTCATGACTTCGACGCGCATTCAGTTGGAAGGCACCTCATTCCTCTGCCCCTTTGGCTTCTTCCTTTGACTCTTTCTTCCTACGCATATTGAGTTTCAAAATGACACGCTCGGCATCAAACTCGGCATCAGGCGCGTCTTGGCCAGCGGCCATTCCCGAGATCCACCTTCATCTGACGGATTTATCCTGAGATGAGCTGCCGGAAGAAGCGAAGGGATGGCTTCTGTTTGTAAAGGAAGGTGAGCCTGCAGGAATGCCCTCGTATAGCCAGCCATCTGTGGTATTAACAGGTATATAATTGCAGGAAGAATACCAGCCAGTCTCAAGCCTAGAAGATAGGCTACATCAACAGTGGGCCCTAATCAAGCAATAGGCTGCCGCCAGTCAGGAGTTTTGCAGGTCCGTACAGCCAATGATGAGGAATTTCCACCCCTTCCCCTTTCTGCGTCTTGTATTTCTCGCTTCTGTGACTCAGAGTTTAATTACGATTTGCAGTCTTAACATAGCTGCGCCCCAGCATGCACCTCGGCTCTCGAATACCCGCTTTCATTGCTCTCGCAGCAAGCCCCACGACCCAACAAAAGGCTTCTGTGTCTGCTACTTGTAGCCTCACAGACTCACCCCCGGAAATACATCCATCTTGTGAAGCTCCCGATTATACTATAGATCTATTAAGACGAATGATATGGGCAGCATCCTTTCGTTGGGGCAGGGGCGGGCAACGCATCGCGCCACATTCCAGAGCTCCTTAAACTCGCGATGCCTATCGAGCTCAGCAATATCCTCCCCGAGCTGTCCCTTGCCTCGGCGGATTTCCATGCTCTCTTGATGACCCGCAATGACTCGTCGAGCCTGAAATATGGGTCAGATAATATCCTTTGATCAGGAGCTGTGCTGGCGGGTCGTGGATCTAGCAATGTCGGTGATTGGGGGCCCACCGCAGTATAACGAGCCGTAAGTCCTCTTCCCCATAATTCTAGCCCCATTTTCCAGAAGGTCCTAATCTGAATTTCTTTTTGGATGGGAATAGTTTGGACATAGACCTTCCCAATATTGAACTCTTGAAGTTCACAACAAAGAGCAGCAAATCCCTTTTTGAGGGATACGGCTATATGGACCTGTGGGTGCGCATTATCGAACAGAGTGCGCCTGGGTATCTGGTCTTTGAGGCTCAGGGGCGGGAGCTGGCATTCAAGCTTGATAATCTGCGTAACTTTGGGTTTTGATGCTCACTTAACTGCGATGCCCTGCGATAGTCCGTCCTGACTGGTCTTGCATATGACCATCCCATTCATCTTCGAAGATTTTATCAAAACAACTCCTCCTGCCTGTATCCATGTACCATGTACAAGTGTTGTCGCCGCGCGTGCGCGCGGCGACTGGTGTCAATCAGAGACCCCAGCTGTGGCATTTTCTTTGGACCCACTTTGGGCCTCTCAGCCAATCAGGTGCTGCAAAAAACACAGGTTCGCGCGTAGTAGAGGGCTTGACTTGATTGATTATGAACTGGAGTGATGCAGCCGAGGCCTGGGGGTGAGGAATCGTATGCTTGCGTGGTGACTTCTCTCTTCTTTTCCCACCCTTGGTTATCATTGTATAGACTCCTTCCGTGCGGATGGATTTCCCTTAGGTAGTGGAAAGGGCGTATTATGATCCAGTAGATAATATGTGGTTTAATTTATACACCTATCGATACCTTTAGCATGCACAAGTCCCAAATGAGGGTTTTGGGTGTTCAAGTGGAGGCCCTTTAATTTTTGCAGACTATATATAGTATGCATGGAATATTCACAGGGCAGCAATTCCATGGAGAATTTGTTTCCAACACCTACATCCATCACACAATCCTACATTACTGCACACTTTGTTCTTGAATATTTCGCTGAAATTTCAAAACCATCATGCAACGAAGTCACGAAGAAGATACCTGGAGGGGATGAGGAATCTGTCAAGGATCAAAATGCTTAACCTGAGTCCCTTCCAGCGTTCGTTCACTTCATCCTTTTGCTCGTCCTTCCTTACCCTCATTTGACTCTGTTTCTTTTGAGTATTTCGTGATATTCGCTGCTATGTGAGTATCCCACGCCTGCGCGCTGATGTCCCTCTCTTTTTATTGTTCTCCTTTCTTGTTTATTCACTTCCTTCTCTCTTCTCTCCCCGTCCTTGATTATCTCGTTAAACGGACTGTTTTCTCGTTGGTCGACTTACCTCCTACCAGATACAATGTCTACCACCGAGCCTTCTACAAAGCCTCTTGCCACTACCGACCACCCATGCCCTGTCCAAGCCATCAAAGTTACAGTGCATACCACTGGGTTCTTCTTTGAAGGCGACACACGAAGCGGGAATCACGCCTCCATCTACCTTTTGATACCCAATGGAGACTCAGTTCAGTTGAATATGTAGATGTACGGCCCTACATCGACTATGGGAACTCTTATTATTACATATTGCCGCTATGATCAGTCACGAAGCTCGGCTCAAGAGACTTTTCTCTTTTTGTCAGAAAGAATCTGACAGTTGGTAATTTTGTGTCACTTTTGTACAGGAAGAGACGTGACAAGTTTGTGTTGGCGCCTAGTGGCGTTGGATGCCGATTCTGGGTGTAAGTCGATTGGTGAAACTACTGAGAAATCGATTGATATGGCTCCTATATCTTGAATCTCTTTAACTGACATGCGCTATTGCGAACAAACCAGATCTATTGTGATTGCCGACATCAAAGAGGGCGGCTACATGCATCCCTCAGAAGGCTCAAGTGCAGCAAGGGTGCATCAATTCTTGCAATACAACTACACTCGTGGGAAAGACCCGGAACTAGAACCAATGACTCCAGGGACCTGTCTCTAAGATCTTGCCAGGCGGTTGCAGTCAAGGCTGCACGAAAAGAGAAGATAACTGTGTTCCCTCTGGAGCTAGATGTCCCGTGGTGATACCTTTCCCATCCATAAAATACTAGCTCTTTTGGCGGTAGCTTCGCTGCTTCATGTCGAATCAACCTTGCAACTTTCAGAGCACCGGCGAAATGGTCTACATAACCAACGATGGAATTTCTGAGGTTGTACAAGGAAAACTACTTCATGCATGTTTTTGTTGCAATGGAAAAACTGGTAAGCGCAGATCTCTCAATGGGTATGAAATATCCAATGCTGATTATTGTCGTCAAATAGACCACTCCTGTCTATTGTCTAAATTTCACAGGAGGCGAAAACCGTAAAACCTCCGGGTCAGATGGAACATCTCACCACAAAGATTCAGCAAATGGAAGGAACGCAGATACAACTGTCATCAGTGTACCGGAATCAGTCCAAGAAAGTCGATAGACTGGAACGCACAATTCGTCAGCTCGAAGCCATGCTGGATGAGAAAGAGGGTCTTGATGAATCTGGCAAGGAAGACTAAGCAGCGACAGACGAACCCGCAGATGGACCGGACATACGGTGTTCCCACGTCTCACTCCACTTCCCCGCGACTTGTGCAAGGCCCTTAATACCCCGGCCTTCCCCACACTTTTCCTTCATCCCTTCTTTCCTTCTTTCCCCTCCAGCGTTAAGATTCTCATCCTGTGCACCCTTTTCCCATTGAAATTCATTTCATTCCTTGCAGTCATTGTAGAATTGCCGCGCTTGACATATCTGTTTCTGGTATGAAATACTATCGATAGACATGTTTTAGTTACACGTCCCGGGTTGGTTTTCGGGAAGAGTGTCATAGTTAGAGAATATCAAAGCCTAGTATGTAACGTCATCATACGACAGACAGCGTCTATGGCAGCGGATAGGCTCACGAAGCCTCTTGCTGTGCAGGAGAATCTCCCATTCTATGAGTAGGCACATGTAAGACTGCGTTTACTAACCAAGACAGATGACGATTTTTAACATTAAGTGATGACGGTGTAGCTGGAGACAGGCTTAGGAGAACTGGTATATTGTTTGTACTTTTATCAAAAATGGGTTATCTTTGTGTCAAACTCCATAATTAAACGATTTCATTGATGAATAAAGTGCCAAGTACATAATATTTAGAAATGGGAACAAGGTATCAAGAAGGCAATGGTCAAAAAGCTCAGAAACAGCAGACCCGGACGATTGAGACAACATTGAATAACTAGTAGGCGTAGAAAGCAACTCGGTGGCGGTATCACGATGTGGCTTGTAGTCAATACTCAGCTATTTCATGTTGTCCAGGCTTTTAACCCATTTCTGTGCTCGTGGTCCAATAATGGCTTTTCGCTCGTAGCAGTCCGGTCCACCAAGGGGCCATTCCTTGAGTCTGACATCACTTGGAAGCTTTGGGTCCGGAGGGTATGTCAAATCCCACACGTAGCGAGGCTCTTGATCCTCCTTCTTCTTGTTTTTATCTTGAGGTGCCAACTTGCGACTGAAAATAGGCCCGAGAGGCCCAATATTGATCGTCGCCTTGCCCGCCTGCTCGGCTCGGTATTGCCCAACGGGGTGGATATACTCGCAAGTGTCACCGAGCGACTCGCCTTTTTCATTGAAAGCGTATAGACCTGGAGTGCGAACATGCTGTCCGTTAATTCGGTACATCTCGCTATAGCTGTCTTCCATCTTGCCCGTTCCCCAGTCATAGAAGCGCTCTTCGGTAAAAAGAGGGACCGGGCCAGGGGTCAAAGGATGGGTAACGGCTGAGACGACCTGCGATGATCTGCGCCAAGCCCAATCTTTCCATGACTCTGGATTTTTTTTCCAGTCCTTGAACTTTCGATTCTGAAGTTTAAAGTTATTTTCGCGGTCCGTGTACTCCTGCATAATGTGCTCCTCGTTCAGAGACAAGTGCTTCTTCACTTGATCAAGCATCCAGGCGTAGGCGATGTTAGACATCTCCTCCATGTTGTCCTTGTTCTGCATAGTGTCCGATGACCCTCCACCGATGTGGATATGATAACCTGGGAACCAAACTTGTAGTAGCTTCGTCGGGTCCTTCATTTTGTTTTCGTGATTCATGCGACGTCGAAGAGCGTCGTTCAATCTTGAGCCGGCGTCCTTGACTTCATGAAAGATCAGTTGAGATACCACGCTGATTGGAGTGTTTTAATTCTTACCTTCCGCCGGGCTGGGGCTTTTTGTGATCTCACTGAGATCACTATAGGCTTTCCTTGCACCTCCCACTGCATCCTTATCATCTGCCTGTGTCTTCCCTGCGTTGTTCGGCTTGGGAGGAATATAAAACAGACTGGGTTTAAACGCCTTGCGCCTTTCATTAAAAGCCAGAGCTTGGAAAGCGTGCTTAATGTCTGAATGGTGATAATTTCAGTCATGGAATGTACATCGAACGCCAGAAGATTTTGAAAACTTGACTCACGCGTCGAAAGCCCCACATTGTGCCACTCATTTTCCCTTTTCACAATCATAGGCACTGTTTGCCCAAACACTTCCGGCATACCTATAGCACCAACCGTGTCATAAACACCAACCACCTCCACTGTCCGCGAATTGGGCTGGGCCCAATCGGCTTCGATAGACTTCATGTCTCGCACAACGCGGCCTTGGGTCTCGGTCTGCTCCCACATCCACTCGAACCAAGCCTTGCTGCGGAAAAATCGTTTGCCTTTGTTCGTCTTCTCGTGTTTAAAGGTCTTATACTGCTTCCACAAATCAGGGAATCTGTTCAGATCCGTCTTCTTGCAGATTCCAATGTCGGTGATAACACCGGCGATGGTGCGAGCAGTGTAGGCGCCCCGAGAAAAGCCGAATACCATGATTTGATCACCAGGGGTATAGTTGAGCACGCAAAAGTTGTACGCCTCGATAACATTACCCTCTAGACCTTGTCCTGTGGCACCTTCATAGGTGGTACTGAGTGGAAGCGAAGTGGTGCCCACTCCGGAATCATACCAGACAATTTGCTCCCAAACTTCTCCGCTGGCATCACTTCCAACGGGGTTGATGGCGCGACAAAGGCGCGTGATATTGGAGGGGACGTTATTCTCTCCTGAGACTGCAGATTGCCAGGTACCATCACAGCAGATGATGATGCGCTTTTGGGACTGGCGATCCTTGTCCAGGACATGGCGCTTCTTGATTCCCAGGTCGTTCTCCTCGCCACCGGTAGAGCTCGTAGAAGGCTTCTTGTAGGACATTGCAACAAAATTGAATAGAATGAAGACCCTATGCGGGGGAAAGCTGATATCTGAGGAACAAGACTGGGTGCAAGTAACTAAAGTGGTTATTATATGCCAGCTTCGATAGGGAGAAGAGAAAAACCATATCGAGTCAGCACTCAAGAACCTCTACTTATGTCCGCTCTTGACTATCATCATGTACCCCTTTTCTGAAGCTCAGCGGCGAGTTCTCGGTTTAAATTCCCAAATCTGTACTTCACGTCAATGAAGCTATCATGGCTAGACTCCAGGCCATTTGTCTGGGTCAACCGGGGATACCCGACACTAAGCCAGTTTGGGCATAGCGTGGCGTTCTTCAGCTTCAAATGTTCCACCAGCGGTTTTTGAGCCAATAGAACCACGACCTCCTCGGCATCAAAAAAATATTTTCTTCATACGGATATGTTCCACGTGGATATTTTGGTCCTTTGGTCTGCAGAATCCTGACAAAACAAGCGAGGAAGGCGTATCGATAGCTCGACGTATCACTTTTCTGCTCATCATAAGCTGAGTGGTAAACAATCGCGTCGGCAAGGGGATTTAAAATAGAATAAGGACTCGGAATTCCTGATTCTCAAAACCGGATTTCATGATCAAATCCATCCAAGTCATCGTCAGACTCGGTTCCAAGTTCATCTTCTACCAACTCACACGATAGAGAATCTTGCAGGCGCTAAAAGTCGGGATCTTTTGAGCCTTTCGGTGATAGATCCCAAACAGCCTGGCCATCGTTATTCACCAAATGGATATCAGTCCCGGCCTTGCGTAGTTCAATGATAGTCTCCATAACAGTGATGACGATCTCGAGATCAACTGCCTCATGCAAAGGAGTATTCCCTTTATTATTTCTGGTATTGAAGTCCGCCTGGCTGTCTAGCCTTAGTAGACGGACCCTGTTGGGAAAATCACACCGAGCTGACATATGAAGAGGAGCATCGCCATTACTGTCCTTGTCGTCGGGGTCCAAAAGCACGTACAAGAGAAATCAGATCACTTCTGAAGACGAAGAATGTTTCTTTCATTCCCCACGTCAGCGACAACTGGTAGGAGGAGCGCCCCCTTTCCGTAGTCAAAGTGGCCATACTATGGTTGTACATGGATGGGCTGGAAGCTGGATGAGCAAAAACAACAAGAAAAAGAAAAGCAAAAACATACAACAGTCAGGATTCGCATGTGGTCACCCACCATACTACTAACTGACCGGCGTGTGGCTTAAGTACGGCTGAGCGGACGGGAAGCCCTGTTCTCCACACCCTATGGTCGTATGTACCAGAATACCACTAAGAATTGCTCATATAGTGTTTCTTATACTGTATCCTAAATCACCGAAATCTGTACTACGTAGTGTATGGTCAAGTCGTATATGAATTCTTACTGAGAATGATGATTTTTTTTAATAAAAAAAACGCCGAGGAGGACGTGAAATACTGTAACCTATGTGAGAAATCCATACGGCGGGTGTCACGAGTTGGCAGTCTTTGTCCGCTGCAAAACAGGAAGGTTTTTCCCATTAGTTTCTAGTTTCTGTCGTCAACCTTAAAGTACTTAAGGTTGATTTTTCTTTCCTGTTTTCTTTCTTTCTCCTTTTCTCTCCTGTATGTGTTTTTCTCGGATGTAGGACCTTACAGCAATTTTATTGCTTTCTTACTTGCCTCGGCACGGAGGGCCCCTCTGGTCGTGGATTGTACTTCTAGGCGGTAGATTTGCTTGATATACCATCATGACTAATTGTTGCGCTTTATCCGCGACATGATGCAGTCATAGAATATCTTCCTTCTAAATAGCCAAGGAGGCTACAGGCGGTGAATTCATTTGAGAATTTCTATACGAACTCGCTAGTTTTAGTTCAAAGACGACCATCCCTCACCCTCCTTGCTTCGAATCGAACGGCTGTAGACATATCGTGATCAATTGACGCTAGGATTACTGCGTGGTCATCCGCTTAACAAAATTCGGAATCTTTGTATGAACTCATAAACCCATGCCTATCTCAGAGCTTGGCATCAAACTCATTAACGATATCGTGAAGTGTAGCGGCTACCTCATGTGGCCGCGAAAGGAAGGGGCTATGGCCGGATCCTTCGAGAGTTCGGATCACCCATTTTTCCTTCCCACCTGCACCCGTCACCATGCTGTCCTGCATTGCGATCGGAATGACCACATCGGCCGTACACCTAATATAGCCCAATCTCCCAGTATAAGAGTCATCCTGCCAGGCTTGGGGAGGCACAATGCCCAGGTTGGCGGCCATGCTCTGAGGGTGAAGCTGCCGGACTGCCCAATCGATGCGATCTTCAGACACGTCTGGGGTATAAAAGAGACTGCGCGGATCTTTGGCGAGGAAAAGACCTTCACTCGGCACGTCCCATGTCACATATGGTAAACCACCAAGGTCGCGAATGACCGCACCTTGGTCCATACCTCCAGGAAAGACGTAGGCACACAGAGCGATCATTCCCAGCACTCCCTTTCCAGAAAGCCCCGTAATAGCAGCGCTCGCAATTGGCCCTCCGTAGGAATGTGCTAGGACAACAACGCGCTTCCCCATAGATATCTGCGATTCCACAACCGACCGTACGTGAGCTGCGTCGTCGAGTTGCGTCGTACCTGCTAACCCACTAACGCATGGTAGGTCGACGGTCTCCACAGCATAGCCGAGGGCCTCGAGCGCGGGGATCTGGAATGTCCAGCACCACGAGCCATGCCATGCGCCATGCACGAGAATGATGGTCGGTTTGGTAGTTGAAGACATATGGAAGAGTATAAGTATACAAACAGATTTGTAAAAATTGCAATTCTTATTCAAGATTCAAAGTTGGAGTAAATGTGCCTTGTCGAACAGCACTTGAGTAGCGGAATATGTATGTAAACAGTGGGCGTGGCTTATGTATGTACTTAAGCGGCGTGCATACACGTGCATACCCCGCTTCCCACAAATGTTTGAAAGCTCCATCTCGAACATTCGATGGAGGTCTACAGTAATTTACAATGACTCGTTACGTACTGAATTCCTATACATTATAAGTCATAAATAGGAATTAATATGCGACTTGACCATATATGAATTACGGTGCTTAAAGATACAGTGTGAAAAACACTATATTATGTACTATAAGTGAATTTCCAGTACATACGACCATAGGGTGTGGAAAACAGGGCTTCCCGTCCGCTCAGCCGTACTTAAGCCACACGCCGGTCAGCTAGTAGTATGGTGGGTGACCACATGCGAATCCTGACTGTTGTATGTTTTTGCATTTTTATGTTTTTCTGTTATCTCCTTTGACGGGGTACTTCTCATCAATTGTGCATGTTCGGAATAACATGTAAGCTGACGCAGCCTAGACTGAGGCTCAGAGGGGCCGATCGCCGATCGTATCCCCATTAACTGTACACATGCAACACTTTGCTCCGCCTTAAGTGCTTGATCCACCTTATACTTGTATTCCTTTCTTACCGGCCTATACTTACCCCTCATAATTACACATTTAGCATCCTACTTAGCACTTAGCTTACAACATTTGAAGCCTATTAATGTGACGTCAACTGTCGTGAGAATCAAGGAATTAGGACAGAGTATTCTGTGATCCGTACATGTATTTCTTAGATTAATATTTTGAATACAGCTCATGGGCCCGTTTCCTAAAATATGGAATATAGACGTATGCATCAAGATTCAAACCGGATATCAACCTTGTAAGTCTCTATGGGGGCCAAAAAACTTCCCCTCGTCACATTAATAACGAGTCAACTAACTAGTTGAAATTGTGTCTGACTAAATAAAGCACTTGAGAGTCGGCACATTTAAAAGAAAGGTATTTCCGATTGTATTTGCGCTTTGCTTCACACTTTTGTTCCACCTCGATATACAAATACGCCATAAATTATTGTCACCAACCAAGACCAAATTTGTGAGGGCTCTAAAATAGAAATTCTGAGCCACGATTCAACTAAATGATCATGTCTGAAGATTTCCCACCCTGCGCGGCCCTTCCTGTCCTCACCCTCCACCCATCTGTCAACCCAGAACAGCTCGATGCTGCTAAAGTTGTCGCCGGTTGACTGTCCTCCTTCACAGATAGTTTGGCCAAGCGCCAGGCAGATGACATCAATGACCATTTTCTTGAAAAGGAGTCATGGTGCAGAGACTTTATCTCTTTCTCATGGGATATCGCGTGTCACAACGGGGCCGAGACCATATCCGAATATCTGAGTAGCTCCAAAACCGGATTCAGGAATCCCAAGGCCAACCAGCCAGGTGCAATGATGTCACAGCTGGCCAATTTAGGGCCAATGCAGTTCATTCAATCCGGGTTTAGCTTCGAAACCGATGTCGGTGTGGGGAGAGGAGTTCTGAGGCTAGCCAGTATTGGGCCCGACCAATGGAAGGCATGGACTATTTTCACCACACTTGAACATCTGAAGGAGCAGGAAGCAGAGACTCAACCCCGTGCTTCGCTTGACTCCATGCAAGTTTTGATTGTAGGCGCAGGTAAACGGACCATACCCAATTCATTTTGAGCAAACAAACAACTCACAATTGACTTTTAGGACATTCGGGACTTTACCTTGCGGCTCATCTGCAAGAACTTGGTCTCAAATATCTCATCGTGGATAAAGCTTCTCGAGTTGGAGATGCATGGCGAACCAGATATGACACAATAAAACTGCACACACCGACTGAAACGGGCCACTATCCGTTTTTGAAATATACGAGTGACTCGCCTCGCTATCTTGACAAAGAAGATATTCTGAAATGGATGGAGCACTATCAGCAGACCCTGGATCTCAAAGTCAGATACGAAACACTCGCGAGGAATATTGAGTATAATGAGTCCACACAGCAGTGGTCAGTCGAATTGCAGACCAATGGCAGTGTGGAAAAAATCAATCCTAAACATGTTGTGCTAGCTACGGGAGTATTTTCTGATATTCCAATTCGCCCGGACCTCCCCGGCGAGAAGTTATTCAAGGGGCAGATCTACCATACTTTGACCCACAAAACCGCAACTTCTATCCCAGACTTGCAAAATAAAAAGGTCACTATCATCGGTGCTGGAACCTCCGCGCATGACGTTGCCCAGGACTTCGTTAATCATGGAGTTGGCACTGTCACGATGGTGCAACGTTCGTCCATGTTCGTAACTTCTCTTGACTAAATGGAAAAGTTTCAGACATCACTGTGGAACACTCCAGGAGTAAGCACCGAAGATGCTGACCTTTTGGCAAACTCTTTGCCGACTGCTGTAGTTCGCACTCTGGGTCTGGGAATGACCCAGATGATTACGGCAAATGACAAAGCCATGTTGGACGGACTGGAAAAGGCAGGATTGGCCGTGAAAAGAGACGAAGGAGAGAATTTGCTCGACTATCTTCTGGTCAACGGAGGTCATTTCTACTTTGACCAAGGAGCATCCCAAATGATCATCGACGGTCGGATCAAGGTCCAGAGATGTGAACAAGGGGTCCAAGGATTTGACGCGGAGGGAATCATCCTTGGCGATGGTACCAAGATCCAATCCGATATTGTCATTCTGGCAACGGGTGTCCATGGTGCCGATAAGATGATTGAGCAAATCGTGGCAAAGGAGTTTATGGATAAGGTAGGAGATGTGGCCAGCCTCGACGATAGCCAAGAGCGGAAAGGTGTAAGTTCGGTATTCATTAGAGAATTTCCAAATTCCGAATGACTGACATCGCTTCTAGGTGTGGAGGCCGACCGGTGTTCCAGGCTTCTGGTTCATGGCGGGCAATTTTGTATGGTCAAGACAATTCGCTCCTGTGCTGGCTTTGCAAATCGCTGCTGTTGAGCGGGCGCTGCGTGGTTACGAGTCACCGGAGTAGAATGGGAACTGTTGGTCATGGTGTCAGTTCACAGGTCAAATGTAGTATGGAGAACAGAGTTCATCATGTCACGTTTTTTCCACTCTGAACCTTGGAAGCTCATGGCACAGTACGATAGTACGATCAAGCCGGAGGGCCTCAAGTTGACGTGTTACCATTTGAAAATGTCAAGGATTTTGTATTGAGCAAGATTTGTAGAGAAGTGAAAGGAAAGATGGAATATACGCTATGTCAACTCATACATTACATCTTGGCTTTACTTGTTATTTCATTTGACTGATTTGAAAGAAGCTGACTGCACGCGGCCCGCGGAGACTCTTGGGCACTAGGTGACCAGTGTTATTTTAAGCTTTTCTTTTTTTGTCTTTTTACCTTCTGATTCATTCATTTTCTTGATCTTCAATAAATACTTTAATTCAATTTTTCTTGCCAGCTGGGCACTTGTCAAATTCCGCAAGCCTCTCCCCTATACGGGAATTCCCTTGTAGATCCGTTCCGATCTGTTCCTTTACTGCCGCTGCTTCAAACCACGGTGCTGTGGTATTTTTTCTTACTTTCCCAAATCCGCCTCTAGAGTGTGGTATATGGAACAGGAATATCAGTATCGTTTCCAACAAAAACAATAGCCATATCTAAATATTGATGGTTCTTTGCGAGATCTAAATCTCGCACGACCACCAAGTATGGAGTCCCAAATTTGGCGGTGTGAGGAGGCGCTGCATCCATCGCCGAGAATCGAGATAGGCGATGGTCATCCACGCTTCTCACCAATCACCAGCAACATAGTCCGATAGTGGACCCACAGTCACCCTGCAGCGGTCCGATCTGCGATCTGTCGGCGAATTCTGCAGTGCAGCCAGGTGTTAATTTGTTCGGAGTAGTTCGTACGTGCCGATGAAGTGGAGCCATAGCGAGCTGACCGGAGCCGAGATGAGGGGTGTTGAACTTACCAGGCAGTGGGGTTAGGCTCAGGGGTGACTATACATAAACACATGTGCAGCTAGATTTCTCGTGAACGCGACTGAGAAGAATCGACGCGTGTCTCTTGTTTTGCTCTACCTGCACCTGCAAGTATCCACCCGTCGAAAATCTAAACATGGCTGTCCGTATAGATGTCAACCTCTTTGATGGCAGTGAGGGTAAAGCCAAGAAGACCAACTGCGTCCCTTTGAAAGACTTCGACATCTCCAAAAAAACACTCGGAGACGTACGAACGGCCCTGATCGACAATGGAGGCCTCGACGCCAGCAGGTGTGTTATATTCATTACCTGAGAGGTGAACACGACGAGCTAATGGCTATCTAGAGCGGGGTCTGCATTCTGCAGTGCGACTGGTGCCAAGGTCAATGATTCTACTTCATTTGTAGACTACTTGGACATTCTCTCCGATGATACGGAGGAAGAAAAGCAAGATGCGGAGGAAACAGAGGAATCAGAGAAGTCGGAAAAAATCAACAAAACGGAGAAGAAGGAGAAGACAGAAAAGTCATCTACAGTCACTGTTCACAACGTTTACATCAAGTCTACGGACAAGAAAAGCACCGATCGGAAAGCAGAGGCGAAGGAGCTCATCAAGAAAGAGCTGAACCTGAAGCTGAGTGTACTATTATCACGAGATCCTCACGTTATATTCATACAGAAATTGACAATGCATGCAGGACAAGCCCGAACTTCTCAAAGCGTCAATCGAACAGCTAGCTAGCTCCTTCGATCGCGCAGACTGGGTGGCCGAGGGCAATGAGACAACTGTGTAAGAGATTCAAATGCGATTTTTCAAGTAACCAACCACTGACCAGATCCAACCTCAGAAACCCAGCCGAGCTGTCCGAGAAAGATTGGAACTCTGTCATTCGCAACAACAACCTTTTGAGTGCCCACCGGCTTGTCTTTTCGAACCTGGGGCGACTTACCGATGGAACAAAGAAGGTCAAGTTTCGCAGAATTGAGCGTGCTCCCTACAGCGGTGAGTTAGCTAAATCTTTTCTGGTGATAACAATAGTTTTCTAACTACTTTTTAGCCTTTGTGTTAAAGCCCAGAAAGTTCGCTCTGCATGAAATCCCCAACGCGGATGTCAAGGTCGAAGTTTGTTCCCGAAATTATGATATAACGGTGGGAAAGTGCTAACATTACTTCAGCAAGAGTTCCATATTCCTCGGTACACTGTCGGGGACGATTCCTATGTGGATGCTTTTGAAACCAAGTCTTCCGTATCGTCAGCCATGGCACGCAGCTCATTCTCTTCAATTGAGGCTGAAGCTTCCTTGTAGGTCGTTCTCGAACCTTGCTGGGCACCATCTAATTACTTAACAGGGAAGGTGGAGCATTCGGCTTTAATGCTGCTGTCAGTGCTGGCTTCTCCCAGAGTGAGAGCAATGCTCTGAGCACGCAAAGCACTTCTGACACTAGTACCATGAACATCACTTACAACGTAAGTTTTGCAGGTCTATTTATTCGGTACCAAGCAGCTCATGAATACCTTGACTAGTTCCCTCGCGTTGTTCTGTATTTGGATCAATTTGGCGTTGACCTGTCGAAAGAATGCGCGGAGGACATGGCGGATGTCAAGGATGCGGCGTCCCTGATCGCTTTCCATCATAAATACGGTAGGTTCTGAAGTAATGGGCACTCACCATGCGCAAAGCTAATCAGAACCAGGTCACTTCTTTGCCACCCGGATTGAGCTAGGAGGCAGGTTATTCTCATCCGAAAAGTTCTCCGCCCTTGGTTCAAGTACCGAAGAAGAGGCTGCCACGGCCATGAAGATTGCCGCTGCCGCATCCTTCTCTTCCACCTATGTGTCTGGAAGCGCCAATTATGGCCAAGAGGACCAGTCCAAATCCCAGAGCTCCAAATCCAACCGAAGCATGCAGAGCGCTATTTCATGGCAGGCCCAAGGCGGAGACACGTTGCTGTGTAACAAGTAAGTTACTGTTTTGAATCTCCTCCCACATAAGCTAAATTTACTGCGAAGCCCGCCTGCATGGTGTCCGACCGTTGCCCCGCCTCAGAATTGGAGAGTTATCAAGGTAATATCGATTCCCCCCCTCACTATACCTATACTCGCTCTGATAACAGATTACAGCAAGAGGATGTTACCCCGCTCGGTGAATTCATCGGCCAGATTCCTGGCTACGAGGATATCCCAGATAAATTCCAGCGCATTGCGGAGGTTACAAGGAAGAAGGAGATTGTTAGCTTCCGTATCAGCCTTCAAGATTACCAGAGACGGGACGCCAAGAAGCCTGAGTATCTGTCACTGCATCATGCCTGGAAAATCAGTAAGTTCTCTCCGTATCCGGCCAATGTTAACGAAAAGGTCACTGACCTTTTTTTTTCCTTCAAGAGGGGGAGGTGGAAGATGCGTTGACAGAACCAGAGGCAACTCCCTCCGGTGCTGTCGCTATTCTGACCCAAACGAGTAAACTGATACGTGGCGAATTTAATACTGCAACACTTCCGGAACCCATCCTGAATATCATCAACAACGGATACCCCGGAGTTGCTCTGGAAGAGACCAGCTTGTTCAATGTTTTCGACGTTGAAGTTGAGACGCTGCTGAACCAAGCCCCCGCAGTAAGCTTTCCTCCCATTAATACAAGTACCACTTTCTAATGGACCCGGACAGATCGAATTCAGAAAACGGTATCATCTTTACAACCGGAAACGGGACCTTTGGCTCCGAGCTTTCACAATCACCGTCAAGGGTGAAGAGGTTACTCTGCTCGCTGCCGGGCCCAAGAATCAGGCGACTTTGTTCGAGTTCCGAGATAAACAGCGAGAGGGCCCGATGCGAAATGGTGACAGCTGTAGCTTGATGGTCTACGGGCCTGACGGAAAGCAAAAAGGTCTGATGGCCCTGGCATTGAAGGGAGATGGCAGTTCCATTGGCGCGATGCCCTACAGCGTCAGTAACGAGAAGTGGTTGCGTTTCTCGAGTTTGTCGATTGTGGACCAGGAAGATGTGCCAGTCTAGACTAGATGGCTTTTGGAGCAATTTGAGAGGTTTCTAGATGAAAAATTTGTTCTTGCTTTTTGACTGATCCTTTCCCAAATTTATCTTTGTCTTTGGTCTCTGTCTCCAACATTGAAAGTATTGATTGATGACCTGGATTGACGGGCCTAAAGTTATGTAGGCTCACACAGACAGATTACCAATGAAGAGTTTCAGTTCATGAAACATTTGAATGAGGCTGGGTAGGCACCTGGCGAGCCGCTGACCTTAGAAATAATTCATTCACTCCGATGGATTAATTAAACACAAAAGCGTTTACCCATTGAAAATGAGCCTTTGGTATGGCTCAATAAAAAATATCGCTCGTTTTAAACTTAGGGTTTCAACTACGAGCACCGGTCATACCAATGAGCACCAGAAGCACTGAATCATATGATACAAGGCAGTATATACTAGTAATCGTTGGATGTCGGATTGGAGATGATCACTTCACTATTCATCAGCTTCCTTTTTGAATTTAAGGAGATATCACAAAAGGAGCCGGTGTCAAGCACGCGATTTCCGTTGCTTATCATGAGAATAATAACACTTGACTTGTTTCAAATGTTACAGGACATGGTCATCTTCATCATCAGAATCAAAGAGATCCCGGTCAGATGGTTCTTCATCGGGGAGATATAATGGCCCATCATCACTCCAGTCCCACTCGGAATCATCCATATCTGCTAAGAGCATTTGAGAACCATTGATACAATCAGTGGTGACCATCTCAAAACCTGGATGCTTATGACAAAGTATCCTCAGCATCCTGATATTCGAAAGACCAGTTGCGATCTCCGTAGCAGCCGTAACCATTCTGTCATTGAGATCATATGCAGATATCGCCTCCTTGCAATGACGACTGAATCCTGCTTTGAGTAGATGGTCTTCTTTGAGACTCAGATTGATGATTATGCTCTCGATTTTCGAACTTTTATCGAATTCAAGTACTCTTGGGCAGATATGGCGCACCCTCAGTTGAAGGGATCGGAGAGAGGGTATCTTGAGCGCTATGTGGGAGCAAAAATGATCCTTGTCCTGAATATTGGAACCACTGGTATCAATTGTGAGATCGGAAAGAATAGAGAATGGAAGGACTCTCAAAATATGGCCTAACGAACACTCCTTAAGGTAGTCTGTGTATGATTCAAGAGGCCTTTCTGCACTGAAATAGCCATTGGCGTGTAATGTGAAAGTTTTCAGCTGAGTACAGTATGGTAATATGGAGGAGAGCACATCATTGAAATTAGTATCAAGCTTATCAACCTGTTGGTCCGATACAGGCTTAAGATCGATTTTCAGTCGTCGTAAAGACTTTTTCAATAAGCTGAGAGACGGTGATGGAATTCCATTAAGCTGGTTTGCGTGCACAGCTAAGTCCTCTAAGAGAATAGATTCTGCAAGTCCGTACCACCACTTGGACACAAGTAGACAGCAGGCTTCCTGCTTTCGGAGTGAATCACTGCCCACAAGACGAAGGATGGTGACTAGAATCTCCAATGGGAGGTCTTGGAGGGGCATGATTGGGTTATCGTATCAATATGTTGAAATATTATAATTCTTTCCTGGTTTGACTGCTATCGCTATGCGTGCATTGATAGGGATTTGTGGCCCGAAAGGGGAAAGAGGGGTGAACGGGATGGATAGCTCGGATTAAGGTTGCACCCGTCCCGGGCCTATTATTGACGAACATCATTGGAGGAGGCCACATCGGCGCTTCAGGGCTATGCAGGATATTCAAGTGCAAAATAGTCTTGATCGGGCCATTGAGGTGAAGGACCTGAGGACTAGGGCGGCAAGAGAAGTTTCCTAGACGAATCAAAAAGACAAGAAAAAACAAAAACATACAACAGTCAGGATTCGCATGTGGTCACCCACCATACTACTAACTGACCGGCGTGTGGCTTAAGTACGGCTGAGCGGACGGGAAGCCCTGTTCTCCACACCCTATGGTCGTATGTACCAGCATTACCTGTGGAATAAACTATAATGTGTAAATACAGTATGAAGGGGTGATTTCTCGTCGCGCGACGGCGGGTTAGTTCTCCTTCTCTGGAGAGAGCACACAATACAACATCCATTGATTGTTCCTCTCTTCCCTTCCAAAGACAACCTCAATTGCTTTTCGATCCTTAGAAGACATTTATGAAATTAAATTCATATACGCAGGATAAACTCATTTGTAATAGAGAAGCACACGTTGACGTACCAGTGGCACCTGGAAGTTCGAGTTGACACCTCAAGTTCCGGTCGATCCGGCAGATGCTTGCAATAGAGAGGCATTTATTGTTTATCTATTATTTACTAGTACAAAACATCTTTTTTAAAGTTTGCACCACGCGAAGTGCTGTAATTAGTACCTTGACCCATAGCAAGATTCAACATTTGAAGGATCAAGTTGGCCCACATGCATGCATGTGCGGAGTATGTACCATGTCTGTGTGGACACCCGGAGATACCAACATAGCCTCTACCCGATAACTTTGGACTCTTCTCCGTTCCCCCAGATCACCCTTTTCCCTGTACCCCCTTTCCCCTCCCACCAACTCGAGATTCCATTTTTCGGCCTCGCAAAATGCCGCTATCGGATCTTCCGGTCGAGTTGCTAGAAAGGATTTGCAGTGATCTCGAGACGCTCGATTTGAATTCGCTTCGGCTTACATGCAAGGCATTATTACAAAAATCCCAAATTTTCTATGATCACCGCCATTATGGGACAATATGGATAATGGTAACGAGTTACAGCCTACGCTGTTTGAAAGAGATCGCTCAGGATGATTATCTGAGAACTTTGGTGAAAGAGCTTGTCATTTTACCAGTGATGTTTGAAGACCAAAAGACTATGAAACACTACCCAACATTTCAAGAGTCTCCTTTCGGGGGGTACTCATGGTCGCGCACAAACTGGGGGGCTTCTGAAACTGAGATGAGGTTCGAGAGTTATAAAAGCTCCGTGGCAGATCATGAAAAAGCTCTCAAATCTCTTCAGGGGGTTCTTGAGGGCTGCTTAGCGCACTTCACCAACCTTGATAGCTTTCGACTACAACGCGAAAGCACAGGTGATCTTCTCAGAGCCACAACCTTTCCTGGGTGTCTCGGCCTGGGGAAATTTAGAAATCAGTTGAAGCTTCACCCTAACCGGTATATGGTAGATTCCATAACTGACAACATGGACAAAGTCGGCAAAGTTGGTGGTATTGTTCTTGATGCGCTATTTAAAGCCATTATTGTAAACAATCGAAATATTCGAAAACTTGAGACATGCGCAGATCGACATGGCGTGACCTTTTCCAAGCTAAAATTGACATCGACTGAATTCCAAGTCCTGATTTCTCTCGTTAAGGGGATTCAATCTCTACATATTTGCCCTCGACGGTTCCACCAAAGAGGGGTCAAACAATGTTTATAGAAAGGAATAAAACTCAGGTTAGAATTATAGACTTGCATTTACGACATTTAGACCAAGCGTCATCCTATTTTCTCATTTTTATCAAGCGAGAGTACAATGCTTCATATGCGAGACTTTTAAATTTGTCGCTTATGTTTAATATCCCACCTGATCGAGTTATAACTCCGCTGCCACCAATATCGATATCACCGCCGTCATTTCCCCCAATGTGTCCACTGGCTCTTCTTCAAGGATAATGATGGTCAGGGCATGAGCTGCTGTGCTTGTTGCAGCTGCTTTGGCAACATTGAATGATGATGCTTATTGCTAGCTACCTCGGACCTACACTGAGATGTATAAAGTACCTTTGCTATCTGCAAATAATGAGTCTCCTAATGGGCCACCCGGTAACAATTCGAATCAAAACAACACCACCTGTTTTCCCATGTGCGAAAGATACACCTCCCAGGGGATGATTGTTTCAGAAGCCCAGAAATTTGACAAAAATTCTCGAGCTCGTGTATAATTCCCCATGCCAAAGCACTGCATATTATTCATCCGATTTTGGATATATTGGCGTTCGTTATTGATCTCGGTTTCGCAACCGGCAGTAAACATGGGCCACAGAATAAGAATATTTGCCGAGGAAAAGGGCCCTATCCGTTGAATGGAGTCGATAATTTTGGTGACGTCTTTCCTAACCTTGATGTGGTTCCTAGGAAGGCTCTGTACACGACGGTGGAGGTATAGCAAAGCAGAGTACACAAATGCAAGGTGGGTATACTGTAGCTCTGTAGCAAGGTCACCCATGCTGTCTATTTGCGCTTCAGAGACAGTCACACCGATTAAATGAGAGATTTTGGCTTCAAGCATCTCTGCCTCTGCAGTCGTCGACGGCAGCTCCTGGCGCTTCGCTAACTGTGGCAGTTGTGCAAGAAGTGGAGCCAACTTCAAGGAATAACCAAGAATATCGTCGATCTCATCAACAAATTGGGATGGTACTTGGTTTAATAGTTCGCTTTGAACAGCGTGAAGTCCCGAAAATCCCGCCAGAACATCCATACTTATGCACCACTTCACCAAGCATTGGGCATAGGGTTCGATTCGGGAAGTTTCCCTCTGATTCTTCATAAATGCAGTAAGTAATCGAATGACTCCATCAAGGTGGACATTCCATATATCCATGTTTCCGTTACAGACATCATTTGTGCACAGTGTCATTGCCGTCGTAACGGTTTCGGGTTTCAGCATTTCATCCTCGTCTGCGAGCGCGCAACGCAAATTGGAGATTGCCAAATTTGTATATTTTAGACCGGCTACTATTGATCTCTGGTGCGTTTCTTGCTGAACAAGACGACTGTGGTGGCTGCAGGCCGCTGCCAGCAGCGCATATAGAAGATGAGGTTTTTCCAGAGCACCAGTTATCATTCTTTGGAGAAAAACTGGTGGAGCTGCTGGGAAAAGTCTTGTAGCAGTTTCGGTTCGGAAAACGTGCATTAAAAAACGAGATTCTGCTGTTGACAAGAATGGAGACAAATACATGAGCGGTTGGTGTGCCATGTGCCCGGTGTTTTTGATAACTTCCTGTAAAGGGACGATAGAACCGTCCGCAGATATGACAGCGTTACCTTGGGAATATGGGGTATTATGACATTCGGGGCTGTTTTTGTCTCGTCCCTGGCTGATAATACCCAATTTGTATATGCAGCCTTTCGGATAGCGTGTGCAGCGTGAACATATGGGCTTACCCAAGTCGCACTTCGGAGTGAGTTAGCAGGGCGAAATTGATTGCCAGTAGGGAAATATCTTTACTTTGACTTTTTTCCTTCGACACTCTGTACAGCCATCTCGTCTCCTTCGTAACTGATCGCTGCTTGACATTGATTTTCACAATTGCAAATGCGTGCTTTCAGAAATTAATTAAGTGGCAGTGAGGGTTGTAGGAAAATGAGTACTTGTCAATTCTTAACATTGAATCGTTGATCTTTGATCTTAAATCCGCAGGGCAATAATAAGGCGAAGAAGGTCGGTCACGTCGGAGGTGACCAAAATCTGAGCTTACGTAATATTTAACACGCATTTTGGACAATCTCGTTATGACTAAGCTCAGCACTCTTCCTCCATTTTTACTGCGCTTTTTCATTCACCAGCCTAATGACGGAAAAATCAGAAGCAAAGTCGCTCTTGAACCAATTTATCCATATGGTCTTGACTCTTGGCTGGTGAGTTCCATTTTTGGGTGCGTTATGGAGACACCTACTCCGCACTGGCTTTTGATTCGCCGGATCGGCAACCTGTCCTAAAAGGGGTTAGGGCCATTGAAATGCATACACTCTCCAATTCGTGGACGAGTCCAAAAATAAAATCATAAAGAACCTGGGCTTTTCCATATTTGTTCTGACTCAGTGCTTCTAATTCTGATTTCCTCGGACCTTATCTCATCAATAGGAATCACTGCAAGATGGTGTACACTGCGACATCAAGTGATATATCGCTGGCGTTAACCCCCAGCCCGATATCTGTCCCCGTCCATGACAATCATACTGCTCGTGACAGTGAGAGCATTGCATACGAGTATCCTGAGGGTGGCCTCACAGCATGGATCGTTGTGGCTGGGTCCTTTATGATGCTGATGTGTACATTCGGTATGATGAGCACAGTAGGAGTACTCCAGTCATACTGGGAGATACACCAGCTCCAGGGATACTCATCGAGTACGATTGGATGGATATCATCGGTATTTGTGTTTCTCAATCTTTTCCTGAGTGTTCAAGTTGGCCCTCTATTTGATCGGTATGGTCCACGGTGGATTATGCTTGTGGGCTCCGTGCTCTACGCCCTGTCCATCTTCATGTTAGGGTCTTGTGAGAAGTACTACCAGTTCCTATTGTGTCTAGGTATTCTGAGTGGAGTTAGCAGCTCGTTGGTCTCGACACCATGCATGGCTGTTCTTTCGCATTGGTTTCATCAACGCCGAGGGACTGCGACTGGGATTGCAATGGCTGGCTCCAGCCTCGGCGGAGTAGTCTTTCCTATGACCTTGAGATCGGCGTTTGAGCGGCTTGGCTGGGCATGGGCTCTAAGAATTCTTGGTTTCATTTTCTTGGTGCTCCTAGGTATTGGAAATATCTGCATCCGAAGCAGATTGCCGATCAAGACACGGAAAGGAAATTTCAGTCTGCGATGCTTTACGGACTCCCGATTTATATGGGCCACAGTTGGGGCTTTTTGTATGTTCTAACATTCCTCTTTTTCAACTATCATCTAACTAGTTGAGTTGGCTAATGCTACGAAGTCAGTGAGATTGTTCTCTTCGCGTCGCTTGGTCTGATACCCTCATATGCATTGGCTCAGGACTTTGATTCGCAGACTGGGTTCTATTTATTGGCTGTGTTCAACGCGTAGGTGATCTCACTTCCGCAAAAAATATCGATATCTTCACAAGCACTTGAGACTGATTGAAAGCCCAGCGGGTCAGGATTCGGACGGTGGCTTTCAGGGACAGCGTCTGATCACCTTGGCCGCTTCAACACGATCTCAGCCATGATGGCAATCACCACAATGCTCATTTTCATCTTATGGTATCCATTTGGGCATCAAATTGGTGTATTATATCCCTTTGTCTGCTTTCTGGGATTTGGAACCGGAAGCATTCTCAGCCTCACGCCTGTTTGCGTCGGCCAGATTTGTAAAACCGAAGAATTCGGGCAATGGTATGGAACATGTTATTTATTCGCAAGTTTCGGGTAAGTCTTGGTTTCCTAACTGGTTTTTTGACCTTATATGCTGAGATTTTTGGATAAGGACCCTGATTGGAATTCCCATCGGTGGGCAGCTGCTCCAGGTGGCCGGTCCAACTCGCTTGGTCGCATTTATCGGTGGTTTGCTCGGGGTTTCCTTCACGAGCTTTCTCGTTGCCCGTTGGGCATGCTTAGGCTATCGGTGGAAGTGGCAAGTTAAAGTGTGACTAGGCCATTAATCAGCGAGGTTTCTCTCTCTTCAGAATTAAAAAGCAGAATAGAACCGAATTTGATGATCAAAGACATTCCAAAGGAAATGATAAAGAAGGAATTAGGTAAGATTTCAACAGAGACTTAGGCCAAGTATTGGTAATCAAACCAACGTACTTTCGAGTCGGAAGAAGCAGACGTTGTCCTCGAGAGCGAGAGAAAAAGGAAAAGGAAAAGGAAAAGGAAAAGGTGGGTTTACTGGAAGTAAGAAATGGAGATTCTAGTGGAGCTATCCCGATTCCCGATTAGGATACGTATGCGATTCGACCAATCAGCGTCTCGGAACGGGGTTCCTCATCTGATCGATTGAATTACAATTTAAGAAGTCCGTTTCCTGTTCTTTTCTTTCCAAGAATCTTTTCAAGAATCCTTTCACAATCTTTTTATTGATCTCTCCTTGGTTCACTTTTTCCCTGTTTATCTTCAAAATGGTCAAAATCGACGAATTTGCCGTTGAGCGGGTAAGGCTTTCCGATAAAATCGCTTTCTTCCATGCTAACAGATAAGATAGTGGATGGATGACTATGAAAACGATGCCAAGTTTAACCTGGCTGAGACCTGCTGCTCCTCAATTTCTCTGACCGACCTCCTTGATCTCTCAGGTAACTCAGATCGGGAGGATAAGATCCTGGACTTTTCGCAAAAGCAGGTCTATGGAGCAATCCGGGGATCAAAGGCTTTACGCACCAACATTGCACGGCTATACTACAACGGTGCATCTGCTCAGTTGCCCGTAGACCAAGTTCTTATTACGAACGGAGCAATCCAAGCGAACTTTTTGGCCCTTTATACGAATGTTGGCCCAGGGGACCACGTCATCTGTCATTATCCCACCTACCAGCAGCTATACTCCATTCCAAAGTCATTTGGAGCCGAGGTCAGCCTCTGGAGGTCCAAAGAGAATGAAGGGTGGCGACTGGATCTTGATGAATTGAGATCTTTGATTCGCCCAAACACCAAATACATCGTTATCAAGTACGGAACGCTTCAGTCATCATTAGATCGATTTGATACTGACCTAATACTATTAGCAATCCCCAAAACCCTACCGGGGCTGTTTTGACTCGTGCAAACCTGCAAGGAATTGTGGATATCGCCCGAGAGCATGGAATCATCCTCCACAGCGATGAGGTGTATCGGCCGCTATTTCATTCCTTGGACGCAGGTAGCCAGGATCCACCATCTGTACTCTCGTTTGGATACGAGAAGACGATTGTGACAGGTTCCATGTCTAAGGCTTTTAGTTTGGCTGGTATCCGACTTGGTTGGATCATTTCGTTGAGCCCTGGAATCATTGAAGCCTGTGCGTCTACCAGGGATTACACCGTGATCTCGGTAAGTCAGGTTGATGATCAAATTGCCACGTTTGCTCTTAATAGCCCGACCGTGCATAATCTTCTGGCACGAAACATCGATTTGGCTCGACGGAATCTTGCCGTTCTGGGCGAGTTTGTGGAGGAGTTTAAGTGGGCATGTCAATGGACTCGCCCTCAAGCAGGCACGACTGCCTTTATTAAATTTTCTGACAAAGGTGGAAGCCCCATTGATGATGTGGAATTCTGCAAGCGTCTGCAGAAGAACAATGGAGTGATGTTTGTACCTGGAAGCCAGTGCTTTGGAGGCGGAGTTGATTTCAAGGGCTTCGTTCGGGTAGGTTATGTCAATGAGCATCAAGTCATCATTGATGGTCTGAAATCCCTTCGTGCTTTCATGGTTGACGGATATACGGAGTTACCATTGGCATGATTGCACTTATTATTGAAGTGATTGTCGTTTGGAAGTGCAGCTGACTGTCCCAAAACGCTTTTGGCTCTATATAACCTCGCTGTTGAGCGTCAAACTTACACCTATCCTTCTGCTTTCGGGAATATCAAGCGAAATATCTGTCTTGTCTGTCTTCACATTAAGTGGACTCAAAAATACACAAACTTCATGTTATGATAGTTAAATTCAAACTTGTATACAATGCTAAAAGCACCTGCTATGGAAAATCCCACATCCGAAATTAAATAGTCTTGGAGTTCCGTGCTGCAAGGCTCAAGATTGGCTTAAGAGCGACCCCATACGATACCAAGCTGGGTGATAAAGCCTTCAGTGTACTCGCCGTAAAATCCCTTCATGGACCAAATAGTTCTACCAGGCTTTGGTGCACTCTCCACCAATGCAGATAGGTCAGTCGAGTTTCGCTCCTCCCCGTCGCTTAGGAAGCGCACAGTCCCGACATCCAGCGGCCACCCAGGGAGCTGGCCCAGGTTATCTGCAGCAAGGACAAACTCAACAGAGTCAATGGACGATGTTTGCTCGGTAGACTTCATGGTGACGAGCTTCGCTGTCACAATCGGTGAATCCACGTCGCAGACCCAAGTAGCCTCCTCGTTCTTGTCGGGGTAGGCACCATAGGTCAAGCTCTTGCCGTTGCTGTAAAACACCTTTAGGCCACTCAGTTGGTTCTTTCCCTGCTCACTCTTCGCAGTGGCGAAGCCGAGCTTAGAGATTGTCCAGGTGCTGTCAACCTTGCTGAGGGCGTTGAAGATCTCTGTTTTGTCGGATCGGACGCCAGTGTGGACAAAGTCGCCCATGACAAATTTGCTCTTGTTCTGTAGACGAGCCCTGTGGCCGAGGACATCCTTCTGCATAGATTCGCCCATTCCAAGTAAATTCTTGCACAGTGGTTGTTCGAGAGATAACCTGGGAATGGGGACAAATCCGTCCCGGCCCCACACGATACCAAGACTGATCAGACGTTTCTCATAGGCGAAGCCGAAGAAGCCGCGCAAACTCCATGGCTGGTCATCATTGCGGACATAGCGGACGGTCTGGAGCTTTGCCTTCTCAGTCTCCGTTCCAGTAAATGTGGTCAGAGTGTTGCAGGCACTTGTCGCAAGGCTGATCGCCCCAATATACTTGTCACCATCATCATCAACGCCAGTCATGATGTTGATTTCGACAATCACCTCAGACCCGTTCTCGTCCAGCGCGAGGGTTTGGGTGGGTAGCACCTTTTTGTCGCAATTTCCGAAGTCCATTATCTCATTTTTGCTGTAGGTAATCTGGATACCTTGCACTTTGTTGTCTGGTGCCCAGACGGCGATGCTCTGGGGGCGGAAGGTCGAGTTCAGTCTTTCCAACGCATTGAACATTGTAGCATTTTCATGAACTTGTTCGACTTCTCCAGCGGTGCCGTGCATGCGGTAGTCCTCCGCCTTTGCTGCGCATGCTTTAATCGAAGCTTGTAAACGGTAGTTTTGCTTGTCGATTGTGGCATTCAACTTATAGATGGGAACGACGGTGCTGGCTTCAAGTGCAGGGGCGCTGTAGCCCAGGATAACTGCGGCGCTGGGGTCTCTGACCCCAAGAATAGCATTCTCCGCTGTGAGAGAACGAACGACCTAGAGGAAACAAGAAAACAATCGTCAGAAAGGAGCACTAGTACACCACATTTGGGATGGGATAATTACCGGAACGAGCTGTTTGAAGATCAACGGGTTCAAAAAGTATGAATCGCGGGCTACATCACTCGCAATCGTGGGGTCCTCAGCTACAGCATCAACTTCGTTGACGATCTTCGCCATCTCCATGCGGCACACCTGGCGAGCTTGAATCAGACCAGCGAATGATCCTGGGAAAACCGAGATTGCCTTCTCCTCTTCAGTTTCGCCGGATGGTGCAGTGGCCTGCTCTTTCTTAGCAAGTTCAAGAGATCCCTTTGTGCTGCCTTCAAGAAGCTTCTGCGCTTTGTTTTTCACAACAGGCATAGGACCCTTGACCTTGGCTAGGTCGTACACATCTTGAGAAGGCTGGGCAATCTCAATAGTGGCGCGGTTGCCCTCCAGCTCGTACGAGGCAAAGGAAATCTGCTTCCAGAGAGACTTGTAGTCCATGTAGTGATCCAGCAAGGAGCCAGTGTAGACACCCGCATTCTCATAATCGAGAGGCGAGAAGTCTCTGGTTTGCAAATGGAAACTCTCAAGGGCAGTGTATTTAGTCAAAATTGCATAGGTGCGCTGGGGTGTGATCGCAACCAGATCCGGGAATGCAGCGGCCGCCTTCTTCAAGCTGGAAATGCTCCAGTCCTCGGTGGGGTCTTTGATACGGCCACCGCCGGACCAGTTGACGGCAATAGTTGTCTCAGTATTCTTGGTAGATTCCTTTTTGGCCTTCTCAAATTCTCCCGAGACAGCACCAGATACAGAAGGAGTGGTAAGCTCTGCTTCAAGGTGAGCCTTGATCTCGAACACTTTGGACTTGTCGGCAATCTTCATGGAGATGATAGCATTCAGCTCACCACCAGATTCCCAGCCGGAGATAAAAGTGTCCTGTACGCGAAGTTAGGCTAGTTATCCTCCACTCTAGAGATTAACTTCCGAGCGGGGAAACTTACTCCGTAGATTTCATTGAATTTCTCCTGTGCGATATGAGGGATCTTATTGAAAATGCAGTAGTTGCCTGGTTCAACGACCTGGTTCGTAACTTTGACCTGTAGATGAAAGTTGATATCACTGGACTTGAACTTATCACTGTCGACATAAGAACCGTTGGCCTTGCCACCAATTGTAGCGGTCTTGATTGACAAGGAGCCGGAGATATTCATCGCATCTGTGACAGACCTTTTATTAGCTTCATTTTTCTTCTTTGATGGAACATATTTCATATGCATAAATGCGACTAACCTGTCACATCACTCAACTTGTCCACAAAACGTGATGAATATGTGACGATCTGAGGCTTGACCCAGGGAGGCACAGCAAGCCCGGAATCAGGATTCTTTTTGGACTCGCCTAAAGCTTCCCTTCGTGCCTTGCCAATGATGTCCGCATCAGTGCCGGAATCGCTGACAGACCGGACATCTTCAAGAAGCTTGCTCTCCGATGCTGAGCTTTCAGTGTCAGCTTCAGCGTTGGCAGCATCACCCTTGGCCTGGCTGACTTCAATGACCGTGGCAGCTTTCTTCCTCAATGCCTCGGACTGAGCGAGGGTTGGATCTGGAAGAACAGCTTGGTCAAGGCAAGTTTGCTGAGTATAGGAGTTGAAGCCTTGACCAAGGCGCATGGAGTTGTTGTATGGAGCCAGAAGCTGTGCCATTGTGTCTGGTAGGAGATATTAACGGCAGAGCCAATATGTGCTTGAATGATTTGTTCTGTCCAGAGGCAAGCGATCTGGGGCGTTGATGGTGGTCTTATGAACTCCGGGAAATTCAGGCTAGCTGAAGACTGCGCACATGAAGATCCCCACGGGGTGAGTGTAGCCGATGTCTAGAAATTATCAAGTGTATACATAAAACAGGCATTTCTCACCCACTACCCCGAGGCAATGCCCATATCGTTTCCCCCTAGCTCCAAACCATCATGTTGAACGACGACCCCACATTGCCCGACTTGCAAGCTCAGGCTGACGCGAGGGCCACGTTAGCGCTGCCCTGGAGTCGCGAAGAGAAGCCATTATTGGCAGGATTTGACTCATCGAAAATGAGAGATCACCCAGACGGGCCTTGGTTAGCGACGGCATCGCCGTTCAGCGCTCATTCCATCGTCACAGCCACCATAGTTCCAGACGCTAGTGGCGGTGTCGGAGTTTACCGTGAAGGATACTCCACCCGTTCGGAGTCTTCCCACGAACACCTTAGCGCCTCGCTTGGCATCACGGTCGGATATCCCTTCTTGAACGCCAACGTGACAGGTGAATATGACAGCACGGTGAACAAGAAAAGCAATGTAAGTTTCCCGAGTCGCTTTCAATATCCTGAAAGGTTTTTCTTTTTTTCTCTTTTTTTTGTGATAAAAAAAAATTGACGAGTGGCAAATATCAAGGGGTTTCAATCTTCACGCAATGCCTCGTTCCGCATGGGCCGCGTGGTTCTAGACCGCCCCCCGGATTTTTCATTCGAAGCCACCACAATCCTCACGCAGCCTGACGGAGACTCCCGCTTCCAAGAGCGATATGGCAATTATTACGTCTGTGGATATGAGCTTGGCGCAGACGCAGGGGCTTGCATATCTGCAGAAACCTCCACCTATGACTCTGCAGAGTCTTTCAAAATTACCGTCACGGTGAAAGTCTTATTTGTTTCGGCCAGCGCTTCACACACAGAACACTTCGAAAAACACGACTCATCGACACGTTTCACCTTCTCGGGATTCAGTACTCTCCATGGCGAGGTGAAGAGGTATCCAAATCCCGACGCTCGGCCGGTGGGTCAAATTGTCGGAACACAAGTGGCGGATCTTATCAATCTGCAAAAAGAGGCGAGCGATCATGTGGCTCGCGTCGGTAAGCTTGACTACGAGCTGCAGGAACGCATGATCAAATACGGCTTGACCGGGGGAGCTAAGTTGCCCCTGAGTTCATGTGGGGAAGTTTGTGGCTCGGGCTTAGTGGTTCAACTTCTGTTAGCTCCGTTCGCGAACCTGTTCGAATATCAGACAATTTGTGCGAAACGGACTGCAATTGCCACGGTTGAACCTCGGACCGTCCCGCTTTCGAACAAAATCCGGCGCAGCTGAACATGTGTGGGGGAGAAGAGACAGGAGAAACCTGGATAAACAATGGGGATTTCTTTGCCGACCGCTTCCAAATTCCAATTTAGTGTAGTTTATTTCTGGGTGCTTAGGTGCTTATTGCAATGACAATGATTCCTGAAATGATTCAAATCCATTTAATTAGGATCGTAGTGCACCAATTTTGAGTCTGTCCAGATTTTCCGTAAATCTTAACATTTCAAGGTTGTGGTATCTATCTGCCACTATGACGAATTTCCGCAACATCCCAACTTCCTCCCAATGGGTCACTTTCCCCGTTTCAACCAAAGAAAAGTTGACAATCAATTGGGAAGATGACTTCCACGCTTATGTCAATACCTACTATGTGGCCAAGTGCTACTTTGGCATTCCTGAAGAAGAGCTTCAAAACAATTCCATTGTGGATAAAAAGCTCCAGGTCCCAAACCCAGTGTTTTGCAAGGGACGCTCTAAGCTCACAGTTCTGGGTAAGCGATTCCATCACACTTATGAGCGACCATCAGTCTTGAGAACTGCTTGCTGACTGCCGAAAAAATGTAGGTGAAACAAAGATTTATATCGCGGCAGAGTTTATCGAGGAGGAATACGCTGATAGCCTTTCGGACTTACATCAGTTCCATCTCAAGGATATCGCTATTGAGTCTGGACGCAATGAAAAGTTTCCATGGGTCACCATGAAGCTTAATGGAGCCTTCTGCTATGGCCAGAATGGTGCAGACGACAAGCTGCGGAGGTATATTGTCTATCACCCGTCGGTTGGCCCTGGTATCCAGCGACCGAATATCCACCAGGTAGGTTTCTAGTAATAGCAATTCCCCCATGATAGCCACCCGACTAACAAGTATCTCGATAGCATCGTTTCACGGATACAGAAATCACCAATGCAATCAGAAAGAGCCTTGAGGGTGCCGCCGAAGATTTACCGGAGAATTACAAAATCCTAGGTGTCGCAGTAGGCCAACTGCTTAAAGTGCTCCACAAAAAAGGCAAGGCTGCGTTTGGGGATGCTCTCTGGGTATTCCTGGATGACCACCAGCTCACTGAGCCCAATACTCAACTCCCGCGTGATGAAGCAAATCTACGAACACACCTGGGCCAGATTCAAAAGCTGGAATTTGGTGTTGTCGGCAAGACGGCCAGGGATTTCAAACGGGCGCATCTCCTCGCTCCTCCTCTCCATCAGCAACCGTTTCTCCCGCCTATCCCTTTTCCATCTTCTGATCAGCAGGAACATCAGCCAGAGAAAGTGCTCAAGGAAAAACCAAAAACTCGTGAGGACCTGGGGAAGAGCAGAGCGGAAGACATAGATCAGGAAGTTAATCGGATTCTGCAAGAGCTAGAGGAAGCACGAAAGAAGAGCGGTTTAGCCGGCTTTCAACACACCCAACCTTCTGACACGAAAGTGGACCAGGTTCAACAGTCCAGAAATGCCCTCTTGGGAGATAATACTGGCATGGACAAGGATTCAACTAAAGACACGAGTGTGAATGCAATCTTCGGGGAGGTTCACCCAGGTTATAAAAATGAAAAGCAAGGTGATGGACAGGGGTCCCCTGGCAAGGAGCCTAAAAAACCCGCGGGTGATCAGCCCGTTTCCACGCGAGGGTCAAGATCGATCAAGAAGTACTAGCAATGTTTTGTTGCAAAGCCAGCTGAAGCAGTATCCCAGAAATACTTCTTGCGTCTTTTCAAATTCTTTTTATCTAGTTTTGAATTCAATTTGCCAGGTTGAGAAACAACACTCATTAAATTGCAACCTTTAAAACTATCAATTATCCTAATTTTAATGTATCATTTTATCTTTTGCGCTGACCTTGATGTAGCTGAAAGATTGTTCAAAAATTTACAGATACTCAAACATTTTCCGGAGACCTTACAAGTCAGCTGGATTTTTTTATTGGCGCCGTGGGTCCGTGATTAACCGTGACGAACTAGTGTAAAGTTACATATGGGGTAAGAATATGCGAAGATGCGGTGGCTGTGGCTTCTGTAAATCGGACGTTCGACGGTAATTGCAGCCGAGCAACTACTTAGCACCTGGGGCGAATCTTATTGCCACTCCCCCTGTTTCTGTGTATAAATACTACTCACTCGTCCTCATCCTCCTTGTCTCTCACTTACAAACCATCACTACATTCTATTCCAATTCCAACACCTTCACCATTTGCAATGCCGGCCCTCAAATCCCAAAGCAATCGACCTGGTCAGCAGTCTGCCTTTCCAAATGACTTTACCAACAAAACCACTTTTGAGAATGACCGCCGCCGGCGAGAAGCCATCGCCGCCGCCAAACTCCATGACGCTCAGGCCGCTGAAGCTCTGGAGCGTGAACGCCGCGAAAAGGAAGAAGCTGCTGCCCTCAAGATCAACGAACTCGAGCAGAAGAAATTAGAGCTCGAACAACAGAAGGCCGAGGTCGAGCGACAGAAATTAGAAATCGAACGAACGCGCGACGACTGGATCCAGAAGTTCAATACCACCAGCGCAGCATCCGACGAACGAATTCGTCAACTTACGCGTGATCTGGAAGACCAACGAAACCAAAAGGACGCTCAGATCCATCAGTTGAATGAGGATAGGAGGAACCTTGACTATAAGGTCATTGACGAGCTGCCAAATGAGGACGTCCAGATTTTTGCTGTCACGTACGGCAGTCGGATCTACTATGACTCTGGGACACAGGATTTCAAGAACATGGTGCCGCATTTCAAGGACTATGCCAGATCAGGACATACTTTTCGCGTTTGCAATGAACTGTTGAATGATGACCCTAATCCGAATCATTTCAAGTCTTTGATCATTGTGTATCGATACAATCGACCGGGAACCCATCGGAGGATTCGAACTTTGACAGGCTGGGAAGGTCATGATGCCACATTCGATTCCTGGTAGTGCATGGTCCATACTCTTTGAATATATTTACATCAATGTTTGACAGGCATTTATGCGCATTTGCTATATATTTTATCGAGTGCTCTTATGGTCGAGTGCCTAGCTTTGAGTGGCCTTCAATGTTAAATACCCGTGCGGTTACCACTATATCCACCCATCAAGAAGCCATGGTACTTACAGCCAAACATCTTTGCCACACCCCCTCTAACATTGAATAGCATGGACCCGTGGTCTATCTCCGAGTCCATCGCGCTAAGCTAAACGAGTGTTTTGATAGATTAGAAGGATAATGCTGTGTAGTACTTGGTACGTAGGCCTCCTATCATATTTTATTAAACGCCAATCTACTCAATATTTAGTGCTAGCAACCTCCTATCAGCACGGTTTATTACCAAAAGCTTTCCAAGGGAGCAAAAACAAAAACAAAAACATACAACAGTCAGGATTCGCATGTGGTCACCCACCATACTACTAACTGACCGGCGTGTGGCTTAAGTACGGCTGAGCGGACGGGAAGCCCTGTTCTCCACACCCTATGGTCGTATGTACCAGATTATTACTTAAAGTTAATTATATAGTATAGTCACGGTAGTTGATTCTGTCGATGAATTGCGACTCAAGGTGATACGAGGATGAGTATCTTTATGGCTCCATATTTCTAAGTAAACCAGGCAAATGAAGGCATCAGTTTTAAAAACAAGACATCAATTGATTAGCTCTTAATATCTAGGCTAGGGAGAAAGTCATCAATTATGGGTATATATCTTCAAATATTCTGCCCCACCCTACCAAATATATATGTATCAATATATGTATCTATCAATCAACTAATCAATATATTACATACACATACACATACAGCATATATACACACATACACAAAATATCATGGTGCTGAGCTTCAAATATCAATATAAACATCCAGATGTCTAATATCGTTTGGAATATGTACCCCTGGGCCCTCAAAACATTAAACTGCTCCCAACATTGAATCATCTCGACATGCTCATGATTAGACTATCAATTTACTCTTCACATGTGCAGGAATTGCCCACCAGGCTTCCAGATGTCCCAGGTTGAACAGGCCTTAAAAAATAGGCGTAACCTACCTCCGATCGACCTATCCGAATAAGATCTGGATATAAATGGAATAGTTTCAGTTTTGACCATAACCACACCGATCTTCCCACGAAGCATACCAAGGATCCTCAAGTACTGCTTGGTATTAATAGGCTTCTTAGCATGTGCGATGTTAGCATCAGTAACCAGAAGGCCGGGATGGTTAAAGGCAGAAACAAGAGAAAATACATAAAGGAAAAGAGAAAAGGCTGTGGTGTAGCGAGTATTTTGTTGGGGGGGTTAAAAATGAATGTATGAATGAATGATCCGCAAAAAACTTCAAATAACAGCCATTTGAAATTTTACTCCTGGATTTAAAACGCTTGATTGATAAATAATAATAAGAATAATTTTTATCTACTGGATGAGGGTAGAACACTAGAAACGTCTTCAAATGATTCTAATATAGTCTTTCATCTCCGGAGCCGAGAATCGGGTAATATATAAAAGGCTGGGTTTATATGGTGGGGATTCTTACCTACTCTCACCCTGTCTATTGTGCACTTGCCAAGTGCTGCTTGCTCTGTACTATAAAATCCACTAAAAAGCTTTGTCAAATACATACGACCATAGGGTGTGGAAAACAGGGCTTCCCGTCCGCTCAGCCGTACTTAAGCCACACGCCGGTCAGTTAGTAGTATGGTGGGTGACCACATGCGAATCCTGACTGTTGTATGTTTTTGTTTTTGTTTTTGCTCCCTTGGAAAACTTTTTGTCATAAACATGCCGAGAGAAGGTTGCTATGTTGTTGTACTAAAGAGTAGATTGTCGAATCAAAACATTTGAAGGCCCGAAGATCCCGTGATCTCCAAGCATACATTTACGTCGGATTGTTGACCATGTAAGAAACATAAGACTGACTCATTGCTCGTACGCTAGCGATTCAGGTCTGCCAGACTTCCCCTGGTGGAGAGGCACAAAATAATGATGTTTCGGCTTATATTTTGATCCAGCAGGACTCGAAGAAGTTGGGAATCGGAGCGCTACCATGTTGGTGAACTCATTAGGATTTATAGAAATTTGGATTGAACAAAAGTTGCTACATAGAGTACCCCAAACGTTGGAAACCATTTAGTAGAAAATTCTCACCCAAAAATTCCACCGAAAGGTTCCATGAACTCCAGATTTTGTTGAATTGAATTTACATTCGATGTTCAAATTGCTGCTGCTTGCACATCGTTATCCACTTAGTAAGCGATATTGTGTATGGTCAGGTGAGAAGTTCTATCACATGACCATCGTCAATAGTTCAATTTCTTTAGGTAAATACCCGAAGCTTCAGAAATACCCGAAATATCCGCGGGTGGATTCAACGGGTTTGGATTGGACATTTGTAATGAATTTACCCCTACCTTTCGAAGAGTATATCAGAATCAAGAGTGACGAGGTTAGAATAAACATTTTTAGAGTTAAGATTAAACTGTGGAGGCTTTAAACAAACCTCAAAACATACGATATCCTGGGGAAACACCGTATGGTACTTAAAAAACACCAACCTAGGCAAGCTACCCGGAAGTCCAGAATCCAGATGTCCAGTCATCCCTCACCAGCTTCCCACCCACTTATTTCTCTCCAAACGTGCCATTTTTACAGAGGTTGTCGACTAGTATGTTATAGACAAATGACAGAATACCAGCCACTACTTGTCAAAACGAATACCAGCTTTCTTGTTTATCTACTTGAGGCCAAGAACATCAGCGCTGCATCATCACCGACTCCACCAAAAAGTGGAGAAATCCGATAAGGCAAATGCCGGCTACCGCCGGTGTATTCAAGGGACCATTTTTCACCGAGAGGAGTGAGTCAAAGGCCTACCCCGGCTGACAACCTCTCCTTGCATTTACCCCAAACATTCCTATCCAAACTCTTCTTCAATTCCTTCATTCCAAACCCGCTTCCCCGAAATTATAACGTTGCCCCATATTTGATCGACCCCGCCCCCCGTCATGGCCGTCCCCAACCTCAGCCAGGATGAGCTCGATGAGATATATGCTTTCGCCGTGGACCTTGGCCGCAAGGCGGGCGACCTGTTAATGGAGCGTGTGGAGCTGCGTATCTCTGGTGGTGAGGGCAATTCGCAGAAATTTGATGAGAAGGAGAGCTCCGTCGATATCGTGACGCAGACAGATGAGGGTAAGTAAGCAGAATTGAATTGAGACAAGCGGGGAAGCATTGATCCCCAAAAGGGACGAGAACATAGCACGCAAGAGAACTAAAGCTGACCCTGTGTACTGTACTAGATGTGGAATTATTTATTCGCAATGCGCTCCAGAGCAGATACCCCGACCACAAGTTCGTTTCCCCATGATCCGACCCGCTGATGACCAATACCCCCCGCAAAAAAAACTGACCACAACAACACAGATTCTTGGGCGAAGAGACCTACGCCAAGGGGTCGTCGCGCGACTACCTTATTGACGAGCACCCAACATGGTGCATCGATCCTCTAGATGGTAAAAATAACCCACCAATCTCACCTCCCACCCCAAAGCTCCAAGCCTAGTACTAACATGCTTATCAATATCCACACAGGCACCGTCAATTACACCCACATCTTCCCCATGTTCTGCGTCTCCATCGGCTTCATAGTAAACCACAAGCCCGTCATTGGTGTGATATACGCCCCTTTCCAAAACCAGCTCTTCTCGTCCTGCACTGGCCGAGGTGCCTGGCTTAACGAGAAGCGCCGGCTCCCCCTCATCCAGAAGCCTTCCATCCCACCCATGCCCGCGAATGCACCCTCGCAGTGTATTTTCTCTTGCGAATGGGGTAAGGACCGTCGCGATATTCCCGATGGCAATATGCATCGCAAGATTGAGAGCTTTGTCAACATGGCTGCGGAGCTGGGCTCGCGTGAGGGCAAGGGTGGTATGGTGCATGGAATGAGGAGCTTGGGTAGTGCGACGCTGGATCTGGCTTACACAGCTATGGGGTCTTTTGATATCTGGTGGGAAGGTGGTTGTTGGGAGTGGTAAGTTTTTTTTTTCTTTTTTCTACCTGTCATATTCATGATTCTTTGCCTAGAGATATTTGGAGTTGAACTTGACCCACTAACCTCTTCCTAGGGATGTTGCTGCTGGAATTGCTATTCTTCTTGAAGCTGGCGGACTCGTCACTACGGCTAACCCGCCCGAAGACGTGGACACAGCGCCCATTGAAGATATGCGACTGGGTAGCCGACTTTATCTGGCAATCAGGTGAGTTTGCTTTCTGTTCTTCTTTTTAGATTGAGTAATCAGAAAAAACTAATTGGTTCATTCTAGACCTGCTGGGCCCTCGGAGACCGAGACTGGTCGGGAAACACAGGAGCGTACTGTGCGTGAAGTCTGGCGGCGGGTCCGCCACTTGTCGTACACTCGGCCCGGTGCGTAAGGGGTTACGTAGATCCCTTGTGCAAGGCGTATCTATTATTATAGATTTCCAGGTTGTACATGACTTAAATACGAGATGATACATAATGAGATATTTTACGAGTTTAGAATGCCTGAATCCGTAGATTTTGAAGTAATGTATTCCAAAGCTGACGTCAACTATCTTAATATATGCAAGAATTTTGATGTGATCTATACAATCGTTAAATGACATGGAGAAGAAATTAGAAAACAAAGAAGCTTTTTAAATCAATCATAGGCTGGGCTTGGAGGCACGGTCAGCCAGGATCTGAGCAACAGTATCCTTGACTGTCTGGACGAGACCAGGAGTGCCAATAATATCCTTGCCAGTCCAGAGACGAGCCTGCTCAAGACCCTGCCAGATCAAGGCCTCGGAGCCGAGAATGACCTTCCAGCCACCGGCCTCAGCAAGCTTGGCAATATCAGTCCAGGGAATGGGGTGGTAGCACATCTCAAGAATGACACCCTCCTGCTTCTCAGCAGTCTTCTCGTCACCGAGGAAAGCAGTGATGATAGCGCGGGCGTTCAGCTCCTCGGGGGACTTGGGAGGGTAGTTGGGGATACCGGATACGATAGCGGCGGGAGCCTCCAGACGGGCGGCCTCCTCGGGATCAGTAACGTGGATCAGAGGAGCCTGAGCGTTGGGGTCAGGGTTGCGCTGACGGTCCTCCTCCATGATAGCAGCCACCTCAGCGGCGTCACGGTTGACAACGTAGATACGGCTGGAGCCGAGCCAGCGGCGCATGACGTAGATGGCAGTGCGGGCGGTACCACCACCACCGATGATGAGGGCGGGCCGGCCGCGGAAGCGCTCGGGGTTAGGCGCATTCTGGGTGAGGGCCTCGCGGATGCCGTCGCAGTCGGTGTTGGTTCCGACGTACTGGCGCTTGCCGGTGGTGGGGTCGTCGCGCAGGAAGATGGTGTTGCAGGCACCGGCCTGCCGGGCGTGCTCGGTCAGATCATCCAGGTGAGGCATGATGGCGACCTTGTGAGGCATTGTCACGGAGGATCCAACGAACTTGGGGTTGGAGCGGATGGAAGCCATGAACTTCTCGATCGTGGGCGACTTGGTGTATGGGGGAGGGTAGGTGGCGGAAGTGCCGTACACGCTGGAGAGAGGGATCTGGGTCCAGTTGAGGCCCAATGCATTGTACACTGTCTGGTGCAGAGGAGGGGACAGGGAGTTCAGCAGCGGGTGGCCGTACAAGTAAGCGACACCATCCCGGTTGTCGGGGATGGCGATGGGCTCCTCGGGCTGGGTCTGGGCGGCGGAAACTGCGGGTGCGGCCATGATGTGTGTATGTGTGTATATGTGTATATGGGAATTTTATTTCAAGTGTTGTTGGAGGGGTATAAAAGTGGTGGGATGGAGGGGAAGAAAAGATATGGAATTGGAAGAAATAATGAGGGGCTTGATTATTATCGGGCCGGGCGGCAATGGATTGAAGCTATCATCAGGATTTTAAATCTCGAGTAAAAGTAAAGCCGGTTCCCACCACACTGTCCCGCCATTTCCCATATAAGGCGGAGAAACACTTTTTCGCCATCCGTTAGTCATCATTTTCTCGTTACCCAACTTCCGCTCTCTTCGAACCCTAAAAAGACAACAGGCAAAAAACTTGAACTCAGTATTCTGTTCTATTGAAATGCCAAAACCTAATTCCTGACACAGTCGTTAGATTTCTGGGACTTTTTAGGCATTTATGATGATTTTATCTAAATCCCCAACATCGATGATCGTTACACTGATTTTCCCGCTGACCGAAAGGATGAACGCTTTCCCACCGGCTACATTTCACCCCACGGGGAACACACCCGACATACTTGGCCTCTGCGCAGAGTTTGCCCGGGCCAATCACTGAATCGGTGTTACCACGGCCGAGACCTGGGAAACCTGTAAGACATAATTTGTGCATTCGGCCCGGAAGTATTGTTAAAGCGGCTCCCCCCTGTGGCTAGTCAAACGCACTAAAAAGTTTTCGACAGGTTTTCATGTGGCTGAGCAGCTACAGCTATATTTAGGATCCAGCTGGACATTTTCTTAGGGCTAGCCGACCTTAGTCTGATTTCTAGCGATGAGCCCGTCCATGTGACCTGGCCTGGTGACAGAAGGGTCCATAACATACTACTGATTAGTAAACTACAGTGGGAGACAGAATGTAGTATACACACCGCTGGAGATTTGAGAAACTTTACAGCGGCATGAGGCGGTTACTGAAAATGCACGACGATGGCAATATAGAGTTCAAGAACCTTAATCAAATAGGTTCCTTCAGTGCTTATTTTAAGCCACGCGAAATGATACTGGATAGCCCTGGAGAAGTATGGAGTACAGCTACGGTGTAGGGCAGATCACGGGGTAGTTCAAAAAGTCTACCAGTCACGAGATGAGAACCGGAGGATCGCTCTTCCCCGCCACCAAATGTTAACTTTTGCAATCATCATTGGCTGATCCGGCCTTGGATTTCTCGTGGCCCAACGTGGGTCAACTAAAATTAGACCAATCATGGTCTCCACGACCCGTATCTGCACAGCCTATCAAGGGCACATATTTGGAAAATCCAGGTTTTTGCTGCTTTGCCCCAGAATACCCCAGGTCGCTAATCTCCGTGACAGCGTTGATTTCTACTGTACCCCAGGCCCGTATCCACTTCTTCACGGCCCAGAAACCCCCCACATTCTTAGGGTTCAACCAACCGGCGCATGTTTACTCGATCTAGTCCAATCCGCCATCGCTAAAAAAGCCTCCCTAGCTTCACCCAAGGCTAAAAAAGTTCAAAACTCCGTGGCCAAGATGGGCCAAGAGTCTATCTTGCCCTTTCGCACGCTTGGTCCCCTCGTTTCTCATTTTCTTTGTTTTGCCGACTTGGCGAAGGCGCACACTTCCCAAGGTCTTTGCAAAGGTAATTCGCGCTATACCTTTCTCCGCCTCCACGCGAGGTCCTCGCCTGAGCTTATCCCCAGATTTTATCGATTTTCCCCCACAAAAACACTTTACCGTATGCGTCTGGGGAAACTATTTATTCCCCGTCCTCTCCCCCCGGTTGTCGAGAGATATCTTCATTTTCCATTCCACCTCAGACTCCTTTCCCAACACCACTCTCAACCTTCCCCTGCTCTCTTCTCTCTCTACCACACCTGTGGTAATACTTCATAAGTGATCTGACTGCTCCTTTGCACATTTTGCATTGGCAGTACAGATAACTTCTTCTTTTTTTCTCCCCTCTCAATCCCCCTATCCTCTATCTTTTCACACTATCAATCATGGGTATCCTTGCATTGGTCGAAGATCGGCCGACGCCCAAGGCCGTCTACAACTGGAGGGTCTACCTTCTAGCGGCTGTGGCGTCGTGCACTTCTTGCATGATCGGTTACGACAGCGCCTTCATCGGTACTACCTTGGCTCTGGAATCTTTCAAGGATGAGTTCAAGTTCTCCTCTATGTCCACCACAGCGCAGAATCTTCTCAGCGCCAACATCGTCTCTCTCTACCAAGCTGGTGCCTTCTTCGGTGCCTTCTTCGGTTACCCCCTTGGTCACTTCTTTGGTCGCAAGATCGCTCTCTTGATCTCTGCTATGGTCTTTATCCTCGGTGCTGGTCTCATGCTGGGCGCCAATGGCGAACGTGGCTTGGGCTTAATCTACGCTGGCCGTGTCTTGGCAGGTCTCGGTGTCGGTTCTGGCTCCAACATCACCCCTATTTACATTTCCGAATTGTCTCCCCCGGCTATCCGTGGTAGACTCGTCGGTGTTTACGAGCTTGGCTGGCAAGTTGGTGGCCTGGTTGGTTTCTGGATCAACGTAAGTTACAGCTAACATTCACCACGATTTGAACTTCATTGACTAATTCTTCGCACAGTATGGTGTCGACTCGACTATGGCTCCTAGCCACAAGCAGTGGCTCATCCCCTTTGCTGTCCAGCTCATCCCCGCCGGTCTCTTGCTCTTCGGTGGCTCCTTCATCCGCGAATCTCCCCGTTGGCTGTTCTCCAAGGGTCGCCGTGAGCAGGCCATTAAGAACTTGTGCTGGATTCGCCAGCTCCCCGAGAACGATATCTATATCATTGAAGAGATCGGTGCTATTGACCAGGCCTTGGAAGAGCAGCGCTCGACCATTGGCATTGGATTCTGGAAGCCCTTCAAGGCTGCCTACTCCAACAAGAAAGTCATGTACCGCCTTTTCCTTGGAAGCATGCTCTTCTTCTGGCAGAATGGATCCGGTATCAACGCCATCAACTACTACTCCCCCACCGTCTTCAAGGTAAGCAATGATCCCACCCCGGACTTAAATTTACAAATTTTCTAACATTCTTATTACAGAGTATTGGTGTCACTGGTGCCAACACCTCCATGCTTACCACCGGTATCTTCGGTGTCGTTAAGACTGTTGTCACCTTTGTCTGGCTTCTGTACCTGATTGACCGCGTTGGTCGTCGCAACCTGTTGCTCGGTGGCGCCTTCGGTGGTTCCATCTGTCTCTGGGTCGTCGGTGCCTACATCAAGATCGCCGCCCCAGCCGAGCACCCCAAGACCGAGATGGACGGCGGCGGCATCGCAGCCATGTTCTTCTTCTACCTCTGGACCGTCTTCTACACCCCCACCTGGAACGGTACCCCCTGGGTCCTCAACTCTGAAATGTTCGACCCCAACATGCGTTCCCTTGCCCAGGCCTGTGCCGCCGCATCCAACTGGCTCTGGAACTTCCTCATCTCCCGCTTCACTCCCCAGATGTTCGCCAAGATGGGATACGGCGTCTACTTCTTCTTCGCTTCCCTCATGCTCTGCTCCATTGTCTTTGTCTACTTCCTCATTCCCGAGACTAAGGGTGTGCCGCTTGAGAGCATGGATCAGCTCTTCGAGATCAAGCCTATTCGCAAGGCCCACGCTGAGATCATTGCCAAGCTGCGCGAGAATGAGGAGCTCTTCCGTCACGATATCGAGGAGTCTGGTCTCGCTGCTAGCAAGGTCAATGCTGAGCAGGTCGAGGATACCGCTGCTGAGGCTGCGAAGTTCGCCTAAATTTTGAAATGACTATATAATGGATACGAAATGGTTTGCGATTTTCTCTTTTTTTGATATGTTGGCTTGCGATTGAATGTTGATATCTTGTGATGAATATATGGTGATGCACTCAGAGAGTCTTGCCTTGGTTTGATACCAATAGAATTGATTAATGAAAATATTTCAACAATTGATTGATTACTTCTTCCACAATAATCATTGTAGATAATAATAAAATTTGAATGATAAGATCCAGGAAAGTCCTAGATCTTTCAACCAAGTGTAAACTCCTTGTCTGAAATAGAAACTTCATGACTGCAGAAGATAAATTTGACTTACTGGTTATTTTGATAGAATAATTATTGAACCATCAGATTATTTTCTTTTCTTTGTATTCAATCATAGCAAGATATTGTAGGAGACTGGAAGCTTGAAACTTCACAATTTCATGTCTCGTCAGATAATTGGAGTCAACGAATGAAAATACAGACCCGTAAATAACGAAAACTTCCACGCGCAAAGTTAAGCAATCTTTGTCTGGAGCTTCTCATTCTTCTTCCTTTGACATCTTAGACACATATTGCTCTCGCCACCACCGCACACTTCGAATGCGCGATTCCATTTGGCGCTTTCTACCTTTTGCATATTGTCGATATCCCAGGGTTTTGCCTTGAAGTAATCGGACTTATACCGTCCTTCTATGGCAATAAGTAGTTCCCGGGGGCTATCCAGCAACATCCAGTTCTCTGGGTGATCGCACTTGCTGGTTATGGCTGCCAGGAGATCAGCCGCAGGTACACCCCAAGGAAGCCTTCCAGATTGTCCATAATAATATTCTTCATCGACTTCGTAGCCGAGACCGCACTCGTGTTTCATATTGCCCTCCTTGTATGGTTTCCCATTGCTTAATTCCTTGGCTGTACACATGTTGAATATTGAAAAGAAGTGCTCCTTGTCGGCAATTTCGTCGTTGTATTCCTGGTATTTAGACAGGCATGGACACTGAGCATGTCTTTCAACCTGCCAGGCCACTAGCCTTTTGAGATTTGTGCCCGGTGGTGGATAGATGGCGACTTTCCAAGGAATGATATCGATCAGGAGTTTGTCGTCATCGTCATCGTCATTGGGTATTTTGATGGAAACTTTTTTGGAAACTTTTTCAGAATCTCCGCTTATTTTGCCATCATCCCCACCGTCGGATAGAGTGTCAGAGGAATCATTCCCAATCAACCACTCTGCAATACTCTCGTTCTGCTCGGCGAGTAGCCCGACAGTATCCCTTTGGAGCTTTAGTAGCTCATTGTAAAGTTCCTGACCTTTCTCACTTCCTTGTGGAGCCTGTGGAGCCATGATAGACGAGAAGTAGCCAGGAAGAAGATTAGAAGATGGTGGGAGGATGAGTGGAAGACACGGGGAGATAAAGAAGATAGCTGCTTTATATAGGAAAAATAACATGTGCCAGATCAGTAACGAATAACCCGTTTGATGATATACTTGTTCACGGTATGGGGTATCTCCGACTAGTTTTTTGACGCAGTCTGTCTGGTAGATTCTTAATGAGCCGCTTCGTAATTTGGAGCCTGACACCAGGGTGATGTCTCTTGGAGCGGGGACTGAATGTTGAACAATTTCTGTGAGTTTCAATGGAATGCGCAAATTATTTCAGCCAAATAGTATCTTTGCAATGTATACCAATGACTCGCCCTAAATGGTGTACGGTATATAGTATACCCTGGAGTCACCTGATCGGATAGATCTTAACCGTGCCCCACATTTATCTGCTTAATCAGGAAAGGGTCATTGCCTAAATCCATTTCCCCGGACCCACTTTAGCATCATCAGATCATACTACCTCCAAATACATTTGTCAAGTTTCTGTTCGAGAGCGCCAAGTCCCCCATTTCGGATCCGGTCAGGATGTTCGACCCTGGATGTTCCCCGGGTCCTGTCAATCCGTCAATCCAGTTATTGAATATTACCGAGGCCAATTGCCCCCAGATATAAAAGCCTCCGCCCGCCCATGAGCATCACAGACAGCCCCAACTTCTCCAACACCCTAATTCTCCACTACCTACATAACCATGTCCATCAAAGTGGCCATTATCGGCGCAGGCCTCATCGGCCCCCGCCATGCCCAATCCGTTCTCTCCAACCCATCCACAGAGCTAGTCGGCCTAGTAGACCCCGCCCCAACAGGCGCAACCACCGCAGCCAGCCTCAAAACAAACTACTTCCCCTCCGTCTCCGCCCTCCTCTCATCCCCCCACAAACCAGACGCCGCAATAGTCTGCACACCAAACAAAACCCACGTCCCAGTAGCCAAAGAGCTCCTAGCAGCCGGCGTGCACGTCCTCCTCGAGAAACCCGTCAGCGACACCCTAGAAACAGGCCGCGATCTTCTCACATTCGCCCAATCCCCCGCAAACGCCCACCTCAAACTCCTAGTCGGCCACCACCGCCGCTTCAACCCCTACGTGCGCGCAACAAAGTCCATCCTGGACTCCGGCTCCCTCGGCCAGCCCATCGCAGTCAACGGCCTCTGGACCATCTACAAGCCAGCATCCTACTTCGCCGCCCCAACAGACTGGCGCGCTTCGCGCGCCCAAGGCGGCGGCGTCATCCCCATCAACCTCGTCCACGACATTGACCTCATGCATCACCTTTTCGGCCCCATTGTCCGCGTGCAGGCGGAGAAGGCGCTTCCGCAGCGTGTGAGCCCGCCACATGATGCGGACGAAGGCGCGGCGCTCACGCTCCGCTTTGCGTCTGGGGTTGTGGGGACGTTCATTGTGTGTGATGCTACGCCTTCGCCGCACAATTTTGAGACGGGCACTGGGGAGAATCCGCTTATTCCGCGTTCGGAGGAGGGGGCGGATTTCTATCGCATTTTCGGGTCCGAGGCTTCGCTTAGTGTGCCGGATCTTACGAGGTGGAGTTATGATGGGCGGGCGGAGAAGAGTTGGTCGCAGGGTTTGAATGTTGAGAAGATTCCTGTGCCGGATGAGGCGGCGCCGTTTGATCTTCAGTTGGCGCATTTTGTGGATGTTATTCGCGGGGAGGCGGAGCCGAGTTGTTCGGGGGAGGAGGGGTTCAGGGCTTTGATGGTCTGTGAGGCTGTTCAGAGGGCGATGCGAACGGGTCAGCCTGTTGAGATCGCGGTTGATTTGTTGGCATAATGTAATCATACAATCTCGTAATTTGGAATAAGTTTTTATAAAGATCGTTTTATATCATTGACACCCACAGGCTTCAAAATACAGGCCGTCCCTCTCCAGGGTTTACTTTCTGCTTTAAAAATCTGGTCGGAGATATCCCACTCTTGCAAACAAATTAGCAAACGGCGAATCCCGATTCTCTTTTTGGTTTGGGGATTTTTGTCATAAATAAAGCGCCCATACTCTTCTCTTTTTCAGTTTCTTACTACTCTCCATCCTTTACTCTCCCTATCATCTTCACTTCACTTCAACTTCAAAGTGCTATCCTTTTGGATCAGCCCCCTGCCATCATGACCAAACACAGTCAACAAGTACCCAACGAAGCACAAGGCTCTTATAAAGAGCTGATCGAACTGCAAAGAGAGACAAATAGCTTGCTCGCCAAGCAGAACAAAAAGATGGAAGAGATCATGGGTCTAAATGCTTCCTCTGGTACTGTTTCAAACAAAGACGACGGCGATGATCTCGAAGATGCCGATGAGGATTCCGACACCAAGTGAAACTACAAGAGTGACGAATCCGCCAAAAATTCCGAAGACTCAGATGACAGAATCTTGCTCAAAGTCCCTTGGAAGGTCCGCGTCTACCCACCCCCGGGTACAAACATCAAGAGACTAGTGACCTGGCAGATCGAGAGACATCTTCAAATGCAACCGGATGAGGACGTAGATATCGAAATGTACTACCACGGCAAGAAGTTCTTCTATTCATCTTTCAAAATGCGCACAGCTAGGGAGTTGGAGCGAGGAAAACCATACAAGGACGGGAATTTGGGTATCGAGTGTCAACGCCCGGGCATTTATGGAGGAGAGGCCGACGAAGTGGAGTTTAAAGAGAGCCCATGGGGTGTGCCAGCAGCAGCTCTTCTGGCAGCCATAACAAGCCAGTGTGAACATCCACAGAACTGGATGTTGCTCGATAGGCCACGTGAACTCCTTATTGCTATGGAGGACTGGTACAACAGGAAAGTTCCTGAAGAAAGGTACACACTTCCCGAAGATGCCTGGGAATGGAAAGAACTACGAAGGCTGGAAAAAACAAAATGGAGCCAGGCGTTCGAGTTGTGCGGGGGTGGCGAGAACGGTGTGTGTTCACGATGTCAAGATAGGACGACGAAAATGACGAAGGTGAAGCTCGAGCCGATGTCTGTTTAGTTTTTTTGTGTGAGATTTTGCAGTATGACATGTCTGAGATTGTGGTCGCTGGTTTCTAAGAAGCATGGAAATTGAAAGAGAGTGGGCTTCTACTAGTTTGCTGGACTATTTTTTATGGTTGAATACGAAAACAAAGTCTCTTGATAGTCTAGTAATAGTGATGTTATCAAAATTCAGTGTTAGCAGTAAGCCGATGTCCAAATATACCAGATAAACATGGATTGCAGAGAGTTTACATCTTCTAGATTTCATCTGCTTCTATTTCCTTCCTTTTCCTTCTTATCAAGTTGGATCTATGAAGGCCAACTCCGGCAAAGCAAGTATTCGATTTGTTGAGCTTCTCTCACCTGACACATCTAAATCTGTTTGCTAAAAGATTTGACTACTTAAAGCCCTCAAAGCATCTTCACTTCTCTACCTTCCTTCCTTCCTCATCACATCAAACAATCTTTACGCTTATCAAACTCATATCTCAATAAGCCAACCAGTCTTCTAGAAAGATGTGCCTGATTCCAGTTGGAATGTGTACATCCAACAAACCCCCCCGCCCCTTATTTCCCACTCCCCCTGAACTATAAAAGCGAAGCACCATGGCCCTTACTCGGCCTCCAGCAAGAATTCGCAAAAGCATTCGAAGAATGGAACGGTCACTGCAGAAAGCGAAGAACGAATGCAGGGCAGACAAGGTAATGTCCCTTATGTCAGCAGAAATTTACATTGGGAAGAAGCAGGAGCTGGACAAAATGAAGCGCGCTACTTTGGAAATGGGATTTTACCTCCAAAAACCCAAGGAAACGCAGGAGAAAGCCACCATGGAGAAGAACCAGCCGATCGAGGATGAACCAATGGCCGAGGATGACGTGATGACTGAAGAGGACTCCATGATGGAGGAGGATTCGGGGGAGGACTCATCTACCGCGCACGACTCAAATACTGAGAAACATGTCAAGAGCGATGAGAACAAGAAGGAAGGAGAACATGTCATGGGTGCTATGGATGAAGAAGCGAACAGCAGTTCGGAGGATTCGAGCGAAGAATTTTGCACCGATATGGAAACAGACACGGAGAGTGAAAGTAGCGAGCCTGAAGACTACGAGGATGAAGCTATGGAAACAGTTGAACATCCCGAGGAGGATTCAATCAGCCCTCAAGTCGAAGATCCATACTACAACTGGTACAAGGCAATGACAGCACGGTCAGCATGGACAGACAATGAAGGCACATACGCAGACACAGAGAAGGATAACAATAAAAATGACGGCGACAACGAAATCAAGACCGAACCTGGAACTCAAACAGAAAACGAGCTTGTGAATGACAGCCCGAATTCCGAAGAAATGGAGGAAGAAATCACTGAAGGCCAAGCCTCACCAGAGCCCAAAGCCCAGCCCACCAACACAAACCCAGGGCCCATGACTGTTCGCATGACCGGCATGTCTTGCAGGCCCCTCCACGACAGCGACACGGATATTGAAAGTGTAGACTCCGACCCAAGCCCGCAGGGGGACGAACTCCCCGCCACCGAAGAAGCAAAAAGCAAAAGCCTAGTCCTCAAATTGCCACTCCAGGCTCGACAAGTCAGAATGAGACCCGAGTCGACAACGACGTCCTACTGCAGCTCATCCTCTGACCACGACCAATTCTCCGACGACTCAAGCGCCGAGCTCCTAATCAGGGTTGCCAGCGACAACGTCAACAGCCCACCGACACGCCACTACTTCAGGAAGCAGGTAGCCTGGCAAATCGAGCGCCACATCCAATGGACCGGGCAAAATGCCCCGTGGAAAAACGCAAGGCAGCTGTGCCGCACACTAGACGTCAAGACAGCAGCCTCTCTCCGGCGCGGAATATACGGGCCGGGAAATATGCGTCTCAATAAGGAATACTGTGTGCATGATAGCAAATTGCATGATTGGGGCCGGCCTGCACACTGTCTTCGGACGGGAGTTGAGCTGTCTGGTAAACCTATCTCGTGGCTGTGGCATAAAGAGGCGCGGGAGCTTTTGATTTCGTTGGAGAACTTCTACTTTGGCCTTGACGAGGAGGAGAAAGATGAGCTTCCTGAGAATGCATTTCAGTGGTGGGAGTTCCGAGACCAGTATTCACCTTTAGAACGGTGCTTTGGCGCGGAGATTGTGGAGCTTTTTGAGCAGGCGGGGAAGGGACCTGGCGCTGATGATGAGGGTGAAGAGTAGGAAACGGGTTGCTGCTTGGATGTGGTTTGTTGATGGGGATTTGGGAGTTAGATTGAATTTTGCTTTTTGTGAGTGTTGTTGGCTGGGGATCTAAATTGGCATGTTGCTATGGTTATGAGGACGGGGAAATTGTGTATGGAGGAGCATGCTTTCGAATAGACTGAATAAATGATAAACCACCAAAAAAAAGGTATTCTTATATTTGAGTACATATATGTAGACATTTGAAATTTCTAGACGGATGAAGGTTTGAAGGGTTGAAGCTTCTTCGGCAACTCGAATCAAGTAGAAAACCTCGACAAAGAGAAAGGCCAGTGTAGTTATCATAGCATAGTAGTATTTAGTATTGCCGATACTTGACAGTTGAGGTAGTGGACCTGATGCATGTAAGCATCGGAAACATGTAAGCCTGATTAGAATTGATTCATTTCAGAGTTATTTCCAAGTTGCAAGAGAGTTATCTTCACCCCTGGTACTATCTATCCTAATTGGCCATCCAAGGAATAGCACAATCTAAACGATTGGATAGGAAGAAAGCATGTACCTGTCCCAATGCATCAGCTGCGTCAGATGCAGGGCATGATATCTGCAAGTTGATGTGATATACATGGCATGCACCCAATCCCCATACAGCGGAATGCATAAGTCTAAGTCAACCTGGACATCGATTAGAGTTCTCCAGTGTCATACAAGGAGAAAAGATATTATTAATTAAAATAACTAGCTAAGCCATAGCCATAAGTATGTACCAACTGAATGAGATTTCGATCCTGCAAAAGAAAAAAGCTAGGTTGTACGTGCAAAGTTGATGAACACAAAACAGCCATTTTGGTGGACCGAGAGGAAGTATAAACAAGGTAAAAATGTAAAGGAAAATGAAAATGACGTCGCAATGCATAAGTCCAAGTGGACTATTTTAGTTTCAACATCCCCCATGCACGTGGCTCCCATGCCTCATCTCGATTGGCCACTCACTTTTGGGAATGTTGAAATTTTTTAAAACTCATGTCCTTATCCAGTAAAGCGCAGTGCGTGAGCCAAAGACAAGGAAAGTTTAGTCCAAAAAAGTGAAGGTGGGGGTATCTATGTGTAGTCGGGCCATCGAGGGGAAGTTGCCAGTATTGATCCCTTGAAAAGGTGGCAAATTTATGCGGTGAGGGGGCTTATTATGCCTGCTGCGCCCAGCGCTGCTCACGGAGGGGCATGTCCTCTCCGCTTGTTTGGCGAGTGCCATCCATTTCACGCTTCCAGGCGAAGTACTCGCCTAGACGGAGCTCGGCGTAGCTGGCATAATCGAAATCAATTTGAGAAATTTGGGCTTGGATAAGAGCCCATACACCCCTATGATTCGATCGGTTAGCCTTAAGTGGGACTTGGATTTTGGGCGCTATCTCGATAACGATTTGATGGAGGGGTAAAACCCGCGATTGCAGGGGCACGCAGGGGTACGTCACTTACCAGTACAGACCAGGAATACCACGGAATCGATCGACGTCTTCAAATAATCTGGTGACGATCTCGCCTTCGGATGAGGTATCCAACTTGCGGTGCTCAATATAACTCTTTGTGTACTCGGTCAAAAATTGACGTCGAACGGATTGCGTGGGGATCATGGTGTAATCGCAGTCGTAACCGATCCACTCAGCCAGGTGGTTGGCAATATCGAATGCCGCTGGGGCAGGGACGGCATATTCGTAGTCAATGAAGTTGACAGGGATGATTTCATCGGATGGCTTAGAGTTCTCGTCGCTGGGCAAGACGATCACATTGGCGCAAAGCAGATCGCAGTGAGAGAAAACAAGCTAAGCAAAAGTCAATAAAAGGTGCCCAGCGAAAAGAAAGTAAAAAAAAATAAAAATCAAAGGAATGCGCGGTCATGTCTTACCCCGTCTTCACCGATACCCTTTCCATCGTCGAGCTTGCCAATCACCCATTGGAGTTCTTGCTGCAGGCTTAACCGGCGGGCCCGCTGCTCAGGCGTGGCCACCGGAAGAGCGATAATCCATTTCTGGAGGACAGCCCACATGGAGGGCCCCGCGCGACGCGGTTGGATCAGATCAAAGTCCAATCTCTCGCCATTGGTCATGGTCGAATCTGCACCGGGGGCAGGAACAGCCCCTGTAATGGGGAGAACCGCATGCCACTGGGCGAGTCGTCGCGCAACACCACGGTAAATGGGAGCGGTTGTCAGGTCCTCGTGGCCACAGGGCTTACCCCGAATGAAGCGGTACAGAAGGCCATTATTGAAACGAGCGAGCAAGGGAGGGGCGAGGCCACAGCTGGCGAGAAGGGCGTGGGATGTAGTTTCTCCTAAAATCAGGCACAAGAGTCTACTTTAGCATATGTCGCACTGGGCAGCGAAGGTGTAACGATGATGATCGCAGGGGCAAGGAGAAGAGGGGGTTTAACCCTGTCTCCTGGGTCTTCGTACTTTCGCGGTCTATGAGGATCTCGGTGCCATTGCCGTATGCGCGCATTAATACGGCATCATTGTCTACCTGCTCGTCTGACAAGCCCGCCTTGCGGTTGATAATTTTCAAAAGCTGTAGGATTTCCAGTCAGCCAAGGTTCAAAGAGGAGTGGGGTTTGTGGGAGATTGGCCCTTCCAGGACCAAGGGCCATGGGGGACGGCGGGGGAGACGCACGGTATTGGTGATGCCATCGGTGAAGCGCACGAACTCGATCTTATTGCCCGGGCCTTCCCAGTGGGGAAAAAGGGTCAAGATCAGGCGAAGAGCGGATGCCTGAGAGTCCGCGGGGCTATAGGAGAGGGGGATGTATCGCAGGTACGGCGCAGCGGTCTGGTTCTCGGAGGAGCCCATGGTGGGTTGGAAATAGGGGGTTGTTGGAGTGTAGAAGGGGAAAAAGTTTGGGTTTCAGGGTCGCGGAGCGCGGCTTTTAAATCAAGTACCGAATGATTGGACCTAGCTGTATTAGTGGAAATCCGAGACAGGGTCCAGTTTCTGGAGGCTCAAACAATTTATGGGCAAATTTGGAGAACGGGAGATCTGCAGAAGGCCTGTGAAAGACAGGAGGAATAGATTGAGGGATTTTTTTTTAATGTTTTAAGACTTGTCCTTAGGAGGCAAGAGGTCGCATGAGGAGAAAGAAGAAAGATTTAAGGCTGCAGGATGAGTTGTTGTTAAGGCCAAAGTTAAAGAGGCGAAGAATGAGACAGGGGATCACTTTGGTCTCGTGCTCCTGACCCATGATTGGAAGATTTACGGCCCAATGAACGGCACATCCATGGATCCTAAGCCGTTGATGCAACATTGTAAGAACGATAAAATAAAAAAATAAAAAAATAAAAACAATAATTAAAAACAATAAACATAAGAATCTTATAATCCTCAGGGGTAATTCCAGAAAAGATGTATGTGAAGTTTGAATTCTGTTTTGAAGACATACATTGAAGAATCCCAACTACAACATGTATAGAACCACCAGACACCTACTTTTGACTCGCAAAGAGAAAAGATGGGCCTTGAAGTAAATGGCAGAATCCACTTAGGCGGGGACGCTTTCACATGTAAGACAGAGAGAGGCAAAAAGGGGAAAGAGGGGTCACATGGATCCACTGTGCCCTAGGCCAGGATTTCAGGCCCTAATCTCCCAATTGAGAGTCTACCGGGGATAAGGCGGAACTATTAATCCGCGCAAATTCAATTTTTTTTTTGGGTTTTGCTCGGTTAGTAATGGAGTTCCGGCGAAACCATTAATCCTAGCCCAATTAGCTCTAGCGTAGACTCGCTTTTTTCAATGGTATAAATACTGGCCGCCGCCCCGGCCCAAGGAAGGATTTCTTTTTCTTCTCACATCATCAGTAGAGGTTTTACATACTATGTAAAATTTTCAACCAGGGCTCCGTACGCGGCTTGCTGAGGGTTGTCCTTAAGTGATTATACACTTCATGGGCTTTCTTCCGTTCCCGGCTCTGCAGAGAAAATGAGTCTCCCTTTATCCCGAAAAATTATGGCTTTGCTAGGGTTCCCTCACGGGAGCCTCATGCGCTCATGCTGTGGAGGGGGCACGACATTCCAACTTTTAAAATAACGTTCATTGTTAAAAAGAAGATTCTGCTTAGAATTCAATTCAACTGTAGAATCTTGAGCATGGACGCGGTAAAATCTTTTTCTTAAAGAGCTTAGCCTATCTCCCGAGGTCGCACTCGGGTCAGATAGATAGGTCTAGACGAAATTGCTTGTTTTCCTAATTGGTTTTCAATGACCTATTGGGGCTTCATGCGTACACGTCGTATAGTTCATACCCAGGCCGGGTAAAACTTGATGATGGCATGATATCTGTACCTGACCCAATATCAGTTGGTAGCGTTGTCACTTGTGTGTCCAGGCCATTCTGTCAGGATATCCCGTCAAGCCTCCCGTCGCAACCTTGAATGCCACCAGTTGCTCGCAACATTGAATGTATGGGCAGGGTATGGGAAAATGCACCTAGCATGAGTTATTCTTATTTTGATAACTCGGTTCGGTTGAACTGCTCAACAATACCCCGTTTCATCAGAGGCAGCTACTATGTACATAGCCACCTAGTCATCAATCACCGGCTCAGCCCTGGCGTCACATTCAAGTCACATAAACACATAAACCATTTTTGAGATATCCTTTCGTGTATACTCTATTCTTATGCCCGTCCTGCATTGCCAATCTGGATACGCTGTCCAGTCCACTTGTCATCGCTGCGCAATACCGGCCAGCTGGTGCCGTCGGCCTTGACAAGCGTCAGCTCCAGCTTTGTGCCCAACACACGGAAGCTCGACTTCTCCGCATCAATTGGAGCAAAGAGGGTATAGGTGTCCTGGAAGCGCTTGTTATCGGAGGTGGGAAGGTCGAAAGTGATGGTCTTTTCAGCAAGCTTAACGCTGGCACGCTCCTTATCGATCTTCTTCAAGTAGAGCGAAACGTTCACGGAGGTCACGGTCTGGTAGAAATCGTTGCTGCAAATAGAAAAAGTGACACATTAGTATGATGACGCGGGGTATAGGGTGGGTTGATCAGTCAATAGCTAAGAACACCTACCGAACGGATTCCACCTTCTCTTCGCCTTCGGGCTTGGCCTTGCCCACAAACATGTGCCTTGTCTTCTCTGTGCAACCGGGAATCTTCAGAAATTGGTCAAACTCCAGCACTCGGCGCTTGCAGCAGGTCCATCCTTTGCTGCCCTCGTGGAAGATCGGTTGGCCTGGGTGGTGCACACATTTCTCGTCATCCCGCGCCGCTGACCCCGTGTATGTAGTGCCGCAGCCTCTCCGACGGCATGTTGCGTTGGCAGGGATCTCCAGATCTGGGTCGTCGGAGTCAGGCTCGACCGGTGCCGGGGTAGCGGGGGCGCTGGGTGGCGGGATGGCGGTGATGGCGGGGCGCTCGGGCAGCGTCTTCACCTCGACGGCAGCAGGAGCAGGGGGCTCTTCAGTGACCTTTGGGGGCTCAGGAGCGGGGGTGTCATCGACGGTCGAGTGCTTGCCGGTGGTGCATGGCGCGATCGCAAGGAATTCTTCAAATGTCAAGACGCGGGGTCTGCAGCATTTCCAGCCTGGGCAAAGTAAGATCACAGGTTAGCCCGATTTCTTTCGAAGCAATGGAGAATCGGCTTTGCATTATTTTGTCCATTGAGTGGGTAAAAGAGAGAACAAGAGCGCCACCGATGTGGAATAGCTCCAGCACCAAGGTACTTTACCTTTCTGGCCTTCGTGGAACACTGGAGGACCCGGATGGTACAAGCAGGCTTCCTCCGGATCGGAGAAGGCCTTCCCACATCCCTTGTGAACGCACTTGTCGGTCATTATGTGCAGCGAAATTCTTCGTGTATTAAATTGGAAGGATAGAGAGTAACACTGGGAATTGTCAAGGAATATTGCCGAAGCTCAGGATTGACAGTTCGCAGCGCAGGTTACCCAAATTGGTTTAGCCCCGCGAAGCTCGAAGGTTCCATCGCGGAGAATGTTTGACCGCTCGCGACGTATCGTCACTGTTGATTCCCGACACAACCTTGCAAATTTCCTTCGTGGTTCTTGTTCTGAATACGCGTTTAATTGATATAATTCTCTCCAACTACAGCCATGCTCCCAACTCGCGCCCTCTTTAGTCAAGCTCGTCTGACCCTTTTCACCCGAGCCGGTTGCGGGTTGTGCGACACGGCAAAACATACAGTCGTTCAACTCCAGAAGCGTCGTCCTTTCGAATACATAGAGAAGGACATTCAGGAACCCGGAAACAAGGCTTGGAAGGACGTCTATGATTATGATGTGCCTGTTCTTCATGTGCAATCCGTCAACAATGGGCTGCCCAAGGAGGCCGAGCTCTCCGATGCATGGAAGTTATTTCATCGATGGACAGAACAGGAGGTTGAGAAATTGGTGGACGAGGCAGAAAAATGAGGAACACGAGCTATGAAATTTCCTCGGGAACTGGAAGAATTGATTCCCACCTCCACACCTCGTGATAGACTTTTGCCGGACTCGACCGTGACAGAAGAGGCCCTACTACGAAACCTCTTGAAGACTATTGGTCACCCATTCTACCAAAGGAGGTTGTAGCATTATCCATGGATAAATTGCCCCGTTCAAACACGATCAGTGGACTTAAGCGATATTCACCTGAGCACTTGCATGTTTGCATGTATCTTGTACATGTACACTGTGCATGTTGCCAACCAGTTCTTCAGATAAGAAGTAGGTCAGCTATTCATGGAGATTACCACTTACCACAATCTACAACCCAGCCAGCCGGCATGGTTCAATGTTTTCAACTCAAGAATAGACCCACAAAATTCACTCGCAAAAATACGGGTCTACTGTAGGTATGCAAACATATATTGATGTGTCCGTGGATGCGCATGTGCCTCAAGTGCCTCGGGGACGGGGCCATTCCATATGATCCAATGTAATTACTTTGCTACTTTAGCCATCCATGAATCTGAGAAATGGATCGTAATAGATTTTGATGTATTCAAGGTTCCAAGTGTATATCGGGTACGTGGAGTAGCAGCCAAAGAACACCACAGTCTACTACATACATTTGGTGTGGATTGGGACTAGGGGCGGTAAGGGATAGTCCGGTAAGGCGGCCCGATAACGCCCCGATAACACCGGGGTCCACCAACATTGAACCATCCAAACGCGTCCCCGCGCGCGTTCTCCACACGTTCAATATCTCTTTGATTCCTGTTTCCAGTTGCGGTTATCTGTGCATCAAACAGATACAACTTGGTTGGTCCTAGATAATTCCGAGGCATCGGCCTTGAGGAGGCTCATAAGTGGGCCTTGACCACCATCGACGCCATGGGGGAGGCGCCAGTCCTTGAGATTGTAGAGGCAGAAGCCTTGCCCAATGTGGCTAAAACCACATGCGTGATGTGCAAACTGACAAATCGCTCTTGCAATGGAGTGAATCCTAGTGAGTTCCCTGGTTGCTTCTACGGGGTGCGTGTACTGACGATACAATACAGAATGCGGTGCCTGTGTGGCGCATAGTTGTGAGGACTCTTGCTCTTATGAATATCAAGATACGGAATCAGGTGGCACCGGAAGTCCTCGACACGACTTGAATGGCGCACAAAAAGGTTCCGCTGGCGGAGTAGAAAGTTCGCTATTGCCAGAAAGCGACATGAGCACTTCAGGAACACGACACAGTTCGGACCGGGAACTGCCTCCAACCGACACTTGCCGAAAAAGCCTGACAAGAGCACGCATGGAGCCACAGCGCTTTTCCCAAATGGGATTCGATAACCCCGCGAAGGACTCTGAAAAGTCGGGCAACATCATCCAGCTTCCGAGTGGCCCAAGCGAAACTGATCTTATGCGCTGGGACATGTTGAAGATCACTCACAGTACAGGAAAATCAGTTCCGTTGACTAATTCCCACTTGAAGTGCCTGCTCCGAGTATTGCAAGATGACCATCCATCTTATACCGAAGATGAGATACACGAAAAAGCAGAATTTGCGGTTCTCTTCGAGGACAGGATGGGTGGACCAGGCGGGGGAGACGGTAGCTTGTTCAGTTTTTATGATATGCGAGCGTTGGAGTTGATCTTGAAAATCCCCTTCATGGATCGAGCAAGGGTTGATGCATATGAACTAGACATCTGCATAGACATTTTTACGGCGACCACACCCGCAGGGAATCAAAAAATGATGAGTGGAATCTCTCCTTCAGGCTTGAGACTTCTCAGTCGTGTCATGAGGAAAACCCAGGCACACCATCGGGATACTGAGCTGATTGCCAGCATTAATCGTGCCCTCGAAACGGGGAAGCCCATGCCTCGGTCGACATTAGTGCATAGCCTGGAAATTTTAAAGCCGTTTCAAGATCAATCCGCAATTCAGCCTCACACCCCTGAGCAGGTGACACAAGCACAGTCACAAAAACGGAAACGAGCCGCAAGTCAGTCTGACACGCGTGAGCATGTGACACAAGCAAACTCGCAAAAACGAACGCAGGCAGCAGAACTTTCACCATCAAAACTCCCCCACCCATCTGCTTCAACAACCTCCTCATCCGAGAACCTCCCGGCACAGATTCAAAAAAGAAGCATATTGGCCTCTGGGCCGACCCCCTTCATGTCACGTCAAATTTCGAAAGATCTCCGCAAGGCGTTATTTGACGTTTATTGCCAAAATGAATATCCCACGTTTCCATTGATTGATTTGCCCGCGCTGAAATCATATCAAGCTGACTTAGAACTGAACGAGGGGGGTATTGAAGACTCACGAATTGCCGTTTTGCTTTTTTGTTGTGCGATTGCCTGTTTCAGAACAGATTTTGATCTTGCGTTCAAGCGTGCACAATCGATTTACCAATCCGCGATGGAATGGATGCCTTCAATTGGGGATTCTGGAGATTTGTTACGTCTTGTGCAATGCCAGGCCCTGAAGAGCCAGTATCTCTGGGCAAGCGGTGACTTACTGGCTGCATGGGAAGCAATTTGTTTGGCGATTAGAATGGCTTACAAGTTGGGCATCGAGCTCAAATCCGACGTCAATTTTGATGCAGAAAGCCACAAAATTCAAGTGGCAACACGTCTGTGGCATAGCATGCAAACTATGGAGCGTTCTCTCACACTGGACATTGGCACAATATACTGTGGTTTGGGCTCAGTGTTTAATGTGCGTTTGGCCTCGAAGGATTGGACCCATGGAATTCCAGGAGTAGCTGAAGACGACGACGAAACAGCTATTCGCTTGCATCAAGTTTTCGTTGAATACTTCAAGCTACACACATTTATGGACAACCTGAGGGAGCTTGAGGGAGATCTGCGGCTCTCAAACTCGCAATGCGCCCTCGAGAAGATCAAAGGAATGGATACCAGGGATCTCATGGATATCGAGGAAGAACTCATAAGTTGGGACACTTCACTCCCCATTTTTTTGAAATATGACTCTCTGCCCACTGGCACCGATGTCCTGATCGGTAGTCTACGTACCAGGCTGCGCCTGAGGTTCCTATATTTCAAACTTCGTCTTTACCGCCCCCTTTTGATTATTGGCGCCGCCCTTTGTGGAGGATGTGCTAGCGATGAATGTGTCCAGAGAGAACAGGTTCCTCATATGAACTATCAAAACGGATATGGAAAAAATGGGCCATCCCGTCTGGGGATCGTCCGGGACGCTGCTATCAAATGTTTGCAGATTGCAGTATCACTGGCGGAGTTGCTGAGGGAATCCAAGGAGTCTACTTCTTCCAAGCTGTCGCCATGCGAATACCTACACTACTTGTATGCCTGCGCACTGGTCCTCATTGCAGGCAGAGAGCTTCCTTTCACCGAAAAGGAAGAAGTGCTCAATCAACACACCCTGGCATTTGGCAGTATCCGCTCTCTCATTGAAGACAGCGAGAAAGATATTAGGAGCCTCCCAGAGAATGTGAGCTTACTCTTCAGAAAATGTTCAGAAGTTGTGACCAAACTTGATCAGCATGTTTGTCCCCCCAAAATGCCGCGTTCGATTGATGAGCTCGGATTTGAGAAATCCGCATGGCAAAAGCTTTATGCCAGACTCAACCAAGAGCCTCCTCCACCGAAGGCCACGGGTAATGGCCCCCGGCCTCCATTCTTGCTCGGCTGGTATGAAAGTCTCCCAACAGACATGGTACTTTGATCTAGGATGCTCTGACGCCTGGTGCCGACCCATTCTCCTCTCCCTGTCTTTGTATCTAGTATAATACTGAACATCTCATACCCTGCCTGATACCCTGATTCTGATTTTTTTTGGTTCTTCGCATTTGATATCATGATTTTTACTTTTTGCTTGATATGTCATGGTTTTATTCGTTTCATACCCTACCGTTGTTAACTTGATTACGTACAGGCCATCCATGACGCAAGTTTTGACAGATAATAAACGAGTACGAACCCCACCGGGGTATATTTTTACCCTTTGCAGAATCAGATCCATTTCCAATCAGATCTTCCACGCAATACGGCGAAACGAACTCCGAAAGCCTTGGCGCTTGCTAACTCGTGGCCTGTGGAGACGCCAAGAACCCGCCACTGGGAATATCACTGATAATTGGGTGGAGATTAATGAAAGATCATCATTTCTGCAGCCCCTTTAAGTTTAGTATTCCACATTCTTGACAGGGCAAATCATCTACGGCAAGCCCAGCGTCCATTCACAGGGCTGGCGTTGAAGATTTGGGGAGGATTCAAGTCTTTCAATGCAAATTTCAGAACAAGATAAATACTGCTTGACTGATCAGTTTCCTTGTCTTGCGGTTCTCACAGGGGAAAGATTGGCAATTTCCAACTCCTTAATTATCAACACTGGAACTGCCAGTGAACTCCTTTATTGCTGGGCATTACGAATGCTTTTCCTCCGCTTGTCGTAATTCCGGACCCGCGAACCCACACCGGGCCAATCGGATGCATTCAAAACTTTTTTTACACTGTATAGCGGTCCTAATTACCTGATCTAACCATTGTTTAATTTCAACAATGTCGGCACTGAAGAAACGGATCTGCTCTCCTGATTGTGCTTCAACGGCTTTTTACGCACATAGCATATCACCACATAGGGTGCTCGAGAGATGTTATTCTCTCGCTCTATATGGCCATGGCAACGGCGATTCGGAAAGACTGCTCTCGCATCATGGTTCTTTGTTCTCGTCACTTTCTTGATTGCGCTTCGATTTCTCGCGCTTCCAAATCTCCAGCGCTTGCACCTCCAAGTAGGGGTTTCGCTATTCGATGATGGATTTTATGGATTTTATCCAACTCGCAAATATGTCTCGTTTGAATATGAATCTCCGGCCGTGGAGCTGGCCAAATGGAGTCCCAAGTGCAGTGATGACTATACTTTCATGGCGCCACATGGGAGCGCTGTTGAGAACCCGGGTGCTATGATATTAGATTCTCGTGGCAATCTTGTCTGGATGATGAAGCCGAGGTCTGACAAAACGCAGGACTTTCGTGTACAAGAATATTTAGGTGAACAGTATTTGACGTACTGGCACGGAGCAGCAGATAACGGGCATGGTCGTGGTGCTTGGTCCATGGTAAGAGATGCCTTTCCACAATCTCAAATCGTAAATCTTGTGCAGACACTAACATTCTGACAGTTGGATACAACTTATACGCCCCGTTTTGAAGTCAAGGCAGTCGGCAATCATGATGGTGACATGCACGATTTCCAGATCACGAAGAATGGAACCGCCATGGTGATTGTGTATGATGTCCAACCAACAGATTTGAGCCAGTTTGGAGGCCCCGAATACGGCTACTTCTCTGAATGTCTTTTCCAGGAGATTGATATTGCTACTGGAGAACTGATCTTCGAATGGCGAATGTCAGAGCATGTCCCCCTAAACGCCTCATACGAGCAACTAAAAGACCGCGGCTGGTCGACCAGCGACGCCTACGACGTCTTCCACATGAACAGCATTGACAAAGATAGTGCAGGCAACTATCTTGTCTCTGCACGCCACACACACTCGATTATGAGCATCGACGGCAGGACCGGCGAGATCCTATGGACATTAGGTGGCAAGTTCAACGATTTCACCGATGCATCCGATGGACAAGCTACGAATTTCTGCTGGCAACACGATGCGCGATGGCGCGGGGAGCGAACTCTGACCCTTTTCGACAACACCGCCGAGCAATTTATGGACGGACCGACAGAGAGCCGTGGAATGACTCTTGAGCTCGATACCGATAACAAGATTGCGCGCCTGCGCTCCGAATACTACCACCCCGAAGGAATTCGCGCCACATCCCAGGGAAATATGCAGGTCCTGCCTAACTCGGGCAATGTTTTAATCGCGTGGGGTCACTGCGCGGCGTTTACCGAATTCTCAAGCGACGGAGAGATGCTTTGCGACACACATTTTGCGCCTTCGAACTGGTTCCAGCTTGGCCAGGCCGTTTCGTATCGTATCGCCAAGGGGAGATGGGCTGGACAACCGAACACGAACCCAAAGGGCGCCGTGGTTGACTCGTCGGTGTTTGTGAGCTGGAACGGTGCGACAGAAGTCAGGTCCTGGAGACTTGAGCTGTGGGATGGAGTGGACATGAAAGAGATGAAGTTTCATCCTCATAGCGTCGCTCAAAAAGAGGGCTTTGAGACGGAGATCGAACTCCCTAACATTCCTCACGTCTATTTCCGGGTCGCTGCCTTGAATGACAAGGGCGAGCTCCTCGGTGCTACCGATACACTGAGCTGGCAGCTTCGCGAGAGCCAAAAATCCCCTCTCGCCATCCCACCTGGTATTGTGCTCTCTATCTCAATGATCGCGTGCTGCGTGTTGCTGGGGGCTTACTGGATTTGGAGGAGGTGCACCCGCCACAAGTCTCAAATCTTGGGTTACAAGCCCGTTTCACTCGCGGTCAGTGAGATCAGTGAGCAGGATGAAGAAGCTCGATCATTCTTGCGAGCATCTGTTTCATCTGCAGATCGACCAACATTACTCTCCCAACCTTGATGAGCTGGGAAACCCTTCAATCATTCCTTTGCATTTCTTATACATTTTTAAGCCACATTACTGTACATACTACCCAATACCATTTCTTTGATCAAGTTCACCAATATGCGATGCACAAATCATATACAAAGCATCGAATTTCTTCCATGGGGTTTGATGAATTAAGTGGCATGCTTTGTGGTGAAACTACTGGAATCTACAAACTACCGGACCCACTCAAACTCAGTTCATGCGGCGTTTACCTTAATTCCGAAATCCTATTTTGACGCCAGGATCAGCCTCAATCTGACATTAGAAATCACTTCACTGTCCCCATAATGCCAAACGTGCCAAGCCAAAGAGTATCTAAAGCACCATGAAGCTGGCGCCATCAACAGAAGACCCCGCCGCGAAAAGGCGACTCCAGAACCGCCTCAACCAGCGGGCCAGCCGTATGTGACACCTCCAGAAATTCGCCACCGCGTGCTGAAGAACCACTCTAACGTGACAAACAGGGGAAAGGAGAGCTCTTAAATCTGGCAAGCTCAACAAAAATCACCAAAGATGGATAATTTATACCGAAGAAGCCAACCCTCGTGCTGAACTAGGAATGGCCCAGAATGACGACCAAGTGTCAGCATCGACATCGATATCACGAGCGACCTCACCACCAGAACAGTGCATAACAAAACCCTCTTGCTCACGAAACCCCAATATCATTGCAGACTGGAATGCCCGAAAACAACATCTCATAGCACAACTGGATTACCGCGTTGCTTCGGCGGCAGCAGCAGCCCACCCGCTCAACCAACTCACCCTCCTTGCGCCCGTCACAAATCTAAACGTCATCAACGCCATGTTAACCAATGCATCATTAATGGGTCTAACGCTAGATCTGCTAGGCGAAGATCTTGTTTCTGCGTTCAATATTGTCGGGCCAATGACAATGAACCTGCCACCAAGTTTGCAGCCAACATCTTCCCAGAAAGATATCATTCATCACCCCTGGATCGACCTTATGCCCATGCGATCTTTCAGAGATGTTCTGTTGAACAATATGGATCAATATGATGAAGACGACTTCTGCGGCGATCTACATGGCCAAGTGGGAGCTTCCAATGGGATTGGATTGATTGTTTGGGGTGAGGCGTGGGATCCGAACGCTTATGAAATCTCCGAGGCTGTCTTTCGGAAATGGAGTTGGCTGGTAGAGAAATGTCCGGAGCTTATTAGAACATCGAATTATTGGAGGAGGAAAAGGGGCGAAAAGCCTTTGCGTGTTGAACGGCCCGTGGGGTTTGTGCTTGCGGAGGAAATTCGGGAATAAAACGCAACAGAATACATATTGAACATTATGTTCTCTTCATCACATATCGAATAATATTACAAAACTTCAAACAGAACCATGAAAGAAAATCCGACTGAAATATTCGTTCAAAACAATGAGGCCTTCGCAATCTGGGGGTTCGAATCAATAGAACAACCATCACTCTGCCGTACTCACTGTTCATTTAATACATAAGTTCTTTGAAGATCTCGCAGACTCGGTCCAGGCAGGATCCCTAGTATTCAAGTCTTCTATTTCCCAACAATCAATTGTTCACTTAGGTCCCAAAGTCTGGACCAATTCTTCTCATCAAGGACCTGGCTGTGCAGCTCGTCATCCGCAAGGGCATTCTGACTCAAGTAGGCCCCATTGTGATCTTGCATGAGGAGCATGGATATTAGTCAGAGTATTCGCACAAGAAAATGAGTCTAACAGGTAAACTCACCGGTGATCGTGGGATCAAGCATGCCAGTGATAATAGTAGCCGCACCCTCGGAGGTGGTGGCCCGCGGCTGACTTTGCCATGGGGTTCCGTCCACATCGATGTAATCTGTAACGCGTCAATTCCGATCAATCGGAGTGAATTCAATCGAAACCTCTTACATCCATCTTTCCTCCATGTATCAAAAAGGGCTGCGATTTCCCCGTCCACGTGGCGCTGCAGTCCGGTAGAAACGGCTATGGAAGTGAGTTTTCATTCTCCAAATTAGAACATCCTGACAGGATGGAAATAATACTTACAGCCTGGATCAATGCTGTAAACCCGGATTCCTTGACCCTTCAAGTTCTCGCTGAGTCTTTTGGCAAACATGACTCGTGCAACATTGGACCCGCAATATGCAGCAAGTGCCTCGTAGGTTTTTCCATCCTTTGAAGAGCGAGTGGTTAGATTGAACATGTGTATTATTGCTCCAGCTTTCTTTTTGCTTTTGAAGGGAGCGCAGAGGTAGTTGGTCACTTACACTGCAGACGATATCATCAAAATTCAATCTTCCCTGCCTGAGAGCCGCGCTCGCCACGGTAATGATAGAGGATGACGGACCGGCAGCTTGTACCTTGGGGAGAAGAAGCTTTACCAGGAAGAAGTTGGCTAGGTAGTTGACGCCAAACTGCATTTCGATTCCGTCCTTTGTCTTTTCGTAGGGACAGGCCATTACTCCGGCTGCGAAGACTATGTGGTCGATTCGAGGGATATCTGCGAGTCCGGCTTCGACGGCTTCGCGAATACCGCCCAGGTCACTCAGGTCCATGCTCAAGAAACGGGTTGTGACATTGGGTTTGAGTTCTTGGATTCTTGTGATGATAGGGGCTACTTTTGATTCGGTGCGAGCGCTTAGGATGAGGAGGGAGGGGTTGGTGGTGGAGAGCTGGACGGCTAGTTCTCCCGCTATGGAGACGTCGGAAATTCCGGTGATTAGAACTGTTGTTTAATGGTGTTAGAAGTAATTTGGTGAGGTTGTAAATGTTGGATGATGGGAGCATACTTGTCTTTCCATTCAATGCTTTGCCGTACTTTTCCAGGATGATTTCGGAGCGAAGGCGTTGCTTTGCGGACATTTTGTTAACAATGTTCATTTAGAACGTGAAAAGAGAAGAATGTATTGATGTTTTGTTTCAAGCTGAGAAGCAGACTCGATAGATTCTTTTATAGTTGGTTTTTGGTACTTGGTTCTAACATTGCCCGTTGTCCATGAAGTATACCCGGCTTAACTCCGATAAACGCGGGTATGATGCCACTGGTGCATTGGTCGAAATAGGTTAGTTTCATGTCATCAATGTTTAAAAAATAGTTACTGGAACTTTCTTAGATCATTCAAATGATATAAGACACCAATCTCAATGTGGCTAGACTTGAGTCAGCATTCCTCTACATACTAAACCATTAATTAATGTGGGCTGTCTCATCCATTGATGTCATGAACGATTGTCTTGGCACTTTTCATAAAGTGGCCGACACTACATAGAAAGACCAACATTGCAGATTATAGCTGCGGAAGCAGAAAACCATCTAAATGCCGACCTCATAAACTGTTGATCGAAACTGAAAAGATGCCCGAGCCCTGGAGTGTGCGCAGGCATGCGGAGTATCGCTCTTGTGCAACATGACATTCTCCACATTCCTTGCATCCGAAATGTTAGCTCTGTAGATCACATCGATCCCCCTTTCCGGCTCCGCTCCATGATAAAATTTAATATTCCTCCTGATCACAAGTCTACTGTATAGACTTGGTGAAAAGTTCATGGCAAGTGGACTACAATGCCATCAACAGCAACACCCGAGCAATCGCCTTTACTTCTGCAGGGGTCACCCAGCCATGGGCGCTGGTCGCCTCGTCTCCCACCTGCACGCGACGCAGACCCGCAAATAAAGTCGGCAGTGGTCGCTGCGATAGTCTCCACCTGGATTGCTACCTTCCTCGCAGCAGCAGACAGCACCATCACCTCAACACTATCAGCCACCATCGCGCATGAATTCGGATCCCTAACCCTCGTGTCATGGCTAGGATCGGGTTATCTAATTGGCCTTACAGCCACACAACCGCTCAGTGGAAAATTAAGTGACATTTTCGGACGACGCGTGAGCTTTTGTGTCGCGTCAGCCCTGTTCACTATCGGCAACCTTATCTGTGGCTTCTCGCACTCGGAAGTGGTGGTCATTGCCGCGCGGGTTGTGACTGGTATTGGAGGAGGTGGATGTATTTCGATCGCGACTTTCATTGCCTCTGATAATATACCGCTTCATCGCCGAGGTATTTGGCAGGGTGTTGGCGCTGTCGTATACACCTCTGGCATGGGTCTAGGTGCGGTGATCGGTGGTACAATCAATGACGCAGTAGGCTGGAGATGGGCGTTTATTGGGATTGCGCCTGTATCATTCATTGCTGGACTTGGGGTCGCGGCGTTTGTACCAAGTCAGACCGAGGAAAAACAAAATCTGGGGAAAATGCTCGGTCGGATTGACTTTCTCGGCGCAGCGACCTTGGTGTCATCACTGGTACTATTGATGCTGGGTCTCAACCACAACGGATCAGAGGAAACATTCCCACTATTCAGCCTTGTTGTTCCTGTCGGCGCGGTACTTCTGGTGGCATTCCTTATGATCGAATATCGCTGGGCCAAAGAGCCGATCATTCCGTTGTCGCTGTTTGGTCGACGAACTGTCGTAGCAGCTTGCTTAGCGGCCTGGTTCATGTCCATGGCCTTTTATGCACTCACATTTTATGTTCCACTGTACCTACAGGTGCTCGGGTATTCAACCAGCGAGACGGGTCTTCATCTTCTTCCCGATTCCATTGGTGCCGGCTTGGGGTCTTTCTTAGTTGGTCTGGTCATTCGAGTAACAGGGAAATATGGTGTTTTCCGATACACCATGCCATTGCTTCTCGTCATCGCATCGGTCGGATTTGCTTTGATATCTAGAGAAACATTTTGGGTTTTGCCGGAGGTATACCTTTTCTGTAAAGGATTCGGAATGGGTGGTGCCCTGACAATGGTGATTCTAGCCTTGCTACATGCGGTCCCTCATGAAAAGCACGCAACGGCCACTTCTGCCTTGTACGCGTTTCGATCGACAGGGTCAACGGTTGGCTTATCTGTTGCAAGTGCCATTTTCAGCCACCGGCTCAATCAGGCCTCTTTGGTGAACGGCACTTCCTGCGTGGAAGGAGATGAGTGCTATCTGGATGCGCTTCACCAAGCTTTCCGATTTGCACTTTGTGTCTCTTGTACCGGTTTGATATCGGCTCTGTTCATTGGCTGCGCTAGTATAAAGGCTCGGGAGGTGGAGAGGGAATGAATGGTTGAATTTTGATATATGCCTCGTAACTTTGCCCATATGGCGTTTTAAAGCCTTTATTTTCGCAAGGCATGGATGACAACCTTGGGGTATTCACCATCTTCGCCTAAATCTGAAGATGAATTTGCCACAAATGTAACTGCATTGAGAGTTCAATGTTATTGATTGGAAAGATCCTTGTAGATTTTTGTTTGGTGTTTTGTTGAGGTGATGGGCCCACCTCCCGAGGTCTCCAAAGGTAATCCAGTTCCCGGATATACCTTCCTAATCCGTCAGCTATTCACGAAATGCAGAGATGTTGCAGGCACATCGGAAAGCAATGTAAAGAATGAAAGGACTTGGAGGTAACGGAATGGAGTCATTGTGTGTTTTTTTTTTAAAAAAAAAACCCCCCCAAAAAAATTCAGAATTGTTACTGGGAAAAAAAACCGAATTTCAACTGTTACGAGACTTACGTCATCCGGTACCACTTGAAGATTTCGGCGAGTACCGCGAAGGAGAAGGAGACTCCGGAATAAGTCAATGGCTATTAGCCAATAAGCCAAGCTAAAATGATTGTTTTGTACCACGGTGGAGTCAGGTAGTCATGACGACTCAAGTCCCGTGATCTTGGAGATGAAGGAATCAGGATATCAAATTTTGCATGGTTGAGGACTCGAGAAGCTTTCAAAATATTCATTTGGATGTCAAAGGGATTGTACATCATTGCTTGACCAAGACATTTGGGTACAAAGAAGATTCGGAATATAACGGAATATAATGGAATTTGTTGGAGAAAGAGGAGGGGGAAGTCGAGACTCTAATGCTTAGTCGTACAAAAGTGGCCAACTTAATAAGAGGGAAATGGGAAAAGCGACATCGGGATTCGCCGATTCGCAGCTTGTGCATCTTTCCCCGCATAAGAGATCAACTGTTTTTCCCCCACAAGTAACAAAAAGTACCAAAAAGTACAATTAACAAGCTGCGGCGGTCTGGCCCAATAGAAGGTCGTAGCTTAGGAATCACTTGGTCCAGAACTTGTTCCCGCCAACCAGATGACAAACATCCCGAGCTTCTAATAAGTTTCCCGTCATTCGTCTTTTAAAGAGTGCGGGGTGCCCTCTAGCTCTCTTTTTTTGACTTTTCCCTCTTTCATTCCTCTTTCTCTTCATACCCATAATCCTTTACCCCTGTTCAATATCGCAACCATGGGTGAATGTCCAGTTCACAAACCCGCCAATGTCGCCGGCGGTGGCACCAGGAATCACAACTGGTGGCCCGAAGGCCTCAAGCTCAATGTCTTGCGTCAGCACACCGAGACGACCAACCCAATGGGCAAGGACTTTGACTATGCACAAGCTTTCAAGAGCCTCGATTACTATGCACTGAAGAAGGATCTCCACAACCTGATGACCGACTCTCAGGATTTCTGGCCCGCTGATTTCGGTCACTACGGTGGTCTGTTCATTCGCATGGCGTGGCACAGTGCCGGTACTTACCGGGTGTTCGACGGTCGTGGAGGTGGTGGCCAGGGTCAGCAGAGATTTGCCCCACTTAACAGCTGGCCCGATAACGTCAGCTTGGACAAGGCCCGCCGCCTGCTGTGGCCCATTAAGCAGAAGTATGGCAACAAGATCTCTTGGGCTGATCTCCTGCTCCTCACCGGAAATGTCGCTCTGGAGTCCATGGGCTTCAAGACCTTTGGCTTCGCTGGTGGTCGTCCTGATGTCTGGGAGGCTGATGAGTCTGTTTACTGGGGTGGCGAGACCGTCTGGTTCACCAACGATGTCCGCTACAAGGCTGAGAATGAAGATGAGAAGAAGAAGCAGAGTGACATCAAGACTCGTGATCTTGAGAACCCCTTGGCAGCTGTCGTCATGGGTTTGATTTACGTGAACCCTGAGGGTCCTGATGCCAACCCTGACCCCATTGCTGCTGCTCGGGATATTCGTATCACCTTCGGCCGTATGGCCATGGACGACGAGGAGACCGTGGCTCTGATTGCCGGTGGTCACACTTTCGGTAAGACCCACGGAGCTGGTCCCGCAGACAATGTCGGCGCGGAACCCGAAGCCGCCGGTCTTCACCAGCAGGGTCTTGGTTGGACCAGCAAGCACGGCACCGGAAAGGGTGCTGATGCCATCACCTCTGGTCTGGAGGTTACCTGGACGAAGACTCCTACCAAGTGGAGCAACCAGTTCCTTGAGTACCTCTTCAAGTACGAGTGGGAGTTGACCAAGTCCCCCGCTGGTGCCAATCAGTGGACCGCCAAGAACGCCGAGGACATCATCCCCCACGCTTTCGACGCCAACAAGAAGCAGAAGCCCCGCATGCTTACCACTGATCTGTCTCTGCGCTTTGACCCTGAGTACGAGAAGATCTCGCGCCGCTTCCTCGCCAACCCCGACCAGCTCGCTGACGCTTTCGCCCGCGCTTGGTTCAAGCTGCTTCACCGTGATATGGGTCCCCGTGTCCGCTGGCTCGGACCTGAGATTCCCCAGGAGACTCTCCTCTGGGAAGACCCCGTCCCCGCTGTGAACCACCCTCTCATCGATGTGGAGGATGTCGCTGAGTTGAAGCGAGAGATCCTCAACTCCGGTGTCGAGCACACCAAGTTCATCTCTACTGCCTGGGCCTCGGCCTCTACCTTCCGTGGTGGTGACAAGCGCGGTGGTGCCAACGGTGCCCGTATCCGTCTCGCTCCCCAGAACAAGTGGGAGATCAACAACCCCGCCCAGCTGCAGGAGGTCCTGAAGGTCCTGGAAGACATTCAGCGCCGTTACAACGGCTCCCAGACTGGTAACAAGCGGGTGTCGCTGGCCGACCTCATTGTCCTGGCCGGTTCCGCCGCTCTGGAGAAGGCTGCCGGTATCCCCGTTCCCTTCACCCCCGGTCGTACCGATGCCACCGAGGAGCAGACCGATGTCGACTCCTTCGGCTTCCTGGAGCCCTTCGCCGATGGTTTCCGCAACTACGGCCGCTCCACTGGTCGTGTCCGCACTGAGCAGATGCTCGTTGATCGCGCTCAGCTCCTGACTCTGTCCGCTCCCGAGCTCACCGTCCTCGTCGGTGGTCTGCGTGTCCTCAACGGCAACTGGGACCGCTCCAACGCTGGTGTCCTCACCCAGCGCCCTGGCCAGCTGACCAACGACTTCTTCGTCAATCTGCTCGACATGAACACCGAGTGGAAGCCTACTGGTGCTGATAACGAGACCTTCGAGGGTATTGACCGCAAGACTGGTGCTAAGAAGTGGGATGCCACCCGTGTTGATCTCATTTTCGGTCACCACGCTGAGCTCCGCGCTCTTTCTGAGCTTTACGGTAGCCACGATGGCCAGTCCCAGTTCGTGCGTGACTTTGTCAGTGCTTGGGATAAGGTTATGAACTTGGACCGCTTCGACTTGGCTTATGCTGCTCCCTTCAGCCGCCCTGCTCATCTTTAAGAATTCAGTTGTGGACAAAACCTAGTGCTACGTCACTACATGTATCGATTTATTTTTACGAAGACTGCCTTATGATTCCATTTGAATGACAATTAGCTTCATATTTCACAACTGCTCCACCTCCATATCCTATTGATATAAGCCTTTTTTGTAGTATCGGTTTCGATCTGTATCAAAACTTGCGCCGTCAAGTCTGCTTGAGACACGATCGACAGTGAGCTAAATTATACCAAGAGATTAATCGGAAACTTGAGATTTTGAATTTGAATGCGACTTTTGCCACATCAAAGGATACTAATGCCACAGCCTTTTTTGCGGTTTTTAGAGACAGCGCGCGGTCTAGAACGCCAAGACCAATCTTGGTTGGCCAGTTCCCCCTCCCCCCAAGGAAAATCGCGTGGAAGTAATTTACGCCAACTTTACAACTTGTTGCAAACACCTAAATAATTCACCAATTTTCGGATGCCGTTTTTCAATTGATAAAGACTCTCTCTTGTCCTATTCTTAAAAATCTAATACATCAGGAACATGTCCATTGTCGACTCGGCAGCAATTTTATCCGTTAACGCGATGACTAAGTGTTCAAGCACGTGAAACTAATTCAAAAGTAGAAATTCCGACGTATCCGTATCTTGCTTGGCCATTTAGCTTACTATTTGGAATATTGACCTACAAAATTCAAGGTTAAACCCGGGAGGCCACGCTTCTCTGCTTACATTCCAAGTCCCAGAATAGCATAAGGAGATCGTATTCGTTTGCATTTTGCCTCTGACGCGAGAAAATGGATCTCAACGGTGAAAGAACAGTTCGATCGCGACGTTCTCATCGGAAATCACGGGAAGGATGCGCTAATTGTAAGAAACGGAGGATTAAAGTGAGTCTATTTGCTTTTGAATTCCATGCATATTGTTTGAGCTGCTCTTCTCAATCTGTATTCCTCATCATGCGCGAAATTCTTCGTTCCTTGTTTTGCTTGCGTCGTGTACGATATGGAGTGGAAGATGACCGACTTCATAATCATTTAAAGTGCGATGAAAAACGTCCTACATGCATCAATTGTCTCAATCACAATGTGGAATGCTCATTCACTAGCGATGTCCGGTCTATATCACCCTCGGAATCTTCAAAATCAAACCCCGAAGCACGGCCCTTGGTACAGAGATTCAGACCCTACCATTATGCAACAGGGGAAATGAAACAGACCTTCAGACTCTCCAAGTCAAAGGAGAGTCCAAAGGAATCTAAAGCATCTAAAGCGTCTCAACGCGAACTTTCTCACGAAGGCTGTATCAAGAATATCTCGTTACCCGATCTACAGCTCTTCCACCACTACACCATTTCTACATACCGCACCATGCGAGTGGACGACGAAGATGTACATGATCTATGGCAAAAGCATATCCCCGAATGGGGGATCGAGTTCCCATCTATCTTGCACCTGATCATGGCTCTGTCCGCACTCCACCTGGGATACCAGAAACCAGAACTACGTGGACAATATATCGAACAAGCGGACAGCCATTTCACCTTCGGCATTCGCTCGGTCACGTCCGTCCTTGCCCAGCTGAATGCCGACAATTGCCAGCAGGTTTACATGTCAGCTGTCCTGATTTGTTTCATCTATTTCGGACGAGGCCCACGACCGGGCGAATACCTCATCTTCAGTGACCATGGGCCTTCGGAATGGCTTGTCCTCATGAACGGAGTGAAGTCCATTCTACAATCGCACCATGCGAAAATATTCAGTGGAATCCTTGGGCCAAAGGGGAATAAGCCTCCAGTGTATAAGCTCACTCCTGCGCTGCGCAGTGAACTTCATGAGAACGTCATTCATCTTCAAGCGGTACAGCGGTTCGTCGAAGAGGGAGAAATGGACCTTCATGAACGGGAGATATGCGTGTCTGCTATTCAAAATTTATTTGAGATGGTGAAGGAGCTGTACGATAAATTGTCTGTGGGAATGCCGGGTGTGTTCTTGATGGATTTGGTGATCGGTTGGCTTTATCGTCGACCTGAGGAGTTTGTTCATTTCATAGAGCAGAAGCGGCCCAAGGCTCTGGTCGTGCTTGCATATTGGGCAGTTTTGTTGAAGTTTATGGAGACGACGTGGTTCATGGAAGGCTGGTCCGAACATGTGTTGATGGGAATATCGAGTTCCCTGCCTTTCGATTATCATCTTTGGCTGGAATGGCCTTTGCAAAAATCCCGGCAGGTGCAATCAGGCACGTCATAGCGTTATTATCAATTGAAGGAATCTAAAGTAAAATCTCATGTAACGTCATAGTCTTTCAATGTTCCAGTGACAAATGAAGGGGACCAGGTGCCGACCTCTGGGGTCCACGATAAAAACCATAAGTTTGCTTGGAAGTGGATCATATACTGTGAGAACATCTTAGCCCATTGCTATAATTAATACACTTTTTCTCTGCCTAAACATTTGAACCACGAAACAGCTCAGATTCAGTAGATTGTATGGATATGACCCACTAAAGAAAGGCTCATATTGAAGGTTATCGTCAACCACCCCACAGCGCTCCACCCGTACTCGTACAAAAAGTTTCCTAATCGGGCTTACAGGAGTACGCTGTGTTGTAGATCACCAAAGAAGGCGCCTATTTTCAAAGTCCCTAGCAACCTCCTTCTCATAAATAAGAGCCAACTGCTCTGGCTCTTCAAATTAGTCAATTTTTCTCAAAATATCCCAATTGCACATCCAGCAAGACAGAAAATGGACATCGTCTACCATGCCGGCGTAAACGGGTCTGACCCGTATGTCGACTTCTACCCATACACACCATCAGCCACAGCCGGGTATGCCTTCATGGGGATATTCGGTATAACGACACTCGCCCACATCATCCTGACAATCCCCTACCGTGCTGCGTATTTTATCCCTCTTATATTGGGCGGTATATGTACGATCCTAAATCCCCATTCCACCGACCCTCCTTTCCCCGTTCTTCAATTATCTACTTGCATGTGCCGAGAAAGGGTCCAGAGACTAACAAAACCCAAACCACAGGTGAAACGTTCGGCTATTACGGACGAGCCCGGTCCCATCAATCCAGAACAGACATCGGATCCTGGGCGCTGCAGGAAATCCTCATCCTCTGCGCTCCACCCCTCATATCAGCAACAATCTACATGGTCCTGGGCCGAATCATCCGCTCCTTCAACGCAGAGCACCTCTCCCCCATGCGCCCAGGTGTCCTAACATTCGTCTTTGTCCTGAACGACATGTTTTGTTTCTGCACCCAGCTCGGCGGAGCCGGCGTCCAAGTCACCGGCGATCAGAATATCATGGACATAGGCAAAAAGGTTGTCCTGGCGGGCCTGATCTTCTCGCTGGTCGTCTTCGTCTTTTTCGTCCTCATCGCTGTGGCCTTCCACCGGAGGCTTTCGAAGACGCCGCCCACGCGGTTTTTGGCCCTAGAGGAAGATCTGGGCTGGAGGCGCTATATGTGGGGGATTTATGGGGCGTGTTTTGCGATCATGCTGCGTAATCTTGTGAGGACTGTGCAGTTTGGGGCGGGTTCGATGGCTGCGGTGAATACTAGTGAGGTTTATATTTATGTGTTTGATGCGTTTATGATGTTTTTTTCGATGTTGCTTTTGGTTTTCTTGCATCCTGGTTTACTTATCAAGAAGGCTCGCAGGTTTGGGAAGGTGGATTTTGAGAGGATTGGGACGCCGCGGATGGGTGGGGAGAATGTTGCTTTGTCTCGGTGCAAGGATGAGCAGGGTTATGAGCTAACTTGTGGGACTCGGGGCAAAGGTCTGGTCTAGTCAACTGGTCCTTGGAGCACTTGATTTCGTTTTGGAGGGTTGCTTTGCTTTGATTGAGGATTGTAGGTTTTGTTATGTATGGAAAAGTTCGAATTTTGGTTGGATTTATGGGGCAAATTGGCGCATTCTTCAACCTCAAACGAACTGATTATCCCACCGTAACTGCGTTTCTTGACGATTATTGTGCTCGATATATGAGACTCAAGGAACTTAATCTCCATGTTAAGCCTTACTTTGCAATGCTAACAATCTTGATTCAAATCCACCAAGTCGACGTCCGAGACTCAGTTCTTCGATCAATCAAAGAGAAGAACTTCAATACGCAGACGTTCATTTACGATATCTTCAGCAAATATACGCAAGACTTGCGAGGTCGTCTCTCAATCAGAGAGGAAGATGAATCTTATTCTATACCGGCATTTAATGCAACATCTTCCAAGGACTCAAAAAAGAAGAACACACCCCCAGTTGAACTCAAGAACAAGCTTCCTACCGGAACCTCAAATGATGCTCACTGCGTAAATCAGCGGAAGAAGGGGCGCAACAATAAGAAATTCAACATATAATGCAGTTCAAGGATTCAACATGTAAGGAAGTGCAGGGGCTCAACGTCAAACGGAGTTCAATAAATTAATTTATTACAGGATAAGACCCCTGCCGTAGGCAGAGACTTGGGGGGAACCCCCAGGGAAAAAAGTTCGTGTCACATACGTACCTGGCAGTTTTGACGCTGCCCCATCAAGTCATCAAGTCATCAAGTCAAGTCAAGTCAATCAAGCCCTCTACTACGCGCGAACCTGTGTTTTTTTTTGCAGCACCTTATTGGCTGAGAGGCCCAAAGTGGGTCCAAAGAAAATGCCACAGCTGGGGTCTCTGATTGACTTTAGGTTCAATCGCCGCGCGCACGCGCGGCGACAACACTTGTATTATACTATTTAATCAGGTGAAAGTATTAAGTGTCTAGTTAACAATTTATAAAATCATCCCTAGATCAACAGCTCCAGAATATACTCTTTCTAAGGCTATGATTTTCCCAAATTGTTAAATCTAGACACTTGATACTTTTACTTGGTTAACAAGTATCAATCCGGGCTGTTGTCCTAGGTGTATGATTTCTGCCATAAATTGTCAATTCTAGATACTTAATATTGTGAGGCTCAGCTCTGGGGTAGATGCTGAAGGCCTGGGGTGGGTTGAGTTCAGAGTGCTCACTGCTGAGAGTCTGAGACAGATGGACGTGGTAACAGAAGTTTGGGGATCCTCCGGGAAGGTCTAGGATGGTCTAGGGCGTCCTAGGTTTCAAGGCAGTGTACAATGATGTGTGGGAATAAGGGTAGAGACTCTTTATCTGTGGTAGATTCACAAGACTAACTACTAGTTTCCAGGACTTCTCCTGAAGCCCTCTCAGTTCAGTGTTCTGCACTACAGTGGCCCGCTAGGACCATCTATGCACTTCTACCGAGATATTACCAATACATGCGGGAACCTGCGACCCGTAACAGATATTTTCACTTGGTTAAGTTAAATAGTACATACTAGGGCTGTTAATATAGGGGTAAGACTCTATAATTGTTAAATCTGAATACTTAATACTTTTACTTGATAAAATAGTATATACCTCTAGAGGTATAACAATCTCTTATCTATTTGTTCGTATAAATTCTTAAAAATCCAGATACTTCATATTTTTGCTGGGTAATTGAAATTTTTACTTGACAAAGAGTATATACTAGGGCTGTTGGTCCGGGAGAATGGTTTGTCTACAATCTCTTATCAATTTGTCCGTATAAAATCTTAAAAATCTGGATACTTCAATTTTTTGGGGAATACTTCATATTTTTTCTTGTAAAAACAGCATATACTCGGGCTAGTGGTCTAGGGGTATGATTTTCCCTTCGCACTCGACTTATTGAGCTTGGGAAAGGTCCGGGGTTCAATTCCCCGCTGGTCCAGGTACTTTTTTTACATTTTTGGTGGACTTTAGTCTGTTTTTATGCACCTCTCAAAAGTTCTGTGAACATGGGAAAGGCTTGGGGTTCGGTTTGCACGTGACTTCGGTTAACATGGGAACATTGAAAGGTCCAGGGTTCAACTCCCCGACGGACCATTTGATTTTTGTCTCATGTTTTTTGTTTGACTTTAGTCTGTTTTCTGCCTTTTTATTTGTAAGACCTTTTGAAAGATGATGAAGTTTACTGGGACACTTGTCAATTGCTTAACGATGCTTGAGGGTTAATTAAAAATATATGCTACAACATGCACATGTAACTCAAGCCAAAATGTGCATATATATATATGCATGTGTGCACACATGCCGCATGTACTGTCCACGCATGAGTACATCAATATACATATAAACAACCCCACATGCAGGTCCAACCAAGATGTATGTACCCAAGTTACAAGTGTTCAGCCCTGTTTGTTCTGCACATGTGAATTATGTATATATATATATAGTAAAAGATTGACTGCTTTGATCCAATTAATCTACTGAGGTGCAGAATAATTACGAACTGGAAATATGATTAGTATGTAATCAACCTAGAACATATGAGTTTTTGTGTTTTTATATATTATGAAATGAACGAATAGAATTGATTCAAATGTTGGGAAAAAACTGGAGATGTGGCGGAAGATGGGGAAAACAAATAGCCGCATGGACTGGACCCGCGTAAGTCAAATGCCCCGAGAAAAGCTGGGGATCGACATCGGAAAAGATTGAATAACAGAAATGAAAACAGTGGACTTGGAGTATAAGTTCAAGTTCATTGTTTTGTTCTAAAACCGGATTTTGAGGTGAGATATAGAAATGTCAAAATCCGTGGCAAAATTAGTACTACAGTCAATGACATGGGTTGCGGCTCATCGACCCATCGAGCATATAGCCGAATCAAATCGCTCAACCCCCCAAATTTAAGCTACTGAAAATCAAGATTCAAGGAAAATGGATTACCACTGCATTCCTGGAAGAAAATGTCCACACTTTACACCTATGAAAACATCCGTGATAGGGTCGGTCAATAAAAGTAAGATAAGGAAAAAAAGAAACAAGGAAATAAAAAGACAAATAAAAAAGCGGCTGGCACATAAGGACAGAAAGGAAAATTCCAACTCCGTTTTTATATCCACAATTTAAGCGGCCAACATCTTCTTGGTCTCAGCAATGGCACGACCGGGGTTAAGACCCTTGGGGCAGGTTCGTGTGCAGTTGAGAATGGTGTGGCAACGGTAGACGCTCATGCTGTTGTCAAGAGCAGCCTTGCGCTCAGCGGTGCGCTCGTCGCGGGAGTCAATCAACCAACGGTAGGACTGCAGGAGAATGGCAGGACCAAGGTACTCCTCGCTGTTCCACCAGTAAGATGGGCAGGAGGTAGAGCAGCAGGCGCAGAGAATACATTCGTAGAGACCATCGAGCTTCTTGCGATCGGCGGGACTTTGGCGGAACTCAAGACCCTGTTTTTTTTTCCCTTCCGTTAGTATGCATGCATCTAATATGTACAGGGTTGACCAAGCCATTGGGGGGTGATCAAGGTTATATGCAATACTCACATCCTCAGTGGGGGTATCGCGCTGCAGGTAGGGCTTGATAGACTTGTATTGCTTGTAGAAAAGGGTGAGATCGGGAACAAGATCCTTGACGACGTAGGTGTGAGGCAACGGGTAGATGCGAGAGTCGGTGGCAGTGTCGGTAGGGATACGGCCTGGTTAAGATGTTAGTAAACATTGTTTCATACATCATATCAAGGTCTCCATCTCTACTCTTTGCGGGGAGACCGAGATCAATGCGTGGGGAAAAAGAGACGACATACACAGGCAAGCCAGGGTGTTAACACCGTCGATGTTCATGGCGCAAGAACCACAGATACCCTCACGGCAAGAGCGACGGAAAGTCAGAGTGGGGTCGATTTCGTTCTTAATGCGGATGAGAGCGTCAAGCATCATGGGACCGGTCTTCTTGAGGTCGAGCTGGTAGCTCTCCATGGTGGGCTTCTCGCTCGGGGTGTCCGGGTTCCAACGGTAGACCTTGAAGGTCTTCATGGAAGGGTTCTCAGAGGGAGTAGGGTCGACATTCCGAGAGGCCTCGACGGTGGCATAGGAACGAGCGAAGGTGGCGGACCGGAACAGTGGGCGCGACGCAGCGAAGAGTCGCGATGTAGTGCGGAGGGAGGCCATGACGGGCGAAGGTGACAAAACTTCGGTGGTGATGGGTCAATGGGGGAAGCAACACGCGGGGGAGAAACCGTGGAGAGGAGAGGGTCAAAATAGGACGAGCCGGCGTGGAGGATCACCAACAAACCAAGACGAACAAATTGAAGTCAAGGAGTCCTGTCAGTAACCTCGGGTTTGAGAATCGGTAAAAAGCTGAGTCAGCTGGTGTCGACCAATCACGGCGGGGCTAATTGTCAAGAAATCGGGCGGACACGGCTTTTGCTTGCAAGTGTGTCTAGCGCTGGGGAGTTGTCTACTGCCGCTCGGTTGCCGGGTTGACAATTCATTTTCGAATGGAATGGTAGGCCCGATTGATAATGAATTCTATAAATTGATGATATCATTACTGATCTGCCCATTGATATGAATTATATCACTTCTGTGGTATCCATTTGCCTCCAATTGCTCTGTGTAAAACAAATCCCGTGATTGACACCTCAGGCCTCAAGGCCACAAAACTCCCGGATCGGGAGCCGAGCAAACAACGGCTTCGGCTCTCAACCTCGGTGCTTCCTCTTGTATATGCAAGGTTGATCATCTTACTCACGTCACACGTGCCATGAAACCCTCCACTCGATCGATCTCCCTTTGCGGCCTTTTCATACTAAACTAACCCCGGTTTGCATAATTTTGATGCCATTCATAGTCCCGATCCTCCTTCAAAAACGCGCGAATGGCCTCTCGGGCCGGCGTCGGCTCTCTCTCCAACAAATCCGCCATCAACGGATCCGTGACTCCAGCATCACCCTTCTTGATCGCATCATACCATGTCAACAGCTTCTCAAAGAATGCTTTTGGTTTTCCTCCGACATCCCCTGCGGCCTTGACCTTCACGAATTCCTCGGGAGAGACGAGCTCCAGCTGAACCTGCCGGCCTGTGGTCTCATTGATCACCTCGATTATATCAGCGAATGTTACTGCCTCTTGTGCAGTGAGCAGCACAATCTCTCGGTCATGACCACCTCGGACCATTAATCGAGCAGTTGCTTCGCCCAATTCCGCCCGCAGTGTGAAGGCGATCGGACCATCGGACGGTAGATATACCTTCTCGGTACTGGGGTACCAGCCCATGAAAATCGGAAAGGCATCAGTGTAGAGGCCTTCACGAATTGACGTGAAGTTGATATCAGCGCTAGGATTCGAGTCAGCTATACAATGCTGGGAAGTTGATTGCCGGTCTACCATGGATAGTCCTTACTTCCGCAACATTTCCTCAGTGCTTAAATGAGCTTGTTGCACATCTGCCTTGGAGTCGGACCGCAGTCCACCAAACGCGAGAGATGTGTACCACACCTATAGAGGGTCATTAAACAGCAACTTTGGGATATGGAGCTATGGACATACATGTTGGACTTTCATCTCTTTCGCTATGTTGACAAAGCGTTGATGCTGTTTCTCTCGCTTCTCGACATCAAACGTGCTGGTGCTGACAAAGAACAGGTTTTCGACATCTTCGAATGCTGTCTTCATCGAAGAAGCATCATCGTAGTTGACTAACCGAAATGCGATGCCTTGCTCTTCAAATTGCTTGCGATTGGCTTCACTTGATGAGGCGGCAGCGTATTCTGAAGCAGGAACATTGGCAACAAGATAGGACAGCACCTGTGAGCCTAGTCCACCCGTGGCTCCGGTGACGAGATATTTGAGAGTCATGGGTTCGAGTGGTAAATGAAAATTATAATTAGGACGGTGAATTCCTTGAATGAAAATCAAAATTGAGAATATACCTACTTCCAAGAGCTTATAACAACCTTGTAGATATCTCAAAGTACGGAAGTCGCTAAATGTTTCCAGGTTGAAGCACTTGGGTGGTTTGTCAACCATGGAAGCAGATGATTGTTAATCAACTATAGTCTCAAGTTTAGCCATAACTAGTAAACCCGGAATCTGGATTTTGAAAACAGACAATTGGTTTCTTGTTCTGTTCGGCGTGAAATAGAGCCGAGAGGCCGTGTTCTATTTCCCCTAGAGGTTAGCTTGACGTGCTCATGCATGAAACTGTCAGCGCATTACTAATTGCCCAGGTACGATGCGGGGAACTTCAACATCCACAATATCCATCTTTAAGGCTGTCCTAGAATAGCAATTGAATGTCTCTAATTGACCCAAACCTTGGGAACAGGAAGGGGACTGAAGTGCGTTTTTTATTATTTGGAAAGAGCCAGGTTCGAACCCGGGCTGGTTTGGTTTCCTTTTGTACTTCTGAAGAATGTTCTGAATAGCTTCGTATGCATCAGCCCGGAAATTGACCCTCCGCAATACTCCTATTTTTCCACGCCACATAGTCAAATTGAGCTTCAAAAAAGAAGCAGATATTAAAATTAAGCATGGTCAATTATAAAAAAATGGCAAACATCAAGCCCAGAGGGACCCCCCCCCCTGGCGGCATATAGCCACCGGGGGGAGATCTGCTCTGGGCGATGTTTCCCATGTGACTGACTACCCACCCCCAAAGTCCCGCGGCCAACTTTGGGGGAATAGTGGGAGGGATATACCGCTCGACCACAGGTGCCAGTCTTATACCAGGACAACTGAATTCTTCCTCTTAACCCAACTCTTAGCCTACACATTATTTTCACCAGCCCCAGCTTTCAAATTTCATGTGCCACACACCTCTTCTATATCCAGCGAACAGAGATTCCAGGAATACTGCGCCTGTGATTAGGGAAAAAAAAGAAAGCTTTTGTATTATTATGTTTATAATCTATAGTCTATAGATTTGATATTCTATGTCTCGTGAGAAGAAGGCCGGATAGAAGACTGCGGCGACGGCGACCTCCTCTCCTCTCCATGAGTAATATTAATCTCATTAGTCACATGAATGCCAGGAATCTTTGTAGCGTTTGAAGGATTTCGAACCACAGAAACCTCCGAGGGCATCATCTCGTACTCATCTTGACCGATCTTCGACCAGTTCAGTAGTCGTTTATCATCGCGGACAGCAGACGAGCCCAAGGCACTCGCAGGTTTCGATTGACTTCGCAGTCTGTCTCCCGCAGAGCGAGACCGAGACCGAGTACGACTACCAGTGTACTCGGTTAATTGGGAGAAAATGTTTCCGAAAACGGGTTTCAGGGCAGGCACAGAAAGAGCAACCAGTGTTCCAGCAATTTCCGCGTTCTCAACACACAGCATGGGGTTGTATGCCCAGCTACCATCGGTAGCCCATTGACCCTTGACGACTAGCCAGACGCGGATGGCGGAGATAATGATCACACTGTCGGAAATTGTTAGTTTGAGATTCCAGAAAGAGATTGGAGTATATTGGGGAAGAAAGACTGACAAGACACCGGGGAACATGACGATTGAAAGCTTGATCTTGTTTTTCAAGGAAACGTGAAGTTGCTTGATAAGGATTGCGGGCAAGACGAACATCATCACATCGCAAGCTAGGGAGAGGCCTGAGTTGACGGAATAGACCAGACCCCAGGATAGGCAGGTGTAGTCGTCGACGCCTGGCTGCCAAGAATAGGGCCATAGGCCGGTGACGGGTTGACAGTGGAAGATCAAAAGGAAGATCTGGGGAAGGAATGCAGCGAAAAGGAATGGGGCAGCGAAGAGAATGGATTTGTTCAGTTTGCTGGTGCGTGCGGTGAGTCGGTAATAGAAGGCGAGACCGGATAGTCGACAAAGGAATAGAGCGGTTGTATAAAGAATGTGTGCAACAAAGTCCAATACTTCGGTTTCACGAACGGTTGCTAGCGATAGGACGTATTGGATGTAATCGATGTGACGACCACTTCCCAAGTGGATCAGAACAATTGAAAGAGCCACAAAACTGATGTAGATCATCTAAACCAGAGACGTTAGAGTTAGTTATGACGACTATACAACCTTGGAAGACCTCAAAAAGATGAACAATGCAGATATGTAGAAGAAGGTCTTTAATAATAATAAAAAAGATATTTAAACAAGTGTATACATACCCATGTCAAAATCGCTAAGCAATCGTCCACACCAACTTTCTTGACGAGAAATAGTCGAGCATAAAGGCGCAGAATCATCAAGATGCTAGTTAAGCAGACCATGAACAAGATGCCCACAATAGCGGAATGATCGCGGGACTCGGCCAGGTATGAGAGGGAGATTCCATCTGGAATTCTCCCCGCTGCCTTTGCAGCGGTGATGTCGGCGGGGATTGTCATTGATCGAATTGATTTATAGAAATGACACTGACATCAACCTCCTAACAGGGCATGATGAGAAGTATAGGCCACAAAAGGAAAAAAAAGGAAATGACTTGGAGCGAGAGACAGGCTATAATGAACGGAACTAAACTTGAGCAAAGGGAATGAGCTCGGAAGTTGCCCTAAGTCTAAGTCAAGGAAAAAAAAGAAAGCCACGAGCGGGGGCGATTTCAAATGCTATTCAATAGTAAATGCAAGGCAGATCGATCGGAGTAGCCAACGAGAGCATGAACCAAGCCATCCAGTTTTCGGAGTCGACCACATAATAAGAGAATAGTGGAGTCTCAATATATTTTACTCTGATTGCCAAGTTATTTTTCATCAAAAGGGGAATTCCGCATACGGTTCATTGGCCGGGGAGGAAAACTTGAGATTTTTACCATTAAGCCAAGAGATCAAGTCCAACAGTCCAGTCATACATTTGCATTGCATTAAAAGTGTCAGAGAGACAAGGGCCCTGTTGATCATCTTTGAAACAGTTTGAATCTGTGAAGAGATCAGCATGAACAACCCCTCCGTCCATGCGTCAGAACTAGATATGCAGGAATCCAAGTCAAACGTTCACCTGGGCCCCAAAAGTCTCAAGAGTGGAAATTGTTTTCCCAGTGAGGCATTTTTTGGTGAACATCAGGGCCCATCGAGCCAAGGATGAGCCTATCATGCCATTTCGCATGCGTAACGGGAAGGTCGCTGGAAGCAAACGAATATGCTTGGTTAGGATTCCATCTCCACTTGTGGGTCTGATCGGGTCTGGATCGTGGTAAGTGATCTGGGAAACTTGACGAGATCCGGCTCCGACCGCGGTTAAGATGCCGCACAGAATCTGTTTTCTGATTGAACTATCGACAATTAGGCAGGTCCAAACACCTCCCACTACCACCTTTAGCCACTAGCAGCGGCAAAAATTTCCAGGATCAATTTACTTTCGGCGTTATGAAGAAAGATTAGAAAAGGGGCGTTGAAGGAGCTTTGTGGTTGGTAGGAAAGTTGCGCTCAGGCGCAACTTAACCTACGCCAAAGGTCCTTTGCCGGCGTTCCGTCCCTTCCGACTACCAGGAAACACTACGGAGTAATTGGAGTAACGGCATTTTCTGGGAATTCCCTGCATTTGTTAGTGTGGAATGTTGGAGAAGAAGAAAAAAAAGTCTTCTAAAAATGAAGCTAAGAAAAACTAAACAGAAACTAAACAGGAATAAGCCGAATTCCCACGTGTCGAACAGTGGATCTCGATTCTCGTAAAATATCACTCAGCAAAAGACCCACTACCGCTCCTGACAACATTGCATTGGGTGGCGCCCAGCTTTTTAGTAACGGAGTATTTATATCTGATAGGAAGAAACACTGAAAAGATCGTCGCTTTCTTTTGCCACATGGTTTTCTGTGGAGGTTTCATTTTAACCATTCATTGACATATCCAATATGTCTCCCTTGTTGCACGCTATCGTGGGCGGCTTGGCCCTGGCCAGCTCCGTCGTAGGAAACAAGGAGCGTCGCGAAGTTGATTCTCTCGTCGCTTCTCAGATCCTGACTGACCCCTATGCCTATGACTTCCCTCGTCTGGGTGCCCCTGGCGCCTCGCAGTTCCAGATGCGTCTCTGCCATGGCTTCCAACTCGAGGAGGCCAGTGTTGACGACATCCAAGCCCGCTTGACCAATGGCACTTTCACTAGTGTTCAGTTGCTCGAGTGCTACCTTGATCGTATTGCCCAGACACAGCCTTACCTGAAGTACGCTCAATTCCCGCCCCCTTCCCCCCTCATACCTTCCTTATCTGTAGTTTCGCATTCAAAATACTAACAACATTCCAGTGCCATCCTGCAACACAACCCTGATGCGTACAAAATTGCCCACCAGCTGGATGTTGAGCGTGCCAGAGGTAAGGTTCGTGGCCCTCTGCACGGTATCCCTTTCATTGTCAAGGACAACATCGCCTCTAAGGATCGTATGGAGACCACTGCTGGTTGCTGGGCTTTGCTGGGTAGCGTTGTGCCCCGCGACTCCTTTGTTGTTCATGGTATGCGCAAGGCCGGTGCTCTGCTCCTGGGTAAGGGTGCCCTGAGCGAGTGGGCCGATATGCGCTCCAACAACTACTCCGAGGGTTTCAGCGCCCGCGGTGGTCAGTGCCGCAGTGCCTACAACTTCACCGTTAACCCCGGTGGTAGCAGCACTGGTCCCGGTGTTGCCGTCGGTGCCAACTTGATCCCCATTGCCCTTGGTACGGAGACCGACGGCAGTGTCATCAACCCTGCCCAGCGTAATGCTATCGTTGGTATCAAGCCTACCGTCGGCCTGACCTCCCGTGATGGTGTTATCCCCGAGTCCCTGCACCAGGATACCATTGGTACCTTCGGTAAGACCGTTCGCGATGCCGTGTACGCTCTTGACGCTATCTACGGTGTTGACACCCGCGATAACTACACTCTTGCCCAGCAGGGCAAGACCCCCTTGGACGGCTACACCCAGTTCTTGTCTAACAAGACCGCCCTGAAGGGTGCTGTCTTCGGTCTGCCCTGGAAGTCCTTCTGGGCTCTTGGTGACTCTGACCAGATTGCCCAGCTCAAGGAGCTCCTTACCCTGATCGAGTCCGCCGGTGCCACCATCATCAACGGCACCGAGCTCCCCCACTACAAGGACATCGTTTCCCCCGACGGCTGGAACTGGGATTACGGTACCACCCGTGGATTCCCCAACGAGTCCGAGTACTCCTACGTCAAGGTTGACTTCTACAACAACCTGCGCACCTACCTCGCTGATCTCAACAACACCAACATCCGCTCCGTTGAGGACCTCGTCCAGAACAACATTGACAACTACGGTTCCGAGGGTGGTTACCCCAGCATTCACCCCGCCTTTGGCTCCGGCCAGGATGGTCTCATTGCCTCCATGGAGAGCAAGGGTATCATGAACTCCACCTACTGGGATGCTCTCGCTTATTGCCAGCGCACCACCCGCGAGGAGGGTATCGATGCCGCTCTGAAGTACAAGAACCGTACTCTGGATGGTCTCCTTGTGCCCCCAGATGTTGCCCAGAGCATTCAGATCGCTGCCCAGGCCGGTTACCCCGTTATCACTGTCCCCGCCGGTGTTGAGCAGGGTGACGGCATGCCTTACGGTCTTGCCATCATGAACACTGCTTTCTCCGAGCCCACTCTGATCAAGTACGCCAGTGCCATTGAGGACCTCCAGAAGAGCTCTGGTACCAAGTGGCAGCGTAGTCTTCCCGAGTGGCGCGGCTACTTGGAGCGCAACCTGCCTGTGATCTAAACTTTGCATATGTCTGCACTCAAAAATAAAATGCGGAGACATGGTTCTTCGCATCTTCTACTGTTACCCATCATCATGTACAAATAGCGACTAATTAATTCACAATATTTGATATTTGTTGCGTCATCCATCGGCAGCTTTAACTTCCTAAATTGAAGTCACAAGATGTAAAAAAAAAAAAAAAAATCAACTTCGCCGTGTCTAACTAATCACGGCTCTCTATACGAGTCTTATCCGGAGGGTCAATTCATCCGATATTGTACCTTTGAATGTTGTCCATCCCTGCAACTTTAGCTCGATATTGCACCACTAGTCCAGCTTTAGCGCCTCTAGTTGACGTATTGCTGAGAAATGGCTGAGCAATCTAATTTATCTTATTAGACACTAAACAGAGCTCGCGCATCCTAATACCGATATTGAAAGTGGATCGTCAAGCCTTGATAGAGCTAAGCATTATATTAACGTCTAGTGGATAATCTCCGAAAGTCCATATGATGCTATCTAAATAGGAGCCTCTTGTGGACCCTTTAATATGTATAAAGACATAAAAGTGGATATATCGCCCTATTGCAGATCAGGAAGAGCATCCGGCGATCATGGAATTGATCGTCAGAGTAGAGTCAGATGCGCTCGTACCCCACGGATACTGATGGAAAATTTGACACGCCCGTTCACCCCTTAGGGGTCCAGTCCTGACATCTGGAGGATCTGCGACCGTTTAGGTTTCGGACAACTGGAAGAACTGGTTCCCAAGGCGTTTCAAGGACCATAGAGATCTAACAAGTATAGAAGTTCCAAGACTTCTTCTCCTCACAGCCAAGAGCCAAGACGGAGGAATTTGTTTTATCTCAGGTGAGACATGCCACTGATATCCTTCATCCTCGGAAGAAATTACTTCCCCAAAGCCAAGAAAGCTTCAACGAAGAACCAAACAACAACAATAATAGCACTAATCATAGACCGGACCATCTTCGGAACACCGTAGCTCAAGCCCTAGATTTTTTTTATTTCGTCCCGGAGCATCGACCACACCGAGGATAGCGTCCGACAACTTAACTTAATAGAGTAGATTGTGGGGCACAACAGCGACTTAAGAGTAGCAAAGTGAAACATCTTCAAGCACCGAGCTTGATCCTCCAACCTTCAATTTACTCTAAATTTCCCCTTTAGTGTCTCCACGGCGTCTTCTCATCCACGTTAAAATACTCACTTTAATCAATTTTAGTTTTCACCGTTCCGCTCCATTGGTCGCGACTCGCCATTACCCACACCGGATTGGTGCTTCAATTTACCTTAGCCACCGGCGAATTCCTTCTAACAAGCCAACATCTCCCCCCCCCCTGGCCCTTGAACTCCGCAAAAAGAAAAAAAAAGTGGAAACAGCTCCAACAACCCCTATCACCCAGTCATCTGGCTCAAAATGCATGTTCCCGATTCGCCAACGTCAACAGCCATATCACCATACCCACACGTGGGAGATTTATGCAGGATGTGCTGATGGATCAAGCCACACTGCAGTGGAGTCGAAGGAAGAACCTGAATCTTCCATTGCTCCCGAAGTATGTGCGATGGCATCATGATACAATGCGAACGTCTATATAAGCTGCTCGATACGCCCACTATCATGCCCTCCCTTTCTTCTTCACACTTAGTCACTCTTTCCATTCTTCTTCCTTCTTTTTTCGGTTTCTTTACAATATGAAGTATACTGCTCTTCTGGCAGCTTTTGCTGCCACTCACGCCGCTGCCGTCAGTGTCTCTGGCTCCGCTGAGGGCTTCGCCAAGGGAACTACTGGTGGTGGCTCTGCTACTGCTGTTTACCCGACTACCACCGACGAGCTGGTCTCGTACCTTGGTGACTCAGAGGCTCGCGTGATTGTTCTTACCAAGACCTTTGATTTCACTGATACAGAGGGTACCACTACCGCCACTGGTTGCGCGCCTTGGGGTACTGCTTCTGGTTGCCAGGTTGCTATCAACCAGAATGACTGGTGTACCAACTATGAGCCCGATGCGCCTGATGTTTCGGTCACCTAGTAAGAACCCGCCCTTAGAATCTTGTGTTTCTTTCCAGCTTTGTTCCTTGGCTGCATTGCTAACCGTTCTCAGTGACAACGCTGGTATCTTGGGTATCACTGTTGCTTCCGACAAGACCCTTCTCGGTGAGGGTTCCGCCGGTATCATCAAGGGCCGTGGTCTCCGCATTGTCAGCGGTGCCAGCAACATCATCATCCAGTACGCAGACCTAAAAACTCCCTCGAAGGAACAATCTACTAACCATGTTTCATAGGAACATTGCCGTGACCGATATCAATGCCAAGTACGTCTGGGGTGGTGATGCCATCACCATCGACGAGGCCGACCTGATCTGGATCGACCACGTTACCGTAAGCAGCCAACCCGTCCCTATCTCAAAGCTCCCATTCAATTCCATCTTCGAGCCATGTAATCTAACACCAGTACCAGACCGCCCGTATCGGCCGTCAGCACTACGTCCTCGGAACCTCCGCCGACAACCGCATCAGTCTCACAAACAACTACATCGACGGCGTGACCGAGTACTCCGCCACCTGCGATACCTACACCTACTGGGGTATCTACCTCGACGGAGACTCCGACCTGGTCACCATGAAGGGCAACTACATCTACCACACCAGCGGACGCAGCCCCAAGGTGCAGGGTAACACTCTCCTGCACGCGGTCAACAACTACTGGTACGACAACGCCGGACACGCGTTCGAGATCGGCTCCGGCGGCTACGTTCTTGCCGAGGGCAATGTTTTCCAGAACATTGATGTTGTTGCTGAGTCGCCCATTGATGGAAAGCTGTTCACTTCGCCCAGCACTACTACCAATGAGATTTGCTCGACCTACCTTGGACGTGTTTGCCAGATTAACGGATTCGGATCCTCTGGTACCTTTAGCCAGTCTGATGAGGATTTCTTGTCTGACTTTGAGGGCAAGAACATTGCTGCTGCGACGGCTTACACTGTTGTTGTGGCTAATGTTGAGGCTAATGCCGGTCAGGGTAACCTGTAAGCATCCTGATTATTTAGGATATGGAGGTTTCTGCAGGGGATGGTATTTAGGATGTGTCAGCTGGAACTTGGGGAAGTAGTGGTGCTTGTATTGTAGGATACTCTTTTTCCATTCTTTAATAACAATTTCATTACCTTTGTAAGGATGCTAAGGTGAACAAACATGTATGAGACAGCTCTTTTGATTGATAAGAGAATAATTAAAGTAATGCTCGCTCTGGCTTCGGGGCTACAAAAAGTTCAGCCACCAGCCTTGCTAATAATAAATGCGATCGATTCAAAAACAAGCCAAACCATCATACAATGCAATCAATCAACAATAATCAATCCCGGTCCCGCCAGAGTCCACTTAGCGACCGAGTTCGCATCTGGGAACGGACCATCACTCTTGGTCACGGCCGCAATAGTCAACCCATTCAATTCGTAATCGCTATACGGGAACAATGCGCTCGCCTCAACCGAAGTTCCATCCTTGGAAATGATATGCAGAGGTTCGACGATAGGCACATTCAGCTGGTTGATGTACGCCACCCACAGCAGGTGATCCGCTTCATTGTCCTTGTCCTCAAACTTGAACGTGATATTCTGCGAAGCGGCAGTTGGCGGCGTGAGGACCTGCAAAGCCTCAAAGGTGCGAAGTGGGATCTCACCAAGGTCGGGACAGGATCCCGGCACGGTAAAGCCCTGCACAGCGGTGAAGGCAAAGTTCAGGTCGGAAGTCGTGAGGAAAGGGAGTTCGCTGGGAACAAGGGCCTGCATGACGCGGAACCAACCCTGCTGTTCGCCCTCGTTGCCAATCACCGAAGCGATCTCGCGGGCAAGATCGGCATCTTGGCCCAAGGCAAAACGCTCGACGGCATCCTGCAGTGTGCCGAGGACGACATCGGTGAAAGTGGCGGCGAGCGCGATGGCGGTATCAAAGTCCTGGACAGGGAAAACGTATTCACAGGGCTCAACGGGCTTCTGGTTGAAATGGACAAGGGCGTTGTTCGCACGGATTGCATGGAGCTCCTCTTGCTGTAGAGTTGGAGTATCAGTACCCGGTCATACCGATCTTCATTTGGCCTGGGGGGTATGTTTTACTTACCGCCAGAATGGCTCGAAGGGATCCAGTCACATAGTCGCGGTCTCCCTGATCTGTGAAGCGATAACCATCAACGTTCTCGGTGATGTTGGTGAGTAGCTCATGGAAGAAAGCCACCTCGAAGAGTTCGTTGAAGGCGATCAGCTTCAAGTTTGTGATACCCTTGTTGCTGATGACAGGTGGTGGTGGGCCATTTGGGAGTGTTCCGCGGGCGGATTGCTCAATTAGCGACAGTTCACTTGGACTTGGGTAAGGCAGGCCATCGGGGAGTTCTTTCTGGATCGCACGTCCAACCTTTGCCGGAGCTGCAAAGACTGACGAGGCCACGCCCAGAAGTGCGATGGTGGAGATTATAAGACGCATGATGACAGCGGGAATAATTAGAGCAAGGTAAACAATAGCTGTGAGTAATGGATGTGACTTATAGAATCAAGTTAGTACAAAGCGAACTTTCGGATTGAAGGGGATGTCCTCTTTTAACCAAAGTTAGGAAGGAGGATTAGGGGGAAAGAGCGAAAGGGCGAAAGCGCAGAAATAGCACTCATCATAAGCCTCAAAGCCTAACGGGCATGGGAAGTTAATAAATAAAAATAAGTGAGTTCTAAGGTTGTGACTCGTCATGTCTGTTTTTCCCTTGTCATCTGTACGAGCTTTGGATAATCCTCAGTCTCAGATCTTGTGTAGCTAAACAAATAAGTAGGCAGTGCGAGTGTGACTTGAAGATCGGATCTTCGGGATTTACTTTAAATCCCAGATTGTTATTCATGTAGAATTAGTACTATTCACACCTTGAGATCTGTGTTAGACGCACCGTAGATCATCGAGTCAGCCAATCAAGGAGATTTTGAAAGGTAACAGCAGGGAGTTCCAATGTTAGATTCAGATGATTAAGGTTGAGCAGGGCTGAGCTATGATAATTATAATCTGTGGCTATGTCACTTGTCTTACGTGAGGCCTTAAAGCACAAATATCGCCCCAATTCTCATGTGTTGTTGGTCTAAGCCAACCGCCCCCAACAGAATCAACCAACTGGACAGAGTTGCCATGTATACGTGCTTTGTCAGCACGAACCAACACTCGGGGACAAACGCGATACTTCAGTCTTCCATGATCCATCAACAAACAAAAAAAACTGATCAGCGATAGTTCGAAAATTCAACCAGCTGGATATGTCCTCCAAAGCGCAACCAACTCTTTCCTCTGAGGAAATTGCCCATTTCATGAAATACGGATATGTGCGCGTTCCACAATGTTTTTCCCGCGACAAGGCCGCCGTGTGGACCGCCGACCTTTGGACAAGACTCGGCTTCTCCCCGACAGACAAGACAACCTGGAGCACAGAATGTACCCATATGCCCGAGTACAAAGAAGAACCAGTCAAGATCTTTGCACCCAAAGCATGGGCGGCAATCTGTGAGCTACTCGGTGGCGAAGAGCGTATCGAAGAGGATTCAGCGACCTGGAACGACGCCTTTATTGTGAATCTTGGTACCCCCGAGATGGATGGGAAGTGGCCTCGTCCATCTGAGCTACAGGGATGGCATGTGGATGGTGACTTCTTTGTCCATTTTCTCGATTCACCCGAGCAGGGGCTTTTGGTAATCCCCTTGTTTAGTGATATCCAACAACATGGAGGTGGGACGATGATTTGTGCCGACTCGGTTAAGCTTGTGGCGCGCTTCCTGGTTTGTGATGCGTGTTATTGATTTTTGGATTTTTGGATTTTTTTTGACACGAGAAGAAGTTGCTAATCATTGCTCGAAGTACGACAACCCCCGCGGGGTATCACCGTATATGGTTCCTCGTGGCTGGAAGCTCCGAAAACCAAAGGAGGATTTTTACGACTCGATCTTGAAACAGTGCAATGACTTTCATGAGATGACAGGCAACGTAGGAGATGTCATTCTGCTCCATCCCTTGATGGTACACTCGCAGTCCGTCAATAGCTTGAGAATTCCACGAATCATCACCAACCCGCCGGTCTCGTTGAATGAGCCGTTTAACTTCGACCGCAAGGATCCGAGTCAGTATAGCGTGGTAGAAAGAAAGACATTACAAGACCTTGGGAAATATCGGTTGCGAGGCTGGAAGATCAAGGGTGGTCGGGATTCTGTGGTTCCTGAGCGCTTGAAGGATGAAGAAAAGATGAGGAACCAGGAGCTGGAAAGACTGAACGCCTGATTATGTTGCAACCAATGATTATGGATGATACCCGTTACATTATTATGCGAGGCATGCTGGCGTGCCCTGCACTTTATTGATATCCACGTCAAAGAGACGGAAAACATTACGTCGCATTCGAAATGAAAAGTACTTGAACGAACCAAAATCTCTTCAATTATGTTCATGATAACAATGTTGGCCTATTGCCTTTTCCACAAAAATATTGACGAGATGCAACCCAAGGCAGCGACTCCTGCGATGACCTCCCAGACGACCTGTAATGCCGACGCGGAGGCATCTTTAATGATCTCTCTCTCACCATCAGACATGAGAGTCTGATCCATCAACACTATATATCCTCTTGCCGTGTTGACTAAGTCCCACTCTAGTCCAATGCTCTGCAGTTCATTGCCAAAGAATGTCAAAAATAAGACACCACCTATGGGAACAGCAACCGCCATACCCCACGCCTGCATAAAGAGGGACATGGTAACAGGCTTAGTTGAAAGAGCCGATTCCTCAATCTTTGGCATATTCTGAACACGAATATTGTAGCTCGAGAGCAAAAGACCATGGCCTAGTCCAGCTGTTAAAAAGAGAACCACCCATCCGACTGTGGGTGTAATGCTGTTGAGAAGAATTGAGCAGCCGGCTGCTAATGTTGTCAGGATCCATCCTCCTGAAATAATCCACTTGGAACATTTTGACTCGTTTGCCAGTAAGATGCCCACTACTGCTGCGGGTGTGACGGCGAAACCGGTGATAGCAAACAGGGTGACACCAGACAGTGTCACAGAAAAGTAGCGTGTGCACAGAAAATAAAATGTGAAGAACTGTAGTTGACAGAAGATCTACGACGAAGATATCAGCGGGTGAATTAAAATAGAAGAGAAGAGAAGAGAAAGAGAGAAGAAAAAAAACACGACCAAACTTACCACGAAGCCATGACAGAAGCACCCAATGTATGTCATAGTAGTCGACAGATCTCTGAACACTCGCGCCCCAAATTGCGGATGCAATGCACACTTGGACTCATAAAAAACCAGCACCAGGATCACAGCAGCCCCAATCCCCAACGGAACCAAAGCCTGCCACTGATCCCAGCCATACGAGACCCCACCCCAGCTAATCCCAACCAGGATAGCAGCCATACCAAACGAAGCCATGGCAGCCCCAGCCCAGTCCAGAACGCGCAGCTTCCGCAGCGGAATATTCTTAGACACGCGCAGATCAACAGCGAACGGAATCGCCAGCAGACCGAGGGCGCAAAAAATGAAGTTGAAGTAAAACGCCCAAGTCCAATTCGTATTATCGGCGAATATCCCGCCCATAATGGGGCCCAGGACGAATCCAATAAGACGCGTAAGTAGGATGTAGCAAGAATATCGCGACTGGACTGATTGCGGCACGGATTCCTCCATAATTACAAAGCATAGACTTAGGGCGCCGCCTCCGCCTACGCCTTGTAATAGTCGGCCGACCACTATCTCAATGAGAGTCATTGAGCCGCTGCATATCCCGGTGCCGATTGTGGTGCCTACCACTGCGGCGATCCAGACGGGTCCGAGGCTGAAGACGTCGCACATCATTGTGAAAAATAGTTGGCTTGTTGCGCTCGCGACGAGGTAGATTGTGTTTACCCAGAGGGTGCTAATAAGTGGTGTGTCGAAGGCATTTGCTATGTCCTTGGGGGGAAAGTGTCAGTTTCTCATCTCATTTTTCTGTCTTCTCTACATCTCTGAGCAAATAAGTCATTACTCACTGGTAAAATAGCGATCATAGCTGTGGAGTCGAATGCATCCATCATGGCCAAAATGATAATGCAGATAAAAACCAACCAATCCCGGACCTCGAATCGCCATTGTTGTTCATCAGACGACAGCTCGGGCTCGAATAGATGAAGTGTACTCTCTTGTGCTGGGTAATAAGGATAGGACCCATGGTCGAAACTTTTCGCGCTCGAATACGGATCGAAGGTTGTTTTGGACTCGACGTCGAAGCTTCTTCGCGATACCATCGCCGGACCCATTGGAGGTTTCTTTTCAATATTTTCCGATGCCGATCGCGGCAAATAGTCGTTCTCAAGTACTGATATATTGACCTCTGTGCTCTAGGCAGCTCGGATCATGAAGGTCAAGTTTCGAGCATGAGCTTTGTAGGCCATGCCCTATAGACAAGGGTATTATCCATTCTGAGGGATCCGGTGGGGATAGCTAGGAAAGGATGAAGGGATCTTAGATGCCTCGGACCTTGGAACGGGGTCTGTGCCTGGCATTCCTGAGGCTAAAGGGATATTTTCAAGGTTATCAAGGGGGTAGTGATGATGATTGTGAGAAAAACAAAGCAAACAAGGGGGTGAACAATAGTGATATCCCCACGTTTATTGGATTAAGCTCAATATTTCCAAGATTCCGGAATATTCAAGTTGCTCAAAGGTTACTTTTAAGTTCTCTTGTTATGGTGTGGTGCAGATGCATCAAAAAGAGCTGATTGGAAAATCAGATGAGCCTCATTTGCTTCGGTTATTCACGGCATTGGACTTTGGTCAAGAGATGATACATCATACTAGTACTTGGAAGGAATTCGGTCCAAAGGAGAAAAGTGAAGGGGCGCTAAGCCAGGTCAAACTTGAGTGGATAAGTCCCTTAGAGAAAGAGACCACAGTGGGGTACAGACCTCCTTCACACCATCTTTGTAGTAAAATTGGAAGTGTGGATATAGAGCAGTTGATCCCAGGAGATCTCTTGACTAGGACTTGGAATGTAGTGACGTATTTACTAGTAGATGATGCTCAGACGAGATCAGGCAAATTTCATGAGATCTGAATCTGATTCTCGCAGCAGCAAAATACAGACCCCATATTGATCACGGGGATAAAAATCAGGTGTGCAACTGTATAGACAATCGAGGTATTTGTCATTTCCAATCGTTCTATCCGTACTTCGTACTCGATCGAATGCATAGTATGTGGCACTAGACCACGTCTTAGCTCTGTAAGCGCTGCGAGTTTTATCCTATTCGGGTATAGATTGAGGCTAACGGTCTATAACTGCCTTCCTTTTTAAAAATCGCCCCATGGGTTTTTTCTCCTGCGTTGCATCCTGTTTTCTTGGAAGGGTTCTCCCCCGGGCACGTTTCTAGCACTTGGCAACTGCTACTAGTAACATTCAAAATGTAGTAATTACATGCACATGTGTCAAAAACTACGTGACCTGTAGATCAATTAATTAATTGCTTCAACATTTCAAGCTCAATTTTTGCTTCTCAAACTCGGAAATCCCGGATTGTATAAACTTCCCCCCAAAGTCGCGCGCTATCTCAAGCTTGGAAACCAGTGGGTTTTAAGGTAAAAACTGACTCGCAATCTTCAGTTTTCCCCACACCAATAAGAATCCAAGGAATTGTGAAATGGGTCTAGAAGACGTGATTCTATTTGCATTTCTCATGGATTATAGCGGGATTTGTCCACTCTGTCGGTACTATCGGCCGGGGGCTCCCGCGTCTTGATTGGAAAAATTGGGGGTCTGACGTCTCCAATTCTTCAGTTCGTCACTGGTCACAAGATTTTCCTTAATTTTTTTTTCTTTCATGTTCTTCATGCCGTTTTAGCGCCTCCGGACATATTCCGAAATGGAAGGCACTAATATATAGCATAGCCCCCAGTTTTTCCGGGCACCGAGATATGAGCGGGGACCCACCATGTTAAACGCCCCCATAGTAAGTCGCCGAGTCAATAAGCGTAGTTCAGGTGTCCGCTCAAGCACTTGTAGGTTGATTAGCGTGATCGCCCACTCTCTTGGAAGGGTCATGCTTGAAAGTTTCTTAGATCTGAAGAAACTCAATGGTCAAAAAGTCAGCTCGGAGTGAGAAAATTGGGGGAATATATAGAATCATGACGGGGGCTCAAGTGCTCATTCTAAGATTGATACGAATGCATCACGTGGCAATGCATGGGATGAGATCGATTGGAGGAAAAGTCCACCTGAAGATTACCCTTCTAGAAGAGATGAAACGGAAGGATAAATTGGGGGCGAGAATTGAATCAATAGGAGTGAAGCCATCTGACTTTTTAACTTTACAATCGACAAGCCAGAAACGTGGTTTAAGCTGCGCTGGGGTACATCCTACTGATCTTAGATGGGGGCGTCTTTTACGTCTTGGCGCTTACACTCCTAAATACTAAAGACCCGATCACTGGAAGCGTCAAGCGTCAAGCTTTTTGTTTTATTTTTTATCTGAATGTTCCATATATCGGTGACGCTGGAATATGCTTACCGACAAGAGAACTCGCCGAAAGCCAATCAAATCCTGCTTGGAATGCAATCGCAGAAAGCAAAAGGTGCAGATGCTTTGTTGGCCCAGTGGCCGCACACAACCCCACAGAGGAAGTCAAGACACAACTAACCTTGTCTCTCTCTTTCTTTCCTTTTCCTCTAGTGTAACCGTGAAATACCATGCAATCATTGTATAGGTCGGGGTTTAGAATACCTCTGTGTGTATTCTAACCTCCCACCGTCCAAAGAATCTTCGAGGGGCCGCCGAGTTCATCACGCACAAGCATCGAGTTCTGCAGTTGACGGAAGCGAAGAGAGGGACACATCGACTACGCTGTCATCACACGAGTCCGACTCTAATGATACGGGCGTGGGAGTCTGGGAGGCCCGAGGATATGGGTCACCACGGATGAATACCCTTCTTTCGCCGTCTCTTCATACCCTGTTCGTCAACTACACAATAACCCCAAAAGTCATAGCCGCCTGAGGCCATCCTTAAGCCCCTCCTAACAATGCGGATATCATAGAAGCTCACCATCACTATCCAGGTCCAGCCTGATCCCCTCACCTAGTCTCTCACCGTCCCGACATCGCAGATTATGGCCTGACCGACCTGTTGTGGATTTTTTGGTTGGCATGTTCCTCCAAGAAATAAATCGACTCCACGAGATGATCTACCCCCCATCTTTCCAGAGCAAATATACCGCGTGGTGGGGCACACAGGACCAGGGAAATCTGTCAGGGGACTATAATATGTCGGATGAAGATATGAATTTCGGATTGCTGGTGATTCGAATCTGTCTCGTCAGCGTCCAGTGTCTTCCACATGCAAAGTTTCCCATTGAAGGGGTAACCAAAACGTCCCCACGTCACCTAGAGCAATGGCTTTGCTCCATAGCTGATGAGATTGATAAGTCACTACAGTCAAAAAAGCCTTCTTTGGTGACAGTCCAGCATCGCTTTTATCATGTATACTATTTGAAAGCCCAAGCTCGGATCCGGGAATGCTGGTCCATTCTCAGTGCTACCGTCAAGGATGCACATGAAGTAGGTCTGCATCTGAAGGATCCTGGTATTCCAGTCACAGAGTTAGAGATGGAGATTCGCCGCCGAACATTTTGGACTTTATACATAATGGACCGGTATGTGTACACTCTCTCTTTCAAGATCGGTCATAGACAGATTCTTTACTAACCTTACCTTTCTTAGGTTTATGTCTGCCTTTTTCGGACATTGGCCACTTATCCCCGAAGGATACTTTGATATTGAACCACCTTATGATAACCTACAAACACTCACCATCAACCCCTATCTTCTCACCCCATTTACCAATCGAGTGTTTGTCGTGAAAATAGCTCGTTTCCTATCTGCATTCATGAGCCCACCCTCCTGGCAACACGACCGCGTCGACTCCATCGTAATCGCAGACTTCACACAGCGATTCCAACAAGTCATTATCGACCCACTCCCCCAAGCATTCTGGTTAGAGAACCCCGACCTAACATGGGATTCCGTTGATCTCGCCATCCCCAGTAAGAGGGAGATGCTCCACCTAGCCATCTGGGCCACAAAAGCCTCCCTCTACAAAGCCTTTGCAGACCCATGCCGCAGCCTCCAGCAGCCAAAGAACCCAGTACTGAAAAACGGCAGTGATCTGCTTGCGCTCGCACATCGCCGGACTCTGATGGATACAACATGCAAAGTGATAACATCAATTAGTAAATTATATATGCTTCTTGGCGACGAGGAAGCTGGCTCGACGGAGAAGTTATTTCTACTTCCGACATGCCTCGTTGAAGCTCTCGCCACTCTAGGCGTTTGTTTACTTTCCATCCAGGCCGATGAGAGGGTCCTTACCCTGGACGGCATCCAGTTTGTTACTGATCCTGGTCTGCCACAAATCTACTCGGCCTTTTTCGACGGGTATGGTCTTCTCTGTCGCCAAAGTCCACGACATGCGATCGCGAGAAAAGGAGTAAACATGCTAAAAAGTCTTGATGGGTCATTACGTGCTTCAATCCGGAGCGCCGATATACTTGATACCCATAACCAGGCGATGCTGGGCATGGGGTCTCTTGTGGGAGGACAGGGATTGGAAAGTGGACGCTTTCAACTAGAGCATGCGTTGGTTTCACTACATAGTCATGGTGACGATGGCCCTCGAGGAGGGCCATTCTTTCCGGTACCTGAATGGTTACCTGCATTTTTAGCGTCACCGGGTCGAGCATGGTTGTTTCACGGAGACATGGCCTTTGGAGAATTGATGGCATGAATGTATTTGTACATACTACTAGTATGTTATGACTATTAATGCCGTGGCTGGCCCAGATTGGAATTCTAATTGCAATATTGGGACAAGTTGAATCTTGGCATGTTCAAAAGATTTATTGGAAAAGAAAAACAGAACAGACGTGCAAAATACCATTGGAATCATTTGTTTATCTCCGATTGGTGTATAGCCGTATAACCGTATAGTGCATGAACTATGTGTGATGGCGAATAAAAAGCTCCAGCATCCTATTCCTTCCTTGGCCTAGTAGTTGACCGCATCCCGGAATACGCCCGAAAACCGCCGAGGTGCTGCCCTCGCGTAGAAATACTCTCTGCTACGAGTTTTGATTCTCCACATAAACATTGAAAAGTCGAGTGTTCTATTTTTGCATTTTTTCTATATTTTTTCTATATTTTTTCCATTTTATTTATATTTATTCTCAATTCTCGCCACTTGAAAGTTCAAAGATCTTATCTCCCTATTCAGGCTATTTCCCGTCAACGGGTTGGTCCGCACGGGCAATGCAGGTCTGGGACGCGCGTCGATCAATTACTCTTCCAGGAAGGAATGGAAACATGCTGCCAGGGAAAAAACATCACCGGGACTTGGTTTCCCTCTTATAGAGGAATTTGCCTTGGATTTTCTACTGACAGCTGGAACGAAGATGGATATGGTTTAGATTAAGAATGGAGAATGGGGCTATTCCAAGGTTTCCCTCTCCAAGTAGTGAACTGGTCAATGCCTCAGGCAGTGGGACAAAGTCCAAGCTTCACATTCCAATCTTAATTTGACAGATAAGCATAAAAGTGCAGATACAAAAGATGTAAAAGATACAATAGACACAGATATAACAGATATACAGATACTAGTATAGTATATATTATATTCTGCAAAACCAAGTCGTGATTCATGACTGGATCCGGTTGCTTGCAGCTCGTTACTCGGTGCGACCGTCGTCGACGTCATATACAAGAAATCGAGAAAAAAAAAATAAGAAAAAGATAAAAAAAAAGTGACAGTTGGATCGTCATTCCTTGAATCTCTACTTTTTTTCCATTTGACCCCTCTTGGATCATCAGCCTTACAATCTTCATGTCATGAATTTATTTTCCATTTATATTGGGGGAGCCTAAAATCAGAAAAAAAAAAAAAGAAAAAAAAAACCCGCAAGCACAGTCCCCAATTTTACCCCCTGGACCTGAGCCGAGAGAGGGTCTAGACGATCCCGCGTCTCCAGTTGAAAATCCCTTTGAATCCTCAAGTCCCTGAATCCCTTCATGGCATCCAAACCTGCGCTCTCCTCCCCATTATAACCTCCCCTTGCCAACTCCGGCGTCGACCGGCAAGCTCGACGATGCGCCCCGGGTTGCATAAACCGGGCGCGCTGCCACTCCTGGTCCTGATCATCTTCTCCCTCCTCGCGCTGGTGCCTTCACTGCCAAGTATCTACAGCTTAAAGCTTGCCGATTTCACATACTATATTGGCGGAGCGCGTAAGTACAATTGACCCTGATAATCCACCACAAAAATAACCTGAAGCTAACCAAAGGCTTTATCGCCCCTGTTTTCTAGAAATCCCTCTCATCCAGGATAATGTCGCCGAGCTTTCTTCCGACACACACCCAAGCGATCGCTCCCCATGGATCCTGGCCGCACCGTCTCGACCGCGTCTAAGCCGTTTCTCACGGTCCCCGCGACTTGCCAACGGCGCGCCGACCATCTCCAGCGATCCACCCTCCGTCCAGAACAACAGAAGCCGCGCTTCGTACCCCGCCGAATCAACATTTCTCTTCAGCCGGCGCGCTCGCGCCTTTCGCACATACTTCATCAAACAATTAGACGACTACCAATTTCTCACCCCCTTCTCCACCCGCAGCGTGTTAACCGGAGCTACATCCGGTCCCGATCCTACCCTTAGCCCTAATCTCTCCCCTCTCCCGGCCTCAATTGAAGACTCGGACTCAAGTCCCACCACCGCCACCGCACCGCCCCCATTGCATAATGCTTCCATCCCTCCAACTACCTTCACGCCCCCTCCCAACTCGGACACCGGTCCGCAGCTTCCAATCGGCAGCGTGTGGCAGCAGGTCTGCCAGACAGCTAGTGGTCTTTGGAAGCTTGCAAGCGAGTCTTCGAATCCCAAGCTCCAGGATTTGATTCCATGGAGAAAGAATCACCCTCAATCATCCTCAGACATACTCACGCCCACGTCGTTAGGCAGATATCAAAATGACACGCCGTCCGAAGCTGAAGAATGCTCTGGCTTGTCGGCGCTGAACAAAACTCTCCCCCCTTCAATTGACCAGTCCACCGACGCTGCTGGCCGGCATTCATCGGAGCTGCAAGGAAGCTGCATGGCAGTGGTGATCGGCCTGGTAGCCGGAATAATGTGGTTCTAAGTTACAATGCATGTGTATAATTCATGTTGACTGGAGTTCTCGAGGGGCGTTTGGGACGCTGCTTCGGGCTATCTACACATATTCCCTCCATTTTATTTCTCTCTTCCTCTTTGGCATTGATCCACTACCCTTGGTATTTGGAGACTTTGTCATAGCATTTATGTGTCCTGATGCCTGCAATGAGCTTATCTTTTCTCTTTCTTTTCTCTTTTCATCTCATCTGGGCTGGCGTGCACTCGATGGGATTGATGGACGGCTCTGGTTTAGCGTCCCTTGGATATTACTAATTTCATGAAATTACATGTCTTTATTTGGTTTGGTTTGGGGGGTGTACTTAGATAAAAATATCCAATATACAATGATGATCTGAAAATCTACTAGTATGATTCATGTTCTTTACTAGTACTTCGTATATGAAATTTGGATCCGCACAAGGCATAACTAAGGAACTTGAAACAAAGTTGCGGCTGAACCCGTTCAATATGTGCACGTGGAATCTTTGTCTCGGATGCTAAAGTTATAAGGTTTCTATAAGAATGAAAACAATATCCATAAGCCAAAGATCCACAGTAACAGATCGTTCTTATTTGCTATTCATGAAGCAGACGTCTCTACCAATCAGGTTGCTACAGTGTTTTTCATTGTTTCGATTTTCCTGTAACCAGAAAACAAGACGAAGAAGTGCATTCAAGTCCATTCAAAATCGATATATAGTACGACAAAGATTTATTCAAGCGAACAAGAAACATCTGAAGTATCGCAATCTATTCTTATCCTGCATATATCAGTTGGCCGTTGTACATACACACCAAACACCTAATTCGAACGCTTTATTTCCTCATAAATGCCGTATCCGCGCATTTCCTCGTAAACGGCCTTCCAAATCGCATCAGCGAAGGAGAGGGTGCTTTGTGCTTGTATCCTGTTGTGAATATCGGTGCTGGTATTGGAGACGAGCCACTCACCGATGGCTTTTGACGTATTAAACCACTTTTATGCATTTGTGCCGTTCTGAGCTGGTCTTGGAAGGTTGTAGTCAATAAGACCGTCCATTCCTCTGAGTTTGAGGTTGATTTGTACGATCCTCTTCCAGGATTCATAATCCTCCGCTTTTCGTAGAGGGTTCTTCACGGGATTGAGGGTTATCTTGACGGCAGCGAGGTCCGATGATTGGTCAGTTCGAGCAACGGTTGTGACGTCGTCCCAGTTATTGTCGGTTCGTGTACTGAATGCAACGTTATCAACTCCTGTCGTATCGTAGTCAATTGTGAATGCCGACATGTTGATGACCTCGTGATAGAATTGGGGGGTGGGGGTGGTTGAGGTTATCAGCGCTATGCTGCCTCGTAATGGGGTTGGGGGACCTGAATCTGTCAAAAGAGCATCAAACAGGGCCCTGGGAAAGAGAATCTCGCTTGATCTTATCGATTTACAGCGTTAATAAGTGAGAAAAGGAGGGCTCATAATCTCATGGAATCGAGAGAGAGGGACAAGCAATGTAATGAACATGGATATTGTATTGTCTGGCGAAAGAGAGAGACTCTGAGGGAGAGAGGAAGGAAGAAGAGAGACGCAGCCTGCTATCTAGAACAAGAAGGAAGCACATGAAGCCGGGGATGACCGGCGATCACGATCATGTGATCCCAAGAATGTTGAACTTGAACTATGTTTGTTTAGCTATAAAAAAGATGGGGGTTAGTAGAAAGTGATTTTCTCTAGATAAATGGAGAGGTACGTATAATAGATAATAGAAGGAAGAATGAAGAAGGAGGAAGAAAGGAAGGAAGGGGCAGCGGAGAAGACCCCTCTATCTCCAACAGTGATTTCTATAATGAGGGCCAGGTGCCCATTTACCCCACCCCCCCCGTAAACCCCTAAACCCCTAAACCCCATATTAGATTATTGAAATTTGAGGCTCCTGGCTGTATGCATTTTTATGATTGTTACCAAATAGGAAGGCGGTGTGTTTCTGCTAGAAAAACGATGTTTTTCTAGCAGAAACACACCGCCTTCCTATTTGGTAATAATACTAAAGCCGATATAGCGGTATCATGCACATTTGAACCCGGTTTGACGGCTGGTTCGGTAAAGATTGTGCTGTCGCTGGCGCTTGTTGGCTCTACTGGTGCTTGTTGGCTCTACTGGAGCTTAAAGAATTCACCTTGCCACCCGAAAAAGTTGCTAGTAGGTCGACTGACTCGCCGGTCATTGAAATATTCAAATTAAAATATAACCTTGAGATATCTGACTAGGGGTTCCAAATTGGTACAAAAACCACAAAAACCACATACAACCTCGGACATTTGCGATGCGTTCATTTGAGAGGCAGAAGGGCGACCAGCACGTCGTTAAGTCTCTCAACAACTGACTAAACAAGTAAAAAAGTGCTGCAAGATGCAGAAAAGAGCCGCGGAAAACAGGCATAAAACTGCAGAGATTAATAGATTCTACACACCAGAATTTTGCAATATCGACCCACCAGGACTATGCAACATACTACGTAGAAGCATGTTTGGCAGGTGTAGAAACAATGGGTGAAAGCTACTCAGGAGCGTTATAGCTGGCGAGAATTCACATGACTAAATGTTTGCTCAATTATGAGATCTGGACCCACTTTTCTCAACCAATCAGAGGCTACATAAAGTATATATTCCCCGCGTCTATAGTAGAGGGCAAACATTGAATAGATACAATGGATGGAAACCCTACAGTATACTAAAAGCGCGTGTTATACTAAAAATGAGTCAATTAAATAGCCTCAGGCAATAATTTAACGCGTCACACGTGTAGTAAGGGACACAATATAAAGCTCACGCGCGCGCTTCCAAAACTTCTTCTTCTTTTTATTTTTCCCCGCCCGCAATTCTACCAACCATCAAGATTTCTAAAGTTTTGACACCATCAACACAAAGTAAGCTTGTTTCATCAAATGAATCAACAAATTTGATCAATTTGGAGGCCCTAACCTATTATTCAGGAAATCTTACTGCTCGGAATTGCTTCCCCCCTGCCCCCCCCATCCCCTTCTTTTCTCTCTGTTCTTTTCCCCCCGTGTTTTTTTTTTCGAAAACATGGTGGTAAGTTCATGCCCCATGCCCCAATCACCTAATATATTACTAACTTGAAACTCAACTGCAGTTCTGCAACTTCTGCCGTTCCGCTACCCATAGCGACGCGGATTGCTGGTCCCGGCACCGGACTCCAGCCGAAAGCCAACAAGGCATGGCTGAGGAGACCACGTTCCTCGCCGAAGCCGTCAGCCATGCCGTAGACACTTTGTGGCGGCTCCGTGCGGCTGATGTAAGTTATATGCTTTATCTTTCTAGGTGTTATAAACTAAACAAGATAATAGCAGCACCAGACTCCAGCCGAAAGCCAACAAGGCATGGCTGAGGAGACGGGTGTCATACTCGGCCACGCTGTAGAGGCCTACTTGCGGAGCCGTGCTGCTGATGTAAGTTATATGCTTTGTCTTTCCATGTGTTATAAACTAAACAAGATAATAGCAGCACAGGACTACTCAACCCCAGCCTCGACCACACGGTGGTGCACGCGGTGGTGCACGCGGTGGTACACATGGTGGCCCACACTCCTACCAGCAGCAGGTAAGTGATAAGCTTTATCCCTTTTAGCATCAAGATATAAACTAAATAAAATAACAGGCAGTCAGTCAGCATGGTGGGAACCAGCGAGGTGGTAGCCGCTATCCACCTGCAGCATCAACTGCGCCCCGGGCTCCTACCACAGGTAGCCAAAATACAGCGCGTGGTGGAATCCACCGCCAGAGAACCCGCCCATCAGCGGCCCGACGTCGCAGAATGGCCCAACGTCGCGACGGAGAGGAAAACAGATACCATGGCGTATCCCATGGTTCCCCTGGCGCCCATGGCCCTGCCCCTGGTGCCTCTTTCGGCGTCCCTGGTGCCCCTTTCGGTGTCCCTGGCGCCCCTGGTCCTGCCCCTGGTGCCTCTTTCGGCGTCCCTGGTGCCCCTTTCGGTGTCCCTGGCGTCCCCGGTCTTCCTGTGGCTGGAAGTGCTTCTGGCCCTACTTTCGGCATTTCGGGGGGTGGTCCTTTCGATGCTGATAGGCTAGCTCAAAGAGCTCCAGCTGTGTGGCTCCCTGAGCCCCGTGAGTCAACTGCCTTGCCTCGCCGAGCAATAGTTGAGGAGCCAGAAGAGGAGATAAAAGAGGAGATAAAAGAGGAGATAAAAGAGGAGATAGAGGATATGCCTCTATCTTAGGTCATATTTCTTTTACCTTTCTTTTACCTTTATATTTTTACCCCCACTAAGTGTATCGGTATTACCGGGCGCTTAGAGGGGGTAAAATTGTAAAGGTAAAAAAGATAAAAGAAATGTAACTTAAGATAGAGATCTATCTTCTATCTTACTCTCTAGCCTGCTAGGCTAAATAGTAAAGCCAAATTTTGGTTTTCCTGGTTGTGGTTCATGGTCCTACTTGTGTAGTCCATGGGACCCCCAGCAATTCTCCCTGGTTGTGGTTCATGGTTCTACTTGAGTAGTCCATGGGACCCCCAGCAATTCTCCCTGGTTGTGGCTCATGGTTCTTTCTATCTAAACTAACTCCTGCGTGTTAGCGCCATCAAATAACGAACCCGGAAAGCCCTGCTACCGCCGCGCAGGCACCACTTGAAACCACCCAAGCCCTAACCATGTTATCTGTTGAAGAATTAAGCTTACTGGTGTTAAGTTGGCCCTCAATAAGTTCAAATCCTAGGAACATTGTCAAGAATTGGTCATCTTCACTAACAGCCGCGCTACGATCCAAGCAGTACAGAATCCCAAGCACTCCTCCAGACAGTTCATCATCCGCACAATTTATACCCACATCCAAGCCCTCCGAACCGAAACGCCCACAACCTTCAATCCACCGGACAACCACCAAGTTATAATCCGATAGGTTCCTGCGCATGCGGGTATTCCGGGGAAGGAGTTGGCGGATACCGCGGCCAAGGAGCCTGCTCTTGGAGGAGGGGAAGCAGGGTCGGAAGAACCGTTTCCCTAGCTGGCTTCGGTCACAAAATAGCATATTCGGAGGAAGAAAGAGAGATGGGTACTCTTATAGGAGAGGGATCAAACGGGCAAACCGAACCGCAAGTCGGTTCCAATTCCGCACAAAAAGTCCCAATGTCTTACGTTGGGACTTTTTGCAGGTTTACCGAAACATTATGCGTCTATTTTAGTCCAGATGCGAAGCATGCGGGTGGTATTAAAGCTATTTTGTTGCTTCTTATGTGATCTATACTCTTACTCTTCTCTTCTTCTTCTGCCTTCCTTCCTGACAGCACTCAATACTACTGTATTGCGTTCTCACCCTCCTTCCCTTGTTTGTAGACTTGTTCTTCGTCCTTTTAGGTTATAAGCCCTTGTGCTTGTTGATTCAATCTAACCCGCTGATGGACTGCTCCGTTTGCTTACGCAGGGACCCCATCGTACCATTCACCGTTGGCCATAACCAGTTCCTATCACCCACTCTATTGTGTCCCGTCCTCTCGTTCGCTTAGCGTGTCATCTAGCTCCGGGGACGCCCCCCCCTCGGTGCCATCCTCATTCAAGTGCATACACTCTGGGCCTCGTAGGACGTGGATGTCCTGGGGGAATTGGCCCCATTTGGCCCTGAATCTGGCATCATTGAACCTTGTACCCTTATATTTATGGGCTATACTCGCCAGTCTTTCCGTCATGATTTGGCGCCAGATCTGGCCACAGAAGAGCGTTAGCGCTACGTCCCTGTGCCACCAGCACTCAATCATTCCAAAAGACCAAGACAGGTAGGCTTTCCATATTATCCAGGCGGCCGTCCTGTACAGGGCATGCTAATGTTCAGTAATCGCTCTGCCTTTATATGGGCAGAGTGAAGTCAAGGCCATGAGCTCGTTCACTTCGTCCGGGGGCCGAAGGGGGGCATCTCCGGAGAGTTTGCACCAGATTTCCTTCGTCTCTCCCCAGACAGCCTTCGCAACGCTACAGTGCAGCCAGGTATGTTCTTTCGTCAGCGGCGCTTGGTCATGGGGGCACATCTGTCATTCTGTTGGGATCCAGTCCAGATCTGGCCCTGTTTAGACCCGACCATGGAGCATCCTCCAGACTAGATCTCTTCTTTCCCCACATTTACAGGTGATCCCTGTGATGTACGCCGGTCTTTATAGCATTCCTATATTATACCCCTTATTCGCTAGTCTCTCAGATCACACATCCTATTTACTAGTAATCTTATAGGTCTTTGTTGATCCTACAGATCCTCGTTCACCCTGGTTTGTGCAGTACTCCTACAGCCTCCTCCTATATTTACAGCATTCCTACATCATATCCCCCGTTCGTTAATCACTTAGATCTTTGTTCTGATAGACAACCTAGATCAAAAGAGCTACTAATTGATACAGCTTGTTCGAATCCAAATTGTGACAAGATTTTCCGACAAGGAGATGTCAACAACTGGGCTAAGGTGCCCCCTGAGTTTCAGGGTTTTTACCCTGGTGCCTGGACTTGAAGGGCGTGTCACAGATCCGCGCGGAAGTATGGGAGGCCAAGGGAACCTGGTGTCATCTATCCGCGACCCAGTGCGGGCCTGGGAGTCCCTGGGCGCCCAAGACAGCGGCTGCGCCCACGAAAACCTCGCAGCGGCATACCTCGCACAAGAGGGCCACCAATTGGCACAGCTTGTGCTAATCCCAATAGTGATAAGGTTTTCAGAGAAGCCGATGTCATTACTTGCCAGTGGGTTAAGGTGCCCCCTGAGTTTCAGGGTTTTTACCCTGGTACCTGGACTTGTTCCGCATGTCATCAATATGCGCGGAGGCATGGGAGGCCAAGGCAACCTGGTGTCATCCATCCGCGACCCAGTTGTTGGAATCATATAACCATGCTGTTTCTACCGGATTGGAACCATTTGGCCCCTGAATGGGGATGATTTGCGGCGGCCGATACCTGCTACCTCTCTGCTATGGCCCATTGATATGCACCCCTCTCGCATGAAACAGATCGATGCTTACCCAGCTAAGGGAGAGGCCGGTTTTCGAGCGTACTAGTTCGGTCTAAATCTCGAAACTCGCGGCTCCTCACAACAAGTTCTGATTCTATTCATTTTTCAAATCGAGTATCCTCAAACATGACCAGTTTACATCCCCGGAACTACCAAATTGAAATGTTTGAGTTGAGCATGATGAGAAATACAATCGTTGTAGTGAGAAATGTGCTCTAATCGGTCGGTCTTTTACGCCAATCGGAAAGCTGAACATTTAGATGCCAACGGGAAGCGGGAAGACTTATGTGTATGTGTCGGATCATTCTCCTCATTTGAGCTCTGGGTAACCCTTCAGTAGAGCTGCATGCAAATCATGGCTGAACTGGACCGTTGCTCAGAAGACCAGGTGGGCAGAATTCAAAAATGTGAAAAGTGATACCATTTGACATTGCTTCTTATAGATGGTGTGGTTCTTAGTTCCTACTAAAGTCTTGTGTAGTCAACAGTTGAAATACTTGTCACAGTTTATGCCCGCGGTCAGCATGAGAATACTAACAGGGGATGAAGGAGTTGATTGTTGGAGCAATCAACTCCTTCATCACTCACCCACGGCTTTAAACAAATACAGCGGCTGGCGCTGATCGTCTTCGATAAGGGTGCGAACTACAAAAACCACATCCGTGTATGAGACTGACACCAGAACAGCTCATCATTGTATGAAATCGCCTCCTGGGAACCGGATCATGCGTTATTTCTATTACAAGGCTAAATTGGAAAGTACACACATTCCCAGTATTCTCGGCCTCACTACCTCGGTCGATGTAGCAAAAATTCGGTATGTAAAAGCATGCCTTGTTCAATGAAAACGTAACTCATAATCTCTCAAGGGAGCTTGAGCAAAATCTGGATACAGCTTGTCGAGCTCCATTAGCTCAGCATCAAGAGCTGGCGCAGTATGAGTGTCATCGGAATTTTACGAAAATCTTCTACTATCAGCATTCTCATGATGCAGTAGACCTGCCTATGTATTTACACACACTAGGAGAGGTAATCAGGGAATTGCGTGCCAAAGGAAAAGCCGAAGGCAACGGCATCCCTGATGATATCTCCAAGTTGCCTATGAAAGCTCGTACCATTTGGTGCAATCTAGAAGTATGGGCCCTTCAATACTTCCTCACAATACACTTTCAACACATCACTCGACAAGTCGCAGAAAAAAATAGTCATACCTCAATCAAGGCCTCTCCCCACAGATATACCACCCTGTTGGCTGTGCTGAACGAGAGCTTAAGAGACTCTGTTCAATTGGATGCCCCGGCAGCACTTCCGACAAAGTCGAGCAGCTTATGGCATTTCTCAAGGAAAGAAATAGTGATGCTTTTTCGGGTATCATCTTCGTCCGGCAAAGGATCACTGCGCATGTACTGTCAGCACTGCTGAATACCCACACAGCGACTCGAAAATCACTCCGATGGGCACCTTGTGTGAGCGGCTTGGCTCACGCCGAGTCATGGGTCGGGGATGAGTATCAGGGCGAAAGTGCGGTGTCGCAATTCTGCAGCGGCTTGAAAAATCTGATCGTTGCTACTAGTGTGCTTGAAGAAGGCATTGATCTTCCCGCGTGCCATCCGGTGATTTCACTTGAATTCCCAGACAATATCATATATTTCATCCAACGCCGGGGTCGTGCGCGACAGAGCACATCGGAGTTTGCTATGATGGAGATAAGGGATTCCGGTTCTACACCTCTGGATTCAAAGAGATGGAGCGATCTGGAAAAGCAAATCCAAATGATATGTCTGGACCATGAACGAATTCACCAGGCATCGGAGGTGGACGACAAGCAGTGGGACAAGATTGGTCTACAACTACAGCTGCACACAGGGTTTGGTTCCGGTGGAGGGCGTGTGGAACAGGGTCACCGAATTTGGCAACTGCAGCACGAGAAACGTAATTTCATTAATCTGGGGTGAGTTCTGTACAATTTCATATGTCAGCGAATAATTTATGTAGGTTTTGAGTCGATGGTCAGTGTAGATCAGTGTTTCCAATTGTCTTGATTCTCTTGAGGGGGATATGGCGCATGCTTTAGGAACACGTTTCTCACCCAATTTGACACATAAATAAATGGAATTTGGTATCAACGGATCTAACTCAGAAATACGCAGAAGATACCGTCGCCCAATTTTCAATATTCGCGTTGATGCGCGAGAAACTTGGAAATATTGGAAGCCGCGCCTGGAAACTTCTCCACATAAACACGGCCAAAAACCCGGAAACTTGTATGGTGCCACCAAATTCCCGGCTCAGACGTTCCCCAAAAAAGCCGATTCAGCTCGCTGGAAAAAGCAGGCGGTAGATAATCAGGTTCACCGCCTTTTTAGACGGGCCGTTTAGGGAACTAAGGTAAACCGTACACGTGATGATATATGATGACTAGTAAGTGAATATATGTGGCTGTCCATTCTCATTCGGAAAACATATCCTCCGGTAATATGTTTTGCTAACATAGTAAGCTCTTTAAACTCCTCCCAACTTAATATAATAAACACACCATCTCCGTGATACTGAATTCCTAGTGCTGCTCCTATCAATCCTCAACACGCTCGCTGTCCATTGAAGAGCCCCTTTCCCTTAATCCCGGCCCGCCAACATGCGGTTTACACTCTGTACTGTTGACGCTAATGATGCTGAGCTCCTGGTACGAAAATGCGATTTTCCGGCAATGCAAGATAACCCGTTGCATCTCATAATGTTTCCCAATTCGTGCAAGGAAGCAGAAGAAGAAGAAATAAAGTGGACGGTTGATGCATTACGAGAGACTCTTACAACACACCCAGCGGGGTTTCGCAAAGTCTGTTTAGAGGACGGCACAGCTGTTGGTTTTGCTGGATGGAACTTAGAGCAGACTGCACCGATTGGTGGCACCTCCAACAATGGGGATGCTGTAAAAGAGAGGAGAAAGCCAAACGATGTCCCCAAACGTAATTATTGGCATCCAAAAACCTTAGACGTGGAAGCTTGGTTGGGAGTTTCGCGACTGCTCAGGGAGGAAAAGACAAGGGTTCTCTGCAATCGCAAGAATATCTGGCGTAAGTTTGATTATGTGATGACAGCCATATCAGTCTATTCTAAGTTATTTCTTATAGGTCTCACTATGATATCAGTGGATCCGGAATATCAGCGCCAAGGTATAGGCTCTATGCTAGTACAGTGGGGCTGTGAAGAGGCAGATGCACATGGACGAGATTCTTTTTTGATTTCTTCTCCAGCGGGTATACGCTTATATACTAAGTTTGGATTTAAACCTGTTGGGGAAGTCCATACATCAACAGGCACCTTCACAAGTATGTTTAGAGAGGCAACAACGGAACCGAGTCAATCAGACACAGTATAGATGGTGGCAGAGAAAGTAGACTTTTGGGTTTACAGCCGATTTTTTCTCTTTGTATTCGCTATCTTCTCTCTTTTCTTTATCTATGTGGGCTCTGGAATATAGTATTCAAAAAATCCTCAGAGGCGTCTGGATACCGGTTATTACCCCAAGGGTAGAGCGCCTGCATGGCTAGAAATTTTAGTAATTGGGATTTACAGATCAATAGAACTTGGATTGATTGATTTAGAGAGGCACAGTCAAGATCAGAAATTTCCTCTTCATAACTCTTGCGCAACAACTAGCCCTTAACCTCCCAAGCACGAAACAAATCAGACAGAGAAGCTTGTGAATATCCAATATGAAAGATAAAGATAGAAAATAAAAATTCAAAGAGTGCCTATCCGCAGCTATGATCGCTGTCGTGTCCTCCTTGGACCTTGAAACAAACTTCCCTGCAGTGACAACGATCGTCATCTCTGGGGCTGAATACCCACAATGCCTCAATAAGGCTCGAGTCAGGGACTGATCCTCGTGGCATCATGATGCTTGTATTCCCTTCAGTGACCTCCATAGATAGTTCTGGATCGTACTCATCAAGATATCGTAAACCAAAAACGTTCTGTAAACCAAGCTTACAGAGCATGTCAAATAAACTCCGGTGGAACTTTTCGTCATAGCAGGGCTTTGTCGATGAAAAGGCGAACTCGTACGGTACTCGCGCTCCATCCAGAAATCTAAATAAACGAGGTACGACAAAGCCTTCGTACTTCTGAGCAATGTCCGTCTTTGCCTCATCAACTTTCCAAGCTGTTGAGATATGACGATAGTCAACCAGACGATCTGTTTCGTCGATGGGGAAATGTTTGTGCAATAAGCTGATACCGTATTCTAGGTGGACATCGTTATCGAGAAAGAGCTCTCGAATATAGTGGTATATAGTAGAGAAGTACATCCTTATATATTATTACAGTTTCCTGACATGCTATTATGATACAGTCAGCACTGTCATTACTGTATAGCGGCTGTAGTGACTAGATTGGAATGCACACTTCTACACATCTCTCATTTAACCCCTAGATTATTGTTTTAGGCAGTCAAAGTCTCGGCATTATCCACTGCTGGATCGACCTATGCACTTTGATGGCACAGCATAGCGTTCCCCTCGTTACTATATAATCCATTCTTGAGTCTCTTCTCAAGTCTATTCTAAAAGTAACCTATGTTTAGATCAAATTCTTTAAGATATTCCTATATATAATAAATACAATACGGGCAAGAAACAGGGCGGTAAAGCTAGTAGCACTTGAGAAATCCAAATTGAGCTATGGCAGAGGGGCGGGTATCGGCCGCCGTAGATGATTCTGGTTTTCCCGGTTCTGTCGGTCTTCATCGCCTGGCGTTCTTCCTTTTAGATAGCAGGCTTGTCTCTCTAGCTTCTTCCTAGCTCACCACAATCAATATTCCATATTCATTCCACTGCTTGTTTCCTTCGCCTCTTCTGTTACTAGTGCGGGCCTGGCAGTCCCTGGGCCCCTAAGGCAGCGGCTGCGCCCACAAAAACCTCGCAACGGCCCACCTCGCACAAGAGGCCCGAGGGCCACCAATTGGCACAGCTTGTGCCAATCCCAATTGTGATGAGGTTTTCAGAGAAGCCGATGTCATTGCTTGCCAGTGGGTTAAGGTGCCCCCTGAGTTTCAGGGTTTTTACCCTGGTACCTGGACTTGTAGGGCGTGTCACAGATCCGCGCGGAAGTATGGGAGGCCAAGGGAATCTGTCACCAGGCGGTCGCAAGACTCGCAAGCAGACTCTGACCCGCCACATACAAGGAAGCGCCGCAAGACGGCTTGATGAGCCCTCGCTTGCTCTGATTGAACATTTTTTCTCTACATTTCCTTACAAATACTGACAATCTCAGATGACTGGAACACAGTCGTCACCGAGGAAGACCCGTTCGGCATCTAAGGCCGCACAACAACAAATCAACACCGGAGTCAACGTTGATTAACAACCACAAGAAGACAGCGCCGGAGTCGATACTACAAATAAACAACGTAACAACATAACAACACCGGAGTCGACGTTGAGCAAGAACAAAAATCCAACACCGGACTCAACACTGAACAACAATAAGAAGAACTCAATAACAACGCCAGACTCGACATTACAAATCAAGACCAACTTCTACATGAGAATCTACAGTTCCCCGACCTCAACAACATCAAAGCAGCAGGAATCGGCACCGGCAACATCAATCCAATGGGAATCGGCATTGAAGATGCAAGGATTCATGAAGGAAAGAAGGCATTTACAGAGAAGACATAGTTATTATAAGGCTTTTGAGCTTAGTCCACACGCTGAGGGGGTATATTAGGAGAAGTGAACCGTGTGACTTAAGGTCACATAGTCTGCTCCTAGTCATGCTGCAGCATGTGTTGGGATGGTGGGTGGAATAGTCCCGTTATGGTATTGTGGTCGCAAAGCTAATTCACTAGCTCCATCTTACTTCTCCCAGTTCTTTTAGAGCCAGCTACAGAATGTAGGAAGCAATGCGAATACTACTCCCCTTCGGACCCTTTACATCAACCATGACCCTGAAACTGTAAAAATAGAAAAAAAAAAGTACCTAGACTAACAGGTAATTAAACCCCGGACCTTTCCCATGTTCACAGAACTTTTGAGAGGTGCAAAAAAACAGACTAAAATTCAGCCTATTCCGGGCCTTTGAACGCTCTAAGCTATTAGACATATCTAAACCACATGTGTACTCTACCACTAGGGAGAGTCTTCCTGATCCAGATTTGTAGTAGCTTTTTTTGCCTATTAGTGTTTGTAGTTAGTCTAGGGAAGTAAGAGCTTCTCTCTCCTTTCCTTCCTTCTTTTTCCCCTCCATCTCCCATAGTGAAGAAATATAATCACAGCTTGGATTCGTCCTCTTCGTTTCCCCAGATCTACACTGTAGATCTGATATACAATATAGGTGGGGAACAGGACGGTGAAGTTAAAAATCCAAATTAGGTTATGGTAGTGGGGTGGTGGGTATCGGCCGCTGTAGTCAATGGCTATCCAGGAACCAGGGCAAATTGGCTGATAAACTCTTGACCGCACTCATCACAGTAGAATGAGAGCCTGTGGGCGGAAGAGTAGAGTAAATAGCTATCGAAGGTAGGTTGGCTAGTAAACTCTCGGTCGCATCCATTGCAGTAAAATATAAGCCTATAGGCGGAAGAGTAAAGTAAATGGCCATCCAGGGCAGGCTGGCTTACAAACTCGCGGTCACACTTATCATAGTAAAATATTAGCCTATAGGCTGAAGAGTAGACTACATAAGTAGCCATCTAGTACAGACTTACAATTATAGTAGATATAAGTAAGGATATACTCCTCTCTCTTCTTCTATAAATCAATTATTCACCTAGAGCAAGTCCTCGGTAGCTTACTAGTATATACAGAGGTCCTGGCGATTTACATTCTCCAGCAGAGTCGCGTATCTCTTATAGAGGTTAGTGTTCTTGCTCTTGAGCATATTGAAGTTACTCTGGAGGAGCTCAGTATGTTAAGAAGATGCAGCAAGTTGACTGTTGGACTGAACGATTTCGCTCAAAAGATCACTTTTCTTTCGCAAGGGTTCATTGATCTGCTGACGGAGGGCTTTGTGATCGGTTGTTATTTCTTTGTGGAAAGTATCTATCACATATTGAGACTGTAGGTCGATACTGTAGGTGTCTTCAAAAAAACACACATCCCCGAGTAGTAGAGGGAGGGAGATTAACCTAATGCTATCTAGCTAGTCATCGCTATCATCTATGGTAATATAGGCGCTTCTTCTGAAGTAAAGAATTTGGATACTTAATACTTTTACTTGATACTTGATTAAATGGTATCAACCAGTTGACAACGGGGCTTGGGCCGTTGTCAGTTGCCGTTGTCAACTGGTTGATACTATTTAACCAAGTAAAAGTATTAAGTATCCAGATTTAACAATTTACAAAATCATATCCCCAGAACAACTGCCCGGTATTGTTGAATATTTACCCCAAAATATACTTAGTATGAAAGTGGCTGACACACAGCAGAAGAAATAATCCTCGGGTAAATTATGCTGAGGTAGAAAGGGCTTTGTTTGGAGGGAGCAAAAACAGTCTCATTGTGGCGACCCGCTTGGACGTCTTTAGCGCTGTTTCGGGCCGCAGAAACGCCCCATCTTTCCTATCTAGGCAACACCCATGAGGTAGCTGGCTTGGATTTATTATTACCTTAGGATCGTTATTATCATTATTACTAGTATTCTTTACAGTCCAGATGGAGAAGGGCGCATAGTCGCTACGGATTACATGGATATCAGGCGCCATATAGGTTGCACCCCTTGAGCTCTATCACTCCAATCAATCGATCCCCTTTCCTGTCACGGTACGGCTCGGGGCGCTTAGCAGAGCCTTGTTCAGTGAACTTGAGGAGAAATTTTGCGGACCCGGGAGGACGGATGCAGGTTGTACCTTGTGATATATAGCGATATGCGACGTATAGAGGGGCTTGCTCCGCACGGATGCATTAGTTGGTATCAGATGCAGTAGTTGGCAAAGCGGCCAATTACGATAAAGACTTTCAAATGTTGTGGATTCCTATTGTTGGTGGGAAGCGAGAGAGAAAGATCCTGGCTGATACTTGCTTTATTTCTGGATCTGAATTGATTTCCTGGGGGTGCTCGTCATTTATATTTTATCTGTCTATCCCTCTCCCCCTCCGTTTCTATCTTGCGGTACTTTCTTTTCTCTTTTCTCTGCTACGCCAAGGTTCAGTATCCTCAATACTACCCAACATCGAACTAACTCCGTGCCAATCTGGCCATGGAATTTTATTTTTTATACCCGGTCATTGCTGCCGCCTTGCTCTTACTGCTAGGCATACGCATTGCAATCTATCGACTGTACGGCCATCCATTGTCGGCATTCCCGGGCCCCAAGCTTGCCGCGGTGACTTTTCTGTACGAGTTCTATTATGATGTCGTCAAGGGTGGCATGTATATATGGGAAATAGAGCGCATGCATGAAAAATATGGTTCGTACCATTGCCCCTCCCCTCCTTCCCAATCACAAAACCCCACGGCCGATTTCCTCCATCCGTCGCATCTTATATAGCCCGACGAGGTCCCAAGTTAATATCTTGAAAAGGCCCCATTGTCCGCATAAGTCCCCGAGAGCTTCATATCAAGGACTCATATTACTACGATGAAATCCACGCCAGTGGCGCCCGTAAACGCAACAGAGACCCGAAATATGCCATCGCTTTCGGAGCTCCATATTCGCTCGTCGGAACTATAGGCCATGACCACCACCGCCTCCGCCGGAGTTTCATCCAGAATTACTTTTCCAAACGCTCCGTCACCACCTTAACCCCCTATATCTGGGCAAAGGTGGACCAGCTTCTTAAACGCTTTGAAATTGCTTATGAGAATTCCGCCGTCCTCCATCTTCAGTTAGACTTTGCCTGCCTCACTGCCGATGTTATTTCGCAGTACTGTTACGGTTGGAGCTATGGGTATATGGATGACGAGAAGAACTCGACAAAGAATGATCTCGTCGACGCCGTTCAGGGTCTCATGTTGATGTTCAATATCAATCGGTTCTTCCCTATTCTCGTTCACATCTTCCGGAATGCTCCACCAGCTGTTGTCCGCTTCTTGCAGCCGCAGATGGGTGATTTGTTTGATGTCAAGGCTCGGCTGCGCTTGCAGGCGATAGCTGCGCTCAAGAAGAAGGAGTCCGAGGGACTTGATGGTAGTGAGGAGAAGCCTCACACCTCTGTTTTTGAAGCGCTGGTTGGACCGAGTGTTCCTGATCACGAGAAGACTGTAGACAGGCTAGTTGATGAGTCTGCTTTGCTTCTTGGTGCGGGGACTGAGACAACGGCGCGGTCTCTTGCCGTGTCAATGTTTCATGTAGTTCACAATAAAGCGATTGGCAATAAACTGAGGGAGGAGTTGAAGACAGTCTTGACGAAACCAACTTCTAAGGCTACGTGGACCGAGTTGGAGCATCTTCCTTATCTGGTGAGTATGCTACTATGTGTTCATAACTTGTATGGGCTTGGCTTCGTTAGCTGATTGAATCTATCTAGACCGGAGTCGTGAATGAGGGATTGCGTCTGAGCCACGGTATGACAGCGCGCCTGGGCCGTATCTCGCCAAATGAGAACATGCTCTACAAGGACTGGGTCATTCCTGCAGGTGTAAGCATTACCAGCCTGAACTCTAAAGTAATCTGTTTGCTAACAATTCCCAGACCCCGGTCAGTCAATCGAATTACTTTGTCCACATGGATCCCACTCTCTTCCCTGAGCCCGAGAAATTCGATCCCGAGCGATGGGTCCGCGCAGCAGAAAAGGGCGAACATTTAACTCGATTTATTGTTGCTTTCACCAAGGGCGCTAAACAATGCCTGGGCATGAAGTAAGTTTCTTATGGATTTCTCGAACTAACCCAAAGCTAGACGAAGATGCTGACAAGAAATGTGTCTTAGCCTTGCATATGCCGAAATCTACATGACGTTGGCGCATGTAGTGCGGCGCTTTGAATTTGAAGCACACGAAACTACGCCGGAGAACCACAGCGTCCGTCGAGATTTGGGAGTTGGGCTTCCGATGGATCGCACGTTTGATATCAAGGCGAAGGTGGTGGGTATTGTGGAAGAATGATTCCGCATATATTCCAATTTGTTTCTCTCTTGTTTCTGTCTCTTGATAGATACCTATCTCTCCAAATATTATTTCCGGTGCATACATATCGTCGTTTGAATACCCCTTATGAAATAAGATAACATTTTTTGACGTGTCAACATTGCGTAGGTGGAACTGGTCGACTAAATGAGCCACTTTTCCCCAACTTCCCGAGGCCTTGTGCAATTTAAAATGGCCCATGGGCCATGCCGGGATGCGCTAATGCAACTGGACTCCTGCCGTGTTGGGTATAGCGTTTGTCTTCAACCCTGCAGGCTGCACCTGGTGCACGGTTCTGATTGATCACCTGGATTTCGACCAATCAGAAAACTTATTTCCATTGTTCAATGCTGCATGTGGTGAGATTTGGTACTTATTCAAAACCCCACCAATGTATGCAGCTAACAAGACAATCCTCTTGTCTGGATAGAATAGAAATCAGGGTCTAGAATGGGATTTAAACTTTGAGATGATGCTGCCTCTGACCAGAGCTGCAGATAAAGTGCAGGGTTTCCTTGGCCTACTGGGCTGTGTCCAAGCAGCACCGAAAATATATACTCGTTGTATGCACAGCAAACATTACTCAGGTATGCCTATATGTCAACACGTAGGCATTCATGCACATGCGTCATTCATATATTTGTACCAAGCATTTAATGTCAGTTCAATAGGGACTGCCTACTATCAGTAGGCCAAAAGAGTTCAATTACATGTATTTGGAAAATTGAAAGCTTGGAAATTTCCAAGATTTTACCTGGTACCGTTTATGTTCTAATGGGATGTACGGAAATTACTATATTAAGTGGTTTGCACTGCCTAGGTCCACTGACCTTGAACATTTGAACATTGACTACTAGTATGTAAGTGAAAGAACATGTAACTAATCAATACTTTCAAGTTAGATTGAATATCAACCTCGGGGATTATAAAAAAAAAAAAAGGGAAGGAAACCACAGGCCTAGAAATTTCCAAGGTGTTTAGCCCCCACAAGAACCAATCATTTTACGAGAAACAATAGCAGGAAATGATTTCCGCTCAGTACTTGTTCAGGCTGAGCAGGGATCAATCCATTTTTCACTTGAGGATGTTTGATTGGTAGAGGCAAATGAGTGTGGTTACATTGGATTTTTGAAAAGTAACAAAGATGTGGAACGTTCAAGCTTTTGCTCTGCAGATCAAAACAATATATTAGATAATGGATATCAGGCAAAGGTACAGAAGCGCTGGTTCGGTAGACTGTTTTTTTAACTGGGGTCGATGGAGATTATCTCGGGAGGTGTGCACTGCAAGGGATGGACATGCCAGAGGAATTTTTTAACGTGCTTGGGTATCCCTACATACACAACCTTCAAAGGAGCACTTGAGAACCACTGTAAATTATGCCTTGACTTTTCATAATACGTGTCGTACGTTGCACTTTAATTCTATTCTGTTGCCGTTGTGGGCATCATATAGACTCTCCCGAAAAGAAAACCACAAGCATCGCTATATAGTAAGAATTTATTAAAAGTTCCTAAAGACGAACTCCAGGGCTACGGCTAATTTTTATCCCTCTCTCAATCTTCTACGACATAATTTGCAAGGATTCCAGCGTAAAGCTGGAAGACATGGGAACCTCATATGAGCCCATCCGATTACCTGCCTTCAAAGATGCATTAGCTGTTCAAGCAGCTCAAACTACTCATTCAATCAATCTTCACTGGGTCTTTGGGGCCAGCGGGAAGCTATGACAGGAAAATATCAGTGGCTATCATTCCACATGCAGGCTAACCTGGATCGAAGAATCTGAGCTTTTCTCCTGATCGACCATACCTAAAGGACCCAGCACACCCCTTATGCCACAAAACACTCGTCATCATCCCAGCTAAAATACGCTGATCTCAAGAGCGCGTCTCCGGTATGAGAGACGCGGCAGATAAAGATCAAAACAGAATGGAGATCAACAATCCAAGCACATCGTTATAAAACCATCCATATCCCTTCGTCCCCATTCCCACATCTATAGTAATTTATCCGACCGACTACACTCCTTTCGACCAGTTCCCGAGGCAAGTACCTCAAGCTCCAGCAACATGCGCTACGCCTACGTCTCACTGGCGGCTTTTGTCCTTAGCGCCACCGCTGCGCCCTCTTACCCCCGCCCTGAGACCGCTGCCGCCGAGCCGGCCGGTGACCCATTCAACACATTCCCTTTTATGGCGGGACTTTCTGCCGTAGACGACGACGACGATGACGATAGCATGGGTGGTGGTGTTCCTGCAGCTTACGAGGCCGTGATGGATGCCGAGTCAGCAAAGGGCTATCAAGGCCAGAAGGCTACACCAGCCAAGCAGCCCACTCACGCACCGGTACAGTCTGTTGCCCACAAGGCGCTCCTCAGACCTGAAACCCACTACCATGTACCAGCCCTGCATAAGCCTGCTGCCCCAGCGGCTCAGGTGGCTGAAATGCCCGACGTTCCTGAGACTCACGCGGCTCCAGTAGCTCAAAATGCTCCAGTGGATATGTCAATTCCCTTTAACCAGCCGGCACCCACCGAAGAGCCCAAGCCTGTTGAGGACCCCAAGCCTGTTGAAGCCCCCAAGCCCACTGAGACACCGAAGCCTGTGGAGAAGGTTAAGCCCGTTGTCAAGCCTACAGAAACACCCAAGCCCACCGAGACACCAAAGCCTGTGGAGAAGCTTAAGCCTGTTACTACCCCCAAGCCTGCTGAGGAGCCTAAGCCTACCGAAAAGCCCCAGCCTGTTGAGACACCAAAGCCCGTTGAGGAGATTCAGCCTGTTGAGACTCCCAAGTCTACTGAGAAGCCCAAGCCTACTGAGGAGCCAAAGCCTGTCGCATCTCCCAAGCCCACAGAAAAAGCCAAGCCCATTGAGACACCAAAGCCTGTCGAGGAGGTTAAGCCAGTTGAGACTCCCAAGCCTACCGAGGAGCCCAAGCCTGTCACAACCCCCAAGCCCACAGAAAAGGCCAAGCCCACAGAGACGCCAAAGCCCGTCGAGGCTCCAAAGCCTACTTCTACAAAGGCCAAGCTCATTGAAGTCCCCAAGCCTACCGAGAAGGCCAAGCTATCTGAGACACCGAGCCCTGCAGTCAAGCCATCGACCTCTGCAACCCCCACGCCATCTGTTAAGCCACTCCCCACTGTCGAGGATCTATCTATGCCAGATCTGGCCATTCCAGAATTCGACGCAATGCCTTCCGAGCCTTCATCCGAACAGTCCAAGGCCACTCCTACTTCAAAGAACGTCCCAGCCCCAACTGATAACTCTGATGATGGCCAATCCGAGTTCCTGCCCCTTGAGAATGTGGTTCCTCCGATGCCACAGCCAGTTGCTCCTTCTCCTACTTCCCACGGTGCTTTCGTGAGACCTACGCCTTTGCACAACAAGCTCGCTATGCAGACCCCGAAGCCGCTGTCGACCCCCTCCAGCTCCAGCGCCAAGCCCACGCCAACTCACAGTGAATCTGCTTCGCAAACCCCCAAGGCTGTGTCCCCCAGCTCTTTCAGCTCGATTGCTAAGCCTTCTTCTAAGGGCCTTGGCGCCTTGGCTAAGCAGGCTGCCGTTGTGTCTACTCCCCTTATCCCCAGCCACCGTCATCATGCCACTGCTTCTAGCTCGGCTACTCCCTCTGGCTCTGCTACGCCTAGCTCTACCCCTTCGGCAAAGCCTGCTACTAAGGCTAAGGCTAAGGCCCTTGGTCCCCTCACTGGCATGTTGAGCAAGGTGCCCCTTCTTGGTGGTCTTACTGGCGGCCTCGGTGGTCTTGGTCTCCGTCGTTAAATGTTCTCCTTTTTTTCATTCTTTTTTGGTACCCGGCGTTTCTGTATAATCATATATCCAGCAGGGAACTGGAGGCAATTGTCATTGTGGCAGGACTTGATTCATATTCAAGACACTTATATTTAGTAATTAGCAAAGAATTGAGCAAAACGTCATATGTTGAGTTCACAATAGGCAAATTATAGTTCGACTCCAAGTACCCGATGTCCCTGGCTCTGAATTTTTCCCTCGAGTGCGAACGATCATGCGAACGTCGCGAGTACACGACCGCGAAGTACACGACCGCTGAGAGTGGTGGGATCGTCGCGAACGATGCGACCGCGCATCATCGTTGGCTGAACAGTGTCTGGTGTGAGAATCATGTGGGGCTCTGCCTTTGCCTTTATCCTTAGATGATGACTTGCTAGACTCGGTGCGAGAACGCTCCTCTCGCATGGTCGTAAGTTCTTTCCTCAATAGTGTAACTTCTTTGAGAAGTTTCGCGAACTCGGTAGTTGGGGCTGACTCCACAGACTCAAGCCTCTCTAGCTCATCTTCGGTGCTGCGCTGCGTAGCCCGCGTGGTTTCTGCACTAGATTGGCTTTCTTCCCGGGTCTGGCGCGGCCACTGGAAGCTGTTCCTCACATCCTGCGAAGTGTAGTATGGAGCACTCATTCTGGTCATTCTGGGCGATTCTCGATAGACGAATCGTAGGCGAGATGGTAACTTGATGTAGAAGGGGTTTAATGGATTTGGGAAGGGAGGCGGTGATAGGACTGGGATGCGCGATGCGCGATGCGGATGAGTGAAAGGTAAAAGCTGATGAAGCTGAGTCTGCCGTGTGAGCGGCGAATAATGGCGTAATAGCTGATAATTCGTCTTGTAGAGCTTGCACACTTGCGGCGATGCACTTGCGGTGGTAGCGATAAATAAAAACTATAAAAAACAATTGTTGTATTCTTGAATGTGAATCCCATTTCTATAGACCTCATCATCATACCAGACCATCAAGGATATCTCCCCCCAGCACCCAACATATCAATACAACCCTCCACAGCCTTCTGCATCGCATTAGTCGCCTCCTCCAACAAAGCAGTCAACGGCACCTTCCCCGCCTTCTCCGCCTGAACCTTCACATACTCATTATTCAACACCTTATTGATATTAATCTTCGACACCCCACAATCAATGCACTTCTGAAAAATCTCCTTGGAAAACGGATCCGCCCCATGCAACACAAGCCTCACCTGCCCCCCAACCGCCTCATTAATCGACCGCAACCGCTCATACTCCAACTGAATCCCCCGCGCCCCATACTCCCCATGCACATTCCCAAAAGCCGGCGCCAACCAATCAATCCCCGTATCCACAAACTCCCGGCTCTCCTCAGGCGTCGTCAACAGCCCCTCCAAATCAGCCGTGTCCGCTACCCCGTCCTCCCCGCCCTCGATCCGTCCGGGCTCCGCCTCCGTCGCTATCCCCCGCGCATGACAGTACTCCACCAGCTCGCGCGTCAGCGCCAGATTCTCCGCTTTCTCGTAGTGCGACATGTCAACCATGATGCTGTCGAACCCGCCCAGGTCCGCCGCGTACCGGATTATCTCGGGCGTTTGCGCGTGGTCCATGTGGACGGTTACGGGCACGCTGGCTTTGCGCGCTGCTTCGGCTGCGGCGTGCACGAGGAGTCCGTCGGCGTAGTGGATTGCCCAGGGGAAGAGGAGGATCATGGCTGGTGCGCGCTTGGCTTCGGCTGCGCGGACGGTGGCGAGGATGCCTTCGATGTTGTAGCAGCACATTGCTGGGACGCCGTAGTGGTTTTGGGAGGCATGGTCGAGGATGCGCAGGGCGCGGTTCTCGGTGAGAAGAGGCATTGTGGGGTGTTTTGGGGGGTTTGAGATGAGTGGAGGGTGTGTGTGTGAGGGGTAAGTAAGTGTTGTATTTGGATTGCGGGGGTTTCTTGGTTTTAAATACTAATAACTAGAGTATCTGCTTCATGTTGGATGTTCGCTGTGTTGTCCGTGTTGTGGATTGGTCGCATCTTGTCCGATGGATCGGAGATGGACCGAGTCTCCAATTACGTCAAATTGACTTGATCCGAATCCCAGAATCTCAGGCCAATTGGAATATGGCAGTTATTGTATTTGTGAGAATAGCCTATACATGTTGGTCCGGTTCTATAGCAATATTTTGCCTCTGGAATGGGTGGTGGAATGGTACGTGAGATTGCTCCCAAGTATTCTTAGTCGGAGCTATGACCTTGATCTCTTCAATACAAACGAATCAAAAAATTGATCAGTAATACTATGGTGTGGAGTGTTGCGTTGAGTATAACCGAATATTTAATTTTTTTTTTTCAAAAAAGAAAACGCAGAGCTCGAACCCTGGACCTCTAGATATCCAATGGGCTTGAAAGACATTTGGAAGAGCCTCATTTGTATAGCAAACCCTTACTATAGGTATCACCGGCCTTTTGGATTTTCGATATCCTTCCAACTTTTCCTTCGGCTGGCCTTTTTTTACTGGTACTGTTTCTTTAGTTTGATTTTTGCTGCGCCTTGCACATGATGTATTCATGTCCTTCAGTAAAACATCTGGAATTATAACAACTTATTAAAGCTCTACTCAAAAATAACCAACATAAATTTGGGATGAAACGGAGGCTGATATTGGGATTAAGACAATATGGACAAATGCTATATACTAAAATTACAAACTCACGCCAGTTCCATAAATCTGCATAACACTAATACTGCTTTCACCGCTGAAACCTGCCCGTTGAGCCAAGAATAACGTATTGAGAGCCGCATTTCCAAGGTGCAATGGGCAATGAATATCTCTTGCCTTTTGCACAGACCTTTCTAACCGTAAGATGGCATCATCAATCGTTTCTGTTCCAGGGAGTAGATCAATCTGCCCCTCGATCATTTCCAACCCTCTTATCATGAATTGTCGGCTAGAGCCCGCAGCATCGCTGACAAGCCTATAGAATTGTTCAAGGTCTACCTTGAGGAAACGTGCAAATGCAACAGCCTCGGCCGTAGCAACAAGGTTTGTCACCTCCATCATATCCAAAACATACTGTCGCAACTCGATCTCCTCGGACAAATCCAGGTGATTTGACACATCCCTGATAGGCGTTTGGAAGTATTGGCGAACCATAGCAGAGTCGTCAATGGGACCATATCCTTGCAGAAGAGCTCCAAGGTAGACCTGCTCAGCTGTGGAGCAAAGAGGGGTCGGAAATTGGTACTCGCGAGCAGCGGTGGTAATAATTCCCTATGAACAAACCCGTCTGGTCAGCGGGTGCTATGCTTTTTCAAAAAGAAAAAAAAAGAAAGAAAAAAAGAAAAAAAGAAAAATTGCACTTACAACATCCTTAAGAATAATAGTAAGTGCACTAGCACCGGGCGTCCAATCCTCTTCCATCATACGCTCCACGCGGTTCTCGTGCATCCACGTCCACGCGCTAGAATCCTTAATTGCCTCCGCAGCTGTATCGGCATGCAAGCCAAGACGGGCTGCAAATCCCATCGCTTCGCTCGCACCGAGAATATGAATTGCCGCAAGAACCTGGTGAACCATCTTCATGTTGCTTCCTGCGCCAATGCCGCCGGGTACCAGGTACAACTTGTTCCTGTCGGACATGGCTTCTAGGAGGAACCGGCCGCTTTCGAGAGCGGCATCGTCTGCACCGGCCATAATGGATAGCGTTCCCTTTGCAGCGCGCAGCGCACCACCTGAAACTGGAGCATCAATGAAGTGAATATCTCCGCGGCCGCGACGAGCAAGACTCCCGGCGACAGACCGCGCATCTGAAGCTGAAACTGTGGAGCACAGGATGAGAGTTGCGTTTCGAGGGAGACCTAATTTGTTTCATTGTATTTGATCAGTACGCTGTTTCTTTTGCTCCCAATTAGAAGCAGTTGGTACATACCGGCAACAATTCCGCCCTCGCCGAATAAGACAGACTGGACTTGCGGGGCTGAAGCAACCATGCAAATATAGTACTGCTTCCCGCTTGCTGATTCCCGCAATGAAGAGGCAGGAGTACCACCGGCGGCCGTGAATTTCTCGATTAATGCGGGGAACACGTCAAATCCGTGAACGGAGTATCCTTCTTTCACGAGGTGCGTGGCCATGCCGAAACCCATGGCTCCCAGGCCAACAAAACCGATTGCAGGCTTAGACATGATGATAATAGTGGTATTTCAAAATGGTGGAAAATAGGTGATAATAATAATAAGAAAAAAAAAATAATGTCCAAAAATTATTTAAAAAATTATTTAAAAAAGCAAGGAACAATACCTGATAAATAAGAGTGGAAACGTGGGGGCCGAGGAGGCTTATCCGGGGAAATAGCCGAGTGGGATGATCGGGTCAAGTCCGACTGCCCGAGCTTCAAGGTTATAGTATAGCCTGTAGGATATAGGCCATAATTCGGGGTAGATGGAGATTTCTAGAGTTCTTCGGTTAACTACCAAAGAAAAGAAAAACTTGAGACAATTGTAAAGATGTTGTTGTGAGAATATTCAAGTTCAATTGTTTCTTTTCATCGGGGGATATTGGGGCTATTAAGTATAACAGACTTCACATATAAGGCAACTAAGCGCCCACAGCGCCGACAGCGCCAACAACAAAACAGCTACGTTTTCAGCTAGAATAAGACGACGAGGCGCGAAAAAGACCTATCTAGATATGCAGCCATCTCAAAGAAGAAATTACCAGCTCAGAGGCAAGCATTCCTCTTCTTCCTCGTCGCCCAAGAAATCAAGGAATCCCGTTGTTGCCCCATGATTGACCGGGGTGTCTAGGGCGTCCGAGGTGTCAATATTAGCTCTAGTCCCGAACGAGACAAAGTCGAGGTCTGAGAACCACTCGTCAGCATTGTCATTGTGGTCCCGAAAACTAGGCGACGACGCACTAGACATATTTGCGCGCCATAGACTGGTCCATGAGTCGGAGTGATTCAGAGAAGGGGTAGCCTGGGTGAATTCTCGGGGCTCTTGGTTAGTGTGTGATGTGTTGTCAAAGCATGCGGCTGTTTCGGGGGCATTTTCATCTGAAGAGACCCCTGTCTTGAAGGCCTGGGCCAGCTCGACAATTATTTCCTGATGAGAGGGTAGAGCCCCAAGGAGGTCGATGATGTTGCTATCGATATTGCTGTTTTCGGTGCAATCTAGGTCTAGCTGTGCCAGGCAATCAGTTGTGGCACCGGGCATGGGCTCAAAATCGTCAAAATCATCGATAGTAGTACATGGTAGGGCATCAACATGGGGCATATAGGATAAGGGACCAAAGTCATGGAAACTTGAAAACACATCATTCGTGTCACGCACGTCAAAGCTCACATCTGTAGAGGTGTGTTCTTGGTGGCTTTCGAAGTCTGGGTCAAGCTGTGCATGGGGTTCAGTCATTTCATACAAATCCCAGTCAAAGCCACAGCATGCACAAAGCTCGGGATAGAAAAGAATGTTCGAACCGGGGATACAAGATGTGCCGAAATTGCTCGCAGGGAGACCCCAGGTCGTGTGGTTCGTGTTTTCTCCCATGAAAAGTTGCTCAGTACCTACCTGTGCAGGACAGCCTGAAGAGTGGTATCTTCCGTCGTCTCCAACTGTGTTGGGATTATTCTGATACATGTCAGTTTGCTTATCATGCAGATTGTTTGGGTCTGGGTTTGTCTGAACAACCATTCGGGCCTTCAAATCAATGATAGGGTGTGTCGCGTCCAATCCCTCTAGAGCTCGATTTCGTTGAGGGAGATGATTGACGTTATTTTGCTGAGTGTATGTGCTGCTCCAGTCGTAGGAGCACTGGAGACAAAGGTCTGGGTGGTCTGGTGGGAGGAGATCATGAGAGATCTTGATATCATCGCAGGTTAAATGATAAGGCTCGGGAAATATACCATCGGCGCTGGCAAACATTCGGAGTTGGTTAGTGAACTCAAGGCAGCTCATGACTGTATAATGGGCAATGTGGCCACAGTTCGGGTAGTGGTGGTAAGTGTATCTGCACATGGTGAGCTTGGAAAGGAATACTCTGGTGAACGGATGGATTATTTTTGTTTGTGACCTTGGAAAATGTTCGGACTTGATGGGTTTGAGCTGCTTTTTAAAGAGCGGGACGAGATATCTGAAAATGAGAAGTTTGGAGGGGTTTTCATTGTTTTTCTAGAAACAAAGCATGTTTAACAGACTTTGCTGTTTTTCCTTTGTTCCCATTCAACTCGTCAAAATGGGAACAAAGCATGGTCTTTGAAACCTTTGATCTCGCTGAAGATAATAACACAATGCCATACAGAACATGGATTTTCTTCGCTTTGAAGCTTAAGCTCCAAACCAGTTGCCTTTGAGCTTCCAAAGAAGTTTGAATGCCAGTAAGAGCGGATTTCCCAGACTCCAGCATCGCGAGTACCAAGCTCGTAAGAGCCTCTTTCTTCCTGCGAGGGATCATACTGCTGACCTCTTACGGTCAGATCCTAGTACGATTTACCACCCACAGTCGAATATCGTAACGAAAAAAAAAGAAGCCTTCAGACCTCGAGAGTGGCGCCCGAGTGCATTTGTACGGCGCCGCACCTGGCTACGCACAGCAGCCTTTACGTGGTGCCGCGGCATAAGTACCCGGCCCATACAAAGAGCTGAGACGCTCTACGATATAGCCTGGTGAAGTAATCGGCTGTGCTCCTCGGTGAACTGATTACCACATGCACTGGTGATCCCTTCTACCCACGCCGGAACTCTCACACTTTAGCGCCCCTATTCCCACCGGATTTCGGGGGCCATATCAACCTGACATATACGAGTGCAGAGTTTTAAGTGAGGGCTAGGTTAATGCTATAGTGATCGGGACCAGGTACAATGTCAAGTGGCTCGGCTGTTGCTGCGATCAATTGATATTTCCTTGACGACAGTCCATCTTATCAGCCCTGAGCTTAACAGTTGAACCCACGTTTTCATATGATCTACGGTCAGGTCCGCATAGTCATTCGGGGATATGGAAAAACATGCAGAGTGAGCATGAGTCACCTTCAAAATTATCATCGATGAGGACGATTTGGGTATGAAGACAAATTTCAAAGGTGGCTTCAAATTGTTGTGATCACTTGGAATAGGGGGATGATATTCCTAACTATTCCTAACTAGGACGGGGATCTAACCCCGTCTCCTGCGTCACGTGCCCCGCCCTAGTCGAGGGTCACGTAACAGTCCCCGCATCGAAGACTCCGTCGTCCCCGACGAGAGTGCAAGAACAAAAAGCAAGGAAAACATAAGGTAAAAACACAAGTTAGAAATGCGGTCATAACAATCCATACATAGTCGTGGTAATAGCTGCAATCAATAATCATTCCAACGGGTTCTTCCATTCACCACCTTCAACGATCTCGTTGCCATCGATCTCTTCGCATTCCCCCGATTCCTCGTTGAACACGAGGCCCAAGTAATCCCACGGAGCCTCGTGCTCGGTCGGGAAGAACGTGCTTGGTTCGATGATGACGCTCTGAAGTAGTGGCTTGAAACGAACGTTCGGAATCTTCTGGGTACACAGGATCTCATGGGCTAGCAAAGCGGCGGAAGGGTTCGCAGCGAGACGAATTTCTTAAAGCCTTGTCATCGAAAGGGAAAACATTGAAGAAAGGGCTTCGATTTTTATTCTGCCCGGGGGCTGGCAGAAAAAGAGGTTATGTGATTCTTTAATGTATACTAAATAACTAGGGTATGTTATTATTAAAGAAAAAGTATATGTAAATTAAAGGTGTTGTTGTAAAATCTATTACTAGAGCATTGAATAGACTTAAGAACGGACTTGAGAATAGATTTGAGAAGGGACTTGAGAAGGGACTTAGGGGTAGACTTGAGAATGGATTTGAGAGCTTACATAGAAGGGATTATAACTAGGATTTCTGCCCGGTTTCTTTTGCTAATGAATAATATATGTATACGACTTTTATTATTTTGGTGCTAATTTGTAATATTGTAATCGCATTGGATTTTTGAGAGGAAAAAATAGGAATAGATTGGCTCATTCACAGCCTAGTTCTGTCAAATATCTCACACCAGAGTCGATCAGCCACCAAGTTGCAGTCTCATGCATCCATCGAAGTAATCGCTTCTCCAGTGGCATACTCTGCGTTTCATCTGCGAGTCTCCAATTCATGGTCTCAGTACAAAACACCACCTCGTCTCCTTTCTCATAGAAGCTAATGGCGAGTCTAGCATTCATGAACTCCATGTTCTCAAATTGTAAATCAAACTCAACTTGATTGCCGCTGCGCATAATAACACGATATGCGCCGCAGACCAAGTCCCCCTTGTCAAAATCGAGGGCAGAAATATGCGATGATTTGAAGCTCTGCTTAGCCTCTTCGGTTTGACAGAGAAGTCGAATCATCAGGGCCTGTGGGAAATGCGAAAAGGTCGTCATATTGCGACGGACAAGCTTGGTAAATAGTATTTCAGTTGAAATACCAGGGAGAGAGCTGCGAGGCACAGATTTGCAGGTATGGTCATGCAGCGTGTAGTACTGGCCTGTAAATACAGAGTCAGGGATGGACTTGATGCTGCGCGGCTTTGATTTGGGCGATGATAGCCCGCGGTGTGATTCATAATGGATGCGCGATGATAGTCTTTGGTGGGAGATGTAAAAGTACACCATCGACGAGCCTGTAAGCACGGCGCCGATTGTCATCACTAGACGGAACATGATGATGGAGCTTCCACTTGGATTGTGATTTTTCGTGGATTTTGGAGAGTAAAGACGTTGCGGGTTGTGTGACGGCATGAATCGGGAGCTGAACCTTAAAAATACGAGCTTTCTTGGCCATCCCCGTCATGGGTTTTTGATCTTTTTTTTAAATCAGTTATTATACACAAAGGGCGGAAAAAAAAAAGTAAATTGAGGGAAATATTAACTGTTGATATAGCAATGCTAATGATAAGATGTTAGTTCTGGTGTCTGGGGCTGAGCATTCGAAACCAAGCCAGACTCTTGAGTATTAACAGACGGCCGTGCCTTTTGAAGAACGTCGACATAACCTGAATTTTTATGCCAGAATGCAAGCCTCGCATTACAGCCGGGGTTTCCACACCGGTGTTCGACATTTTTTAGCGATGCAATGAGATATGGGATACATCCGAGGCAGCAACAGAAGCAAAATAAAGCAGCGAACAAACTGTGCAAATCATCAGTGACCGTACTTGGCTATGACTTGATAAATGAAATGATCGCAAGCTTCTCATGATCATAAATCATTCGACTTACTGCGTAGTTCCTCCTGATATGAAATCGGTCTTTGTCATTTCCCGCATCCCGCAAACAGGACAGTCGACAGGACATGGAGCCGACTGGATTGATTCCAAAGGCACCGCTGTCGCATATCGTGTTGGCTGACCGAACGGTGTATAGTATATTTGTTGCTGTTGCAGTTGTGGGACTTGTACATGATTGGGCATGGGTTGACCGGGATATGCTTTCTCATTTGAAGCCTGTCCCATAGGCTGTTGACTTGCAGATGGCATCGCTAGTTCGTTGGGGGGAGGTTGCCCACAATATTCTTTCTCTGGCATATCGAGGGAGCTGAGGGGCATTGGCGCGTCTTCGGGTTGGTTTCGTTCGTATATGGGGACGGGAGGGCTTATAGAGGCTGGTATAGGTGGCGAACTGATGGTGCTGGTGCCTTCTGAGGTGTGCATTGGACTGACGGGGCCTATTTTGTCCTGCTGGAGAGTCTCGGCTGGGATCAGGCCTGGTACTGGTCAGGTTTCTTTTCTCCAAGAAAAATCATGCCAAGTGGTGCTAGAAGGTGACTGAACTAACCTTCGCTATCGAGTGTTCTGGCCATAGCGAGCTGTCGACCTTGGGTAGGATTATACGAAGGTAATGATGAAAAGGTCCTATGGATGACGAGAACTGGGAAATGGAAACCTTGGAACGAGAGTATGAAAGTAGAATTGAACCATGTGGCACTGCACTTCTTAATATTTATCGATTGTCTAGGACTTGAATATTCAAATCATACTAAGCTTTAATTAGTGGGATCAACTTGAGTACCTGTGGGGATCTACCAGAGTATTTCCATAGTGGTAACTTGTAAGTTGTCTAGTATGTACTAGTATGTTTCAGCCTTGCCCTTGCCCGGCCCCTTTCAACAGAAGTGGCTTTGTTGTAATTTGAATTTTATTTGAATTTTGAGCACGCTCACGATCCATCTATGTTGTGGATTGCTTATTCTTAGAAGCCCAAGATACACCCTTCTACTCCATTCGGATTGGACTAGCAATCAGGAGCAGAATAAGGCACTCATATCGAATCCATGATTTGCTAGCCCAAACAGGCTCTGGCTCTGTAGATCGTGTGTCTCGGGATCGGAACCCCTTGCTTTGACTGCAAAGCTGTACACAATTCTAGTCATCAAGTATGAATTTAAGGCTTAGATCTAGATTCCGAGTCCCGGAGTCCTGAACCTCTCGGGCTTACTCCATCCAGTTTGTGCCCGAGGCTCCGACCCCACCGATGACTAAGGATACTATTCAACGCAGGTCAACGACAATAGGCAATCAAAATAATATAAGGAGTTAATCGGAAAAGACAATCTAAAATCCGATTATCAAACAATCGTCATCTTGACTTCCAACTTGAAGGCATATAAAGAGTGCTTTCCCACTCCATTTCAAACTCGACTTACTCTTCCTTCTCACCACCCCACCAACACCAACTCCGCTCTTCATGTTAAGAATGGCTTCCAAAATCCACCCCACGATCAAGCTCGCAAGTGGTTATGAAATCCCCAAACTAGGCTTTGGTGTAAGAACCCCTGCAAATCCAAGTGAAGATTGTGATGACCTCACTAACGAGTTACCATAGGTCTACAAGACGTGATTTCCCCGCGATTTACTCATACCTTTATCTCGTTTCACTCTATTGCTTGTTGCTGACTTCCATCAAGTCCAGCAGCTGAAACAGAAGAATGTTGTCTCGCAGCTTTTAAAGCCGGCTATCGCCATGTGAGTCATACGTGCTTTGCCATGCACAAAGAAACCAAGCAGATGGAATCTTACTAACAACACGCATAGATCGATTCAGCCGCCAAGTACTACAATGAAGCTGGCTGCGGCAACGCCATCCGGGCATCCGGAATCCCACGAGATCAAATCTTCTTCACCTCCAAAGTGGGCGACGTGAGCTACACCCAAGCAAAAGCGCAAGTCAACAAGACCCTCGCAGAATCAAAGCTCGACTATATTGACCTCATGCTCCTTCACAATCCTTTTGGTGGATCCGAGAACCGCAAGGGCGGATGGAGAGCCGTAAGCAACTCAATACCAGCCTACTCTTACTCTCGCTGTCATTGTCATTGTCATTGTCAACCGTTAACTAACGACATCCTCACCCGTAGCTTGTCGAGGCCGTAGAGGCCGGCAAGGTTCGCTCCATCGGCGTAAGCAATTACGGAGTGCATCATCTCGAGGAGCTCCAGCAACACATCAGCGAGCTGGAGCAGGAGCGCGGCGGAAAAGGTAAAGGCGGGATCGTGAGTGTTAACCAGATTGAGCTTCATCCATGGCTGGCGCACACCGACATTGTGGACTGGTGCGGGAAACTCGGCATTATTGTCGAAGCGTACTGTCCCATTGTGCGAGGAACTCGTTTTGAAGAGCCATCAGTGAAGAAGCTGGCGGAGAAGTACTCCAAGACCCCTGCTCAGGTGCTTATTCGATGGAGTATTGACAAGGGTTATGTTCCGTTGGTGAAGAGTGTGACGCCGTCGCGCATTGCTGCTAATGCGGAAGTTTTTGATTTTGAACTTACGCCGGAGGAGGTGCAGGAGCTTGAGACGGATGAGTACAGCCCTGTTTCGTGGAATCCAGTTCGTTCTAAGCTGGAGGATTGATTAAATGAGATGGGATGGGGTGGGATTGGATGGATTGAGATGGCATGGAAATGTATTTCTTTCTTGTATGGAGAAACATCATTAAACATCATCATTCAATAACTTTCGTCATATTCTAAGCCCCTGGAACATCTTAGGAGAACGGAACAGTTTTTCCTGATATTTTCTCGTCTTCCGTGCAATTCGTGTGAATGAATTCATCCTTGTGATCCAATCACTGGACGCGCGTTTCTCACTCCACCGCCATTTGCTTGTTGCTTCAGTTCATCTTCTCGAGCGCGAGCTTGTTTCTGTTGTGCTCTGCTGATATGCTTGTTCTTCTTCTTTGTGGCTATTGTTGCTGCGTCCTTCCCAGCAAATATCTTTGATACTTTCTTCAACCAGTCCATCTCTTCGTGTGCTCCCCTCCAATGGCTCGGCTTGTGGGGCGTCGACTGGCTAATCGATTATTGATGGATGTTGGAATCGAATAATTTGCGCGTCTGGGAACTGGAGATATGATATTAGCATTGCAGTTGTAGAATTGAGAGTATTGGGAAGATCAATGTACCGCATAATCATGAGCCAGGGAGTTAGCAGAGAAAGAGGCTAGAGAGCAAGAGTGGGTCACGGCTGACATCTTATACGGAGAATGAGATCTGGACATGCGGCTGCCCAGCCGCATAAGCCTAGCCTGCCTAGGGCATCAGCCCCTAAATCTGGAGAACACCAACTAGTGGTAAGTACACTATTAAGCTACTATATCTAAATCATGAAAAGTTCTTGATCAAAATGGAAGAATTTACTCAACAAATTCTTTCTTTGAATTCTTGTGTTCCACCATGCTTGTTGCATCTACTCTAATTGTTTGTTTACATTTAACTCAGGGGCTCCAACATTGAAGCAGGAAAAACCTTTAACCCGTCTTTTTTTTGTTTTGTTTTTTGGCCCGAAAGCTCAGTGGGGCTGAGTTTCTTATTTTACGTCTCTTGTGTAGATATCATGATCTCATAGGTTTACAGCTTCTCTTTGTTTGACGCTAACCAGTGGGGGCCGGACCGTGCGGGGTCAATAACACGGCTGCGTCAACACCGACTTTATCAAGTCAAGCTTTTCTCTACTTTTGGGACATCGCCACTCCTGCCACTATGGAGCAACCGGAGCCTCAAACTCATACTCCGCCCGACCGTTCCTCCTCCGGTCTATCGTTGTCGTCGGGACTGTCGATGACCGGACCGGGACCACAGGATGCGACTAAGCGAAGGCTATTGTTGATATATATCCATGGATTCGGTGGCTCCGAAACCACCTTTTCTGACATGCCTGTGCACGTCCATAGTGCGTTGGCCGCCTTATTGAGTGAATCGCATGTGGTGTACACTCGTATATACCCTCGGTATAAGTCAAAGGGCGAGTTCCAATTGGCGGTGGACAGGTTCAGCGGATGGTATGTATAACGTGATCATTTGGAAAAAATTAAAAATGAGAAGCTGATGAGGCCAAAACTTGCAGGTTGGCGCCATATGAGTCCGATGATCTAGATGTTATCCTACTCGGACATAGTATGGGCGGGATCATAGCTGCTGATATTGCGCTTCTGCACAAAAAGAAAAGCGAAGAGCCCATGCATCGAATTTTGGGAATCATAAGCTACGATACTCCTTATCTGGGGCTGCATCCTCACGTGGTCTCGACCGGACTTGGGAACCTGTTTTCAAAGACTGATCTGGTCCCAGAGGCACAGGAGTCTCCAAATGCCGCGGACTTTGAGCAGGTCTACGAGGATCCTACTTTCAATCCACCCGATCCGCCTCCTAATTACAATCCTCAATGGCAAGACTCTGACAACAGCTTTATGAAGAGCGCGAAGCAGTTTATTCAAAAGAAGAGGGAACAGAAAAGGGCTCATGATGAAAAGGGCTTGTTATCAATTAAGCGTCTCATGGCACCCATGACATTTGCAGGTGGTGTGAACAACTACGCTAATCTACGTCGACGGTATCAACGCCTCCGTGACTTGGAAAGTGCAGAAGACAATGCCGGGAGAGTACGCTTTATCAATTATTACACCTCAAGTACTCCTCGTCAGAAAGTCAAAGGTACTTACTTGTTCTCTCCCTCTCCTCCTTACCTCCAAAAATAGGTATATAGATCCATTCCTAACTGCTCATTACCAACAGAAGAAGGCAACTCAAATAAGAACAGAACATCGCTTATACCGGGCTTCAGATCATCCACTTCAATCAACCAGCCAAGGGAGCGAGCCTTTTCAGAAACCGCTTCAGTTTCACCTTCCATGACTAGCTCTATTGACAGCTCTGAGACTTTAAATGGCACCAAGCTTCGCAGGTTCTGTCTCTTACCATCTTCTCATTGGAAATACGACGAAAATCGTAACTGGTTCCCAGTGACAATGGAAGACATGTCGGAATTGGAAGCACACATGTCCATGTTTCTCCCGAATCGGCCCGGCTACGATTATCTTGTGGGCGATACGGTGGCTCTAGTAGAGCAGTGGATCCAGCACGACCTTACTCGACGTTTATTGAAAGAACAAGAAGAAGCAACTTGAGAGTTTTAGAATACCCCCATTATCTGGCGGTTTTAACGCAATGCAAAGTTCTGACTTTGGTCATCCTTCAATTGATTCATGACTTGGTATCAAATAAACTGACAATTTGAAAACAAGCGCATGTGTGCATGTACAACACGAACATTTTCACGAATCACAACACAGGGTATCTCATTTCGCACGGATTTGAAAACACTTCACCATCGTTGACATTGGAACCTAGAAAAAAACCAGCAAACGCTTCATCATCATTGAAATGGAAAATCAGGAATCAAAAAACAATCACGTAATTCCGTCGAGACCACGGGAATCTGAAAAGTCGGGACCGATCGAAGCAAACGCTTCATCATCATTGCAATGGAAAAAATCAGGAATCAAAAAACAATAACGTAATTCCATCGAGACCACGGGAATCTGAAAAGTCGGGACCGATCGAAGGGCAGGCCACGGCCCAGGTCAACATCTCTTTGCCACTGCACCAGTATCGACTCAGCCTGGAGATATTGGTGTCTGATGTCGACGAATTCTCCCTCCACATGCCAACTCAAGATGGGGTTTCCTTCTTCCATTTTATCGATAGAGGCGTGAACTTTGTCGTCCATCCATCCCTTTCGCAAGCAGTTTGCCATTCCAGCGGGCCATCGGCTATCGTCTTCTGTGATGTAGATCCGAGCTTGCGTGAGAAGATCCATGTCGGTCAGGCCAAAATGAAGATCCCAGTCGAATTGGACGTGGGCCCAGTTGCCTGTTGGCGGGGGGATCGGAGGCTCCGGTGGCATTACAAGAATCGGCAGTCCGTTGGCCTCCGGCATTTCGTGGTGAACTAATGCCATACTTTCAACAGAACATGTAAGGCTTTGAAGTCTGGGATCGACGGGCTTTTGGACTGTTGGATAAATGAGGAGTACACATGAAGGAGTTGTCACTGGTATTGGTGTCTCTCTGCGTACAACCTGCGTCGGAGGACGAGAGCGAACGATGTAGCCAGGCATTTTTCTAGAAATGGACGCTGAGTCGATTTGTCGTTATGTGCTCGAGTGTGCTTGGGAGTGCTACATCCTAAGATTGGGAATACATAGCTCTCCTGCCTACTCAAATCGGCCGGCCTCAAGCAGAGCGCGCGACAGGCAGGAACGACCTAATAGATACACGACTTCCAAAGTGAGGGTTGACATGTTCCCGAGCATCTATTAAGGGAAGGGTTTGAACGTTTCTACAGTTGAGTCTTCAAAGGAAAGGTATCATATACTAGTATCCATCTATAATGTTTTGGATCTTCACACCCACTTCACATCCCAATTGGGAACAATGAACGGGTCCCCACATATACACAGTGCACCTAAATATTATGTTTTACGTTAGTAATCATCAATATTTATACATATACCTATACCTCCTGTACTTATTTGCAGGTGGATAATGGATGAATCATTTAATTGGCAAATAATAAATAAATCAATGTGGTGTGGAAATCAATAGTATCTCTCTATTGCAGCCAACCAGCGCCACACGTGGTCCCGGTCCCTGATCGGCGCATGTGAGTCCAACACAAATGATTTGGTCACTCCCACTTGAATATCCACATTCACTTTCAAATGCTCAAACATCAGATTCAACTCAAAAGCAATCTGCATTTCTATTTCCCAGAAAAGAATACCACCCCATTTTCAGACGACTCATAGTCCATGGATTGCCCAGGTGCAATATCCCCTGGTCAGAAAGGGGTATACTTCTCGCATGAACCCGAGCAGCTAGTGATATTTACCCAATACAGAAAAATGATTAGTCTTGATATTTGCTTTTGTGGTCATCCTTGGCTTGCTCTTGATTTGTTTCTCCATGATTTTAATCCTAGATGGTGGGTCAGTGGACCTGACATGCTTCTTATCCCCGAGTCTAGGGGGTGAAGCGGAGCCCCTTGGGGAGAAAAGGGCGATGAATCTTTGCCATTTAGGGCCGGATGTCAAGCGGGGGAGACATCTGTTTCCATGAATGTTACCTCGAGGTTCTCGTGCTCTGGTGGTGCTAGGTAAATGGACCACCTGCACCTCTCGCAAGATCGACTGGGCCATTAAAAACGTGGGATTCCCTTGTTCCCCCCCCTTTCCTCGCGACTAAGCCTCTGATGTGACGCGGGGTTTATTTCTCCCACTTCTTGGGGTAGCTATTTTACTTGTCATCTCTGTGCGAGGTCAACAGCTGCTACAGAGCGTGGCTATCAGATCTGTGTTGTACAAGATTCTTTGCTTAACACACGGGTACTCTCTTTCCCGAAGACCTTCACCATGAGACATGCAAAGATGTTAACAGGCATTGCTCTGTTGGCAGTCACGGCAGCGGAGGATTTGACTCAGCATGTAGATATTTTGTACGCTCGTTCAAAACAGCCCTCTCTTTTCTCAAGTGCTCGGATGCCTCAACTAACAGGTCTATGATTACAGTATGGGAACTGAAAGCGGGGGCAATAACTTCCCAGGAGCAGTGCGACCCTTCGGCATGGTTAAACTCGGTCCCGATCTCCTGTTATCAGGAACAGACTCATACTCGGGTTATCTGCCAGATGGTAACTTCTCTGGTTTCAGTATGATGCATGAGCAGGGGACAGGCGGGGCGCCAAAATACGGCACCGTCTCACAGTTGCCCTTGATTGGCAATATCAGTGACCCATTGTCTAACATCACCGTTTCGCGAAAGGGTACCGACGAAGGCTCCGTTGGGTACTATAAGGCTGAGACTGGAGATGGCGTCGAGGTCGAACTGAGTGCCTCTTCGAGAGCGGGTATCTATCGGTATACATTTCCCGCCGGGTCAAAAGGGAATGTACTAGTAGATGTGTCGCACGTTTTGCCTTCCTTCCGCGGCCAGGGCTTGAGTCAAAATTACGAGGGTGGGAATATCACTATCTTCGCTGATGGTCATTATGAAGGTGCTGGCATCTACAACAATGGATGGAACGAGGCACCGGATTGGACTATTCACTTCTGTACGTCTTTCGTGTGTTTGGATGTTGAATACATGTCTAACGGGTTTCCAGGTGGTTATTTTGATTCTGCTGCTACAAGTAACAAGACCTATACGGCAACAGGTGCAGCCAAAAGCGTTGAACAGTCCGGCGGCGTTGCTTCGTCGTCTTCCAACTCTACTCGTGTTGGGGGTCTGTTCTCTTTCAGTGACACCGAAGTCATCTCCCGAGTGGGTATTTCTTGGATCTCAACACAAAAAGCCTGTGACAATGTCAACAGTGAGATTCCAGAGGGAACATCGTTTGCTTCCGTCATTGATGATGCAGTCGCTGAGTGGAACAATGAGGTTTTGTCCAAGGTCACGACAACCAACACCAACGACACCAGCCTCAGTCTACTCTACACCTCTCTCTACTTTATGCATCTGATTCCAACGAACCAAACCGGAGAAAATCCCGGCTGGACATCATCTGAGCCTTACTATCAAGATATCTTCACTTTCTGGGTAAGCAATTTCCATTGACCTGTCTAAAGAAAACCAATAGGAATTGTCACTCATGATACACAGGATCTATTCCGCTGCTCCACTTCCCTAATGCAGGTCCTCCAACCAACCGCATATGAAGAGCAAATCCGTTCCCTAATCGATATCTGGAGAAATGTCGGATACATGCCAGATGCCCGATCTTCCAACTACAACGGCCGCTCGCAAGGCGGTTCCAACGCCGACAACGTCCTCGCAGACGCCTACGTCAAAGGAGTCCGCGGCTCCGTCAATTGGGAAGACGGCTACAAAGCCATGGTCAAAGACGCAGAGGTAACACCTGTAAATTGGCCAATTGACTGGATGGCCCCGGACTCCTCGACCCACGACGGCCGAAGTGCTCTCCCCGACTGGCTCGAGTACGGGTACATCACGCCCACTTTCAGCCGGGCTGTGAGCCGGGCCGTTGAGTACGCGTATAATGACTTCGGCCTGTACCAAGTTGCGTCTGGGCTGGGCAAGACGGATGATGCACAGACTTATCTGAACCGCTCACGTAACTGGAGGAATCATTGGAATCCCGACCAGACTTCGCTGGGCTACTCGGGCTTTGTGGTCCCGCGCAATACCTCTGGCTTTATTGAGACTGATCCGCTGACTGATAGTGGGTATTGGGGCGATCCGTACTACGAGGCTAGCTCTTGGGCTTATTCGTTTGCGGATGTGCATGATATGAAACATGTTATTGAACTGATGGGGGGAATGAGACTGTTGTCTCTCGATTAGACACCATGTTCACTGACGGCGCCAGTGGATCGAGTGGCACTATTTTTGACCCAACCAACGAGCCGTGAGTCTTCTTTTTCATATCCGTATGGAGCCTTGAATTTGATTTGAGACTAATGTGTTTGTTCTTGCAGAATGTTCAATCTCCCTTATCTGTACAACTTCGTCGGTCGACAGGATCTGGCCGTCTCGCGGTCTCGCAAGGTCGCCAAGGAAGACTATACTACCGGTGTCTCTGGACTGCCCGGCAACAGTGATGCAGGAGCTATGCAGACCTGGTTACTCTGGAACATGATCGGCTTGTACCCGATCACTGGCCAGACAACCTTCCTCATTCACTCACCCTGGTTCGCGTCCATGACCATTGATCTAGGCGATGATAAGACTCTGGAGATCACGTCCACGGGCGGCGATGGCAATGGGGATAGTGATATCTATGTCCAAAGTCTCAAGGTCAATGGCCAGGTATGGAAGAAGAGCTGGCTGACTTGGGACGACATCTTTGCTCAAGGTGGCACACTCGAGTTTGAGCTGGGGCCGACCGCAGTTAACTGGACGACGGGGGAGCTGCCGCCAAGTCCTGCATCTTGAATACTCCAGCTAGAGTGAGGAAGCGATACGGGTTTAGTATAATGAGGAGGGTTGGTTTATATTTCTTGTATATGATTTTTCTCAAATTCAATATGGGAGCTTACATTTAGTTCATCGTTGGTCGTTGGATTTTACGACCGGATCTGATTACGAGAAAACTAAAGTCTAAAGCATCCCAACAAGTTCATTTGGCCCCTTTTTACTTGTATTTTTTTCATTTTTCTTTCTTAGTTTCTTAGTAAACTTGGTTGCACCGCGCCAGGCCAGGAACGGCGTTGCATCATCAGAAGCTCTGCATTCGGGAATATCGTTGTTTCGGGGTCCAATGTATTTTGTATATAACTTTACAGCATAGAATATCTAAGTGAATATCTCCAAAAGCCAATGATAGTAATAAAAGAAAAAGAAAAAACAATAGCTATTAATATCCTATGATGCTCCAGAGCAAAAAGTAGGCAGAAGAAGTTGAAAAGTGGGCAGCCCAGACACGCGGGGCCCGAGCTCTCCGCAATCCCCACTCGCAATTACAAGCTGCCGCAGCCAATCACCCCCCAACAGCTAAGACGATAAACGTTGAGAGGGGTTGTCACCTTCGCCCCCTCTTCTTTTCAACTCTCCAAGATTTCAAATTCTGCTTTTTTAAACACAATGGCATCTCTGGAAGCTGCCGATATTCCCGCTGATGGGACTGGTAAGGAGAAACCTCCACTAATTGACCTTGCTCGAAAGCGTAATGCTAATTGATAATCGCAGGTGTTCTCAAGCTCGACCCGTGGCTGGAACCTCATGTCGACGTGCTGAAGCACAGATACAGCTTGGTCAAAAAGTGGACCAACGATATTGATCAGTCTGAAGGTGGTTTGGACAAGTTTAGCAAGGTAAGTTGCACCTTGTCGGGTAGAATCCATCGGACTGCAACCGGATTCGCAGAATACTAACGTGAACTGCTGTTGCGTCGAATTTTAGGGTTATGAAACATTTGGCCTCCACGCACAGCCAAATGGCGATATCACATACCGCGAGTGGGCGCCTAATGCCGTGCAGGCATCCTTAGTTGGCGATTTCAGTACGTGCTCTGTCGAGAAGCTATGAGGTTGTACATCATTACTGAGACTGTGACAGACAACTGGGATACCAATGCGAATACTATGACCAAGGATAACTTTGGGGTCTGGAATGTCACTGTGCCTGCGAAAGGTGGTGCGCCAGCTATTCCCCACGACAGCAAGATCAAGGTAAGTGGAGACCCACCATAGCTGCATCTTCCCCAAAGCTATCTCAGATCTCGATACTAATATACATTTTCTCTGTTTAAAGATCACAATGGTTCTCCCCAGCGGCGAGCGTGTATACCGAATCCCAGCCTGGATCAAGCGTGTCGTCCAAGACCTGAACGTCTCCCCAGTATATGACGCCGTATTCTGGAACCCCCCTGCCAACGAGCGCTACAGCTTCAAGCACACGGCGCCCAAGAAGCCCGAGAGTCTGCGTATCTATGAAGCCCACGTTGGCATCTCCTCCCCGGATACCCGGGTTGCTACTTACAAAGAATTCACGAAGAACATGCTGCCTCGCATCAAGAATCTGGGATACAACGCTATTCAGTTGATGGCCATCATGGAGCATGCATACTACGCTAGCTTCGGCTACCAGGTTAATAACTTCTTTGCGGCTAGCAGTCGCTATGGGTCTCCTGAGGACCTGAAGGAGCTTATTGATACCGCGCATAGCTTGGGCTTGGTTGTCCTGCTTGATGTGGTGCACAGCCATGCGTCGAAGAATGTCGCAGATGGTATCAATGAGTTTGACGGTACCGATCACCTTTACTTCCACGAGGGTGGTAAGGGTCGTCATGACCAGTGGGATAGTCGACTGTTCAACTATGGAAACCATGAAGTGCTGCGCTTCCTCTTGAGTAACCTTCGTTTCTGGATGGAAGAGTACCGGTTTGATGGATTCCGATTCGATGGAGTCACTAGTATGCTCTACGTCCACCATGGAATTGGCAGGTACGTGAAATCTATTTTCTTTTTTTTTTCTTTTCTTTTCGGCTTTATCTGAAACTCTGCTAACAACATCCCATAGCGGCTTTTCTGGCGGATACCATGAATACTTCGGTCCGTCCGTTGACGAAGAAGGTATCACATACCTGACTCTTGCCAACGAAATGCTGCACAAGCTCTACCCCAACTGCATCACGGTTGCAGAAGATGTCTCCGGCATGCCAGCCCTGTGTCTCCCCCACGCACTCGGCGGTGTCGGCTTCGACTACCGCCTCGCAATGGCCGTCCCAGACCTGTACATCAAGCTCCTGAAAGAAAAGGAAGATTCCGAGTGGGACATCGGCAACCTAGCCTTCACATTAGTAAACCGCCGACACGGCGAGAAGACCATCGCCTATGCCGAGAGCCACGACCAAGCGTAAGTCACCAACCCCAAATGCCACTCGTCCCCCCTCCCCCCCTTCCTTCCAACAAACACACTTGCAACATACTTACAGTTTTTCTGCACAGTCTGGTCGGCGACAAGACCCTTATGATGTGGCTCTGCGACAAAGAACTCTACACACACATGTCCACGCTGAGCGAATTCACCCCCATAATCGAGCGCGGCATGGCCCTGCACAAAATGATCCGCCTGATAACCCACGGCCTAGGCGGCGAAGGCTACCTCAACTTCGAAGGCAACGAATTCGGACACCCCGAATGGCTCGATTTCCCCCGCGAAGGAAACGGCAATTCCTTCTGGTACGCCCGTCGCCAGCTGAACCTCACAGAGGACAGCCTGCTGCGGTACAAGTTCCTCAACGACTTTGACCGCGCGATGCAGGTCAGCGAGGAGAAGTATGGGTGGTTGCATTCTGCGCAGGCGTATATCAGCTTGAAGAACGAGGAGGATAAGGTTCTGGTCTTTGAGCGGGCGGGTTTGCTTTGGATCTTTAATTTCAGTCCTACTGAGAGCTTTACGGATTATCGGGTTGGCGTTGATGTGCCGGGCACTTATCGCATTGTTCTTGATACGGATGAGAAGCAGTATGGTGGTTTGGGGAGGAATGTTAAGGAGACGAGGTTCTTTACGACGGATATGCCGTGGAATGGTCGGGCTAACTTCACGCAGGTCTATCTTCCTACGCGGACTGCTTTGGTCCTGGCTTTGGAAGAGACTCTGTAAGGGAGAGGATATTATTTAGTGCCTGGATTTGTTTCAGCAATGTTGGCCAGATTGAATAGGGAGCTTGTCGTGAATAATTACTAGAATGAATACATTTGAGCGTGAAACAAGTATTGATAATAATGTTGGGGTGTCATTTTGTAGTTAGCCCATGAGCCTCTATGTAGTTATGTGAACCTCACCTCCAAAGCCACCCTGCCCTGTTACCTGTATAGGTAATGGGAGCAAAAGCAGCAGGCAAGCTTACCTAGCAGCGCCTAGCAGCTCTAGTGACGCTATCAAGGTTCCAAGGGGACTACAGCTACAAACTACACAAGACCAAGATCATTCACAAAGGAAAATACAATTGAAACACCAAGTTTCTCAGGGCCGCCTCGCAAGGCCATGGTTTTCAACTCTAAATACACAATAATGAAACACAAGCCAGCCAGACGGTATTTGGGGGAATTGCATATCCGACCAGGCTTTATAAGTTCTCGCCCAAGAGGAACAGGTAAAACAAAATCTCATCAACTCGCTCGATAGACATGACACGTATTCAACCTCCCCTCCACTGCACCAATCAAACTTCTTCCTTTTCTCTTCGCAACAACATGTCCGTTTCATTCTTCTTCCTCGGAACTCTTTTTCAAAAGAAGCCTCCAATAGGTCCATATAATCCCAGTCCCTTTTGGGGGGGGGGGCAAGACCAACTTTTAGTCGTCCCGTTTCCAGGACAACGTACGCAAAGTCTAGAACGAGACAATTCAGGAAAAAAACCAAGTGACAATAATAAACTCCCAAACGACATCGAACGGAATCCCTCGGGAAAAAATCGAATCGAGAAAAATCGACAGTCAAATTCCCTTGTTGGGGTTCTGCTTCACTTTTAAGATCGAGTATTATACACGCATCCGAAAAGGGAAATTTTTGATGTCGAATGGGAGAGGCACAAGGAACCAAAAAAGTTCGAACATAGGAAATTCTGGACCACAGGAGGATAGCAGAAGAGATTGGAGAACAAGGGGGGAAAAATAAAACAGAGTTTGTTGCTAGAAGATGGCGCCAAGATTTCAAGGTGTAGGAGAAGAGGTCGAAGACGCCGCTAACTAGCAAATGGTAGGATTACATTTAAGCGGAGGACTCAAGCTCAGCGAGAATCTTCTCACCCTTAGCGCGAGCAGACTGGAAGTCACCAACCATGTAGAAGGCGTTCTCGGGGAGATCGTCACCCTCACCGTTGATGATGGACTTGAAGGAAGCAATGGTGTCCTTCAAGTCAACAAGCTGACCCTCGATACCAGTGAAGACCTGAGCGACAGCGAAGGGCTGGGACAGGAAACGCTGGAGCTTACGGGCACGCTCGACAGTGAGCTTATCAGCCTCAGACAACTCGTCCATACCCAGAATAGCAATGATATCCTGGAGAGACTTGTACTCCTGGAGCATCTGCTGGACACGGGTGGCGGTGTTGTAGTGCTCCTCACCGATGATACGGGGATCCAACATACGGGACTTGGAGTCGAGAGGGTCGACAGCGGGGTAGATACCCAACTCGGAGATACCACGGGACAACACAGTGGTGGCGTCCAAGTGGGCGAAGGTGGTAGCGGGGGCGGGATCAGTCAAATCGTCAGCGGGCACGTAAACGGCCTGGACGGAGGTAATGGAACCCTTCTGGGTGGTGGTAATACGCTCCTGCATACCACCCATGTCGACGGCCAGAGTGGGCTGGTAACCGACAGCGGAGGGAATACGTCCGAGAAGGGCGGACACCTCGGAACCGGCCTGGGTGAAACGGAAAATGTTGTCAATGAAGAGCAGCACATCCTGACCCTCCTCGTCACGGAAGTACTCGGCAATGGTGAGACCGGTAAGGGCAACACGGGCACGGGCACCTGGGGGCTCGTTCATCTGACCGAAGACCAGAGCGACCTTGGAGTCACCCTCAAGGTTGATGACACCAGTCTCCTGCATCTCGTGGTACAGATCGTTACCCTCACGGGTACGCTCACCGACACCACAGAAGACAGAGTAACCACCGTGGGCCTTGGCAATGTTGTTCTATAAAAGCAGGGTCAGTAACTAGTCGATCTTGGGGATTGTCGCCTTTTTTTTTCTGGTGCTTTCTCTTTGGCTTTTGGTGTTTTATGATAAGAGACAAACTTACAATCAACTCCTGAATGAACACAGTCTTACCGACACCGGCACCACCGAACAGACCAATCTTACCACCACGGGCGTAGGGGGCAAGGAGATCGACGACCTTAATACCAGTGACCAGAATCTCAGCGGAGGTGGACTGCTCGATGAAAAGAGGAGGCTCGGCGTGAATGGGGAGCCGCTTGGTGGCCTTGATGGGACCACGCTCGTCAATGGGGTCACCAGTAACGTTGATGATACGGCCAAGGGTGCCGGCACCGACGGGCACCAGGATGGGGGCACCAGTGTCGTGAGCGGCAACACCACGGGAGAGACCCTCGGTACCTAGTAAGGATGTTAGTGATGATGCTCTCGAGGAGAAAGGCTTGTCGGGCCGGCTGGATGTGGGTCCCCCTTTCGACTGAAAAGGGAAAACACGGTGGCCCAACAGGGGATATATGGCGGAGTGGAAGGGATAAGCTTACCGTCCATGGCAATGGTACGGACGACATTCTCACCCAGATGTTGCTATAGAAGAATCCAGGTTAATATGAGACAAGGGTGGAAGGGGGATTGGGTTAAACCAATCAGGAAGCACGTACAGCAACCTCCAGAGTAAGCTTCTGGCCGTTGTTGGTGGTCTCAATGGCGTTAAGAATGGCAGGGAGCTTGTCACCCTCGAACTTCACTGTTGAATCGCACGGGGCAAGTCAGAAAATGATCAGGAGAGACGATTGAGATCGATTGCGATGGGTTTAGGGATGGATTGGGGCCCAGGAAAAAGATTTTCGCGATGTCCCCGATCCATCCAAGGAGTCGAACACGTACCGTCAACGACGGCACCGATGACCTGGTGAACCTTTCCAGCCTGGGCGGTCTCAGAGCTGGCGAAACGAGCAGACAGGGCAGGGAGAGCATTGGAGCGAAGGGCGCGAGCGACGGGGGTCGGCCGGGCAAAGGCAGCCCTCCCGAAGGTCCGGGCGAGACCGCTAAGAAACGCGAGTTAGGGGACGAAATTTTCCTGATGTTGACGAAAAAATGGGTCGCCGATGATGAGAGAAAATCGAAGTTGGCGTTGACATACCTCTTGAACATTATGATGATGTTGTAGAGCGAAGTGGTATTAAAGGGTGTGAAGGGTGTGGATGGAGGAAAAGAGGGAAGAAGAGGAATGGGAAGAGGTTTGGTGGACTCGCACGGGAACTGGGCGCCCTTAGCCTTTCCGGGGCGGTTTTGCCGATGGTCCCGTGATGAACCGACAACGGAGTTGATGTTTCTACTTAATTCAACCACCACTTCTTTTTACATTCTTCTACATGTTTTTCTTTTAATTCTTTTGAAAATTCCACCTACGTTATGAATCCCATCTTGCCCTTGGTCATTCGTTGTTTTGGACTTGGTTTTTCCACTTCCGCTGCCCCGTTGCTAGGGTATTCGCACACTCTGCATCGGTGGGCTTGGCATCCGAAAGCAGGGTCGAGCTTGCTCTGGAGTAAACTAACATACTAGCCTTAACATTTACCTATGGAGCTTATATACTTCAAATTATCCAGAATTTATATCTGAAAATTATCATTTTTCTCACAGATCACTTCGTTGATCATGGTGGTTGCTCCCAACAAGCTCTTTTCCCTTTCCCCTGCAGGAGCTTCCCCCGGTGGGAAATCTCTGACGTGTAGTTCCGGAGCCCTCACCCAATCTTTTCCGAATGGCATGAGAACCCATAGAAAATCACCACAATCCTCATGTGTTTCATAGATGGTAGAAATAAGCCTTGAAAATTATCCCCTTTCAATATAATTTTATTTTCTCCTCATTTTTTAACCCAATTTCCATGTTAGAAGAGTGCAATGGGTCAAACGGCACAATAGACAGGGGTTCTCCGCACCAGCTCTGCAGGTTCCGAAACGCTCCGGGCGCCCAACGCCTTGACCTGTTAAAGAGGTGCTTTGGGGCCAACGGGGTAACTTGAGGTCAATGCAACAGAGGGGAAACACCTGAGGAGGCAAATCTATTAAAAAAAAAAAAGGATATAAGAGAATCCAACATATTTCTCTATGGGCTACAAAGGAGATACATTGATTATAGCACAAGTACGGGATACACGCATTTTCGGATGCTGGTCGACCAAAATGACAAAACAAAAAGAAAAGGATGAGCAGCTCAGTATGACGCCGGACGAGAAGCGCGTCATCCATCGAGGAGACAACCGCTAGCGTCATAAGAGCCGCAGCCCTTGGAGACGAGTTCTCCAAGAGTCTGGTCTTCATATGTCCCGTCCGGCGCTGATATATCTGGTCACTGTTCAACCTCGATCAGGCATGGGCCATAATTTATGACTTCTCAAGAGGGGGGCTCTGGACGAAGCCCTTGCCCTCGTAACCGGGCTTGCTGATACCGTGGATGGGGTTCATCTTCTCAGACTATTGAAAAGAAAAGAAAACACAGGTTAGCGCCCGATCGATATAGGAGAAAGGAATCTTGGGTCTCGGCCATATGACTGGATTTCTCGCAGAGCGAAGTTGAATACATACCAGAGCGTACTCGTTGGAGGCCTCCTGCCACTCCTTGGACATGGTCTTGGGCTGGGGCTTGGCGAAGAGGTGGATGGCGTAGAAGATGGCGAAGGAGACGAGGGTCAACTGGGTCACCTTGAAGACGATCTTCCAGCCCTCACCCTTGGGGGTCTGGGCACGGGGACCGTGGGGACCGAAGGCAATCCAGTAAGCTGTTGAAATTGATAATCAGTATCGAAGCATATGGATGAGCATATGAGATGATATAAAAAAAAAAGTCGTATGATGCCGGGGGAAAACCCGGGGGTGACAGGGTCCCTCCCTCGGAAGTCGTAGGATTGGTATAAACCCATGGAAAAAATGCATTTTGAAGGTTTGCAAGACAGTACGTACCGGCCTTCTTCTCCTGGAGAGTCATCTGGTTCCAGTCAACCTTCATGCGGTCGCGGAGAGACATCCAGAGCTCGGCCTGCTCCTGAGGGGGCATACCCTCCCAGCGCTTCTCAATGCTAGCGAGAGTGGGGTTGGCGATGGCGTGGTCGGAAGCAAAGCGAGCTTGCATGGCGTTCAGCGAGGCAATGGGGCCAGCGCGGATGGGAGCCTGTCCGCGAGGGACGGCGCGAGCGATGGAGCGAAGGAACATTGTGCGGAAGGTGGGAGGTGGCAGCACCAAGTCGAAAACGGGTCAATGGGTAGTGAAAATGATAAACCGGGGCCGGCTGAGCCTGGGACCGCGGTAGACTCGACGAGGGAAGGGAGTGGAGGGGTGGTGTGGGTTGGCGAAGGACTGAAGTTGCTCTTGTGGTTTGAGGTGGAAAGACGAGAATCCGGACTAGCGCTGTTCTGGGTTTAGCTGGCTTCTGATTGGGTCGTCACGGCCACACCCGGGGGCTTCGGCTGATTAAAGGCGGCCGGGCTATTTCGCTCTCATGACGCTTCTTCTCTCCTGTTTATTTAGCATATTTCCAGTAGATTGGATCTTTTAAAAGCTTCAAAAAGGTTGATATTGAGAAATTAATTAGGGCCTTGTTTTTCTTCCGGACGAATTCCCATTATATGGTTGGTGTTATATACATATCCTTCATCTTGAGCTTACAACTATAGGATATGGTATTCTTTCGGTCGCATCCATGGATCAATCTTTGACTAGACTAACACTCCAAATGATCTCCATTACAGCAGAGAGGAAAGAATCAGAAGAATAGAACTGGTGGTCAAATTGCCTGAATACTCTACAACAAAACCACCCAACAAATCGAATTTTCAGCCCATTGCCACCCGCCTTCTCTCTATACCACAGGCAGCAGAGCTCGTCAAACAACCGCCATGCCAGCAGCCATAGAAACCGCTCAAGAGATCAACAAAAAAGAAATGACAATCATGTCCCGCAAATAAGAGAGGCAAATAAAAAGTGCCCTGGTCGTAACGGTCTTTGCATTGCAACTAGGAGAATGTGACGAGGATTGTGCAGAGAGAAAAAAGAGTTTATGGATTGATCGTGCCGTGACGCCTCCGGGGTTCAACTGGAACTGCTAACAATCGCATGGCCCGGACCCAGCCGGTACCATTTATTTAGCCTTGCCACCGCTGGCCTCAGACAGGACGGTCTTCCACTCGATATCGCCCTTGTCATCAGCGTGGATGGAGCTGGCAATGTTGAGAGCGTTCTTGAGGTTCTCGCGGGTGGAGGCGTAGATCATAGACCACTGCAAAAAAAAATTGTTAGAAACTAGTAATTTGGGATACGTTTGTACTAAACATAAAGCAACTCTGTTGACGTACCAAGGTGGGGGTCTCAGAGGGAACCCAGGAGATGAAGATGATCTTGCTGCTATACGCGGAGAAAATAAAAGGTTAGCAAGCCGTCCAAGAGACGAATGGCATGGGAAGAAACTGGGAACGTACCGCTTGCCCTCGCCGGAGCCAAGGTCGTACTCGACATCGTAGACGGCGTAACGAGGCATGGGCTTGCCGGCATCATTCTTGCAGTTCTCAAGAGCAGTGCGGAAGACCTCGTAATCCTGCTCCTTGCCAACGCTGTCGACAACAACAGTCTTCTTGTCATCGGAGATCTTGAAGATGATGTACTTGGTCTTGCCGTGGCTCATGCGGAAGTTGTTGAACTCAGTGATGCACTCATCGGTGATCGAGACTCTATGGGGCGAAAGTTAATACGGAGGGGAAACGGAGGGGTGTGTTTTGCGAGTTTCATCGTACCCAGATGCGAGCTGCGCGACAATATAGTTAGTATTGGGACCAGAATGCATAAGCGGGGGACTCATTGGGTATACGAACCGACATAATTGCGGAAGATGAAAGAAGACAAAAAAGGGGAGATAACCTAGAGTGAACACACAATGTCAGTGGCTGAGTCGTTCAGGAGTAGAGAAGGAATATCATCCTTTCAAAGCTACTCAAATCCGCTCCGTAGTATTTAAATACTGCAGACTTACAAAAGGTCAAGGGGACGGGGTAACTCACGAAGCAATGGGGTGGATGGGGGTGATGAGGCGGAGGGGTTGTTGCCCAGGTGTTGCGATAGTGGGGGGGCGGCTGCACGTGATTCTGGGGGCACCTTTTTGGCAATAAACAAAGCTGTTTCCTGAACTTTTAATTATGGGGGGGAATGGGTTATAAGAGTGGTTCTAATATTTTTAAGCTTGCCTGTCTTCTAATAATTCAAATAGTGGTCTATCAGGCATCTATATGAATTGTTGGCAGCCTGGAGGCTTCGCGGTCTCAACCAAAACATAGTATGTACTTAGCTCCAGCGGCGTACAGTACTGGTTGTCGAAGATCACACCACCAGACACGAGCGCCCTGCATGACATTATGCTGTACAGGAATCCACATTTACTAAATGTACAGTGAACTTAGGCAGCCTCACAGAGTACATCTACATTTTATATTCCATAATTTCCTTGTTGGGCTATATTTGGAATTTGGGCTCGACCATGGAACTGGCACAGTCCCAAGTTCCAACACGTCACTCTGCCCACTTAGTAACCTGCTGCCCACGCTACAAAGTGAACAAAAAGTTGCAGCATGCAAAAAAAAAAAATTTAAAAAAAAAAATAAAACATAACACATCAGATTCATAGTTCACTGGATCTCATAAAAACATCACAGATGAGTTTAATCCAGCCTAACAAGTATAGATAACATAAAAAGAAAATAGGTGCCTATCCAGCTATTTAGATCTTAGGCGCATAACGAGCCCGCATCCGGTCTGCAACAGACTTCAAATTGAAGATAAAGTTGACACTTTCCTGTTCCACTGCAGCCTCAGCCAGACGCTTGAATCGTGGTGCCTGTGCCTCAAGCAGGGCAGGGACATTCTTGCTGACCAATCCATGCTCGGGCTTAGTGAAACCCAAGATACGGAGCAGGAAGGATCCAGATTGGACCTACAATACTAGTCAGTGACGAAGCTTTCGCAAACTTCTACTAGGGACACCACATGATTGGATACAGGGAGTCTCTAGGTTGGATAAGACATACCTCAGCCAAAGTGATCTTCTCGTTTCCTCCAAAGAATGGCTTGTTGTCCTCAGTCTCCGAAAGAAGAGGCTCAATCTCCTTCACGATGGCAGCGACCAGCGCCTGTCCGTTGGCCTCGCGCTCTTCCTCTGAGGCAGAGCGGACGCTAGCAAAGAAGTGGGGAACAACCTTGCTGAAGAAGGCATCGACGAAGAAGGAGAGGCGAGCGCGGAACAGGGCGTTCTCGGCCGGAGCCGATGGGGGCAAGAGGTTGGAGGGGTGAGCGTCAGCAATGAATTGGGCGATGATACCGGACTCGGCGATGATATGGCCGTTGTAGGAGAGAGTTGGGACTTGGCCACGCTGTAAGAAGAAAAAAAAAGGCTCAGATTAGCTTGCTTGTCTTGGCTATAGTACTTGCAGGAAGTTGCAGGAGTTGCAAAGCGTGTTGGCATAGTGGCATTCAGTGGTGCAATTGAGTCTTGGGCGATATGGTCAGGCATGAAGATTGACTTACCGGGTTGACCTTAAGGTACCAGGGCTCGCGGGGTGTATCCAGGTCAATAATGACCTCTTCATAGTCGAGGCCACTCTCCTTGAGTGCAATGTGGGCGCGGTGAGCCCACGGGCACAGGTGGTTGGTGTATAGGATGATCTTGGGGGCAGACATGATGACTTGATGACAATTGGTAAAATTGATGCAAAATTTTATGATCAAATTGCTTGAGGGGACAGCAATTAAGTAGTGGGGAAGACGCCATTAATTATGGTATCGCGAAATGCGGAGGGGCTTTCTGGATTAGTAAAACCCCAGCGAACGCAATCCCGATATCCCCGAAGCGGATAAGAACTATTGAGGGTGTGGAGAAAGCGCGGCACTTGGTGGAAGTGACCATGGAACCCTCGGTGGATCATAGACCATCTGATTTCATCTTGCACATATTCTGAACTTTGAAGGCCAACTTTTGAAATAGGATTCGAATCTAATTATGTACATACATTAATTAATGCGTGCAAAACATGTTTCTGATATGCTCAGACAACAGAAATAAAAACCTCAAGTGGACAAAAAGGTCCAGCTCGCCCATCAAGATCGTGAGATCTAGATATACGCACATAAGAAGAAACCCCCCAGATCAAGGCCGTATTATGTGATGACCTTGCTTGTTGCGCCAGCATCCGGTTCCAAGTGAATGGATGAAATCACAAGCAGGCATATAATAGGAAGATGATAGAAAGGAAAGGGACGAGCAGATCGATCGTCATAAAATAGGGGGGGTATATAGAATACGAAGAAAATAGAACACAATCATGCCACGGAGAGTCGAACACGACCTATTAAATAGGGTCATGAGGGTAAGGAGGGGGCGGTGGGAGAGATTCGGCCAGCCTGGGTCAAAAGCACGGGTCAACAGCTTCGCACAGTACTGGCACGACGCAAGATAATGATGTACACGCTGTCGTCAAGGCGTTAAGTTCGCATGATACAAAGGATTTGAATTCCTTTGCATTTAAAACTCTTCTTCTTCCTCTTGCAAACTGCCATCAATAATCTTGTGCCAGTGCTGCGGAAGACAGATGCAGACCAAGGGGAAAGCCTTGATCTCGCCCGAAGGTGTTGGTGATGGACCTCGCCGATGCGAACCACTAGAAACACCACTGTCACGTTGTTCACGGTGACGACTATCATAATCCTCGGCGCGGTCTTGAATGCGCACACCCGTGGCCCAGCCATCGTCCCAGATGCCGATCACCTTCAACATCTCACCCCGATCCAGTTCGAATTCATCACCTGCCCGAGGTGAATATGCCCAGAGAACAGCAACCTGATCACCGGCATGGATCTCATCCTGCGAGTAATAGTCGCGGAAATATGACAATTGCTCAGATTGGCCACTGGTAACTCCTTCGGGGGATGAATATTGACCAATGGTGCCAGAGCGCGGTGAGCTGTCACTGTCCAGTCCAGCCAGAGCAGAGCTACTTGAAAGCGAGCCATGGCGCTTTCCGGTCACGGGGGGAATTCTCTTGGACATGGCTCCCGGACTAGCTCCCATCCCTTCCGAGTCCGATGTGTCACTGTATTTTGCTGCAAACATTGCGCCGGATGTACGTGAATGAGCTGGAGAGGAGCTGGGCATTTCACGCAAAGCAGACATACGCGCGACACGGCCCCCTGGAACCGGATTAAAGGTTGCTGATGTCGGGCTATCCACTTGCTGCATGGGTGGTGTAACCCCTTTTCTTTGTGGGTTAGGTTGATTCAGACTAACAGCGTCACCCTGCGACCTACGGCGGCGGCGTCGGCGGCAGATGAATAGGAAAGCAAGGAGGGCAAGTAATATGGCTGCTCCTACAACGGAGCCGACCACAATGCCCGCAATATCACCTTTAGACAATCCATGACTAGCGTCGGCGCTAGCAGTCGAGCTGGATGTCACAACTGGCTGTAGAGATGCAGTCGAGGAGGGGATAACGACGTCTTCACAGACCGTGGTAGCATTGGCACTGGTGCAACATGAGTCGGTCTCAGAACCGCAATAAGTGCAAAGTCCAATGGTGTTATTAGCGAATCCACAATTGGTCGCCTCGTTATCGGAACCCTCAACACAGCTTCCGGTCAGCGAATCTGCAGGTGACGCGCAGATGGTGAAGTCGGATCGAATTTGGGCCATGTAGTTCTTGCTGGTACTCGTGCAGAGATCTGAGTTGACGAGGATCTCCTCCTCGCTGGTCGCCATAAGCGCGCACGTATCCGCGCACACCGGTTCTGATTGACTAGAAGACAAGTCGCAATCATCAATTGAGCTCTGGATGATGCTACTGCAGAGAACACTGATAGTATATTGAGCGTAGTAGTCGTTTAATGCGCTGTCATTCAGACCTTTGCAGCCTAGAGAGTCGACATATCTATGCGTTTGGTCAGCCTCGTCGTCGCGACTGGCATTGATTAGGGGGCCACATACTTGGACGTCACATAGGTCGACGATACATAATTGGTAAGAGCCTGATCGAACGAGGTGACGTTTGAAACATTTTCCATCCATGGACTTGGCTAATTGTCAGCGTATATTCTCTGCGTATATACATAGTGTATGTATTTACGCTCGTGGTATCATGCTGAGTCACTCACAAGTCCGTATATTGCGTTGAATTGGTCGAGACCGAAGAACTACTCCAAGCGGGACAGAGAGTCGACGCTGAGAGAGATATACAGCCCGTCATGTTGGGCACAAATCCTCACACCCCGAAAGTCCTCCCGAAAAATAAGGTGCCGCGGAATGTGTCAGAGATCTCCCGGAATTTACTGTCGCATGGTTCAATATCAAGTTGCACGGTGGTTGTTTTTGTGAGAGGTTTTTTGGGGGGTTAGAATTAATGGCGATGAAACAAGGCAGACCCCAGGTCCTGCGAACGGTGCTTCGAGCTGTGTGTTTGAAGGTGGAAAAAAACGCGAAACAAAGAGTAAACGAGTGGCTTTCGGGTGGACGATGCCGTGGACCCGCAGAAAGAAAGATCAATCGAGCCCCGGAGGTGCTCTCGAGATCGAGTTGAATCGAATGGCGAAAATGAAGGGAAGTGAAATGGCCAATGGAGAGGAGAAAGAGAGAAGACTGAGGTGTCGAGTTGGTCTGGGCGTCCTTTGGCTCGTTTAGGGGGCTTGCGCGCGCAAGATGAGACGAACTGCCTGATGAAACGGGAAACCCCCCGAATTGAGCCTTCCGTTATGGTTTAGCGTGGGAAAAATCCAATTTAATCCAATTTTATTCAATATTGAAATAAATAAAAGAGAAAAGAGAAAATAGAAAATAGAAAATAGAAATAAAACATTCTGTAAATCTCCTGCGTCTCACTAGTATTTACATGTACATTTGATACCCTGGGCTGAGTCAACCCTGTAAAAAGGGGGCTGGAGGCGTTGGGATGTAAACACTTTGTTTACACATTTCCCCGTATAGTATCTGGTATCCTATACGGCACTTTTGGTTCGTTTCAAATTTTCTTCCCCATAATCAAGGCGAGAGAACTTTGAAACTTGCTGATTGGTACCGGAACTCCGCAATTCCTTGTTCTAATTGTGTCTAGTCCCGTCTCTGTACCTGGCATGGCATCCTCCGGCCTCGCTTGGGACCCGTTCAACCCGTCGATCGCTATCTCTTCCCGCCGCGTACCATTTTTCATCTGCGTTTCCTCTGCAGACTGTAGTACACTTTGTGATGAAGGGAGTTGGTTAATTTTCCGAGATCCTTACATCATGCATGCGAGCTGTAAGCTCTATGAGAGACATTAATCTGTTGGGGGGCAAACGAAAAAAGTACTCATACAAGACAATGTCAACAACAATCTCCCAAGATAAAGTACCAGTACCATGGAATGTGCGGTAGACCCTACCCCCGCTTTGACGCATGCGACAAGTCCAAACCTTGGTATTCAGTTGTGAAGAGCATATATATCAGATGAGGAATCAAGATTGAAGTTATCTCAGGAGAATAAAATCAGATGTATCCAATGTATTCGTATGCAAGATGTTAACTTGAAAGTATGCAAGTATCCAGTGGCCTGAATGACCTCAGGTGTCCACATTCCATAACCATGGGCCGAGACTGTCATGTGATCAACGTCATCTGATCCCCAGGCTGCCATCTCCAAATGAACCGCATCACTCTCTGATCCTCGCATCAAAAGCCTGATAAGCTTTTCTTAACTCCCGATTTCAATCTATTCCACTCGACTCCATCAATACACTCTGTAGGTGATAGACCAGAATCACCTGAAGCCATGTGTAGCTCCGACATCTTCTTGGCCATTCTGGCCGTCTTTTTCCCGCCTATTGCCGGTAAGACCCCCCCCCACTCCCCTTGCGACTGATCCAGTCGAAAGCAAAACCAAAAAGAAAAACAATGTGACCTAACAAAATGTGCGTCCAATTCTAGTGTGGGTCAAAGCAGGCATCTGTACCGCAGACTCTATCATCAATATCGCCCTCTGTCTGCTGGGCTTCATTCCCGGTCTTATCCACGCCTGGTATATCATTCTCAAGTACCCTGAGCCGGACTACGATGATGTCGGCTATGAGCCCATCCCTGGTGGCTCCAGCCAGCGTCGGGACCTGGAGAACGGTCAAGTGACCTACTACTATGTTTCACACCAGCCTCCCCAGCATTCCCCTCAGCGATCATACGGTGCCACCGACCCACGAGCACCAGCCCAAGGCCCTCAAAATTCCCAGAGCAAGGCCCAAGCTACTCGACCGGAGGGAAGCGCGGCGGGGAGCAGCAGTGCACAGCCACAGGCCGAAGCGCGACCACCACCAACCTATGCTGAAGCTGTCCAAGGCGATCATAAGATTCAGACCCAGGATTAGAATGAAGAGCATCAACACGAAAGAACAGCCGTGTTACCACCACTCATCTCCCTACACTTTGCGTTTAATACCTATGCGTTTGTTTTATGGAGTCCTCTTATTGCATTCGAGACAAGGATCGTTATGATTTTACGAAGGAAACACTGGAATACTTTAGGTTTGTAGTTTATTTGGGCTCATATTATTGGGCATCAGTTCAATGTTACATGTATTAAGATTTAGCTATTATCCCGATCTTTCTAATATTCACTTCATTTCCCGAGGTGGAAGTTCAATATGTAAAGTTGTTCCAAGGCCACTAATGTTTCTTTCGATTTATCAACACTGAAGACACGCGTGGACCTGGGCATCAATACGTATCTATGTCTAATTTTTGAAGAATCAATCCAGAATTCAAAATGTTGCAATTTTAAATCCATCAACAAATGTTTGGATGTGTTCTAACATTGGTGGAATGTCAACTTCCTGCTCACCACCTACTACACATGTGCATAGTCAAGCTGACTGGTAGGTACCTGGATACCTGGGTACCTCAAATGCTTGGCCCGCAACATTTGAACATTTGAACATCAGACCTCAGTGCTGGTAGATACTATGTAATATGTCCACATGACGGTTACAGTACTTGAGCATATATGTACTTCAAATGTTCAATGTTGGGAATAAAGGTAGAATACACACATGTGCTCATGTATGTATCAATAGCTCTAATAAGGCTGGCTCAAGTCAACTGGTTGTGCATAGACCTCGGGGAACTTTTGAATGTGAGGGTATATATCAGGAACATCCATCCATATTATATACTTGGGACGGTCCACGGGTGGTTAAAGGCGATCGTATCAGCACTTGAGTAGCTTGTCGCATGGGGAAATCAAGTCTAGCTTCAAATGGCCTAGGTATTGCACCTTACATGGCTCATAATAATATCTCAATTAATATATGTGCACAAACTGGTTGAAAGAAAGATGATAACTATATGGTCAGGACTCAGGTCACTAAAGCGGTCAGTGCCATCTGATAAGCACCGAACACCAATCCCGCGGACCTCTCCGTTGCCGGAATCCTTTAGGTCGTACCCCAACCCACCAATCCTGGCCCATGGCCTCAGTCCCGGCCATGCAGTCCATGCCATTGCTCTTCCGGCAATCACTCAGAACCACTGTCCATATATCCCGTACCGCAGCTCGACCGGCGCGGCTACATTTCCGCCCAACACCTCCGAGCTCTGCTCCCGTTAGACCGACATCACGAGCCTTCTCAGCCTGCCTACAATGCCAATTCCACCCAACACCTAACACCCTCGAGGCCTTCAACGAGAAGAATAAGGAACAGAGTAGTCTTGACCCACAGAATACGGAAAAGACCACCAAAGACACTGATGCATCCGAGGCTGCTTCCCCGTCGGACACGGGTGCGGGGAGTCCTCGTGCAGCAAACTTTTCTGCAGCGGAGCTCAATAGGCTCGTGGAAGACTCCACGATAAAGGGGACTGAGCGCGGCCTCCTGGACCACCTTGAAGCGGAACAAAAGAGGGAAAGAGAAGAAGAGTCGGGACAAGAACAACCGCCAAACTCAGATGGCGTAAAGAGCGGTGGACTTCCTTCTTATCTCGAGAGCCGTCGGTCAAAGATGTCAAAGCAGTTCACGGGAATGATGGATAATCTTCAATCCAATGTTTTCGTAGCTGGACAACGACTGAATGACCTTACCGGGTACTCGGGCATCGAAGCTCTCAAGAAAGAGATCCACGTTCTAGGTAAGCCTATGTTAGCCGCTATGCCGGCAAAAGAGAAAAAAAAAACATACAAAAACAATAGATCAAGAGGCTAATTTCTGTTCCATACTATAGAGAATCGTCTTCGTACAGCGCGCGCACAGGTTCGGGAAGCCAAAGACGCATACTCCGCTGCTATCAACAACCGCTCCACTTCGCAGCGCGAAGTCAACGAGCTCCTCCAGCGCAAGCATGCCTGGTCTACTACCGACCTGGAGCGTTTCACACTTCTCTACCGCAATGATCATACCAATGAAGTTGCCGAGACAGAGACGCAGGAAGCACTGGCGCAAGCTGAGCGTGAAGCCGAAGAGGCTGCTGCGCAGCTGAGTAAGAGCATCCTTTCCCGTTACCACGAAGAACAGGTGTGGTCGGACAAGATCCGTCGCATGTCTACTTGGGGAACTTGGGGACTGATGGGCATGAATGTTTTGCTTTTCCTGATCTTCCAGATCCTCGTGGAGCCGTGGCGCCGGCGCCGGCTGGTGAAGGGTTTCGAGGATAAGATTGTTGAGGCCTTGGAGAAGGAGAAGGCCATCAACCAAGCTGCTCTTGTCATCCCGGCTTTGGAATCGGTGAAAACTGCCGATGCACCAGCTGAAAGCTCCGTTGTTGCTGTTGCTGCCACGGCCGACTCGCCTAGTAGCGAGGGCACCGAGAGTGCTGAGGGTGCTGTTGTTGAGTTGAAGACCGAGGACAAGGCTTTGCTGGAGACTACTTCCCCCGCCGACAATGCCTCTCAAACCCTTTACTCCCGCCTCGCTGGAATTTCCCTTTCTCCCTTCTCCCTTGAATATTGGAATCAGTCTCTGAATGAGCTTCTCAGTGACCGCAGCGTTGCTATTACCCAACGTGAACTTACTGTGGCCGCCGTGCAGAGCGCGGCAGCTGGTGCAGCTGTGATGGGTCTTTTGTTTGCCCTGTTGAAACCTCGGTAGATATGGGGCTTTGTTGATTCTGTACATGACAAACAGATGTTTGAAAGTACTCTTCATCCTCAGCGTGACTTCATACAGGCCATTTATCTGTCATATATCTCCCCCTTGGCGACCATGCATTGTACAGACGAAGAAATAGATATAAAACAAATCTAGTGTATTATTATTGAAGATACAACCTTGGGCACCTCAAGTTCCAACGTTCTGCATTTCCCCTTGCTAAGTAGCCGTAGTATCTGTATAGTTGCAAGGTTAGAAGAACTACTACCTACTTTGGTAAAACTACAGGGCGCTGGAATAGGACCTCACATTTGCAGAATACTGCACTACTTTACCTACTAGGTACCTGTACCTATGCCGAGGTCCTTTCAACTGGTATGTCGCCATTCGAAAGGAAAAGGTATGAAACAAAAGAAATTTCATGACTAGGCAATACACTGGGCAGATATAAAAAAAAACAAGTATATACTCAAGGCGACCACGAGTTCCAACAACCAAGCAGGCCAAGAAACCTCCAAAGCAAGACTCGGGCCTGCCAAAAGAAACACCCGCAGATCAATGCCTCAAGACCGAGAACGGGCCTTGGAAAAAATGGGTGTATAAAAAGAGGCACATTTTGTCCATATTAAAACACGGTCTCTTAATCTTGACAATGACACACGGCCGCTCTGTCTAAAAGGAAATAAATCAAATCACACAAGCACATACACGGAGACACCTCTCGCTTTCCCTTCCATCTTCGGTCTAAACGAGTCAATACTGAGTTTTTATTGTAACAGATCGCTTAACCGATAACGAGAACCTCATCCTCGGGGAAGCTGTATTGGGGAACCTCCAGGTTGAGAGGGGCTGGGCCCTTGCGGATACGGCCAGAGATGTCGTAGTGGGAGCCGTGGCAGGGGCAGAACCAGCCGCCATAGTCACCAGCCTCGCCAATGGGGACACAACCAAGGTGAGTGCAGACACCTATAGAGATATTCAAGTTAGCCATTGGTCTTCAAGTTGTTCAAGTTTGGGATATTGAATTCCACATACCAAGCATGACCAACCACTCGGGGCGCTGGACACGGTCCTCATCGGCCTGGGGGTCACGCAGAGTCTCCCACTTGGACTCGCGGGCCTCGTCGATCTCAGCCTGGGTACGGTGACGGACAAAAACGGGCTTTCCACGCCACTTGATGATGACCTGTTACGCATGTTAGGATAGGGTGAAACCGGGTGCGATTAGGAATCGATTTATCACATACGTTCTTGCCCTCAGGAATGGCACCGAGAGCAATCTCAACCTTAGCCTGGGCCAGGACATCGGCGGAGGCGGACATGTTGACCAGGAAGTCTGTAGGGGGGCGAGAGCACACGGTCAGTCATCGGAACTCGAAACCACACAATCTGCACGTAATCCACCACCTGGAATCAATCCATTGGATCCAATTCCTTCATTCATTCTCCAATGATATCCATAATCTTCCCGGAAAGCGCGACAGAGAGAAAGAAAAAACCTACCCTGGACGGTGGCCTTGGCACCGACAGCGGAGGCCAGGCCCATGGTGCCAGCCATGAAGTAGGAGAAGACCTGGTTGGAGCGAGGGGAGGAGTTGGACTTGTATTTGCTGAAGTTGGGGATCTTCACGGTAGAGCCACGCTCCTGGGCGTTAACGAAGGGGCTGTCGAAGGACGCCTTCGCATCCGCAACTCCCCTCCGCTGTTGGCAGGAGGCGACGGCGCGGGTGGTGGGCAGCTGCTGGCGGGCGCAAGTGCGCAGCAGAGTGCTGGAAGCGGAGGAGAGCGACATGGTGATGGGCAATTGACCACTGGAGGGGGGAGGTGTGACCGCGGCGTTGCTTGGACGTAGGGAAGGAGTGGATGAAGCCGGGACGAAGTTGGAGCCAGAGCTTTCGCTAGCGATCGGAATCACGGGGCCTGTCATTGGCTGATGCGGGTCGCGCGGGTGAACATGGATTTAACCACCGACCAATGTATACGCATTTAATTAAGAACTATACACTTAGTTTCTTGGATTATGATTCAATTGATTTTGATTTCAATTGCTAAATTAATTCATCTGTCCCATTTATGTATTAAGTGAGTTGTCATTTGGTATCTACCTAGATCCTATACATTCCTCTTCCTCGGGCCGAATGCGATACAGCAGCAATTGCCAGAATTTCATAAAAAAGAGAGAGAAAAGAAACAAAACTCCAATGCAGAACATAAAAGAAAAATGAGACCGTTATTGATTCCATCATAGGTACCAAAGTAGCCAGTGTATTTTAGTCCTCCATTTCAACATCAGGGTCGTTGCGTGCAGAGGAACTGACTGTCCGATCCGCCATCAATGCACTCACAGGTACCACAGGTGTACGAGGAATGGTCGGCGATTGACTTGAATCTTCCGGTTGTGTTTCTGTCTCATCTGCGGCATCACCATTTTGCTCTCCAGTGGCCGGGGTAGTGCCGTTCAGTCTGCGTTGTCCCTTCTCCAAGTCTCCAGGTGCCGCCGCTTCCTTGGCCTTCTTCTCTTTGAATTGTTTGTAAGTCGTAGTCTTGGGGATTACATCGGATAGAAACTCAAGGTTGTCGATATGTGATACAGCCGTGGCTATTGTAATTCATTAGCATCGCTCGCCACTAAAGATAATCTCTATAACAGCCCACTTACCTAGATCTTTGTATTGCACCGTCTTCCGCGGTTTGCGTTCTGATTTTACCACATTGTGGCCTTGTTCAGCAAGATATTGAATGAACATTTCCTGGAGTCTGCGTCAGTCTTATGTTCGAGATTCTGTAATCGGATGCGGGTACCGCGTACAGTAGCCATGGCGACCACGAAGGTTGCGTTGTTGGAGCATTGTGCGATATCGTCGTCAAGCTGAATGATCTTCTTGATGCGAGATACTATCGCAATGGTCAGTTTTTTAGGGGGTCTCCATACTCTAAACGCAGCTGCATTGTACTCACTGGGGAGTGCACTTTGGCCAGTGATCTCTTCCGGCTCGCTCGTATTCTTTGGAGGCATGGTTGGTGATATTGAAATACAGACAAAGAAAGAAAAGACCCTTAGCAAAAGACAATAAATATTCGAGTCTTCAAGTAACGGGTTCCGCAGCTTCAACGATTCGTAGCGCGCGAGGGTTAAGTAGAGAAAGTCAAACGCGTGTGCGCGGCGGCGTTATCTCAGCAGATCTCCGTTATCGATTACTTGGCGTGGGAACTTGCGCCTTTGTCACTTAACCTCAGCATCGTTTCCGACCCCCGGAATTGCATAAATTCCCCCGATCATTTCTTTGATTTTGTCAAAGAATCCCATGACGATATAATAGGCGCTGGTCGAATTTAGAGATTTGACCTGCGTCACCCCGATCCCACGATCTCCCCCGTAGCGGAGGAAGAGTACATTACCAGTTCAGCTCGAGCCCGACTATGCTGAGCTTACCGCACCGGTCGATGTTATGACCTCGACACGCCCCATTTCGACCTATTCCCGGTCGCCATCAATTTTATCAGAGCGCCGGGATATACGCCGTTTATCTGGCCATTCTGTTTCCGTTTCCAGCGCCGCCGATTCGAATCCAGCCCCCGACGCGCAAGCTCCCGCTATCACCGAAGAAATCAGTGAAATAAAGCGATATGAAGATTTTACTACAATAGACTGGGTGCAAGATGCTGTGTATGAACAAAGTCGCCGACGAGCTAAACGGCGGAGTGGCACCGGATTCTGGGACCAAGAAGGTGTCTTTGGCTGGAGACGCAAGCTGGTTGAATCCTACGATGCAGGTCAAGCCTGGCTTGTGGTGACCCTCGTCGGTATGGCAATTGGTGTCAACTCGGCGTTGCTGAATATTATCACAGAGTGGTTGTCAGACATCAAGCTAGGCCATTGCACCACGGCCTTTTACCTCAATGAGCAATTCTGCTGCTGGGGTGCCGAAGGAGGATGCCAGGAGTGGAAAAGTTGGACTGGATTCTGGTTGTTCAATTATGTGATTTACTTTTTTTTCGCGGTATGATTATATTGCATCCCTCTGCGGATTCATGGCATGCTAAATGACTGATCCTAGGTTCTGCTTTCTGCCGTCGCAGCGATTCTTGTCAAGACATTTGCGCCCTACGCCGCTGGCTCCGGTATTTCGGAGATCAAGTGTATCATTGCTGGGTTTGTTATGAAAGGCTTCCTAGGCGCCTGGACGCTTGTTATCAAGTCGATTGCTTTGCCGTTAGCTATCGCATCGGGTCTCTCCGTTGGAAAAGAAGGCCCTAGTGTTCATTTTGCCGTCTGTACTGGCAATGTGATTTCACGGTTCTTTGGCAAATATAAGACCAGCGCATCAAAAACCAGGGAGATTTTAACGGCATCGGCAGCGGCAGGCGTTGCTGTGGCCTTTGGTAGCCCCATAGGAGGTGTACTGTTCTCATTAGAGGTATGTTTTGTCCCAAGATCCAAAGAATCATTGTTTTTTTAACATGTGGATAGGAAATCGCCAATTACTTCCCTCTGAAGACTCTGTGGCGTAGCTACTTCTGTGCCCTGGTGGCAACAAGTGTGCTAGCTGTACGTCCTTCTTTCCCGATGCATACTGATGAGATATCTAACTTTTTCTTAGGCTTTGAATCCCTTCCGAACGGGACAGCTGGTAATGTTCCAGGTCTCATATGATCGTACATGGCACTTTTTTGAATTAATCTTCTTCATTTTCATCGGTGTCTTTGGTGGACTTTATGGTGCGTTTGTGATCAAGTGGAATCTTCGAATGGCATCCTTCCGCAAGAAATACCTGGGCGCATACCCCATTGCAGAATCAGTATTTCTTGCTGGTCTCACGGCCATTCTTTGCTATCCAAACATATTCTTGAAAATCAACATGACAGAGATGATGGAGATTCTTTTCCGTGAATGTGGAGGTGGACACGATTACCACGGGTTATGCCAGTAAGGATACATGCAAGCCACGAGACAAAAAAAGTATTGGTTCTGACAAGTTTCTACAGAGAACAAAACAGATGGTCAATGGTGATTTCATTGGCTATTGCTACGATTTTACGCACAGGATTGGTAATTATTTCCTATGGTTGCAAAGTTCCTGCTGGTATTTTCGTTCCATCTATGGCCATTGGCGCATCATTTGGACGAATGATCGGGATCATGGTGCAATCACTGCATGAATCTTTCCCCAAGTCGGCCTTCTTCGCGTCGTGCGAGCCGGATGTCCCATGCATTACACCAGGTACCTATGCTTTCCTAGGTGCCGCCGCCGCACTTAGTGGAATCATGCACATTACGATCTCCGTCACGGTCATCATGTTCGAGTTGACAGGCGCTCTGACCTACATTTTGCCCACCATGATCGTGGTGGGTATTACCAAGGCCGTGGGTGATCGATTCGGAAACGGTGGTATCGCGGACCGTATGATTTGGTTCAACGGATTCCCCTTCCTTGATAACAAGGAAGAACATGTCTTCAATGTCCCAGTCTCGCACGCCATGACAACGGATCCACTATTCATTCCAGCCTCGGATTTCCCCGTACGCGAAGCCGAGCATCTACTTAGCGACAACAAGTTCCAGGGCTTCCCAATTGTAGAGGACCGGAGCAGCAAGACTCTTGTTGGCTATATCGGGCGCACAGAGCTCCGATACGCCATTGATCGTGCCCGAAGCCAGGGCCTTATCTCCCCACGTGCCCGGTGCGTGTTTACCAAAGACGCAGCAGAGGCATCTGTCGCTCGTCGCGCGTCCGGACGCCAAGATTCACTTGTCCCCGATACCTTTGACGCCATCCAGACCAGTGTGGGTGCCGGCGTCGTCGATTTCTCTCGCTTCGTCGACCATACCCCTCTCACTGTGCACCCCCGTCTTCCGCTGGAGACGGTCATGGAGATCTTCAAGAAGATGGGTCCGCGTGTCATCGTTGTCGAGCACCGTGGCCGTTTGGCCGGTCTGGTCACTGTCAAGGATTGTTTGAAGTATCAGTTCAAGGTTGAAGCGGAGGAACACGCCCTTGCAGCAACGAGTTCCTCGGAGTTCTCTGCTCTTGGTGGCCATTTGAACAGCCCTGCACCAGAGACATTGGACGACCGATTGTGGCGTCTGATTCAGACCGTCATCGGATTCGTATCAGGCTCTGGTTCACGCCGGCCTGTTAGGCTGCGTGAGCGCGATAGAGCCGGATTGTCAGAGCCATCAGATATATTGGATGGGACGGAGGATGACGGGTTGGTTGAACTAGAAGATCGAGAGGAACGACCCCGGCGTTAAGGTCAGGATTGTATCAAATAGGTTATGTGGATATACGCTTGCTTGATAGAGATCTTTATGTAAACAGCGGATTTGTGAATTGACTCAGGGATTCTTTGACCTGATCATTAAGGCGATTCTTGATGTTTCCTGTTGATTTGTGCAACATTTGAAGACTAGAAGAATTAAATCATCTGGACATCAATGAAGCGCCGGATACCCATGGACCTCGACCGTTATTATCAATTCGACCTCGTGATACCAACCCTATGAGGAAGAGCCTGGTATCACCCGTGGGCATGCGCAGATCTCTTGATCTTACTGTTATATTGAGATGTCATCAGCAATATTCATTCCTTTCCTGGTCAATCGAATGGCCTCGGTCAACCCCATCCCCCCCTCCTTGCCCTCTTCTTCTACCCTCTTTAATGGTGCTTAACAAAACACTCTCAGCTTCATTTTCTCCACTAGTAGGTGGATTCGAGACCTATTATCCCCATTAATTGATACTCATTTGTCAATTTATTGTTACATACCTTTGAGTGTGTTTCTCTTGAACTTCTCCAGGCTCAGTCCTCCTAAGGTTGGACGTTTCAGGTCCAAGCTTAAAAATACCATTTTCACGAAGGACTGATCGGGACCAAGCTTTGAAATACCTCTTCTCACGAAGGATTGAACGACGATGACGATGACGAAGATGAAGAGTGAATCTTATCAAAGCTCGGTGATCCTGATCAAGCTCAAGAAGCCTAGCCGAGTAGGGCTTAACTAGCGTGGTGCCAGATCTCCGCTAATTTGTCTGGACATCGCTATCGGCGTAGTAGAGACCTGAAAGGAAAGAGGCGACGGGTATAACTGGTGCCTACTAAATAAAGTCCATACTAGGCGTATATTCAAAACCTTGGAAGAGCTGTGCATCGAGATGTGGGAGTGCTTGGAGTACATACCTCAGTAGGCACCACATTGTTTGACCGTCTCCATCAAGTTCGAAACCCTCCACCATATAGATGGGCTTTCATGCTGAGGACTTTCAACTTCAAGCATGATTTCATCTTGGGCAGCCTAGGTACACATGCCCAGCACTCTCAGATCGGTTGAATTTGATACATACTAGACCTTACAGTGCGTCAACTGGGCGTTGACATTTGCTTTGAAAGACGTGTAGTACATTCCAAGGTTATGTATTATAATGTAGTACTACTAACTGACTGGTACCTACTAGGTACCAGACTGACGCTTCTATGTATGTACCTGCATATGTATAAGTACATGTCTAATTATAACATCAATGAGTGAAGATCAAGCCCCCTCCCTCATCCCCACCAAGATACATCCTGCCCCCATCATCGCCGCTCCAAGCCACCAAAGACCACCAACCGCCTCCCGAAACACGATCATGCCAAAGAGCGCCGTGGCGAGGAAGTTGGCCGACGTATTGGTGATGGAGACCTTGACCGTCGACGGGCCAGCCGTTAGGGCACGGGTGAAGAGGGCCCACATGATTATATTGCACAGGACATTGAGACCCAGACAGGCCTGTTTTGACTCAATGTTAGTACATGTACACTCTTATGGCCACAGTATCTATACATCAAGGGGGTTTCCAGTTCTCAAGATAAAGCTATGTATAGAATCTAATAGGAACGGAAAGAACAGGTAGTGAAGAAGCAGGAGAATACTTACGCCTCGAACAAGGAGTTCTAGGAAAGGCGAGGACTCCAGTCCAAAGAGGTGCGCGAGGGAGTGCGCGAAGGATGTTGTGTGGTCATCCGTTGTGCTATAGGTGATGTGTGTTAGCTGGGCTTCCAAGCTGATGTTTATGCGTGCGTCAAGGTATGATTTGAAGTATACTAGTATAGAGCAGGCATTGCTTTGGATGCGGGGATTATTCAGGGCATTTGTGGCTTACAGTTTTGCGAAGAGGCCGTTCAGCGCGGCGAAGGCGCCGCTTGCCAAGGCGAGGAGAATCCAGGGGGATGTGGAGGCTTTGGGGGTTGGAGAGGTCATTGTGGCTTCAAGGTTTTGAGGATTATATGTACTATAGATCCACGGATGTATATGCAATGTGTATGATGATTGGTTCAATGTTAAATGCTGTACAACTTAAGGAAAGGACCTCGGAAGGGGAAGAGGGATGCCAAGACTCAAGAGTCTTGATAAGATTGTCAGTGATCCACATGACATATCAAATGTTTAAGAACTTCTAATACAACCAGGAGCTAAACATTCGCCTGAAATACTATTCAATGTTGATTTTTTCTTCTTCTCTTTTCTAGAGCTGTATTGTCTTCTATCTAGTCAACGATGCAGTTCTACGGAGAAAGTCTCTGCAAACGCCACTGACCACCTTCACCCTCAACTCGCACGTAACGGAAGCGATCATGCAATCGACTACGACGACCCTGCCAGAACTCAACAGACTCCGGCACCAATCGAACACCACCCCAAAATGGCGGAAGCGGAATATCCTTCACGCCCTCAAACTTGGCCTCAATATCCTTAACCTGCTGCTCAAGTAACGCCCTCCCATCATCAATATCCGTCTGATCAAGACCCGCCAAAGTGTCCGATCCCGCCGCAGCCTCCTGCACGCGCGCAACGCTCTTCCGCCGCTGGTGCTCCTCCAACTGACCCGGCTCCGCAGACCAAAGCACCTTACTCTGCCAACTAGCCCACCCACCAATCTGGCTCCCCCGCTCCCGCGTCCGCCAATACAACTCGCTCTCCTCCCGACTCAACGGCTCCAAAAGTCCCTCAACCCGCACCTGGCGCTCAACGCTCGCCCAGCTGAATGTCAGCGCCCCCCATCTGTTGCCCAGGTGGGATGCTGCGGCCTCGCTCGGCTCGGGGAGGTTAGTAGGTGCTTCCCCTTCTCCGTTTCCGTCCTCGCGGCCAAATACCTGTCCGCCTTTGCCTTCGCGGCTTCCCCAGTTACTATACACAACCCAGCCGCGCTCGTCGAGCTCCTTCAGGTAGACGCTGCGGGCGCTCACGCGGCCGGAGGGGAGCTCGGCTGTAGCTAGGGTGCAGGTTTCTGGGGCGGAGCTGGGCGAGAGGCGGGGGTCTTTGAACCAGGAGTGGAATTGGTGGAGGGGGTTTGTGCCGTGGATTTGGGAGACGGTTAGAGGTGGGTTTGTGATGAATTGGTGCGCGCGTGCGGGGTGGGAGAGGATCTGGCTTTCGGTGGTGGAGTTTGGGGTTGAGGTTTCGGAGCGGAGGGCCTCGGCGGGGTTGAGGTGGGATGGGGCCGCTTGGGATTGCGAGGTTGGTAGCTCGGTGGCTCCGAACTCTGGGGTTGTTGATATATCGCCTGGTGCAACTGTGGGGAAGAATGTGGTTAGCTTGGAGGTCTTTTTTTCTTCCACTGCGGGGGGTCGTGTGTCCCCTCCATTTCGGTTCTGCGCGGTGTAGGACATGAGAGGTAGTAGATGGAAGTGGTGACAAACAGATGAGTTTCTTTGGGCGTAGGTGCCCTTCGTTTTGAGACATTTTCTGGGTGTTGGAGCTGGTGGAATGAGAACGAGGTGCTTGAAGGCGGGGTTGGTGGGAAGCTGCGCGGAAGCGAATGCGGAGAAATGATCCAAGGACAGAGACGGGAACAGAGAGGGAACGAGTGAGCATTAAATTGAGAAGTAAACAAAAGTGTAGTGTATCAGTGTAAATGTAGGGGAGAGAAAAAAGAAAAAGAGTTACTTGGAGGTTTTGGGGGAAATTGACGTAAGTTCTCTAAAGTGGTACCATTCGATGCTTTCTATGGTAACATTGTAGCTTGCCAGTCAATGGCACCACACTCAACACATTTTGAATTTCAAAACAACAGCCTGCATCAACCCTGTGTTTAACTATGTACATACACTCAACCCCGGCGTTACAACATGCTCATCAAAGCGCCTTCATAAACTTCGCCTTCACACCCCTCATATACTTGTCCTCCATGAGCTTCTCAATAATAGGCTGGGCATTATGATCATCAAAAGCCTGCCGTCCCGCATAGCGCTCGAAGAAATGGAAAATGGTCGGATCATCTTGATCTCTGCAGATGCAGTAATAGATTGTGCCGGGCTCGGATTGTGCCAGCCGGGTGGTCTCCACGTAGACGGCTTCCAGGGCATCGGCATGCTCGGGATAAGCATAAACAGTGCCAAAGACGACAAATTCGTCTTCGGGAACCGTGAGGGGCTCTGTGATGAACTCTTGGGAATCGAGGGATGCCATAGTTGTAGGATTGGTGGTTTGATTGAGTGTAGTGAGGCCTTCCAATGTGGCTGTTGGAATTTGGGGGTCTGGGTGGACTGAACTGGGATGGGAACCAGAGAGATGCTTGAGAGGTGCTATGTGGATGAATCTGCTTCAATTGAGGTCCTATATACTATTATGGTCTGGATTTAATATCTACAATAGTGGATTGTGCTAACATTAGGCCAGGTGGTAAGTTAGCTTACTCTTATCGAGTCATCGTGAGTCAAGTCTATCATATCGTTTTATCACTAGAATCGGATAAGACCAATCAATCAATGATCCCATGACCAATGATAATGATGATTAGTAGTTAGTACTAATGAGTGACTAGCGCGCAGAAGACAAATCAATGTCTTGAGCTATTCGATTTTACTTGCTACAAATTGGAATCAAATCTCAATTCACTTTTTTTGTATTTTGACCTTGGCGTGTAGAAGCGCCATGCAGAGTTGAGATGGGTCTATGTATGAACATATATGGAAAGACGTCGCAAAATGGTATTACATGCCCCTTTTGATCACCAAATAAACGCCAGATCCCGCTGAATGCAAAAGAGAGAGAAAAACAAAAACAAAATCCCACCAGGTATCTCCCGGTAACTGCTACCTCACATGCGCCAAACCGGAAAAGCCCAATGCCGAAGGGATCCAGCCCTGGCGACGTGATGTAAGGTGCAGTCAAAACCCACAGCATTAGATCTAACCTGGTTGAACGGTAGCCAGGGAAAACAAAAGAAAAAGAAAAAGCAGAAGAAAAAAAGACACAAGAAGAATTAGACGGAGGAAGATCCTCCGCCCACAAGATCCAGGATCTTGTTGGCCACGGCAGCGGGGTATCCGCGCGACATCATCTCCTGGACGATGTTGGCGGCGCTGCTGCGGTCATCGGCACCAAGGAAAGCACGAGTCATGGCCTCGTAGGTACTGGGCTCGCGCTTCTGGATGCCAATGCTGTCGTAGATGGTCTTGGCCTTCAGGACATTGCCCTCGGTGGCCCATCCCTGGATCAGAATGTTGGCAATGTAAGCGGTCATCTCAACGTTGCGCTGCATCATGCTCTGCACAATCTCCTCGGTGTCGACAACGCGGTTGTTAGCCACCATTGCCTCGAAAAGAGCCTGGTACAAGCAAGGTTGCAGACGCACGCGGCGATCAGCGATAACGGAGTCGAAGACCTTGCGGGCAGCGGGTAGGTTGTGCTGGACACAGCCCTGGGCGTGAATTAAGGAGGCATAGTGAACAGCATCGGGTTGCTGACCAGCAGCCTGCATAGACTGGAGAACTTTCTCAGCAGCGTCCATATCAACGGGTTCGAGGGAAGCGTGCGCATCAACGAGCAACTTGTAGGTGTGCATGGTAGGCTTGATGTTGCGGGCCTGCATGCGCTCGTAGTATGCCAGAACCTTGCTGCGGTCCCGCTTGGTGTTCAGGAAGTACTGGATCATGGAGTTGTACGGAGCCGGGCGGGCCTTGTAGTTAGGCATGGACTCCATCTCCTCGAACATCTCCTCGGCGAAGCGCTCATCGCTCACACGGCAAAGCGCGTTGACGATGGTTCCGTAAGTGACACTGGTGGGACGAACGTTGTTGGCACGCATCTCGGCAAAGTAAGCAAGGCAGTCGTCAATGCGACGAGCCTTACCGAGCTTGCCGATGAGGGCGTTGTACAAGAACGAGGTGGGTTCAACGCCTTCGGCCACAGCACGGTGGAAGATCTTCAAAGCCTCAGTGGCCTCGTCGAAAGTCTTGGTGGACTCCTTCAGGGTGGTAATGTACAGACCAAAGGTGTTAGCGGAAGGCGCAGAGCCAAGATCAATAAGTTCTTGGTGGAACTGGCCAGCCAGCTTACGGTCTCCAAGAGTAAGGCAAGCAGCAACCATAGCATCAAGAATTGAAACCCAACCGTACTTGACGGTGTTGTGAGCTAGGTTCAGTGGAACATCAGTGCGGGCCATGCCGTGGATCTCGTGAACCAACTCAGTGCGACCGGTCTTGGCAGCAGCAGTGATCAGCTTAGCATATGTAATGTAGCGAGGATGACGACCAATGCGGCGCATGTTGTTAAGCCGGATCATGGCCTCGTTGAGATGAGTCTCGGCCCGTCCAGCGGTCTTCTCGAGTTCATCAGCAATAATGGCAGAGCCGCGGAAATCAGTGGCATGGGCGTAAGGGTCGAAAGCATCAAGGCTTGAAGGCGGGGTCGTGGTAGAGGTCTCGGCGGCAGAGACAGGGCTATGACGGGCAGAGAGCAACGAGGTCTGGGAAGTGGCCTCCATGTGATCTTGCCATCTCTTGACGACATCGGGGCGGTTAACAAAGGCTTGGGCGATGACCCGGTCAACCAGGCTAGTAGTGTAGTTGTCCAAAGGCAAAGAAGTTGACAAAGCAACGTCCAGCATGTGTGCAAAGCGGCCAGGGTGGGCGATATCAAACATCATTGAAGTGTTGCTGGCAAGCATACCAGCTTGAACTTGAAGGGCAAGTGTGAGGTCGACCGGTGTCAGCTGTGAGATACCGACGGGGGTAAGATTGGCAACGGCATGCTCAGCCAGGGGAGAGACCAGGCTGCCATTATCAATCATAGACCACAAGAGTGACATGACTGACTGTGGGGACAGCACGGCAGGGGTTTGGAAAACGACACGTCCAAAGAGGTGGAGAGACTCGGTAATCTGCTCTCGAACCGATGCGGCAACAGAGACTTCTTTGGCATCGGCAGTGTTAATGGCAGTGCGGATGCGAGAAAACATGTTGCGAGCTTCCTGCAGACCCGCCTCGACCTGGCCACTCTTCAACAACGCCACGGCGTACATAGCGGTCGGCTGAACCATATCCGGGGTTGCCTGACCCACGGTGTTCAGCATGATCCACAAGGAACGGGCCGCGGAAACATTGCCGCGACGAATGTGAAGGGCGAGCAGCGAAATAGCGGGGACCTGACGTGTTGCCGGCGCTGTGGACAGACGATCATACGCCTCGGAGGCGGTGGTCAGATCACCGGCGTCAGCTGCGGCCACGCAAATCTGAGAAATGGCCTGATCGCGAGCCTCATCGTGGAGCTCAGCCTTGGCCTTATCTAAAGCCTTGCTGTGTTCCCCAATTTTCACCAGGTGTTGCACAAGTCCGTCCTGAACAATCACGCTTTCCATGGCAGACATACGGCTCTCACGGCTATCAGTGACCTTATCGAATGAGGAACGAATTCGCTCGAGGAAGCTCATCGCGCCCTCTTCCTTGCCACAAGACAGATAGGCACGAATAAGGGCGGCGTACACTTGCCCATCCAGCCGCTGAACAATACTGAAGACTCCGCTGTCGTCAGAGACAGCCAGGTCTCGGTACTCTTCATAGCACTCAACCGCACTCTTAAGATCACCGGTGCTGGCGAATGCATCAATCATGTGAGGGTAAATGGTGGCATGGGGTTGGATCTGCTGCGCCTCCATGTGGGCGTAGATTAGAACCATATCTTCGACCAAGCCCTCGCGGGCACAGGCAATGATGAAATGGCGGTACAGATCGAGAGGGAACGCAAGAAGGGGATGGCGATTAATGGCGGCGTTGAACAATTTCACGGCAATCGACAAAGAATGATCTTCGATCAACATATCGCGCTCCAGCTCGCGGGACTGAAGCATGAACTTGCCGGGTTCCTCCATGCCGCCATAGCGGACTCGCTCCTGCTCCAAACCCTCCTTGGCCTTGATCACATCGTTTGCGTTGGTGACCAAAAGCTGAACGAGAGTCTCATAGGTATCTTCGTCGGGAATTACCCTGCGACGGAGCATATCGGAGTAAACATCGAGAGCCTTGGGGATCGCCTGCGAAGCTTCGGGGTGAAGTCTAATAGCCGCAACCAAAAGGGCATTGTATGCTTCCACAGTGGGCGTCAGACCCTCTCGAAGCACAGCCTCAAAGGCCGCAGGGATCTCCGCAAAGTCCCCAGCTTTCGCCAGCAGCACAATTTGTGCCGATGCAGCCTTGGATTCCTCAGAGATGGCTTCCGAAAGAACAACATCCTCGACTGCGGATACCTTCTCGGCGGTATCCGCGCCCTCGGATTGTTCGTGTTCTTCCTGGATCTGTTGGATCTCCCGAGCGACGGCCTCCTCGACCTGAGCGCTCACATTCTCATTGACGGCAGCTTTGGTGAGATGTGGGGGGACGGATTCGGATCGGTCTTCGTGTACTTGTTCGAGTTCCTCGGCCGAGGGCTTCCAATCGATACGGCGCTTGAACTGGAATTGGCACCAGTCGCTATCGTCGCCGGTCTGCTGGGCATGCTGCCATGCGGCATAGTAGGCAGCTAGACCGGAATCTCCCGATCCAGAAGCTCCCTGGTTGGCCTTGGCGCCAGCTGCGCCGGAGGAGCTCGACGCGTTGGAGAAAGCATTCTGTAGTTGGGTTCGAGAGAATTTGGCGGGTTGGGAGGCGATGGAATTGAAGGCTGTGGAGGAGGATGCGTAGGTTTGCGACGCTGCGACTACCGATTGAGCATAGCCATGGGTGAAGGCCTTGGTGAAACTCTGGCGCGCGAGGTGGGTGAAGGGTTTAAAAACCATTTATTCTAGCGGGAGGACCTCTTCAGTGCGAAGAGGCAATGCTGTAAAGTTGGAATAGTCAGTTTTTTTTTTAGATTCGTTAAAGAATATTAGAGAGAATTGGATCTGCGAACCTTGCACTCAGAATGATAATTGAAATGCAGGCTCATTGGACGACTCCGTATCGCCAATGAACGCGCTGAGGCAAAAGAAAGTAGATAGTTAATGTAGTTGATTAGAATAGGAAGATCAGTTAAGATCCTCTGGGGAATGGGATGAAATAAAGGCAAATCAAATAAAATCAAAAGGGAGAAATAGGGAGCCTAAAGAGAGAAATAGAAAAAAAAAAAATCGAAATCGAACCTCACACGCCAAACTTCTGGAAGGAGATGGTTTCACAGGGTGGACCATTCAGCTTAGGGCCGATCCTCGCCGGAGAATCCTGTGGATGTACTCAGTACCTTCGAGGCAGTATACACGGCTACTCCGTACCTTGTACTCCGGACATTTTATTTTTATTTTTATTTATTTTGTTATTTATTTCTTTATTTCTTTAGTTTAACTTGTATACATTCTAATCATAAACAGACACATCAACATTGAAGAATTCAATCCATCATACTAGCAAATGTGATGTAGAAAATATGCTAAGTATCGAGTACACATCATCATTCCCCTCAGAACTTGAAAATGTATACTAGTACTCTCACTGCTTTATCCTGTTCCTGGTGTCAGGGGTCATGTGGTTTGTCAGAAATCCAGAAATCCAGAAAATCCAATGTAAAGTGGAGTCAAGACACGAACGAGCTGCCAATCACATCCATTACAATATGAGTCATTACTAGATCGGTCCCGATTCTTTTTCTTCGGACCAAACCAATGTCCCTTCCCCGACTCGGTCTCACGGAACCGGCGTTAACGGTGTTTGAGCGCACCGCGGAGTTGAACTTTTGTCTCCGGGACGAAACATGTCCGTTCATCGCATAAACTCTGTATGTTCAAGGGGCTGAGTCCCTCTAATATCCGTAGGCAACCGATGCGGCCTTTCCTATGATCTGTCCTTTCTGCAAGGCAAAATCTAGCCAAGGACCAATTCTTTTCATTCAACATGGCAAATCAAGAACAGTAAAGAAGAAAAAAAACTGTTCATAGTTCGAACGTTGCCAAGAGATCGCTCGCGATCCATGTTTAGTTTCAGAGTTCGGCTTATAGTAGAGTGCACTAAAGTTTGGCAGGTGACGATCGACACCTTATGAAAGGGGCCTAAATGCCTCACGTGCGATTTTTACGGAGATATCGAGATCTTTCAAACTCCACTCTAAAACATACCCAAAAGTTGACGTATGATCCACAAGGTCATTGCTCTTACGGGGCCCGATTATAGCCGCTCTTGATAAGAGATATGCCATTCTGGAGTTAACTACACAAAGTGAAAACTATCTGACGTCAGGTCTACTCCCCATATGAAATAGGTCCAAAGAGTCAAAGACCACCATATTCAAAATTGTCAACATTGAGGTCATGTAAATGCTTGGACGCTTGATGAACAAAGGTTGAAGTCTCGGGATCGGGTTTTTCTCCTTTTCTCCTTTTCTCCGTCTCACGTTGGTAATGGCAAAACCCAAATCAAACTTTTACAACCCGTGACAACTTAGTCACCAACAACGCATCCAGAAATTCCATATCAATGTCCTATCTACCTCCAGGATGGACTCTGGAACGGCTTCAAACTGCGACTGTGGATGATCTACGCCAAATACCGGAAGATGTAGGTACTATGTAAATAGGCAGAATAGATAGCAGTCCGAGTTCTTCCATTTTTGAAAATATCATTTCAATATATGTGTGTGGCACCGCTAACAACCCCCTGAATCTAGCAAATCCGTGAAATCGACCCTGATTCAATTCCCATCGACAACGTTGAAGTCCGCATTGTGATCGGCCGTGCTGTTCACAATGAACACCGACGAAAAGTGCGGGAAGCCAAAGGCCTGCCACCTGCTCCCGGGAGACCGCTCTTCGAAAAGAATGACGATCCAGTTGTGGAGGTAGTAGAAAGGGGAGGATTCGATGACTTTGGATTCATCACCTTTCGAACCGATTATTCCGATGAAACCCGGTGGGAGCAGTGGCAAAAAGAGAGTATACGCATTATAGATGCCTCGATCACGGAGGCTAGTGGGGGTGAGAAAATCGAAGATAAATGCTTGATGCCAAGCTATGAGGGTGAGGATGTAGATGGGGCCACTCATCAACAAATTGTGGAGTAAGATCTTCTTGTTCCTGTCCTTGTTCAATGTTGCGGGTCGTCTGTAGTACTAACTCTCATTATAGGGCATATTTCTGGTACCGGGAGGCTGAGGGGGTGCCCCCCGGACTTGATAACGGTATGTGTTTAGTGGTCGATTCGGCTGTGATTGACTCCATAACAACCGATAAGCCTTGGATTTGGGCCTTGGACTTGTCATTTGATCATGAGAGTGAGGTCGCCGATGGAGAATATCCAGGTTACTTTCGAGTGGCCGTGGATTCAGTCATACCGGAACTTTACCCATTCATCACGGCTATGACGCCAATGGAGCTTTGGCCTCAAGATAACAGAATATGGGAGTCGGCCTTTGACTATTCCCCAGTATTTGAATCTTCTTCTTTCGGTTTGTTCGACCAGGGTCAAATTCTTGAAGCATCTACATAGTATATAGGTATTCGGAACATTCATTTCATAAGAAAAGCATTCAAATGGAGAATGAGTCCAGTGTATGTACTACCTAGTAGTCAGGTATACTGGTAGTCTAGTGCGGAGTTTTTACTTAAAAGAGGAACATTAAGAGAGGAGGTAAATTACTCCAAAAGTCCTGCAGGGTTATAGATTTGAATGAATTTGCGATTCGCTGGAAATGATAGTCAAGAAAAGTTTACTTCGTAATCACCTCGTTTATTCTTGTGAGATCAGTTATCTTAGGATCAGATCCATTTGTATACTTCCCATGTATCATCACAATAATAATTTCAGTATTTGCTGATCTCCAAAAGAACCAAAGAAAACCCCCTCTTTCAACCCTACGCAGTACTGCTTACTGCGTACTTCTTACCTCAACATTTAAGCGCTTCAATGTTGGTCAGTCCACCCGTGCCAAGACAGTTGCATCATCGCCCGCACAACGTGGATCACATTGTAGATCCCCAACAACTCATACAACCAGAAATTACCGGTTTTCACACTGACTGCGGTCAGAAATTAATTAAAGAGCCACAGCCCAACCAGAAAGAAAATAAAAAGAAAGAAAAATAGGGCGGAAATCCTTCACTGATCAGCTACGGCGAACCCGGCCTATCTCACGGCTAAATGGTTGTCAGCGGAGACTAAGCAAATGCCAAGCAAATGGAGAAGAAGAAGTAACGAGGGATTAATAATGGGTTCGGATCCCTGTAGGAGAATATTACCCGGTTAGGACAGAGCCATGGCGGAATTACGGTTGTAAAAGAAAAAAAAGCAAAGAAAAACTGTTGATTTTCATATTTCAAGGGTCCGAGTTTCCCGATAAGTGGAGACAAGTCGAGCTCAAGGTGGGTCCATCACCCATTCTTCACTTCTAACAGTCTTCTATCATGACATTCTCTTCAACTAGATCCACTCTTACCCAAAGCTTTATGCTCCGGGTTGACGCATTCATTGAGATACATCCGCCCCTTTTGCCCTTTTTACCTTTTTTGCTCTTATTGAATAAAACCACGAGGCCACTCGGCTTTTCCTGAAGGTACTTCCAGAGTGTGCCCTATAGAACATTTGATCTTGCCGACTTGCCGTGCGGGACAGGTTGCTGCTTCTTGATGAGGTATAGAGGAACGCCACAAGGAATAGTACTACTCATGTACCTGGCACCGTTAGGAAATCGGCTTGCAGGGATGTAGAACTGACTCAGAAGCTACTAGGTATAGTAAGGAATTCTGAGAGCTGGCTAGGTGGAGTCGCAAGGGTACTAAGTACTTTATACGCCTGTGCGTTGGACGCCCAATCTATGTACATACATGAGCTTACAATACTTTGGTGTACAAAGTAGACCATATGCATGATGATGTCCTCGTGTACCCGCCTTGTCCCAATGTATTCCTGCGGCATATCCGTACCAAAAACCTCACGAAACGACAGATCAGAAAGGCATTCATCGTCAAAAGAAGTTTTAAATTGTGGGTCTTGATCGTCGTTCCCATGACGATTCTCATTTCGCAGGGACCTTTCCCGCGTCATCCGTGCCTGACTATGGTATATGCTTGTAACTGGTACTCACACTCTTCTCATGAAAAAGGCAGAATAATGTATCCGTAGTTTAGCCGCAAGACAAACCATTCCAATGGTCTTCATGATCTGGTATTCCGGAACCAGACAAAGAACAGAAAAAAAAAACCCAGTGCCGTATATTCCATGAACGGCATCTCCTGTTGAATCGGCTCAAAGACAGCCGGTACATCCGGCACCGCTAGGAGCTCGAGTCTGGTGACAATCCACAATAGTGGCTCTCTATTGACCGCTAATGGGCTTGTCTGGGCAATTGGATTTTTTTTTCCTTTGGTCTGATCGTGTAGGAGCGAAGATCTCGGAGTTAACTGCTTATAAATGGCGCTGGGCCCCATCGCCGCGGGCTAGGAAGTGGATTGGTATGAATCATTTGCGATCAAATCTTTTTTCTCTGTCGCATTCTTCTCTTTTCCCATTTTCTGCTATAATACAGCTTGCGCAAAAGCCTTACCCTCTTCCTATATTTGCATAATGGTGTCGCAAACGCTTTTGGAGACACCCACTCACCCTGGCCGGACTGGGCGCGGCTCTGAAAGCGATAGTTCGCTCGATGAGATCGCAGAGACGAAGCAGAAGCTGTTTGCCACGGCTCTGGGCAAACATGGCAAGCATGGCAAAGATATCGACAACTCGGCCTCTCCAAATCGGTGGAAGAGCTTCTGGACTTCCTTCCGATACCTCTCTAACCTGACTCCCAAGCAGGTGGATGACTTTATGGCGTCATACGTCATTTACAATCTTGATTGGTCGGACGAGAAGCAAATGATAGAGTCGCTGGGTCCCAATTACCAGGAGAAAGTTGGGGATTGCTTAAAGTCGTACTATGGAGTGCTCAATCATCTTTGCGCCCTGGGCGACGTGGAAAAGATGTACATTCCGCCATGGATGAGCAAGAAGGCATCCATCCTGGAGAACCAGATTCTTTACGAACGATCAATTGCCAAGAACATCGGTCTCTCGGCTGGAGACAAGGTGCTTGATCTCGGTTGCGGCCGTGGTCGCGTCGCCGCGCACATGGCTCAGTACTCCGGCGCTCACGTTACCGGCCTCAACATCGACCCGAACCAAGTCGGCCAAGCGCAAATCTTCAGCGAAGAGCGCGGTCTGCACAACAACTTCGTCACACAAGATTTCAACAGCCTCCCCCTGCCCTTTGCGAACGAGACCTTCGACGCCTTCTACGAGATCCAGGCACTCAGTCTATGCAAGGACCTGCCGTTGCTGTTCAGCGAGATCTTCCGGGTCATCAAGCCCGGTGCCAAGATCTCCATCTTGGACTGGATCAGCCTCCCTGCCTACGAACCCAAGGATCCCGAGCACGCCGAACTCATGCGCCGCGTCAAACCATTGATCGGGGCCGTCGGCACCCCCACCCAGCAGAGTTTGGAGGCGGCGCTTGTCCAGTCCGGGTTTGAGATCGTGGTGTCTGAGAACGCCAGTATCGACGGCTTGCAGGCGCCACTGATCGATACCGTGGATATTTATTTCCGCACCTTGCGCCAGCTCATCTTGGGTCTGGTCAAGGTGCATGTTTTGCCCCGTCACTTTAAGCCGCTTATCAACCGGTTGTGTCTGGATGGTCAGGCTTTTGTCAAGATGGATAATATGCGCCTTGCCACGACGAGCTACAGCATCGTTGCGCAGAAGCCTAAAGCTTGATTTTGGGTTTGAATTTTTGGATGAGGGGGAGCACTTGAGATTTGGGGAGGGAAGAAAACAAGGCATGAGCGCTGTCGCTGACAGGTTCTAATCGCCACTGATTGATTACGTTCAATACAACCCCCCGCCACCGTCGTTTTCCCCCTCTCTTCGTTCCTCTCTCGCCGCGCATATCGTTTGTTCAATTCGTCATCTCGGTCATCGACTGCATTACAATTTTGGAAATACCCAGTACAGAAGTTAAAGGATTTAGAAGCTTTGGGAGTTTGGTGCTGTTTTTCGTTTGTTTCTTGTCTTGCGTGTTATTGTTGATTTCTTGGAGTTTCTTTTCGAAAGTACAATATCAATTGATCTTGCATATAGTTTATGGTTAATGGTTTATAGCAATCCTCATGGTCATATTCAATTTTAATAAATGAAGTTCAATATTGCTTTTGTGAATTTTAGCACTTCAAATGTTGATTCGAGGAACTTTCCAAGGTTAATGGATTCAGATCATCTATGCAAACGGTAATGAATACGATCTATTCGTGTCAATCTTGGAATCTTTTTGGGCTAAAAGCTTGGTAATGAGCTTCTAGACTATCCATAAGCTTATATTCGAGCGCCTGTCAAATAATCCATTGTGATTGGTCGTTGGTGGGCATGAGCAAGTAATGAAATCATGACTATTTTAGCTCCATCCTGATTCCTGTCAGCCCTGGAGAATGTGTCAGGAATACCGGAAAATAATACTGGAAAAGAGTCTGTGAAGATAGTTCTTCCCTACCTGCCTCCTGATGTCCCAGTCTTACTGTACCTCCCGTCAGCTGTAGTGTTGTGTTTTGAAAGCAATTGCAAGCCACGGAGTCTTACGGAGTAGTAAGCAATGGTTTCCCAGATAAAGGTGTCTTGAGATTCTAGATTTCTGGTTTTTTTGACTTTCCAGGGCAAATAATTGCCTGTACTAGTTCACAGCCACGTTTTTTTTTCTCAATTGCGGTCTTGAGGCTATTGACACTAGCGCATATCCTTGGGGAGTTAGTACTAGATAAACACAGGTCCATGTCCTACAGATAAACGATAAGTTGAAATGTTTGAATGAGTTTAGTATAGCACATGTGCATCTTAAAAACATGCTAATCCAAGCCTTGATTGAACCTATGCTTAAATCTTTTGCCTTGGATTCTTAGGGCAATGCTGTGCAACACTGCAGGCGCACGCTAGCCCGGATTAGGAGATATCGATACATCCTTGCATATTTGATTATTCCCCACCCAAAAGATGCCCGCCTTCTTCGCCAATCACCCTTTTTCCTTAGGTGTGCTGCAGCGAAAATCTACGAGAAACGGGAGGACTCCACAAACATAATAGCCGAATTCCCTTTTTCTTGTTTATATACGACTCAATCACCATTCCTGGTCCGCGGGGCAAATCACTCTTCACCCGAACAATACCCCCGCCTTTTTCTTCCTCCACCCCTACAATATCCATGGCACCCCAACCACCTTCCGTGACAGCCTTGTCAGCGCCCGGCAAGGTTCTCCTGACCGGCGGATACCTGGTCCTCGATCGCAGCTACACCGGTACTGTTTTCGCTCTTGATGCGCGCATCCACGTTGTTGTTCAACAACTGCGACGGGGTCACCGCCGAGGGGCCTCTGGGTCTGGACCGGATCACAAGGCCGCCGTTACGGGCAACGAGGCAGATTCTGTCCGACTAGAGGGATCAGGTGTTGACGAGACTGAGGCCGAGGCCGAGGACACCATCGTGGTGCGCTCGCCGCAATTCGATAATGCGATCTGGGAATACGGCATCCAGCGATGCGAGAACGGTGGAGGAGTCAAGGTGATTCAGAAAAACGATGGGTGAGTGAGAGATGGATTTCCCCGCACTTGGAAAAAGCGGACCTGCGTGGTCGCTTTCTCCTCGAGTCCTAGAGTAAAATCACTAATGTGAACCGAAATGTTAGACCGCGGAACCCGTTCGTCCAAACCTCCTTGAGCTATGCATTGACCTATATTGGCTACGTTGCCGACTCCAAGGATTTCGGCTCACTCTCCGTGACTATCCTGGCTGATAATGACTACTACTCGGAAACCGCCGCCTCCAAGGGTCCTGCGTCCCAGGGTCGGGGTCGCTTTGTCAATTTCGGTGTCCCCCTTCTCGAAGCCCACAAGACAGGATTGGGATCTTCAGCTGCCCTGGTAACTGCTCTTGTTTCCTCACTAGTGATCCACCGGACTATGCAGGCAGATGACCTCGGCGCCGGCCGCGACAAGCTCCACAATTTGGCCCAAGCCGCCCACTGTGCAGCCCAGGGCAAGGTCGGTTCTGGCTTCGACGTGGCTGCTGCCGTTTACGGATCTTGTTTGTACAAGCGCTTCTCGCCGGCCATTCTCGAGTCGGTGGGTGACGTGGGAACACCTGGATTCGACGAGCGGTTGTTTGCCGTTGTTGAGGATGCTAACCCCGAGCACCCCTGGGACACCGAGTGCGTCGATTTCGGCATGCAGCTTCCCCGCGGGATGCAGATGGTTCTATGTGATGTCGAATGTGGTTCGCAGACGCCTTCTATGGTTAAGAAGGTGTTGGCGTGGAGGAACGAAAACCGCAAGGAGGCCGATATCCTCTGGGCCAGTCTCCAGAACAACAATGAGCGTCTTCGCCAGGAGCTCAAGCGTCTGGCGCAGCACCCCGATGCTAACACGGATGGCGAGTTCTCCGAGATCCAGAACTACATTCAGCGTAGCCGTCACCATATCCGCACGATGACCCGCCGGACGGGCGTGCCCATTGAACCGAAAGTGCAGACCGAGCTGCTGGACAGACTCTCTGAAGTGGACGGAGTTATTGGAGGCGTGGTGCCCGGTGCTGGAGGATATGATGCCATTGTGTTATTGATCCGAGATGATCCCGCCGTGATTACACGATTGAACGAACAATTCGAGAATTACAAGAGCGCGGTGGAAGATGACTTTGGTGGCAAGATTGGAAATGTACGGCTGTTGGGTGTCCGGCATGGGTCTGAAGGGGTGAAGAATGAAGTGCTGGAGCAGTATGCAGGCTGGGTCTAGAATACATAATATCTAGCCTTTCCCCCCCCCCTTCCCCTTATATACTATTAAGAGGCCGACCAAGGAAGCCTGGCCTCATATTAACATACGGCCAGTGTTTCAATATTATATCCCACGATTTTTCTATTTTTTCTATTTTTCTAATGTTTCTGTCATAAATGTTTCGAAACTTGGGAATATACTCGCATACTTCCGCATCCACTAGTATGCTACTTTCTGATTGCCCTATGTACGATCATAGTGCCCCTGCATACGCAGCACGAGATCCTTTGTATTTCAAATTTTCTGAGGACCATGTACGACAGTGTTTTGATTATTCTTGATTTCTTTTTATTTTTATCTAATTTTTTCTGTTTGGTGTTTTGGTTTGGCCTGGGAAATGGCCTAGTCCAACCTTTAGGGGCAAGATGACTGGCTTTTCCATGGTTTACTGCATGCGGTGACATGGACGATTTGCCGCATACAAGACATACTACTAGTACTTACATAGTAGTAGAACTTGAAGAATCTTTCGGATTTCTGCATTTTTTTTCTTAGTAACAAACAAGTTTTGCTCTAGTTAACTATGCCCTTTTTCTTGGGAACAGCTTCTTTCCCCGGATCAGCCTTAACGCTTGGCATATAAGACTTAGCTTGAAACATTATAGAAAGTCTTCAAAATCCATTGATTTTTGTTCATTTTGAAATCATTTATTTTTATTTTTTTATTTTTTATTTTTACATTTTTACATTTTTTGTCTTTGATTTTGTTCGGGATTTGCCTACTTGAAGTACTAATACCTAGAAACGGCCTTGTCCTGCGCCGATCCCTTGACCTTTTTCTTCGTTTCGCCCCCAAAGAGAAAAAGAGAGCTTTCCAACTTTCTCCAAGAAAAAGAAAAAAAAAGCAACTCACTTTGATACTAAAGGTTCTTTTGAATCTCTAGAGTACAGGTGTTTTTTTGGAAACTAGTGAAAAACACAGAGAGAAAAAAAAAAGACTATTGTTCCGCCACGCTTAGTCTGGACTTTGGACTCTCCGACTCCTCACATCTGGAACCCAATCGGCCATTCTCCTCCAACCTTGCAACTCTCTCCTGTATATTCCCCAATTTCTTGCCATCCCCTGTTGGCAGTTGATTCCCTGTTCACAGTAAGGGAAAGTCAATTGTCACCCATCACCGGGGCCTAAAACCATGTCTTCCAACGACCAGGAGTCCGCGCCCAAAGACCACGAGTCGGGGGCTGTCACTTCTCCGCAGATTTCCCAACCGCAACAAACCCAACTCCCCGAAGCGTCTGTCCTAGTCGAAAAGCCCGTCGCTCAACCCGACTCTACTATCCCGTCAGACCATGCCCAGCCAAGCCATGTACCCTCCGTAAGCCACCCCGCAGGTGGCGAAAGCGCTACCCCCGTGGAGGCGACCACCTTGTCAGCGAACGATTCCGCGATCGCGCAGCCCCAGAGTACAGAGCAGGCTTCCACGGAGTCTGAAGAGTTGAAGTCGGGCGCGGATCTCTCGTCGGAACAGGAAGATGCTGAGGGAAAAGAGGTTGATGCTGGGCCTACCTTGCATATTACCCTGCTTTTGACAACGGGGTCGCGACACCCGTTTACCATCGATAGGCATTATTTGCAGAAGCGATCCGTCAGCGTCGAGAATCAGGATCCCTTCACTATGAGCGTGTATACGCTAAAGGAATTGATCTGGCGAGAGTGGCGATCTGGTGAGTCAACCGTTGTTTCCTCAAAGAACCGAACTTCTTATCTCCTTGGATACTTGTTTGTCCGGAGTAATACTTGTGTAAAATTGAAACTAATTGTCTCCCGTTTTTTTTTTTTTTGCTACAGACTGGGAAACTCGCCCTTCGTCTCCGAGCTCTATTCGTCTCATCTCCTTTGGTAAATTGCTGGATGACAAGTCGCCGCTCTCTGGTATGTACAATCGCTTGTTTCTTTCTCCATAAACTATTCGATATTCAGTCATACTTACGCTACTCGCAGAATCAAAATTCAACCACGATGCTCCCAATGTCGTACATATGACTGTCAAGCCGCAAGAGGTTGTCGATGAAGAGGATGCCAAGGGTGCCAAGGCGCAGTACAGCCGAGGAGATCGCGACAGCAACGATCGTAGCCCTGGTTGTCGCTGCGTGATCCTATAGGCCCACGCCACCAACATTCCAATACCCTCTCTATACTCAACCCCAGCCTCTTGCTGTATGGTATTATGGCAATGCAACTCGACCAGCCTGCCTGGATGCAGGATTTAATCACCTTGAATCTGCCGGACATGGCTCTCCTACTGTTGTTGAATGTGCGCCCTGGAAGCGGCGTTTTGGACATTTTGCTTCTTTGCCTCCCCTGTTTGAAACCTATATACCCATCCGATCCTTTTTATGCTTGTTTCTTCCTCCCCCCACCCTCTCACGCACACCAACCGCCCCGTCTCTCCTGCCTCTCTCGCCTCCGTTTTTGATGTGTCCGTTCATGTATCGTCTATCTTGGAACTTGTGTATCTACGAATCTGCCCTCGCCTTGTCGCCTTTGGATTTTGTGGTATTTTGTCATGTAAATTCTGTTTGCATCGTGATTTGGAGCTTCCTCATGGTATACACTTCAATTCTACAATTGACTTTGATTTCTCATCATCATCATCATCTACCAAGAGTTTCAACAGGGAATCTAGATCTGAGTTTAGGTGGGTCCTCGCTCTGTTATCATGCCTTTATCCACAATCTTGGAATAGATCATATGCATGCAGTAAGCATGAAACGAAATACAATATGACCTCGGGATCAATACCTAATCCTCTGGTGGACTATTCAGGTGGCGAGACATCTCCCATTCATAAACCTTTACTGACTAGTATGTACTCCCAGGTGCCCCCCAAGCGTTGAGCACACGGTTGGAGATCTATCACACATAAATCTTGATTCATTGCGCCGTGTGTAAAAATAAAACCTCTCGAACCAGCGTGTAGGGCAAACTATCGAAAAATATACCGAAGCAGATTCACAAGAACAATGTTCCCCCCTTCTCTCTCTTCTTTTCTGGGATTGGGATAGATCTTATCCTCACGCCTAGAATAGACAATCAGCTCCCCAAGATTCTTGAACCGGCGAACCGGCCTATCGCCCTGCCCCTCCCGAGCCCAGTCAATCAAATCAACAATGTTGACATACACTCCTTGGACAACCTATCCAGAGACATTCATGTTAGCCAGGTTCAAATGTTCCATTTCTCGCCTGTGTATTGAAGGAGCAAGTAATTGATCAATCGACATCACAATTACTGAGCACCATGCATGCACATACCTTTTTAGCAGCTTTGCAATCCTTAGGCAGTGGATTGATACCAACAGCTCGACAAAGAGAGTGCCACGAGTCGAGGTTTTTCTCCGATCCAAACCAAAGTCGAAGTTCCTCTGTCAACGCCTTATTGTATGCTCTGCGTGCTTGGTGATACTTGGAGTCGTCCCGGTCCCAACCATGGAAGTCTATGAGCTTTTGGAAGGAGGTAGCGGGCGAAAGCGTGCGATCGTATCTGAACGAGGGAAATCCGTTGAAAAAAAGATCTAGTGGTGTGGCAGGTGTTTCAACGTGAGATTTCGAATCTTGCATGTGCTCATCTAGGGCGCTTTGACTCTTGAAGGAACGACTGCAAAGCTCGCAGTTGAAAGTAGTAGTAGAATGTGCCGGGGAGTACTGTAGATGCTGGTCGAGGGCGTTCTGGTCTTTGAAGGAGCGAGCACAAGGTTCGCACTTGAAAGAAGCAGAATGCGCCGGGGCATCCTGTAGATGCTGGTCGAGAGCGCTCTGCTTCTTGAAGGAGCGAGCGCAAGGTTCGCACTTGAAAGAATGCGCTGGGGCATTCTGTAGATGCTGGTCGAGGGCGCTCTGATCTTTGAATGTGCGAGCACAAGGATCGCAATTGAGTGTCGAAGCGCTGGCCTCTGTGTCCTGCAGTCGTTGTTCCAATGTCTCTCTGAAAATGTAGGTGCGGCTGTAAAGCAAGTGTGTTGGTGATGTGGCATTGAGAGGCGAGTTTTTGAGATGCTCAATAAGCATCATTTGATTATCGAAAGCCTCGGTGCAAATCTCACAGATGAATGTCGGTGTGTCAACAGTAGGAGGTGTATTGTGGACTGGGGAATATGCGATGTGTTGTTGCAGGGATTCCTCAGAGACAAATGGTCGACTGCATGGGGGGCAGAATGCCATGATGGCTAGAGGAGCAGTGGGATAAATGGAAACTGTGAAGCCGGATCAGGGTAGAAAAGGAAATAAGAAATGGAGGGGATATGCATGCTTTTCTAGATATCTGTGTGGACCTGCTAGTACTGATACCAGGGTATACTATACCAGATAGCATCGCCAAGGCATTTTTATTAGCAGGCTGAATCGAAATGGCGAGGAAGAGAAGTGAAAGGATATGACCCAAAGGACAATAGGCGCAGATTGATGATGTGGGGTTAGGTTGATTTGTACAACCCAGTCAGCCTTGCTCAGCCTATGTCCTGGATGTGTGGCTTTGATGAGTTGTTCGAACATAGTGGCAAGCGTACTAGTACTTTGCTGCATGTACATATGTAAGTAGCAAACAAAAAGCACCATATTGATGAGAACGGTGCCTATGTTTGTAGGAGGTGTTTCATCCTATAAGGAAGTTAGTGCATGAGCAAAAAAAGCAGGTTGTACCCCTCGATCTTACAAAAGTGCGGCGGGGCTACTTGGAACCTCACAGTCGAGTGGCAGGGGGTTCTCTCTTGCTGATACTGACTCTGGAGCATACCCGACCGTAAGTATTGTCCCAATCCACTTTTTAGTAGTCACCCCAACAACCACTCCATATTCTTTTAAAAGTGGTTTTATTCTAATTCACATAGCTGAAAAAGTATTTTAGAAGGATAATTTAGCTATATATACTATATTAGTAACGAGAGATTGGGTTTGAAGTCTATAGAATACACGTCAAAGATTGGCCTACACACTCACCAGATCGTGACCTAATTGAGCCGGTGTAGCTATATGTAGTTAAAGCTTAAGCATTTCCAGCTATATACAGAGGCTATTAAGATAGGTCGATTGGGGGCAGATTGGGCCTATTTTAAGGCCTGTATAACGGAAGCTTGGTGGGCTACTCCTGAAGAGCAAATTGATGGTCTAATTACCAGCATGCCGAGGCGATTAGCGGCAGTATTGCGCGCCCGGGGCTATTGTACACGTTATTAGATATCAATTCAAGTGGATCTTATTCTGTGTGATCTGAAGTTTATATGTATATAAATTATATTATGTATATATTTTATATAAATTGGTGGTGCAATATAGCATATAATAGATATATATATTTGATGGTGTGGGGCTAAATTTAAAATTGGGACAATACATATGAGTAGGTACTGTATTGCGAACTGATTCACCCTTGTCAGAAAGAAGCTTTGATCGCAAGCGGAGAAGTCTGGTAGTATTCATTCCCACAAATAACACTCATTCCCGACTAGTTCACTGATTTGACCTATGAGCCGCATAATTGCGCAGATGGGAACTCAATGCTTCCTGGTTGACGAAACTTCGATTGCAGGGAAAGCAATTAAATGTCAGCGGCCTGTGGGCCGAAGAATAGAACAAGTGGCCATCCAGAGCAGGCTGGCTTGCAAACTCTCGGTCGCACTCATCACAATAAAACATCGGCCTGTGGGCTGAAGAGTATAGCAAATGGCTATCCAGGGCAGGTTGGCTTACAAACTCTCTGTCGCACTCATCACAGTAGAATATTGGCCTATGGGCCGAAGAGTAGAGCAGATGGCTGTCCAGGGCAGATTGGCTCGCAAACTCTCTGTCGCACTCATCACAGTAGAATATTGACCTATGGGCCGAAGAGTAGAGCAGATGGCTGTCCAGGGCAGATTGGCTCGCAAACTGTCTATCACAGTCATAGCAGATATAAGTAAGGGCATCATCGCTGATAAATGAGCGGCTGCCGACACCACTTGAACGTCTTGCAACACTCGGAGATGCATGACTGACGGGTGAGAGATTGGGGACTGGATTTCTTGCAACACTCGGAGATGCATGACTGACGGGTGAGAGATCGGGGACTGGGTTTCTTGCAACACTCGGAGATGCATGACTGACGGGTGAGAGATTGGGGACTGGATTTCTTGCAACACTCGGAGATGCATGACTGACGGGTGAGAGATCGGGGACTGAGTTTCTTGTAATGGCCAAAGGCTTCATATCGGTGGGAGGTGTAGGAGCTCGTTTAGGATCAATAGTATCCAAAGGATTGGTATTAGTTCGCCCCGGATGGGCAAACACCGTACCACAGAAGCTACATTTGAATAGGTCCGAAATGTGCTGCTGAAGTGCCTTTTCGGATGCAAAAGTTCGACCGCAAGTACACGCCATAATGGGTAGGGAGGAGGGGGACGAAGGGAGAGGGAGAGGGCAGGCAGAGGGAGAGAGCAGGGAGAGAGAGAGGGCAGGGAAGGGAAGGGAAGACATGGGAAGGGAAGACATGGGAAGGGAAGACATGGGAGGGGAAGGCATGGGAGGGGAAGGCATGGGAGGGGAAGACATGGGAAGGGAAAACATAGGAGGAAAGAAGAGGAAATTTAACCTTTATAGTATTGACTAGTACTAGTAAGTTAGCAATTGCTCTATGGAGATAGAGAGAGAACAGTAGCTGTCAGTATCATAAAGGAATCAAGCAACAAGTTGGATAGCGTAAAAGCACTGCTTATAGGTAACACTTCTCTCAGACAATGCATTTACTATGTCGAATCAAAGGTGAAGCCGTAGAGATTGATTATGAGGGGGAAAAGATAGATTGATTGGGGTAGATCATGTTATCGCTAGTACGACACAAAAATGATGCATCTACTTGGGTAATCTATATCTGTTATGGGCGTGAATTGGGCGTGGGAAGAGGGGATAGGTTGTAGGACTAGTTGAACAAGTCGATCAAGAATAAAGTAAGCCAAAGAAAAGGAAGCCATGAGATCCATCAAATTTAATCATAATTAGATTTAGTGGAATTCCATCTTCAGTCGCTTCTCCATCTCATCGTGGAAAGTAGGTGGCTCTCGGAACTCGTCACCTGGTAGCATCCAAAGTTAGCAAAAAGAAAAAAAGAGCACAAATCAAAGGCAGGATGTATGCCTGTAGACTGGACATACCATGGAAGATATCCTCCCAAGCAACTTCCGTATCCCGACCTCCAATTGACAAGATATCCTCGTGGATATTGCCACCCTTCATACCTCCAAGCACAGCAGGTCGGAAGGATCCATCACGGACAATCTTCAGTTCCATTCCCCGGCGGACGGGCTCAGCAATGCCATATGCCCGGCGAAGGGACTCCATCTTCATTGCATCTTGGGTTGCGCGCCAGGCGAGCAGGCGGGCTTCGAGCGGGTGTGTGGAAGAGGGGATCTCACTGGCGGTGGGGTGGTTGGTAGAGGAGGCATGAGCGGTAGCGGGGAGAGTAATCTTGTTACGGAGGGTGTCGGGAAGACCAGGCGCTGAGGGGGCACCCTTTGAGGGACGAGTGTGACGGGTTGTAGTGTTGGTGACGTTGTTGGAGTAACCAGATGGGGGTGCAACACGGAGAGACTGGGGAATCCGGTTAGTTAATTTGACCCGAATATTGTATTGAGGTTTGATGCATTTTGCCGAATCACTCAACCCCAGTACTAGAAAGCAACACGGGGACTGATGATATAGCATGGCCATCACTAGCGTCGCCCGGGAATGGGCCTGGGATGATATCGGAGTCGGAGCTTGGTAACATACCATTATGACGGATGTTCGATTAATCTTTTGCAAGATAAGTCAGAGGCTGTGAACCTGTAAAGCTTGGTTTTTTTGATAGGGTGTTGAAGACAAAGAAGAAGATCAAGAAATCAAGAGGATGACAGCAGTTGCGGAGGACGTCAGGCAGAGAAGCAGCAGCGCGTCCAGCTCCTCCGGTGTGGCACATAAACCAAAGACGCAGCGATCCATGAGGTCACGTGCCACGATCCCAATCGAACATTTCTAGGGACTCCAACAGCCGCATCATCACGAAGTCCAAACACCCCACAATGCCTCAATTAATCTCGCCTCTGGCCCTCCGGGCCCTGCGGACTCTTGTCCAGCGCCCAGCTATTTCATCAACACCCCTCCGCACCCTCGCCACTTCCACCAACGCCTTCCGTGCCCAGCCCGCGCTCACCTCCCGCTTCAACTTCCAGCCCGTTTTCCGCACTCAAACGGCTCTGACCCTGTCAGCCACTGCCCGTCGACAATTCTCCAGCTCCCCGATTATCCAGGCGACATACAACCAAGTCCGTCGTGGCTGTCGACAGGGTCAGCGCGCGCGCCGTGGACGTTCGCCCGCGCTCAAGGACCACCCTTCATTGAAGGGTGTGTGCCTGAAGACCGGTGTCACAAAGCCCAAGAAGCCTAATTCTGGAGAGCGAAAAATTGCTCGTGTGCGCTTGAGTACTGGCAAGGTCATTAGTGCTATTATTCCCGGAGAAGGTATGTATTTGAAGATGCCTGATATTGGAGTTTGCGATTGCGATTATTTCTTTGAATTGGATACTGATTCTGGGGGATTTTTATAGGACACAATATCCAACAGCACAGTGTCGTTCAGGTTCGTGGTGGCAGAGCTCAGGATTGTCCTGGTGTGAAGTACCACTTGGTTCGTGGTGCGATGGATCTGGGTGGTGTTGGAAGCCGGAACTCCAGCCGCTCCAAGTATGGAACGAAGAAGCCCAAGAGCAACTAGATTGGTTGATACACCATCTGGGATCTGGCTTGATATAAGATGCTAGAGCAGCAGGTCAGGAATCATGTTGCTCTATCTTCTTTTCTGCGGTGCTTTCTATAAGCAAGGCCATTGAATGCCTTCGTTTTTGCAGCACTGTGGTTTTCCCTTTCTTTTTGCCTTGTATTATTTGCCAAGCATAGGCGATATGTTATTTATTGGATCGCATGTATCATTACCTAGAATAGGAAGCAGTTATTTCAAGTTTGTTTATCATCAAATTCTGGGAATTGCCTAAGAAGTCCTGATTACATTGGGTTTCTTACGTATGATATTGAGATTAAGTATAGGATATCAGCATCAATTGATTGTATAAAGTTGCTACATAATGTACTAAATCCATACTACTAGATATTATCATAATTCTCCTCAAGTGCTGGAAGACTCTCCACACTTTGACTGACCTTGCACACATGTGTGTATTTCTCACCATACTCTGTACTATGTATTTAGGTAAAGCTTGGTTTATGACCTAGTACAACTGGAGCTTATTCCTTTCGTATTTTTTTGGTATTTTCATCCCCCAGGAACGTATAAAAATGTTTTAGATACAATCATTCTCAGACTCAATGTACTGATATAGTAAAAACGTTGCTCATCCTGGGAAATAGTTCTCCGACCATGCATCCAATACTTCAGGGAACAGATAAAGGCGCCATCGAGAATCCAAATATAAAATATGGCAAAAAATGGAAGTTAAATCGAGATATGGATACCCGTCTGTAATGGCAGCGCAAAGGAAAATAAAAGTAGAGAGCCTCAAGAGAGAAGTGAAGAACAGAATGTTGGGTCTTCCAGGTCAAGCCTAGAATAGGGCCGCGATTTACCACTCACGGAGTGGTAATGGGTTTATGTGGGTCAACGGCGGACAATACCAACGACAGATTTGGCGATGAATTTGATTCGAACCAACAACCAATATCGCACGTCGCGATAAAGTGTGACAACAAGTACGCCAACACCCAACAAAAAGAGTGCCCAATGGCCAAGAGCCGAAAGTCATTGCTGCTTATCCCAGCCATCTGGCTTCTGCAAATTGTTCACGTCGAACCACCGTTTTGTGCATGAGTAACCCGCCCAATCAAAGTTCTCGCTCGGCTTGCAGTGGCAGCGAAGATCCAGCCTCGTTTTCTCGCTGCTGGGGCAATGGGTGAATGGAACATGGTAGTAGGCAATTTCATTCCAGAAATGGATTTCATCCGCCTTGAGCATGAGCGAGGCAGCAATCGAGTGGACCGGTGCATCGCCCCATCTTTCGTAGAAGAAGCCACCATCGTGATCCAGGCTGGTGAAATAGTCAATATATTGGTCGGACCGCAACCATTCCAGGCTGCCAATCTCAAAGTTGGACCACTAAATTCAAGTTAGAAACCATGTTGCAAGATCAAATAAGAGCAGATTAGAAGGTAAAAGGGTTGAAAGACGTACGAAGTGGCACTTGTTATAGCTCTCACCGCCGTCCTCGCTGATGAACTCCATGGCGTTACCCTCCGCGATATGCTCCGGGTGGTTCTTCATGAAGCCCTTCACACTATCCCACAGGGTGGGAATGGTTTCGTAGTACTCCAGCAGACTAATAACAAAGCTGTATTTCTTGTTGTTTTCCTTCATGAATCGGAATGGGTCTCCGGGGACATCGCAGAAGAGCTCAATGCTGGGCTCTACACGCCAGTAGTACTCGTAGTTCATCATCAACTCGTGACGGAAGAAGAATCCAGACTCGTAGCGGCACATGTGGCGATAGCTCTCCGAGTCACCGTAGATGATCTTCTTGCGACCCATCTCCAGGCGAGCTGCGCGCGCCTTGTCCTCGTCAATCCATTCAGGGTATGACCAGTGCTCCTTAGGAATGACACCATAGTGGGTTGTACCAGATACCAGTGCGGTCGTAAGCTTCTTAAATTCGTCGTCAAACTCGTTATCGTTCAAGAATACCCAGTCATAGTGGAAGTTGCGGTTGAATCGGTCCTCGACGGTGCGGATGGACTTGGCGATTTCCCAAATGTCGGCGTTACGGGCGAGAGTAACAAAGGTGGCGTTCACCCTTTCCGAGGTTTCAGAGACGGGGGTCTGGGGCTTTTCCTCCTTGAACTCTTCGTAGGAAGGAGAGGGTGGGGCAAATGAGGAGCTAGTTGGAATTTCGAGAGAGGATCGGGAGACGAGATAGAAGAATGTCACTCCCTAGGGTTGATTATTAGTTTGGTGTTAAATTCGATTTCTCAATGTTGCTTTACAGGCTGCAATGAGCATGCCAGAAGAGTGATAGAGAGGACATACGACCAAGGCGAACACCAGGTATCGCATATAACGCGCCGAGACAGACATGGTGGCGAAGGGTTAGGTGCCTTTGAAGGCAGGCAGAAACGAGTGAGTGTGACAGAGTTGATCAGGCCAGCAGAATCGGGGAAGGCCCACGTCAAAGAGATCCCATGTGCAGGGAAAGTAGGATGAATAAAAGAGAGGGGGATAGGAAGAGAAGATTCCCGTAAAAAGTAAAAGAAAACGGTTAAGGGGGAAGAGTTGACAGGGTCTGGATTCGGAGAGGCCGCGCAATGACAATGCCTGCTAATTAAGATGGCGAACAACCGCTTTCAGCCGCGTAACATTTCACCAAGAATTTCAGGGGACACATGAATTGCTGTTTAATAAAAAAATTTAAAAAATATAATAAAAAATCATAGCCTTGTCTTAATCTGCCGAGCACCCTGAAATGAACAAATCCACTTCTTTCTAGCCGTGCCGATCTATAGAGAAGGAATGAATGGACCACGGAAGCAAATTAAACCGGGGACTTTGGCTTTGCTGTTTCACCTCTGGAGCCACATATTACGAGGAAATGATACTGTACTGCTGGTACACGGAATATTACTTAGAAGCCGAGGTGAAAATGCTCCATAAACAGTGAAAAGCAATTTGAGCCTCATCAACTGAATTGAACTTGATATGATGATATATCCCCCACTTTCAATTGTTTATCAACGTGGAACCTGAAACTAAACTTGTACGCTGATCGCCGCATGGATTTGGCAAGTTGATGCCTGAGACTTGAGGCACCCGCACTTCCCTGAACTTCCCAGCTTTACTTCATCTCATTGGAAATCTTTCCCCACCATCACCACCTTTATCTCTCCTTCTTCCCCCGCCCACCTCTTCTCACCTATTGACCAAAGATGTCTTTCTTTGGCTTCAATACCGCCCTGCCGAGGGACCAGGACCCTGGTCCCTCTGGCTCCCGCGGTTTCTTCGAGAACCCGGATCCCTTCGCGGAGGTTGCCCGGGCTTCGGCGCTTGAAGATGACGACGCGTGAGAACTCCTCTGACCCTGGGATAGCGATCTGTATTTTGGAGTTTTAATTGACTCTCTTCTAGAATTGACTTCGAGGACACCTACGATGGCCTTGGCGACCGACTTGACGACGACCAGGATGAGTTCAACGACGACACCTTTGGCGGCGGTGGCGGAGATAATACCAGTGGAGGAGCTGTCGGCAGAGACTTTGACTTCTTTGGTCGAACTGCTCAGGTTGCCGATGCAATTGGCGAGGAGCACATCCGATACAGCTTGCAGAACCCCCATGCTGCTCCCCCCGCCCCGCTAGATGCCCACGTAGCTGCCCAGCCTGTTGCCGAACCGACCACCAGGCGCACTGGCTACGAGAAGTATTCGGACCCTGGATATATCCCGGATCTTCAGGCCAAATCGAGCGTGTGGGGTGTCTCGCAGAAGAAGCCAGAATCGAGTCCAGCTCTGATGCACTCGATGCCCATCATGCCCACCATGCCAGTTGTCCCTAGCCGAAAGATGATGATGAGCTTGGAGGAGGTGGAAGCACAGATGCGCAGTCGAGGCCAGGCTTTCGGGCCTATTCCCACTCAGCCAATTCATCAGCAGATGCCCGATTCATCCTATCTGCGCCACCCGCAGGACTTCCCGACTCTGCCTGATGGATTCCCTACCAATATCCCCCCGGAAATTCTCCGAGCGCAGCTTGAAAAGGGCGGACTACCCCCGCATATGTCACACCCTCCACCGGGTATCCAGGAACTCTACGGAGGTCCTGGTCCCGCACCTGGCGCACCCCTGCAGCATCTGCAGAACAACCTTCCTCCCCAAAACCTGCCACCTCAAGGGCCTCGCCATGCGGGTCCACCCCCCGCCCAGCGGCAACAGCAGATGCCACCCCCACCTTCTCGGGGCCCCAACGGTGGACTGCCGGTGATCACTAACCCGCAACAGCTGGTGCACCTTACCGAGGAGCAACGTAACACTTACCTGATGGAGGACGCCAAGCGGGCGAAGCGCAATCACAAGATCTTCCTCTTATCTCGCGGCAATGGATTGATGACACCTCAGGATAAGAACTTCATCACCCGCATTCAACTCCAGCAGCTTGTGGCTGCGGCTGGCAATGTCGCCGACTCCGATCCTGAAGCCGTGCTTGCCGAGGACTTTTACTATCAAGTTTATAGCCAGATTCGTGGCGCCCCACGCCAGCACCCCCACCAACCTTTAGGTCACTTCGCTCAGACTTACCTCCTCCAAACTGGCAACCGTATTGGAGGGCATGGCAACCGCCGTGCGTTCCAGGGAGCGGATAACCACATGCAGCGCATGCAGCAGCAAGTGCAGCGTGCCGTCGAGGCAGCCAAGGCAAAGCCGAAGAACAAGCAACTCATCATTGAAGGCAGTCTGGGCAAGATCTCTTTCAGCAACGCCAAGGCTCCGAAGCCGATGCTGAACCTCAAACGACCCGATAGCTCGGAAGGCCCTCGGCCGAAGAAGTTGCAATCGGACCTGAGCACTAGTGATCGGAAATCTCTTCTGGGTAACATTGAAGCTGTCTACGACGCTTTGATGTCGATGGAGGACATGGAACGCACTATGCCACCACCGCCCGAGGAGGGCGACACAGAGGCCATTCAGGAGCACATGGAATGGCGACAGCAGGTTCAGAAACTCAATCAGAAGTTGTGGCAAGCACTCAAGGTCATGGAACCCATTGTGCCCAACGCAACCACTCCCCACCCGTTCATTGCATTCTTGTCCTACCCGAAGGGTAAGAAGGCCATCCCTCGTATCTTCCGCCACATTGATCAAGAGCAACGGGTCACCATTCTCACCATGATTGTGGTGCACTTGGACAGCTTGGACGTTGTTCGTCTTGCACAACACGCGGGACCTGGCGATGCGCAGTTGCCTGTCGCAGTGCGTGAAGCCATTGATCTCTTCTCACTGGCTGTCATGCCGAGCTTGCTGGGCTACGTCAATGAAGCCCCCTTCAACATCATCATTGGTCTTTTGGGTCTGGTGATTGCTCAAACCCAAGCCATCTCCGTGGCTCGCACCAAGACTGGTCTGGGTATCCTGACCATGTTGCTCAGTCGGGCCGAGATCGTCAAGGAGGCTGGCCAGGCGTCCGAGCGCGATTGGCAGCAGTGGGTGGAGAAGTTCAATGTTCTGTTTGATATGTTGGAGCCTGGCCTGGTACATATCTTCCCTGGGTCCATCAACTCTGGTGACGATATGTACGTGTGGCAATTCCTAGCCGCCGTGGGTATTGGTGCCAGCCCTGAGCAACAGCAGCGTTTGGTGATTGCTGTCAAGTGAGTAAAACCCCGATAGATACTTGACCTGATGTTTAGATCTGGATGCTGACCATAAATTTTTCTTTTTTTTCAGGGATCGTGTCATGGAAACCGTTGGCTACAGCAAGACTCTCCCCGCCGATATGGCTAGCCAAAGACTGGGCAATGTCAACCTGTTCATGCGGGCTATTGGTTTGGACGTGGAACTTCTTGGTTAAAATATGGGTCTGCTTAACCAATCTTTGGGGGGAGGCTTCTCTCCTCCTGCCATGCGTGATGAGCCGATATATCATGTCTTCTTCTCTCTCCGCATATCAGGCAAATCCCATGCCCATCCGTGCCCCAGCTCATTTCTGATGAAATGAGCGTCAACCCCGAGGCCTTCCACACATATTAATGTGGACATGAATTTATGATTATTGAACCTTACGGGCACCTTGGGGACCGCTGAAAATGCAAACCCTCACGTGCTGGCCTCGGGGACCCAGGACATAAAGAGGGTTATCTTCCAACCTCAGCACTGTAGCTTGACCCGACTATTTCTCAGGGTATTTCAGGGAAGTTTTGTCCCTGTGCTGAAGCACTTGTGTTTTTATTCTTGGCTTTGTTTTTTCTTTTCTTTTCTTCTGCTCATACCAATTCATTTCCAAATTTCTTTCATTTTTTCCGTGGGGCAGATTTCCTGGGATGTGGAATCTGCTATTGTTGAGTTTTACGACGATTATGCAATGAGAGTGCGGTGGGTACATACAAGTCTACGTAAAGGTCCAAGGTCATAATTCAAATGTTATGTATTTTAACATTTGAAGAAATAATTGCTATGAATATATAATGTTGAAAGAAAGTGAGTGTATATCTGGAGGCGAACATTTACCGAGTGGATTTAACATAAGGTCCCGCTATTCCAATGAATCGCAGTGCCATGGACCCTGGGCCCCGGGCGATTATCTGATTCGATAGTACCTTGGCGCTTTGAGTGGAGCATTTCCAAACGGGGTTGCCGCTTCGGTCCAAATGCACTGAAATGGACTGGAATAGACTGAAATAGACTGAAATGGCCAGTTGTCATTAAATTAGTATCAAGTATTAATGCAGGTCTCAGGTCTCGCCTACGCTTTCCGTCGTCTATCATGACCCAAACGGAGAAATACGGGTTTGAAATTGCTTGGTTTCGGCTTGGTGGCGCTATAATACACCGCCATGGATGATCCTTGCGATCTACAAAAAAAAAATCAAGAACAGAAAAAAAAATAAAAGAAAAAAGAAACAAAGCCGGTTGCATTCAGCCGGATTGGATTGTATTCCAATATCAACAAGATGTCAATTATTTCAAGTGTTTTTTGAAAAAAAGATATTAGGATGAGAGATATGTAAAAGGGAATTATTTAAAAGTATTGAAAAGAATTCAAATATAAATAAGTTAAAATAAGTTACTGGAATTGAATTGAAAGTCTAGAATCTAAATTTATATAACAAAAATCCCGTGTGATGGCGATAGACATTGGCGGCGGTGATTATTACCCGGCTGATTCGAGTGGCGGGATTTCCCCTTAAATGCCTTTCCCCTCTCCACGTAACCTTCTTCCGTCTTCCACCTTCAATTTACTCTCCCAAACTCCTCAAAATATCCTTGTGAATCATTTCATTATGCCTACCGGTGCTGTTCTCGTTGCTGGGTAAGTGATTTCCAAATCCTCAATTTGACCCCACCCATTGCGATCGCAACTAACCCCGCCGCAATAGTGGTACTGGCTACATTGGCTCGTTCACCACCTTGGCCCTGCTCGAGGCCGGTTACAAGGTTGTTGTCGCTGATAACCTCTACAACTCCTCCGTCGAGGCTCTGTCCCGAATTGAGTTGATCTGTGGCAAGAAGCCCCAGTTCTACAAGCTCGATGTTACCCACGACAATGCCTTCGACCAGGTCTTCCAGGACCACCCCGACATTGACAGCGTCATTCACTTTGCTGCCTTGAAGGTATGAATACCATCTTCACTAGCATCAATGCAAGAGATCTACAACATCTCACTAAGAACCGCAATGCTAACTGCGCTCCCTGAAATATAGGCTGTCGGCGAGTCTGGCGAGAAGCCCCTCGACTACTACCACACCAACGTCTACGGCTCCGTCAACCTTCTCCGCGCCATGGTCAAGTACAATGTCTACAACATTGTCTTCTCTAGCTCCGCCACCGTCTACGGCGATGCCACCCGTTTCCCTAACATGATCCCCATCCCCGAAGAGTGCCCTCTCGGCCCCACCAACCCTTACGGAAACACCAAGCTCTCCGTCGAGTTTGCCATCGCCGACACCATCAACGCTCAGCGCAACAATGCCACCAAGGCCGGAAACGAGGCCGAGGCCAAGAAGTGGAACGGCGCTCTCCTGCGCTACTTCAACCCCGCTGGTGCCCACCCCACAGGTATCATGGGTGAGGACCCCCAGGGTGTCCCCTACAACCTGCTGCCCCTCCTGGCCCAGGTTGCCACCGGCAAGCGCGAGAAGCTTGCTGTCTTCGGCGACGACTACGCCTCCCACGACGGCACTGCCATCCGTGATTACATCCACATCCTCGACTTGGCTGACGGCCACTTGAAGGCCCTCAACTACCTCCGTGAGCACAGCCCCGGTGTTCGCGCTTGGAACTTGGGTACCGGTCGTGGCTCTACCGTTTACGAGATGATCCGCGCTTTCTCCACTGCCGTTGGCCGTGACCTTCCTTACGAGGTTACCCCCCGCCGTGATGGTGATGTCTTGAACTTGACTGCCAATGCTAAGCGGGCCGAGACTGAGCTTGGCTGGAAGCCCACCCACACTCTCGAGCAGGCTTGTGAGGACCTGTGGCGCTGGACTGAGAACAACCCTGAGGGATACCGTCAGCAGCCGCCGGCCGAGCTGTTGGCTCAGCTGAAGAAGTGAATAGTGTGATTTAATGGCGGATATCAACATGGTTGACCATAGTCAATACATATATGTTAGCGTAGAACTTTACTAGAATACATGAAACGAATCTCCTTTTTCTAAATTGTTCTTTTGCGTACTAAACATTTTAAGTTGTTTGCATATGTACTTCGGACCGTACTACATACTATTTTTACACGCAGCGAACACCTGCATGATTACTACTTACTATCCTTGAGGGCCATTGTTTCAAATGGTATGCATACCAACCTTAATGAATAAGGAAATTTTTTCTTTTGTATTCCCTCGGAAAGATGTCTAGTATAGTGTATATGCGAAGAACCCAGAATCCAAACCGCATGCATGCCGCTCTATATAACCTTCAAGTTGAAACCACCGCTTTTCCCGCTTATTTAGTCTTCTTATTCCGTCTGGACCCAGGAGTCTGCGCCTTTGCCGAAGCAGTCTCCTTGCGAGTCTCCTTTTCCTTGGTAGACTCCTTCTCCTTCTTCTCCGCCGCTCTCACCAAAGCACTCTCCCTCTCAGCCTCCTCAATCTGCTTCTCACTGAACTCCCACAGTCGCTTGCCAACATCCTCATCCCGCACATCCGTGCGTGCAACATCCATCTCCCGACACTCCTTGATAAACCATCCACCAGCACCACGGCCATACGACTCCTCCATAGCAGCATACAGAACGCTCTGTGCACCCTGGTTCGGCGACTTGAGAACCAACCACCAAAACGGCCAAGTAATCAAGTAAAGCATCAAGCCCCAAAGCGAACCACCAGTCATCCAGCGCCGAGTCCCAGGCGTCCGCGAATGACCGGGATCCACAACCAGAACTCGAGTACAAGCCGGCAGACCATCTGGTCGCGCAATCGAGTTCAAATGCCTCTGGAACGAGTACGCAAAGTTCATAAGCGAGAACTTGCTCAGCGCATAAATACCCTTGGGCGCGGCGGTGATAACCCTCTTTTTATCCTTCGACATAAAGGAACCGGTCATGCCGCGCTTCACTCGCTCCAACTCGAACTTCGCCCCGATATATCCGGAGCACGTGGTGAAGATCACGCGCACATCCCGGTGCGCGGGCTGAGCCCGCAGCGCCGGACTGAGTATGCTGAGGAGATGGAAGTTGGCGAGGTAGTTGACTTGCCACTCCTCGTCAATGCCGTCGATTGTGTTCTTTTTCGCGGATGCGGGGACGGCCACACCGCCGCATAGGATGATGGCGTCCAGACGGCGGGGCTCGGTATTGTCGATCCACTTTGTAGCGAATGTGCGGACGGAGTGTAGGGAGGAGAGATCGACTTGCTCGGCAAAAATGTTCTGGTTGCCTGTGCTTTTGCGGATGTCGTCGATGAATTCGACTACGAAGAGGTCCGAGGGTGGTTGGCGGGTTAGAAGGATGATTTGGGCGCCGCGCGCTGCTAGTCCTTGGACCACTTCGGCGCCTATACCGGATGTTCCGCCCTGTCAGGTGGTTGTAGTTAGTGTTTTGATTCTTTGTGCGTAGGTGATTTGGTAGGAGGGGAATTGTAGTACCGTTATCATCACTCTTCTAGAGTGCATGAGTCGCTCGGAGGTGTTGCGGGCTCCGCCGAAGTAATACTTCAGCGCGGCGAGGAGGATGATCCATGGTGCGAATTTTAGGATTGGCCAGGCATACGGAATGGATGAGATGCCCGACGAGATTGCCTGGGCAAGGATTGGGATAGGCATGCTGGGAGGGAGGGAATTGGGAGGAAGAGTAGGAAGGGCAAAGAAAAGTGGTCTAGCTGAGGAAGCGTGTACGTATGGCAGCTTATCGAATCGTTATCGCTATCGATAAGAATGTCTTATCGCCACAGAACATTCTATTCTTGGAATATCTTCTTCCATACATACAATTCAAGCTTGCTTGTCTCTTAACTCGACTGGGTGCTTATTCCCCAGCGCAGTGCGCCATGTCTCAAGACTACGACGATGAAGACTATTACCTCCCACTAGAAGATCAGCGCGTCTTTGGCGCTGGAATCCGCCGCAAAAGAGTGCCTTTCGTGCGCTCGGGAGAGTTGAATACTACTACCACGCCAGGCTCATCTTCGATCACTGGCACAAATATCGCTGATGCATACCTCTCGATCGTCCTCAAGCAAAACAATACCTCAAATACTTCACCATCAACACCTACGAATACAAATCCCTCTGACGAACCCATCCCGCCACCCCGAACAACTCATTCCGCCCCGCCATCAACAGAGACAAAATCTCCCGCGCCTCCGGATATTATAGAGTTTCGCCCAAAAGATCCTGAACAAGGGCTCTGCGAAGTATGCAGCCTTCCCCTCTCAGATCCACAACAGTCTCAGACAACACCAGCGTTCACCCGTCCCCACGAAGCCTCCCTGGCTCATCAAGTCTGTCTCAAACACTCACACCCACCCAGCCACCTCGACCGTACACGTGCAGGAATGCGCTACCTCTCGACTTATGGCTGGGACCCGGATAGCCGACTCGGTCTCGGCGCGCCGGGGCGGGAAGGTATCCGGGAGCCGATAAAGGGCCGCATCAAGCATGATACGGCGGGGCTGGGGTCGGGACTGGATAAAGATGGAGATCCGATCAAGGTTCCTGTTGTAGTGAAGAGCAAGGTTGTTAAGTTGAACCCGAAGGAGATGAAAAAGCAGGAGGCTGAGGCGAAGAGGAGGGGCGAAAAGATGAGGAATTTGTTCTTCCAGAGTGATGAGGTTTTGAAGTACCTCGGGGAGAGTGCCTAAGACACTCTCTTACATCTGATGTCTTCAAAGGTTGTTGTTCCTTACTGCCGGTATTTTAGAAATATCTGGTTTGGCTGAGCCTGTTTCTGTCATTGGCATTTCTACGATTATGATACCCTATATATAATATACTTACATGGATTGGAAACATTAAAAGAACTGCTGGATTCTAAGTCTGGTAAAGCTTGCTTAAAATGTACTGCAAGTCTTCTGCACTAAGATTTCTCCTTATCCTCAACATACATCAATAAGAATCTACAAACAGTAAATTTCATGACCGAGGCTAGAACAGAGCTCCCGAAAAGATGGTATCACAACAGCGCTTGAATGGAGGCACATCGCACAGCATAGAGATGCGACAGGAAGAAATAGGAGACCATCTGACTGAGCCAAAAAAAAAAAAAAAACTTAGAAGAATCGGTATTTCTTATCCTTCTTGTCCTTATCCTTATCCTTCTTCTCCTTGTCCTTCTTGAGTACTTTGCTGCTAGATGAGGGGGGCGGTGTTCCATTGGAAGTGTTCTTCAGAGACATGTTTGACATTTGCGCCGTGGGCGGAGCGGGCGAGCTTGCAGTCGAAATAGGCTTTTTGTTCTGTGCTTGTGCTGCTGGAGCAGGCGGCGATTCACGCTCGAAAAGATGAGCCGGTGCAGTAGGCTTCGGTCGCTCAGCAGGAATATCCAGCCGGCGTTTGTCGACGGTGAGATCACCTACTTGGCGGATGAACAGGGTCGGGGTGAGCATGTGTGTCGTAGCGAGAAAGACATCTCGGTTGTATGCCTGAGAGATTTCATAGCAGGCGCGAGACTCGGAATATGTAGCACCACCAGCCATGAAGACGATGATACGTTGGCGGGGTTGGTCAACACTCCGCGTGCGGGCCCAGGTGGGCTTGGCGCTTCGCAAAGATGTTTGTTGTGAAAGCATGTCCTGTGCGGCCATACTGCCATCGGTATCGGTATGGGGCCGGGTGAATGGGAAGGTGGCGGGGTCCAATGAGCCCCGGATCTGTTCTTCGAGCATTTGCTTGATCGCTAGCTCGTACCGTGACAAGCTGATCTCTTCCCCCTCTGGGGCTGGGGCACACCGATTGAATAGAGGTTGTACTTGGGGTTTATCGTCTTTCAATGGCTTTTCTACCCGTACACCCAGGAACTCAAGGTTTGCAATGGAATCCCCGTTGCGTCCTGGTAAGTCTGAATGCGCCATGAGTTTTCGGATATCCCCGCCTAGAAGACCATTACGGTACATGATGTACAGCAGTATCAGTCGAAGTCGGTCAGTATGGCTGACCTGGTCATCATCGAGTAACTGAACGAGTTGCGCTGCCAGGTTCTTTGCCTTCTTGTAATTTTCATCAAGGCCAGTAGCAAACGATTGCTCGATGGAGCTGACCTCCGGCAATTTGTTTTTCTGGAAGTGTTTCATGCACTCTTCTGCCATGTTAAGGTGCAAGGTGTAAGCATCCTTACCCTCTGTGAACTCGGTTAATCCTCCCAGCATATCCTTGATTGTGTTCACACTCGTTTTGTCGTTACTGCGAAGACTATTGTCAGCTTGACTAATTGATGGAAATTGAGCACTAATCATCACTTGGACACTCACTCCTCGGCAAATTGTGGGTTGGCAGCTCTGAACTTGGCGAAATCCTCTCCAAGCTTTCCAAGTAGGTCCTTCATGTGCATATGTCTATATGACACCCACACTTTATCATGTTCTCCAATCTCCATGTCCTTTTTTTCTTCATTATGTTCGCCTTCATGGAGCACGGTTTGGTAGGTGACCTTGTCCCCATCTTTGATTGGAAGTAAATCATGAACCATAGCCTGGAAGGTGAACTCGTGAAGAAGAGGAGCGACAGTGTCAACGGATCGGTCCACGATGAGCAAAACACCCCGAGGTCGATTGGTTTGTGGCGGAAAGTCACGTTGGAATTGGGCGAACTGATCTAATTCATTTTGGACAAATCGCGCTAAATGGGAGCAAAGGACGGCAGCTTCGTGGGCAGGAGCTCGTGGCTTGTAGTAACGGATGACCGGATACTCCCCTAAGCAAGCACAGAGGGATACAATCTTGGAGAGGTAAAGGGTCAGCACGTTTCAGTCATAATAATATCATGGACCTTTGGCGGCTTACCTTTTGAGCCAGCTCTTGAAGATGTTTACGGATCAAATTGTTGCAGCCTGGATGGAACAGAATCGGGAAGCTGTACGGATCGCGGAAGGTGATCAACTGTGACTCTCGGGGAAAGAAGCTGATGTTCATGATGCGGTAGTCGGCAATACGCTCCCTTGCCATTTCAGATCGGTCAAGGCGTTGCCGTATCTGTGGATCGAGGACTGTAGATACCTGTTAGCCAGGCTTCTTGGAACTTCCGGTGTTGCCGCCCACTGACAAGAGGTCCAAACCAGGAACGCCTTCCGGTACCGTTTAACTTCAAAGTCGGCCATGAGACAATCCACAATCCATGACTCCGGGGACAATATGTATAGCGCGTCCATGTCCGGGTTGGACGGCCGTCGGTGTTCGATCTGTTCGACATCTGCGGGGTGGTGATTTTTTTTTTCTTAGCAAGCCACTTCTAGTAAAATTAGGCGCAAAGGGCGGACTCACTGGAGATATTCAAGTTGAGAATTTCTTCCTCTTTGACGGCACAATTGATTACTCTCCTACTCTGTTCGTCGACCACCAAGACTTTCCACTAGACGGGGGAAGCAAAGACGTCAATATTTTGTGGTAGCGGGGAGGGGGGAAAGCGTGAATAACGTACTTCCTGACCGACGGCATGGCGGATCGTGCTTAGAATGACTATTCAGACAGATAACATCAGATTAGGGGGGGTTTTATCCTTCATATACACTAGGGAAGGCACTTACTGTCACGCTGGATCTCGATTATAGAAGCGCCCATGTTTGGCGGGCCACGGATTTGGGAGCTGCAGCTGGATGTAGATGGAGGCGGATTCCACAGGAGGTGTCCTTTAGTTGTACGAAAGGCAGAGGGCGAAAGGAAATAAAAGCCGGAGGAGTAGGAGTACCCAACTATGAGTTAGGTGGCTTCGTATGAGGTATATGAAGGGGAAGTGGTTCCCCACCATTAGAGCTTCGACAGGGAAGAAGTGGATCTCCGGGTGGCGCGCCAGGGAACGCATCCCGATAAGCAAATGTGATCACTTTTTTTTTTCTTTGGTCTTTGACTGAAACCACAACTGAAACTCGTTAACCAGTATTTTCTTAAGTCTACCGTGGACCATTCGATCACCCTACGAATCTACCATTGAAACCAACCCACCCCCTATATTCCACTCGAACTCCTCCCCCCGTTCTGCCGGAATCTCGCGCATCCAGTGATGCAGCCATGGACCGGCAGAGGCAGCCGTTCGCTCCTTTGCGCCTTTCGCTCGCTCTCTAGACCTACCGAGCGACATTTCACGACAAGTTCTTCCCTACAAAGAACGACCAAATCCGTCTTAAAAGCGAAGCTCAAGCAACAAGCTGAGGCTTTAGCCAACAGGAATGGCAAGAATGGCAAAGCAAACTCGAACACTTCTCGACAGGATATTACCCGTGAACGCGATTTCCAGACCGTGGTGGAAACTGCATTGCGCGACATTGACAAAAAGCTTCGTACAACAGGTCAATCGTTGGAAGGATGGGTACGGTTCGAGCGCCGGGTGCTGAATGCTTGCCGTCTGGACGATAGGGTAGCAGCATCAGGGAAATGGACTCCGTTACTGGAGCTCAAGGGCGTTCTGCGAAAGACATATCTCTCCAAAGGAATCCAAGGAATACGGGACGAAGTGGAATACATGCTGTTTGCTGAAGATGTTACGGCCAAGTACTCGACTTCCAATGTCGAAGCGCAACGGAAAGTGGTTGACCTTCGCTTCCCCGCGGAATGGTATCCCAATGCACGATCAATCCAACGCACAATCCATTTACATGTTGGCCCCACAAACTCGGGCAAAACATACCACGCGCTGCAGCGGTTGAAGCAAGCCAAGGCTGGCTTTTACGCTGGGCCATTAAGACTGCTTGCACAGGAGGTATATCATCGCTTCAAAGGCGAGGGTATACCGTGCAGTCTAGTCACAGGAGACGAAGTTCAAACACCCGAGGATGGCAAGTCACCTCGGGTAGTGAGCAATACGGTGGAGATGGTTAGCTTGGGACAAGCCTTCGACGTTGGAGTAATTGATGAAATTCAAATGATTGCAGATTCCAATCGAGGATGGGCCTGGACTCGAGCTGTGCTTGGGTGTCAGGCTTCAGAACTTCATCTTTGCGGTGAGACACGTACGGTTCCGTTAATCCGTGAATTGTGTGCTCTCACTGGAGACATTCTGGAGATTCATAATTATGAGAGGCTCAACGCTCTGGAAGTGATGCCTAAAAGTCTCGGCGGTAATTTGAAGAAACTCGAAAAGGGAGATTGTCTGGTTGTTTTTTCTCGAGTTGGAATCCACGCCTTGAAGGCAGACATTGAAAAAATTACTGGACGACGAGCTGCCATGGTCTATGGCGGTCTCCCGGCTGGAATTCGAACCCAGCAGGCGGCACTTTTCAATGATCCAGACAACGACTATGACTTTTTAGTGGCAAGTGATGCGATTGGTATGGGGTTGAATTTGTGAGTACGGTTAATCAACTCAGCCTGTGGGCCCTTACTGACCCCAGTGTAGGAGCTGCAAACGTGTCATTTTTGAGACTCTGATTAAAAGAACACCTGCGGGATATGTCCGATTAACGGTACCTGAAATCAAACAGATTGGCGGACGTGCTGGTCGATACCGCCCCGCCGGTGCCACCGATGGTAGTCAAGATGGAGCCAACATTGGTCTGGTTACATGTCTTGAAGACGTCGATCTCCCCTACATCAAAGAAGCCATGCAAACCGAGCCCCCGCCTCTAAGGGCCGCTGGAATTTTCCCGCCAGGATTTTCTATTGAGAAATTCGCGTCTTACTTCCCCAGAAGCGTTCCCTTCGAGTACCTCATCAAGCGAATGATCGAACTTGCCCAGATGAGCCGCCTTTTCTTCATGTGCGACTCGAAAAGCCAAGTGGGTGCCTGCCAGCTCATTGATTCCGTGAATGGATTGGGGATTGTGGACCAGCTATTCCTCATGGCCGCGCCTTTGGAGACCAGAAACCCGTATATGCGTGATATTAACTTGGCATTTGTCGAATGCATCGCCAGCCATACTCAAGGCAAGTTACTGGATATCCCTCATCTCAACCTGGAAATCCTAGAAAGACCTGTGTCTGGAAATAAGGAGTACATGTATGAGTTGGAGGCGCTTCACAAGGCTATTATCCTTTATTCGTGGCTGAGCTTCCGGTTCGGAGGTGTGTTTACGGATCGCACTCTTGCAGCACATATTAAGACACTCACGGAAGAGAGACTGATCCGAGCATTGACTGAGTTCTCGGCTAACAAGCACCTGCGCAAGGACGCATCCCTGAGACGACAGATCGCACTTCAGAAGCAGATCTTGAGTCAGCAGAGTGTCATTGGCGACGACCTTGTCTCCCCAGATCAGCAAATGGAGGACACGCCCGATGAAATACCTGACGAGATGACCGAAGACATCTCTGATCCAGTCGAAAGCCAGGAAATTTTAGAGGACTCTGAAGATTTTGTGGAAGAACCGCAGACGCCTCGTGTATAATTTACGGTTCAGTGTAACAATAGCACATGCCCACTACATTTGTATATTAGATTTAAAGCACAATCTCAATAATTCACTATACGGCTAGATTGTATTACCATGATCAAGTCAAACTCCATGTTAGCTAAAACTCCAGGTACGGTTCAAATAGTACTAGGCAAGTAGTAAACTGAGCTCTTCATAGCTTGGCTCTTATCAGGCTTATCTTATCCTTATCGGTGGCGAGTATTCAATGTTCGGGCGGATTGATTTTCCTTCCGCCTTTCTGGAGTTGAACCTCAAAGTTACATTACATCCCATGCTCCGAGCTTTTACTTTTTGTTCGCCTTCGAGTTCCGCCCTTGGTCGCTTTTGTTTTGCCTTTTCAATCTCTCGGGCCTACCGCCATGGATGACCTGGAGTCGCTGGAGCTGCTCTCACTCGTGTCGCGAGTGACGAACGAGCTCCAGAACCACCTGGGCATCAACGATAAAACTCTCGCCGAATTCGTCATCGACCAGCACCTTAAATGTAATGGCGCATTTTCCGAGTTCAAGCAGGGGCTCATTGACATGGGTGCCGAGTTCCCACAGAGTCTGATGGAGAGTATCGATCGACTGGTTCTTACCATGCATCCGAAATACAAGTCAAAGAAAGCAGGAATAAGCAATGGTGACGTGCACAATGGCGATCTCGATAATGGCTTGGACGAGTTTGATGCCCTAGAGAAGAAAGCGCGCGTGTTCAAGGGTCTTGCAGTCCCAGACACAGAGAAGCGGTGGGAGGAAAACGATTACTTGGACGCAGAAGCCGATGAATCACAAGCCGGCGCAATGGACGATACATTCGCTATGTTAGAGGGACTGGCCGGGAAATCAAAGGACACAAACCCACAACCTTCGAGAGACAGGGATGACCGCCGTCACAAACGGAGCCGCAGCCCGGAGTACGAGGACAGCCGCGGACGCCGACACAGAGATAAATACCGCTCGAGGTCCCGATCGCAGCGTCGCGGCAAGAATGACGATCTTGTGGACGAATATGGAAGATCTATCGATAGATACAAAGACCGAGAAGACGGCCATCGCAGTGGGAAGAGCGAGCGCCGCAGACGACGAGACCGCGATGACGACGATTTCCGGCCACCTGTTGAGCTGGACGACCACCCCCAACTTTACAAGATTTACGATGGAACTGTGACGGGCGTGAAGGATTTCGGCGCCTTTGTCAACCTGCAGGGAGTTAAAGGAAAGGTTGATGGCCTCGTCCATGTCTCAGCCATGCAGGAAGGTGCGCGTGTAAACCACCCTTCAGACCTTGTGTCTCGTGGACAGCCTGTCAAGGTCAAGGTCGTTAGCATTGAAGGCACTCGTATTGGTCTCTCTATGAAAGAGGCCGACCAAGCCACTGGAATGGATCTTATTCCTCAGCGACGTTTGGCCTCAGGTGCGAACATGCAACGACTGGACGGAGGGGGCCCCGGAGGTGATCGGTATGGCGGTCTTAGTGCCGATGTACCCGTCATTGTTGAAGATGACACAAACGGCCGGCCTATGCGAAATCGAAAACGCATGACCTCGCCAGAACGCTGGGAGATTCGCCAGCTGATTGCCTCAGGTGTGGCTTCTGCGGCAGACTACCCCGACTTGGAAGATGAATACCACGCTACCCTTACCGGCGAGGGGACATTTGAAGAAGAGGAAGATGTCGATATTGAAGTCAAGGACGATGAGCCTCCTTTCCTGGCTGGTCAGACCAACCAGTCACTAGAACTTTCTCCAATTCGTGTTGTCAAAGCCCCCGATGGATCGATGAACCGCGCAGCAATGTCCGGTACGAACCTTGCCAAGGAGAGGCGCGATTTGAAACAACAAGAGGCACAAGACAAGGCCGCCGAACGGGCTGCTGATGTCGACCTCAGTGCACAATGGCTGGATCCCATGGCTGATCCCGAGGACCGACAATTCGCTTCAGAGCTACGCAGCAAGCCGAAGGACGAGTCAGTACCCGAGTGGAAGCGAGTCACGATGGGTGCGGACAGCAAAAACCAGTCCTTTGGTAAACGGACAGATATGCCTATGAAACAACAGCGTGAGAGCTTGCCGGTATTCAAGTTCCGTAAACCTCTACTTGATGCTGTGGCAGACAACCAAATTATGATTGTCGTTGGTGATACTGGTTCAGGAAAGACCACGCAATTAACGCAGTACCTAGCCGAGGCCGGGTACGGAAATAAGGGAATCATCGGCTGTACTCAACCACGTCGTGTTGCTGCCATGTCCGTGGCTAAGCGTGTCTCCGAAGAAGTTGGTTGTCGTCTAGGAGCTCAGGTTGGCTATACTATTCGATTCGAAGATATGACAAGCCCGGAGACAGTGATCAAATATCAAACCGACGGTATGCTTCAGCGTGAGATCTTGGTCGATCCCGATCTTAAGAAATACTCTGTGATTATGTTGGACGAAGCCCACGAGCGGACGATTGCCACAGATATTCTTTTCGGATTATTGAAGAAAACTGTCAAGCGAAGACCTGACCTGCGCCTTATTGTTACCTCAGCCACATTGGATGCCGAAAAGTTCTCGGAATATTTCAATGGATGTCCTATCTTTTCAATTCCTGGCCGAACATACCCTGTTGAGGTCATGTACTCAAAGGAGCCAGAATCCGATTACTTAGATGCGGCACTTATCACCGTCATGCAAATCCATTTGACCGAAGCTGGTGGTGATATTCTTCTTTTCCTCACAGGTCAGGAAGAAATTGACACGGCGTGTGAAATCCTCTACGAAAGAATGAAAGCTCTAGGGCCATCGGTCCCTGAATTGATCATTCTTCCTGTCTACTCTGCCCTTCCCAGCGAAATGCAATCGAGAATTTTTGATCCCGCGCCACCAGGAGCCCGCAAGGTAGTCATTGCAACAAATATTGCCGAGACCTCAATTACTATCGATAACATTTACTATGTCATTGACCCCGGCTTTGTCAAGCAAAACGCCTATGACCCGAAACTCGGAATGGACTCTCTTGTGGTGACACCCGTTTCCCAAGCCCAGGCTAAACAGCGTGCTGGACGTGCTGGACGAACAGGCCCAGGAAAGTGTTTCCGACTTTACACTGAAGCGGCTTATCAATCTGAGATGTTGCCAACAAGTATTCCCGAGATTCAAAGGCAAAACATTTCACATACCATTCTTATGTTGAAAGCAATGGGCATTAATGACCTCCTCCACTTCGATTTCATGGACCCGCCACCCACAAACACTATGCTTACTGCTCTGGAAGAATTATATGCCCTTTCTGCCCTAGACGACGAAGGTCTCCTTACTCGCTTAGGCCGAAAGATGGCTGATTTCCCCATGGAGCCGGCTCTGGCCAAGGTACTCATTGCTTCTGTCAACATGAGTTGCTCAGACGAAGTGCTGTCAATCGTCGCGATGCTTTCAATCTCAAGCCCATTCTACCGCCCGAAGGAGAAGCAGCAACAAGCCGACCAGAAGAAAGCGAAATTCCATGACCCCATGGGTGACCATTTGACCCTCTTGAACGTCTATAATGGATGGAAGAATTCCAATTACAACAACACCTGGTGCTTCGAGAATTTCATTCAGGCTAGACAAATCAAACGTGCCGAAGATGTGCGCAAGCAACTTCTCGGTATCATGCAGAGATATAAGCATCGCATCATCTCCTGTGGCCGAGACACTACCAAGGTGCGACAGGCTCTTTGCACCGGTTTCTTCCGCAATGCTGCCCGCAAGGACCAGCAGGAAGGCGGTTATAAGACGCTCGTCCAGGGTACCCCTGTATATCTTCATCCGTCGTCTGCGCTATTCGGCAAGGGCTCGGAGCACGTTATCTACCACGATTTGGTTCTCACGACAAAGGAGTATATGCACTGCACTACGTCTATCGAGCCAAAGTGGCTTGTTGAGGCTGCCCCCACTTTCTTCAAGGTTGCGCCTACAGACCGTTTGTCTAAGCGGAAGAAGGCAGAGCGCATCCAGCCTCTGCATAACCGCTTTGCTGGTGAGGATGACTGGCGTCTTTCTGCCCAGCGTCGTGGAGGAAGGGGTGGTGGTGGTGGAACCTGGGGTTGATCGTTTTTTTTTGGTTTTTATGTGTATGGATGGAGGTTTTGCCGTCCTTGTGTACCTACTAGATATTGCGTTGTTGGAATATAACCCAAAGGAACATCGAGAGTATCTCCTCACATGTGGAAGAGACCCTGAACATGGGTACTATACATTTTGTTATAAACAAATTTACGCAGGATGCCCTTTAACAAAAACAATTTGAAGTTTCTCAAGATTCAAGAGAATAATGATTCATTATGACAAAAAACCCCCAAAAGCCAAGTCTAATTTTGAATGAATTATGGTACATCACGGTTGTCTTTTTTGCCTATGCGGCTGCAGTCTCGATCTCCTCCAAAGCACGCTCAACGGTTCCAGCGCTCCATGCCTCGATCCGTTCACGGTCCGACGTATCATATAGCGCGCGTGCAAGAGCCGCAAGAAGAGCTGCCTCTTTACTGGAAGGCTCTGTCTCTGAAGTTTGGATTTGGATCCAGCTCATGACAGCGGAACGAGTAATCAAGGTAGTGCTCCCGTCCACTTGTGTGGCACGGTAAATAATTTGCAAGATCTTTCGGCGGGACGAGTCGGTCAGACTTGGGGATTGGTAAAGAGATAAGATGCGCTCAAAGACATTTGCGCGGCGGTAAATCTCCATATCCTTTACGAAATCGTTAGTATTGAGACATATAGTAAAGCAAGGAAGCAATTAGGGTGCTGAAACTTACAGCTTTGCTGCGGAGACCTTTGACGAACAGACTGAGCAACCAATCAATCTCTTCAAAGTATCCGTCGTCCAATTCGGGCTCTTGCAGGAAGATTCGGTCGATCCAGTAAGACGGAATCTTCTCAACTTCCCAAGATGGGGCTTTTTGTAAGAATTTGTTCACTTTACCGTAGACTTTGTGGAGGGGGTTGAGGAGAACGGAGAGGCAGTTAGATGCACATTCGCCAACGATCCAAGGAATGGGCTTCTCGAAGCCAATGCTGCTTGCGGTTTCCAGCAATTCTCCGGTTAGAGTGTACACGGTACGCCATTCAGCATAATTTGATTCCTGGGGGTGTTAGTTCGATATACAAGGCCGACTAATAGAGTTATACGGGCATACCTTCAGCTTAGCCATGAAGCGAACCAGGTTGGCCACAGCTTGTCTTCGGACTTCTTCGTGCTCAGAGCAAAGACATAGAATGAGCTGATCGGCATGGCCCTGTTCCATGGCTGCCTCGATTTCCTCCCTTTCCCATTTATGTAATGCGTTGTGGGATGTGCCCTCCGTGGGAAGAGATCCAAAGATCTCCTCCAGGTCCACTGTAGAAGCCTTATCGCCTCCAGTTGGTTGGGTAGGACCGGAGTCAATGTCCATTTTATCTTCTGAATCCACCTCCTCTGTGCCCTTGAAGCATTTCTTGAAAAGAGAGCGCATCTTCTTCGCTTCAGTAGCCTCCATCAGCGAATCTCTAGCAGCTTTCAGAGATTTACTGCTTTCACCCTCCTGTTTCAATTGTCCCAGGAACTTGGCGATCCAGGCAGCAACAGCGGCCTCCGTAGTTTCATCACCTGCCTTGACAACAAAAGGCCACTGTTCAATAATGGCCGCGACTATAGGGCTTGTGGCGCTTTCATCTTCGGATAGAGATGCAACGAGGTTCAGGTAGTGGACGGGCTTCTTTGCAACTCGAGACACGCAGTTGTCAAAGAAAACCAATTGCTTGTGCAACTCGCTTCCAGAGTCTTCAAGACTGGACAAAAGAGCGTTGAACGCCTTCGGGGCATTGTGTAAAACAGAGTTCTCTACCAGGATAGTTCTGAGAAGAATAGAAATCCGCCGGGAAGAAATCTTGTCTGAAGTGTCGATAAGAACTTTCAGAATGGATGTGAATGGGGTATAATTCATGGAAGCTGGAAAAAGTCAGAAATAAAAATCACACGTGCCCAAGGGACGGTAACCTACCTGGTTTTTGCCACCAACGTAGCGAGGCAGATTGTTGAGCAATCTGCAAAACGCTCTGCAACTGGCTCAAGAGCAGCTCGGAATCATCCGCGCTGAGCTCCGAGTCTTCTAGTCGTTTGAGTACATCGACGAGGACCAATGAGACATCGAAATTTTCCTCAAGTGCAATGTCAGGCATGATTTCATAGTAGCAAGTCAGTAATTCGGCAACGGCTTCTTGCTGTTGCAAATCCTCCTTTGCAGTTCGTCGGAAAAGAAGAACGACGTCTTTGACTTCGGGACATCTGCGAGAGAACTCGGCCAAAAGCTTGGAAGAGGCCTGGGTCCAGAACAATTGAGCTCGACCATGATCGGCACGGAAGATCTTCAAGACAGCTCGCAACTTTGTGAAGGCCAGAGTTAACATGCGCACAGCGAACAAAGTGACAATCTCCGCATTTTGATTCAAGCAGCGGGTCATGATCTTCTGGCTCAATGGACGGGGAAGGATGTTTTCCGCGACGACCGAAACTGGTGGTGGTAACATAGGTTGCTTTTCTTTCCAGCCACAGTTCGTCGGAACCGGCAACTGTACGATGGAGAAAAGAAGAGCTGACTCGGCCATCCAAGAAGGAGTTGCCTTGGGGTCAGATGTGAACATGACTTTCTTGGTAAAAAAGTCGGCGATCAGCTCTGGTGCCACCTTGAAGATTGTCACCAACAACTCAATTTGCAGACTGTCCGCATCGGGGCGAAGACATTGAATAAGATGTGACAGAGTGTTGTTTCGAACAGGAATTGTGTCTCGGTACTTGTCAACGTAGATGGGGGAGTCGAGGCCCAGTTCGATAGAGGTATCATCTTCAACCAGAGATTCCGGGTCGGTTCCGACTGGATACCATCCAGCTTCGGGAAGCAGAACGCCCAAGCTAGCAGACTTACAGACGTTCAGCAGAATGCGATGAATCTCGTTCGCAATTGAAATTCCCTCAGGGTTTGGTTCGTCTGATTCTCGGTCGTAGCCGTAAAGAGTGACCAGTTTTTCCATGTTCCACCGGTTGAAAAACTTGCTCTTCGACTTGCGGGATAAAGCGGCATCTTGCACAATATCCCTCTCAATTGCCTTGATAGTTTCTAAGACTGTCTCCCGTGGATCCTTGCGCAGGTAATCAAGGAAAGCCCTGGTGAGCTTGTGTTGCTCGATGATATCACCCTTTTCTAGATGTTGCTGCACTCTCAGATTGGCCAGAAGATAACGTTGAGCATTTCGCCGAAGGGTCGACTTTTGTTGAGATTCGCCATCTGCGGTCTCCAGCTGTGCCTTACTTGGTGTCAAGAACATCTCGAGACGCTTGAAAGTGATGTGACGGCGAAGATACAGTTGCCGGGCCACGGCACCGCCATCGAAAGTAACGATCTCCGTCAGCAGGCGGAGACAAGGCGAGATAAGATGCTCTTTAGACTTGAGAGCGGTCAGGCCACGGTTGAAGAGCCTTAGTTGATCTTTTTGCAACAGGTGCTTGCACAACGCGACGCCAAAATCCCGGAACTCCAGGTCGCCGGAGATGGTCTTTAGAAAGATGGCAAGCACGGACGGAACATTGGTCAACAACATATCATGGTTGCTGCTTTCTCCATAGCTCCAGGTTTGAGTGATATCTGAGAAACAGACGGCCTCGGCACCTTCTTCTTTGGCGGGAGTGATTTGCTTATCGCAGTAGCCTTTCAGAATACTCAGCTTCTGAGTCTTGTCAGTCTGAGTGGCTTCTCCAATTGACAGAAGAAACTGCTTAAATTGGATGATTCCTGTGGGCCTTGGTCAGTCCGAATCCTTACCGGGCAACAGCAACCAGCGCCGGAGTATCATGGCTCACCTTTATTGGCCAGCTGGGGGTTCTGTTGAAAAGTCAGCAGTCCACGGAGCTGTGCTGGGGATGTAAATGACACATCCTGCTTTGGATGAGAATCTTCATCAAGCTTTCTCCTCTTGACCCTAAATGGGTGCTCTGTGACGTTGGCCATATTTGGAGAGTTGGAGGTGTTATTTTTTTTTCTCGTTCTTGGATGCGAAGTTCCGATGCCATCGAAATTTCACGACCTCTGATTGGTCAACTTGGCTCCGCCCAATTTTCCAACCTTAAAACATTTTTAAATTGAATTCAAGCACAAGAATTTATATGATTTATATTATAGAAATTGTTCAAGTGTATGAGGGATGGTAATGAGCTAGTAGAGATCTCATATCATAATAAAAACCCATGAAAAAGTCGAGCTGTTTAATAGGGATAGGATATTGCAATCAAGGCCAATAAGTAGACTACTAACTAGTACAAAGTATCTACTAGTACACCTCTCCATTCTTGACTGCCTAACACATTAGGACGGTGCCTATTCGATTTAAATGATTCTGGTTTTTTTTCCCCCTTGGAAACTAAAATGGCATACCTGTTTCATAACAGAAAATACAAGACGAAATTCCATACAGTGAATGTTACAAGTTGGTTACTGGGATTGCAGTATCAAGTACTTGACCGAGAAATCTGGCAGCTTCAGGCCGAAATAACTGCAGCTTGGGAATCTTTGGTATAAATGTCAAGTACTTGTACAACACAGATCAAAAAGAGGGGATACTTCTCTCATTGTTACAGCATGGTCAATCCCAAATATCTCAGAAAGAAAGAAAAAAGAAGAAAAGCAAAGAAATTATAAGGATTGAAAGGGTTGAAAGGGTTGAAAGGATATTACGGCTAAGGTATAGATCAGCTGGCCTTGACTTGTGCCTCCCTTTTCCGCACGTTCAAGAAAATCCTCCCAAAGCTTCCAAAGTCTTGTAATCCTCTTAACTCCTTTTATCTTCACATATTCTGGCCCTTTCGTTCTACTCTAAAACCTTCTCTCCTATTACAGCTTGTCAAGCATTTGTTCTTGGAAAGTGTCCGAACAAGTTGGTGGATCACAAGTCTCTTACCGATTCCCGGCTCCGCCCTGGCCTTGCCACAAAGTGGCTTACACCTTCTCCTCACTCACCTCATTTCCCGAAGAACAACCTCGTTCCACATCCCCTCCTACCAAAATCACTTCTCCTTTACTATCCTGCCACTTGGCTTTACCAAATTTTTACGATTGATATTGTCGCGTCCCTTGTCCTTACGATCCCCCTTTTAGCCCAATGAGAGCATCATAAATCCTGTTAAAATACCCATCGCACACACCGCTCGAGATAGGGCCGTCATGGCGCGACGGTACGAAATCGATGAGCTATTATGGCTGCGCGAATCACCTCTGGTCATCAAACCCCTGGCCTACCCCCCATTGAAGAATGGATGTGAGTCTATCCAACCCTCCCCACTTTGGGGCACATCCCGCACTTGTCCACGTCAAGAGTCCAAGACTAACCTGCCTTTCTTCCAGGCCTCAACCTGACACTACCACCCAGCGCAAACAACAAACCACCCGAGATCCTAATAACCCAAATGAACCCCCTACTACTACCACTCGACGAGGAAGCTTTTTTGAAGCTCGTCATATCGCCCGCGGCTCCAATTCAGGTGCGCTTGTGCCCACTGGTACTCTCCATCGCCTGTTCTCAATATCCACTGATCTAGTAACTAACTGATCCTCCAACTGATACAGAAGACATTATTCTTGGACCCCCGAAGACGGCCTTTGCATCGTCGCGCATCGGCGGTAAAGGATCCTTTGATTTGACAGATCGAACTGCGCGGCCAACTGACTCAGACGAGAAGAACGATCGGTTCAATTTCCGGGATCGATTTTTCAAGGAGAAGGATGCCCCAGAGAAAGACTTGGAACGCCGTGATGTAAAGCCGGGTCTAAACGGCCGGCGCGTGGACAAGGAAGATTGGAATGCTGGCCGCACACGTCGCACCTTCGGTCCCGAGGAGGAGATCGCAAACCACGAAGGAACGGGGATTTCGATCGATGGGAAAACCGAGAGAATCCTCGAGACCTCGACACTGAACGAGTACCGCAAAACAAAGACCCACGCTTTGTGAAGAAAGACGTCACCACCCCGGGAAGAACCAAATATGATGGAAACTGGTTCCGCGACGAGCAGGCTCAGGATGGTGTCGAAGCTGATGATGATAAACAACCACTTCGCAATCGAGAATGGCGTCGTGACCGACATGGTGTAGACCGTGACTGGAACCGAGGTGGCAAGATGGAGCAGGAGCCGGAGTGGTTGGACAGCAATGAACGTGATGAGCCACGACGAGCACACACACAGGAAGAGTTTGAGCGCTGGAAAGTGGCCATGAAGGCTGGTTCTGGCGGTGCCGCGCAAAAGCCCACCTACGAAGAGAAGACGGAAGCTCACGTGGAACCTGATACTCCTCATCAGCAACAGCAACCGGAGTCTCGCCGCACTGACGGAGAGATCTTCAGCAACTCTGGCGCCCAGTATATGGGTGACAATTCGATGGAACGATTCTTTGGCATGCTAGGTGATCCCAAGCCGCCCACAGTCCAGGAAGTCAGCCCACCAGCCCCTGTTGCGATTGAATCGCCCACCAAGAAAGAAATCCCTAGCGGGAAGCCTGGGAAATCTTCTCGGTTCGCAGGACTATTCAGTCCTCTCCCTGACAGCCCTTCCAGAGGCCCCGAGCCTCATCCTGTTCCCCAGACCCAGTCTGCGGGTACACCTCTCAGTTCCCACAGTGATGCCGATCAGGAAGGTTTCCAGCGGATTCTTCAGATGCTGGGTGGTGGCGGTGGCCGATCAAATAACGGCACCCCTAACCAGGCCGATTCATCGCATGCATCGCGATCTTTGTCAATGGTTTCGGGAGAGCAGCCCCGTGGGCCCATGAACATGCCAACTCCAGCGGGGTTGCGCCGCGAATTCGCCAGCCCTCCACAGGAAAACCCAATGGCCCAATTTGCTGGTAAAGATCCTCACTCTCGTGATAGAGAGAACCTGCTCCGCCTAATGCAACAAGTTCGGGGTGGTCCTCCATCTGCTGGACATTTGCCTCAGTCTCCGAATGGCGGTCCACCACCTCCCCCTGGCCTGATGCAAGAAATGATGACCCGTCCCCCGCCTGGGTTGACCGCTCAGAAAACACCAACTTTCTTAGACGACCCGGCAATTGCCAACATGCAGCGACCGGATAGTGAGCAACTCCGGCGCCGAATGGCCAACGGACCTCCCATGGGATATTTCGATGATGGACATTACCCACACGTCCCTCAGAACCAAGGTCCCATGACTCCTGGGGGTTCTCGACACCCACAGGGCCCTCAACAGCAGCAGCAGCCCCCGATTCTCCAGCGACCACCGGGCTTGGAGCACATGCCTCCTCCCGGATGGACTGGCCAGCCTCCTCCCCCTCAGCAAGGTAATGGACCTATGGGTCCCCCGCCTGGAATTCCTGCCCCAAACCGCGGCATGCCCCCCAACTTCCCTCCTGGCATGATGCCAATGCCCAACACTCAGCCACCCATCAACGAACGACAAGGCTTTCCGCCGTGGTCCTCCTCCCGGCATGATGCCCCCGCCTGGATACATGGGTGGTCCCCCACCACCCGGATTCCCCCCAATGCCACCTAACCCGGAGGTTATGATGGGACTTGGGCCTGGCCAAGGCCCATTTGGACCCGGCAACCCGGGACCCCAGGGTCCTCCCTCCTTCCTCTCGTCACTTGCTTGAGATGTTTGGTCAGCCCAATGGTGGGGATATGCGAGGCGGCATGGTCGGTCCTGGTCACTTCCGGTAAATCGGAATCTGCGCAATATAACATCCATAAAGATGTTGTTCCCATTCTACCCAGCTTATCATCTACTGCTGACCTGGGGTTTGTGAATACATGCGGTCAGCATGGGACGCAAGATTCCTAAATTGGTTTTAACTCAGTCTGGTTACACGGCAACGTTGCATCTTCTCGAGATATCAAAGCACTATGTTCTTTTTTAGTTTCATTTCCCTCTTATCTATCTTTTTTTTTCTTGTCTTCGCTGGTGTTCTTCTTTGATATCATGATGCCCACGCTCGCACCTGATTCATATTACCCCAATCTCGGCTCTAGCTTTTTTTTTGGCTGTGCCTTACTCTTATTTTGCTGATATCTTGCCGGGGCTCAATTTTCCTTCCCCCGCCTCCTCTGCTGTTGACCATTCTCGAAAGATGTGACCTGCTGTGTGCTTAGTTGAAGCTGAACCAATGAACACCGATGACTGGGTGAAACGATTTAAAGATCTAGTGGTTTGTGGATTGTGATGATCTTCCGGAAGCATAGCTTCTGCTGTTTTATTAGTAGCTACCGACTTTAGCGATAACCTGATATTGCAATCTATATTTCTACTAGATCACTCAAGTGCTGGCACTGTGCATACATCAATACGACCTATGTAGTAGATACTCTAGGATACCCCAGCATTGAAAAAAGTCGATGTTTCTCAACTTGAGTGCTTCAATGTCAACCGATTCTTTGTATAAAGGGATTCGCTTTGATCATGTGCATCTCATTTTGTATACGGGGTTGAAAGTACACACATGCATACATGTACATCTTCATTTGAATGTTGTGTCCAAGAACTATAGATCTATGAGATCTTACTAGCGGCCGATGAAGCCCGAAGGTATGTACAAACCATCTCTGCCAATTATTGTTCCCGGAAACTCTTGGTGGACCCTTAACCCGATTCTGATCACTGCGCATACTAGCCTCCAGAGAGATGCAGAGTCTAAGAAAGCGGCGTTATCCAATATCTACCTGATCACGAGCACATGAGCGAAAACTCGCGGCGATTACCCTGACCTTCTAATGTATTCTATTGACTTTCTCTCTAAGCTGATATTTTGCAGACATAAGACTATGTACTCCAAAGAACGAGCTCTTCAAGCAACCTGATGCCCCCAGGTGATAAAATCTAGGTCTCCTTTTGAGCCTGCTTAGATCATTGTCAAGGAATATCTCCAGTCGCCTGTGTCCTATCTAAAGAACTGGCCCTAATCTAGGGTTTTATTCACTCAATTCAGCCCATACTTGGTACATCCGTGAATAATTACTAGTAGACATAAACAATCCTAGGTCGTTCTTTCCCTTCCAAAATATTCAACCAAGGGCATATCTCATTTGGAGGTTTTTATTCTCTGGCCAGTGAAGCAAAGTGCCTCTGAGGACAAGCAGCGTATCTACCATCTGCTCGTCTGAAAATCGTGCCTGTCTGTATTGGACAGAAGTCCACGTGCCTTGATATATCAATCAGGCTCAACACTCTGCACGCGCCTCTCGTCTTGAAGATGAACAACTCACCTTCAAACTGGGGTTCCACCCCACCTTGCCAACCCCAGCTGCCTCTAGCTTACCCATGCTCATCTCATTCCATGGAATTGCGATCCCAGTCATGGGTGCCTTTCTCCACTGAGTCCTCCACTGCACCAAACATTTCGCTCTTCTCTGGAGTGATGCCTCATTCCAACAGTCGAAGAGGTAAGCCCTTGAACCCTCCCCCCAAACATTACCATTGGCTGATCTATCAAAACATCCCTGTTACTTGTATCATCTTCTCCTACTGTTCAGACCGAACTCCCATCCCAGAAAGCCCAGAAAGCCCAGAAGACAACGGGATGGGTAACTCTCCTCCCGACTCCGTGAACAGCTCTCCTTGTGCCCGACTCGGCGCCTCGAGCCAGATTTGGCCAAGAATGGACACTACTGGCCCCAGCAACATCTGGGGAGCCCGTACCAACGCCAGCGATTCCTGGTCCTTCGATATCTACGAAGACCCAGTCGACCGCGAATCACCTCGGCCCCAAATCGAGACGCCCATGCTGAAAATGGAGAGGATAAGGAAAATATCTTCGCCACTGGCTCCGACTATGACTCTCCCGTCCGGCCTGAGCCTGAGCCTGAAAACGACCTCGCACGTCTCGCTACCCGCCAGCAGGATGCATTTGGCGTCCTCCCTTATTCCCAGGCTCTTATTGACATTGCTTTCCGTGAAGATGGAGTTTTGAGCCACCCTGCCAGTGATTCTCCCAGTGTTCCTACCCCCACTGAAACTTTGCGCCCTGCGATGCGTATCGAGGTACGCGAGGAAGAAGAAATAGACTCAGGAGAGGGCTTCATTGATTTGGAGGATACTCTGGAAAGTGGCCAGATTCGGGAAATTCAGCACCTGAGTGATGTTTTTGTCCGTGGTGTCGAAGACCGAATGGTTCATGGTCGCCATTATCCCATGCGTGACGATGGCAATATTCAAGGTCCGGCAAACGTCTTCATGGAGGCTCGCCGCATTACTCACTACCAGCGCCACCAGAGCCGCCGGGCAAACTTCGAGGCTGACGAATAGTCTCCGAGTTACTGACATGCTGATAATGACCAAGTGACTTTGGAGTTTTCTGACAAGCGACATTTCTGAGCGTATCGCGACTATTTTTTTACGAGCCAGATTTCTTTGCATATTTATCTTGAGTGAAATCTTTGCCATGTATCTTTTTAGTTCACATCTTCGTTGGGCGGTTATCACATGTTTATTCAGATAAACCAGTTGCACCAAATTAGACAACTGACGGGAAAGATAGTTACCATTGAACGGGGGAAACAATCAAATAAGATTTAATGTTGGCTTCTTCTCTAAGCCTAGGGAGAAATTGATCTCAAACCACAAACAGTTATCATCAATTTCGAATCTATTCAACGATTCGTGGTCAATACTTATATCGGTGGCTCCAACTCGAGTACACCATCCAAAACTGAGTCCGGTGTCACTTCAGCTAGTACACGGGAGACTGTGACTAGATCACTTCCATATTGGAGGCTTCGATCATCACCGGGAGAGGCAACAATAATACGATGGCGAAATACCTTTCTAGCAGCCAATTCCACGATTGAAGGTGTGAGATAATCGATTCCATGTAACGGCGTCAGGAATCTGCAAGCCCGAGTTAATTGCGGTCAATTTTAACAGGCGATTCAATTACAACGTACTGTGCGAGTTGAGCGAATTGATTGTTTGCCCTTGCAGATATTCCACCAGCAACTGCGCGACTGAGACGCAAGAAAACAACAATATCTTGGATATACCGAACCACTTCAGCATTCATAGTTGTTGACTTGCTGGCTCGCGGAGCTTTTGTATGACCTGTAAGATTGAAAAGTGAGATAGGTGGTCGTTGGCAAGTGATGCGGTAGATAATACTTACCATGTTGCTGACCTTTGCACTCATTTTCTGGGGGTATTTTGGGGTGTGGATCACAGAGGACGCAGACAGTTGCCGTCAGAAAGCCAATCATTCTCCTCAAGGTAAATAAACCCATCTTCAGGCTCGTGGTAATGTGAGATGAACAACTGATCACGCTGTAGAAAATACATTAGAAAATCCTCACGGCTGATAATAAATTGAAACCACTACTAACCAGATGGGTCTTTAGCGGTGGATGTAGTTCAGCAGAGTCCCGCGCCACGAGGGGTACAAACAAGAAATCTGTAGGCGCATTGAGGATTCCGATTTTTGTCACCAACTGCCGGGTCCGCATTAACTGTAGTAGTCAGTATAATGAATAAGTTGGTTCGCAGTCAAATCGCCGGGTTTTACCTGTAACGATTGAACCTGAAAATCTTCGCTAGTCAAATTGAAGTTTTTGGCGATGATAATGTTCACCACATTTGGCTCATCAGCTATCATACTCGGGATCGGGGACTTGCTGCGGTCCCGATGTCCGCCAACATAGGAAAGATTGCTGGACTGTGATCATTAGTCAATCTTCAAAACTGTTTGTTCCCCTTGGCCGGACATCATACAAATCCGGTTTTTGCCCGAGAATATGACGGGCGGGCCAGGGTCTTGCGGGCATCCGTAGTAAGGATATCATTGTGAATTTCTTCGATGGAAGTCTCGGGCCCACATTCGAGAATAGAAAATGACAAATCAAATGTGTTGGAGCAGATCTGGGTTTTGCATTAGCATTTATATCACTCTTATCCTCTTTTGTTTTTGCAAGGTGTAATACAAGTGCTAGTTCTCTGCCAAGGTCATCAATCGAGTCGCCCGTGGTCTCAATCAAACAATGTTCATGGGCGGCGAGACATAGAAGGACAGCCACCTCGATATCGGACAATTGTCGTGCAACATCCTCAAGACTCATGTCATCCATTCTTGAACTCCATGGACTACCTGGTCCCTGCAGAAGTGACAGGATAAAGTAGTAGACAAGTGGAGACAAATAGGTGCGGACTTGAACATATGACCCGTTTTGATGCCTGAGTGCCTTAATAATTAGCCACCAACAGCTCTCCTCAAAGAAGACTAGCGCGAACCCCGGGATCAAGCTGCGGTTTCACTCAATCCGTCACCAACATTGACACGGGGATACGGTGTATGGCTTTCCAGGGCCATCGTCTGTGATAATTAGTGTCTAATGGCACCTTCAAACCCTCTCGCCAACTGGGAGAAGGTCGGCGACAGCTTTTATCGCAAAATCCCTGATATGACGCCAATATTAGATGAGGAGGCTGAACGAGACTGTAGATCGTCGGTGAGCTGTACGGTGGAGCTATCTGGTATGGTTTCTTTTTGACTTAGAAGAGCACCCAGCTAAACTAGAGATTCGTCTAGCGCTTTATCGCGACGAGAGCAAGCCCATTAGGCTGGATTCACAGGCTTCCGTTGAGTATCGATGTTTATTCCTGCTCCGGAAAGCAAATCAATCAATCAATGTGTGTTTAAATAAGACCACTTCGGTAAACTCTTAAAGCTGACTGTTATGTTAGTGGAACAGCCACCATCCGCGGGTCGGCTCGTCAAAGAGGAGTATAGTCGTTGCTGAAGATGGCATCTATTTAGCCGCTACTTGGGTTGGATGGCGACTCGCTTCTTTTCTCTTGAAACGTGAGATGACCTAAAGTCGCTCTTGAACTGAACTAATAAAAACTCAGCGCCGAAGGATATAGGCGTAATTCTGGTCATCCGGTCTTGTGGTATGCTCAATAACAGCTCATTGCAATTCGAAAGTAGTGATGAACCCCGACCACAAGCTCTAGCTCCTTGTCCGGAAGGTGAATCTCATCATGGCATTGATTTCCACCCGCCAAACCCTTTCACGCTCGTGGAGGTCTTGTTCGCTGTTGATAAGACGGTCCATTTGATTGACTCTACAGAGGCCGAAGATAAGACCTGCAAGATGGTTCATCAAACATGTTACACGCGTCACCAATGGGCAGTTCGCACTTCACGAGAAGGCAAATTTTGGGTTGTCAGTAATGACTTCCAGGAGAGCAAGCTTAGCAATATCGATTAAAGCGTAAGTGCCGTAGTACGTGAATGGTGTGGGGATGACGCAGTCATTCTGGCTGGGAAGATGAGATTCGATGTTGTTGGTCATCATGTCTTCAGTCCAAGTAGTGACCTTTTTTTTACATTGGTGATGATGATTAACCTTTGATTGATTCTACTATGATCGGCCGGCATGTCACGAGTTTACCGAGTTCGGCAATTATCACAAAATGATACCTGCGAATTTTTGCATAAAGTCACGCCGTCCGGAGAAATATTCGCAAGACTTGACTTTCTGGCGCGCTGCTGGTGTCCTGATTCGTGGACCAATTGGAAAGAATTCCCCGGAACCCGATGAAAACATTCAGCGTATTCGCTAAGTGCTTCCTGCAGCAGTTGACACTCGCATCGAAGCTGCCATCATCAATTGATGCTTATGGCAAACGTTATGACAAAGGCAGCATGGTTGGCAATGGTCTCGAACTTTCCCGACAGTGATGAAATTCATTAAATAACGCTTCTCAAAGATTGAGAGTTTTAACAGCGTAAGAGATTATCAAATCGGCTTGCGATTGTATATGAACAATATACTGCATCTCACTCAGAGGGGCTTAGTCCTAAGCGCCTGGTGACCGTCATGATCTCTTTCTTATCTGAGCTTCAGAATCTCTCAGAGATTCCTGCAGACCAGGATCTATGTCCACTGGGCAAGCCAAAGGTACAGGGTTTCTAGGTGAATGATGAGGTGTATGCAACTCAGTTGTCCAAAAACTGGAAGGAACCAGGTGTGTCTTTAAAATCGTCACAACAAGGCCTCAATGAAGGCAATCTGGCACCTAAGTTACGCCAGCTCTGAACACAGAACAAGCTGCAACAAGTACCACTGCTATTGAACATAGAAGAAGATGAACTGCTTTGGACAAGGCTATTCGAAAGTGAAATGATGACTTCATCGATTATGTTCTTATCGCACCTCAAGGTCACAATACCTTGGCAAGTTCTTCAAAATAATCAATTCTCGTCCCATGGCATCTGCACTTGTTGAAACTAACCGAGATGAAGACCCAAGCTTATAAAGGATCTCTGCTACCGGGTAAACGTGTACCATCAATCGATCAAATGTCACTATTGTCAGGAAGCCTCGCGAATAAGGAGACCCCCAACATCAGAACAAAGAAGTTGGCGCTTGCATGGCATCTGCTGGACTAGAAGGATCCCACCAGTGCTCTTTCAACGAAACTGATTACGAGGCATACTAACTCCTGAAGCACAGGAATCATTGGAATAAGGATCTTGCAGAC